TTACACTGTAAATTGACTTAAAGGAACTACGCTACGGGGACTAGGACCACCTTTGGGTCAAATCAGGTTAAGTGGTCAAGGTGAGCCTTCTGTCAACCGTTTATATTTCAGAATAATTAAGAGTTCCATTAGAGCTGAGTTTACTATCCGAAACAAGATTTTCAACACCTTGGACCCAGAAGCACTATATCATTCGTCCAGTTCTATATCAAATGGCTTCTTGGAATCCATAGTTGTCATATCTTAGCGACTCTACGATACACCGAAACCAATGTACAACAATAGACTACACTCGCTCGAATAGACGAAAAGAGCCAAATCCTGCAAAACAGCGTGCATCCTTGCACTCCGTGTGGACCCTCTTGATAACGCAGTCACCAACCAGTGTTTGCTAAGCGTGTGCTTTGACAATTATTGTTTCCACCTGTGACCTCTTACTTGCAGCCACCAAGTCGCACATAGCGACCTTGTGACCAACATGCAAGCATAGGCGCTGCAGACGCGGTTGCTTCAGGATGCTTTTGGATCCCCCATGGCGCATCTTATGGGCGGTCGATCCACCGAATCGCCTGCGCACGGCCTGTGCATTTTGACATCTGCGTCTGCTCACGGACGTCAATTGGACAGGGCGTTCGAAACCACGGGCCGAGAACTTGAGATGAAACACGTTACGAGGTTGATGGGTCTGAATTCATCTGGCGTGTTTTCTGTCGAACTTAGTTGAGATGTTGAGTGTCCGAGACAATGGATTCCCTTAGTAACATTATGTGGAGCATGTCTGTCCCCATCACTGTAAACGGCATCTAATTGTTAGGCGACGGGCGGGACGTCCCTAGTTTAATTGTTGTGATATTCTGAACTTTGAGCGCAGGGAACATCCTTCAATAAATTCTATATTCATCACTAGTTGCGACGGATTTATATCATGCGTCTCATGGAAGTTGCCGAGGATACCGAACACATACAGTTAATATATATCGAAGGTAGTTAATGTATTGAGATTGTAAGTCTTAATTTTGCTTGGGAAACCCTGCCGCCATCATCTATCCCCATGTTATCGTAGGCTTCACCATCGCCTGTTTATTACAGACTGTCTATCGCAAACTGTGTTCTGCGGCCCTTGTGTAACTCTTGCGTTACAATGCAAGTCCCAGCAAATGCAGTTGCAACGCCAAGCGCGCTGTACTCAAACCCATGCAGCCCTGTTGGGCCGGGGAAACCACCAAGATTAAATCCCATCATTTAATCATGGATTTTATTGAACATGTCGAATGTTCTGCGCAAACGATTTCGGGAAAGCCTAGCCCTGCCAAGCCAGCACGAAGATGAGGCCATCGTAATCACCGGCGCAAGTCGCCACCCCCTGCGTTGAGTTACCCTATTCACAGAGATGCCCATCCTGGCGGCAGCCACGTTTCTTCTCCCCATCTGCATTGCTGTGGATGCTTCTCCAGCCAAACAGCCGCGCGACTTACCGGAAACGAACCCGGGTCACCCACTCTCGAGACGTGAATCTCCGGATCGGGTAGAGAGTTTGAGTGGCTTGCGACCGGCGTCCTATCTTGGGCAGTCCCCTGGCCAAATGCAGAGGAGCCAATTGGTGGATGGCCCCTGTGAAACGTGGTGGGCGGGGCGCACACGGGCTTCTGGAAGCTCGAAGGGTTCCGTATGAAACAGGGATGCCACATTGATAGCGCGCCCGTGACTCGGGGGCCGTGACGATGCCAGGAGATTGCCGGTGGTTTGTACTTGGCCCGCGCCCGATACTTTCGCAACTCGCGAGTCATTGCTGGTCGCCGACGAGGATCAGAATCGCCCAAAGCAGACAACATGTCGACACAGACCAGGAGGTGCTCTCCACCGCGGGTACGCCCTTTTCGGGGAAGCAAGATACGAATTGGGCAGGGCACCGGAAGCATCGAAACACCAACCAGCCAGTCCCGCGCCGTTCGAAACATCAGATGAAAGATAGCACACCGACTGTTTGGCCGAGATAGAGCAGGTACCTTTGGGCCGAATCTCTCTTCATACCCCAGCTGGTGGTAATTTGCGTGCGAATTTGCGACGACGGGTTCACGCAAGCTGCACTATCTCGGAGACTCACCGCTATAACACAATCTGTAATGCTTCGAGCCGAGCTCTTCATCTTCCGGCATCGTATGCGCTATCTTGGCCTGGACGGGAGTGTATAAGCCTGCATCCGCCAGCGCTACCGTGGGGATGTGCCGAGGATGATGCGGGCATGTCTAGACTCTGACTTCTGTTCAGCTGGTAGAAATAGAGTTTCTGCCCGACGTCATAAGTACCGACATGTGCCCGTCTTTCACCTCGGCGCATTCTTGCAGGGGATGTATAATCCACCGAAGGAATCCCTTTAGCCCGTAGCGTGCCTTAGCCCCAGGGTTGCAAGGCCTTCGAGTTGCAATGTTAGCGGGCAGTCGTCGATGGCAGGCCCTGGACTTTGCCAGCCTAGCGTATTGGAAGTGGAGCTTGAACGACAAGGTATAGAAAGGGGCATGTACAAGTTGTTTCTTTGCCCGGCGATCTATGATATTGGAATTTCGATAAAATATCCAGAGGATTTGATTTTATCGTATGATGAGCACGGCCTCGGCCGTTGGCGATGGCCATGTGGTCGGACGTTAAACGTGCGTGGATATGCGTTGCAGCTGTCACAAGATCCCAACATGTTATAACATCCGCTCTATATGGGTTCCCGAAATAGTGCATGGACGAAGCCTGCATAATTATTACCAACCGTAGCCAGTATCCAGAATCAACATATTTGAGGCTCAGCGGCGTAAGGCCCGGCCAGCAGTGCTATGGTACCCAGCCATTGTGACAGCAGTCTGGAACCGAAAGGCGGCAGGATATTAACATGTCCAAAGTCGATCTCTTTGTGCTCCGTCGTCCAATCCAGTTGCCAGTAGTCGAACCGACGTTACACCTTCTGCCGTTCCCCAGACTGCAAGGACGTGCATGCGGCTCGGAGAAAATGCGAATCAGAAGCCTCAATTTGGTACATTACATGACGAATATTACGTTTCTGGGCAGTGATGTCCCGCGCGGTCCGTATCTGGATAAGAGGTGGCTCTATAGCGGAACACAATGCGTGTCGACTGTGCAGAAATGCAGATGACAACTGGTTCAGCATGAACCCACATCGTAGGATCATCCGGTAGCGAGAGCCGGTCAATTGCTTTGACAGCTCTCACCGGCCTCAAGACCCCCTGGTCGTCGTGGGATCGTTCCCCCACGAGCCGTCCCCCGGATCTGCGGGCAGGACTGCTGATAATGCTTCGAGAACCATCAGATCATCGCTGCGGTCGGCGACCGTCAGCGTGCGGTGGTACTTTTCCTCATTTCTGATAAATCTTGAATCGCGGGTCGGAATACTACTGTACTGCCTGAGCGCTGGGTCAAAGGGTATGTAGCACCATGCACGAAGGAGTTCGTGACAACCATCAACGATTCCCCGCTATTCCTTCCTGAGGCTGACAGTTGGGCAGTAATCCTCCGATCTGCTAGGGACTCTTCATCTCAAAGCCAGACTGTCGGACCGAACTGAGGTGCCACAATATGTGCTATAACTGAGTGTATCGTGGCCAGTGCCCAGGATTAAGGCGTTCGTCTCCGTCTCTCGCATGGAACAATTACGCGTGCGATTATTGCGCATGACCAGGGACACGGTACCTTTGGCTCGGGTCTTGCATGGGGCATCAGATTCGAGAGGAGGCGTCTGGGGTGGTTGTGGCCAGGCCTGAGATTATCCACAGTGAAGCCAGTGCTGGTGAGCACGAAGCTTGACAGGGAAGCCCCAGATAACGTGCGATTCGGTTCAGCACGTAATCAACGTAAGTTGACCAGAACCTCATCCCCGGGTCGCCTCGAGGGTTCCCAAAGTGGCCTGTGACGTTGTATCTCTGTAGCTGCTCCGTAATCTCCCCCACAAGCTGCCGATTCGCATCCCAAGCGAAGGGCAAGCGAAGGCAAGCGAGGCCCCAAAAGTTCCACGACCCCTGCTCGCCAGCGGGGCGGCGGGCTGGGGCTAGGGGAACGTTCACCGTGGTCCCGCGGCCAAAGACAGCCATGCGACGACGAGGCACGGCTTCCTAGAGAAGAGGGCGGAAATTGGGAATGGTAAATCAAAGTTTTTGTCTTATTATGGCGGGTGGAAGACGGGATGCGTGCTCCGCTGCAACGGCGGCGGCTCACAGGATCCGAGGTTCATACAAGCTCGGGAACGCCTTCTTCATCCCTGCCTTCTGCTGGGAGATAGATAAAACAATTTTTTTGGGTGAAAATAAATAAAATCGATAAAATAATCGGTTTTCGCAACGAGCGTTGTGAGGCTGCAAATGGCCAGGGGTGTTCACGACTTTACCCCCTGACGGTACCAAGCCCATGAGAAGATCCTAGAAGCGCCGCCTGCAATGCGATGGGGCAAGGAGCGCAGCAACTCTTGCTCAGGTGACAATGAAGTGGAACGTTTGCGTGTGAATAATGTCAGAGACATAAGTGATATGCTGCTTCAGGGGGACAAATGGTATTGAGGCTCGTTTTGTGCACGCTGCTGGAGATATGTGGTTGGTACAATTTGTGCAAATCAACGCCGCCTATTAGGCGCTTGACGTTTCGTGTGACTTTCAGGTAGGCGCCCACTTGCGCGTCACGGCGTTACGGCGGCAGCAATTGGACACAACGTACAAAAGCAACGCCAGAATGATACAGAGGCACATATCAGAGTATGGAGATGCTGAAGCAGAGTATTCGCTCGAAACGTTGTGACTATGGATTATCATATGTGATGGCCTCTCATACGCCCAGTGAGAATGACTGTCGCCGCAGGCACGTCACGCGCAGAGGGCGATTGACCAATACACCTTCGAATGATCGATGAGTATGTTCATCTGGTGAATACATGGCTGCATAGTACCGGCTTCCAGACAAGCTAAACACCTGAAGGTGCTGTATCGTCGAATCCAAGGCGCTTCTCATGATCAGTCCTTCTTCTTGGCCTCAGTACCTCCGACACGACGGAACTTTCTCTTGTCCTTGCGGCTCATCCTGGTCTTGTCTCTCGTTCCCTTGCCGCCCTCCCAGAAACCGCGCCCTTTCTTGCCAATAACACTCCTTCCACAGAAACCGCAGGCTTCGACAGCATAGTTCTGTTCTCTACTGCACCATCCGCAGATCATGCGGTTCGCCCACTCGTTGATGTGGTCTTCAGCCTGGTCGTGACACTTGTCGCATGGGTGCACCTTGCTGCAGCACGAGAAGCGGAACCATCGGTAGGACCGCTTGTAATGTGAGCAAGCTCCTCGATCTGGTAGCGGGTCGCCGGCATGGAGCCCTAATTTCTCCTGTCGTCGTCGTGGCCCAGTCGAAAGTGGTACTGCTCCACGTGTGATGGCGAGGAACTTGACTTCTGGTATCTTGAATGTAAACTTGCCGTGGCATTCTCGGCAGACATTGGTGGTCACCTCTCCACGGACAGAGACGAGTCCTAGGCCAGGAGATGAACACCTCCCGCAGGTAGGTACAAATGTGCTGTGAATCCATTAGCGTTCTGTTCCCTAGAGATATCACGGAGTATCAAAGCCGTGCGGTGTCACAAGTAGTGTGCCGCAACTGAAAAATGGACGAGACATACCTTGGTAACATGTCGGATACTGTACAACCGGCAACATCAATGAATCCACCTCGAACAGAGTTTTGATGTACCAGCTCTTGGCGGAACTTGATTGAAAAGGCCGTAGCACACTTTTTGCAGCTGGCTCCTTTCTCGATGCCTGGCTTCAGCCCGGTGACCTCATTCATAGTCCTACACCGCTCGCATTTGACATTGATACCGAGTATGGAAACCTGTAGTAATTCAATGCCGTACAGCTCGATGGAAGGAAATGAGATCGAAGTACCGCTTTCGACCTGCTGAGTCATGCGCTCTTGCGTATTGTTGTCCCCGATGTCCAGAGCAGCTCCTCCGCCATCGGAACCATCTGAATCCCAATCATCGCTGCTATCATCATCCGAATCATCGGACGCATCGATGAAGGTCCACTCGGGAGGCCGAGAGATAACCTGAACATGCGGCTTGTCGTCCTTGCCAAAATTGCTGGGCATTCCTGACTTGGCATCCGCCTGTTCTGGCTGACCATCGGGCACCACTAACGGGAGCTGTTTCGCGGAGGTCTGAGCAGACTTTGCCAGCAAATGGATATTCTGAGTCAAGTAGTTGAGATGGCTCATCAGCGTCATCTGGCTCTGCTGAGAAGCTCTGGCGGCAAAAGCCTCCTCCAACTGCTCGGCGTCTTGAGACTCCACATCGTTGAGAAGAATTCTTGGAGACTGTAGTGGGTATAGCAGAGGGATAATGAGCTGGACGGAGTTGATGGCTTGAAGTTCCGTCGGCAGCTCCAAGCGGCGCTTGGGGGTCAGCGGTAGGTTGTACACAATGCCATCGGCGGACTTGTGGAATAAAGACATTCGGCCCATCCGCGACTCCAACTGCCTTGTTTCCTGGGCACGTCTCGCTCTGGCCTCTTCAATCTGCTCCCTCGTGAAGGATTCCTCGAAAACATGGCTTCTAGGGACTTGGACCGGTGTTGGTTTTGGCTCAGAGCTTGCCGGTAAAGATGCGCTGGCGCCCAAGTTCATAGCCGAAGTGTCCAGATGCCTGGTATCTTTGAAAGTCATGAGAGTTACCGTGTCCGACTTCTGCTCGGCCAAGAATGACTCGAGGCTTTTGTCGAGGGCATTGGTCAACGCGAGCAGTGTCGCACCCGGCTTGTCCTCGACTAATTGGTTCCAGCCCTTCTCGATGTTTAGACTGAAACCCCGAGGAATCTCCTTGTTCTTCACCCGAAGTAAAGGGGCATCCTCAGGGTACGATCTCGGAACTTGTATCTCACAATCCAGATAGTCCAATTCAAAGGGAAAATCGGGATCTGAAGGCTTCAGGTGGAATGATACATTTGTAGTCCCATTTTGCAGTGTAGAGACCTGCGCAGAAAACCGGCGCTTGAGCTGTTCGATTTGATACTTTCTCGGATCTTGTGTCTGCGAGCTCGGTATGGGTTTGCTCACTACCCGCGACGCAGATGGCTCTGTTACGGCTTGTCGCCTTCCACTGCTCCCAGCCGGACGTTGTGTGACGGGTATCATTGTCCTGTGGGCTGGCTTCGAGATGGGCCGGATTAGCTAAGAAGGACAGATACTTGCGAGGGAGCTCAACGTTGGATGGCTCCGCCCCGGCCAATAATTCGAAAATCGGATTTGACCAATGCCAAAAGACAGCGAGTGGTGCGCAGGATAGTTATGTAGTTAGACGCACAGTGGCAACTGAGTCACGATAATGGGTTGTGCATGATCGTGTGCAGAGCGCCAGCTTTCATCAAAGTGGTTCAAAATGAATCATATTGATTAATTTGGGCCGGTGACGTCGGCGTTAACGGTGGCGGTTGGCGACCGTTGGCGCCTATGGCCCCGCCTAAAGTCCACCAGAGCTCCGGCCGGTGGGCTCGTGCTCGAATGTGTATTTGGCAGGCTTCCGATAGTTGGAATGGTATTATACATCTTAGCCTTGTAATTGCCCTTCACTCTGCTATACGATGTTGCCCTGGAACCAACCTGTTCAGACCGGAACGCCTATCTACTCCAAGAGCTACCAGGAATAGTAAAGGTTCGATTGTGTCGAAATGGCTATCTGAGTCCACGAGATCTGCCACTAACTAGGCATTTGCAAACACTGGGCGAGGCAACGAGGCCTTTGACAAAGAAGTCGCCTTTGGTGCTGGGCGAAGCTCGTAGACGGCCTCCTGGCCAAATCTCTCAATCTACACGGAAGTTCAGGAATCGGGGCAGTCTCTCTTCGATGATTTTCTGAGGTCAGGCATCCGTTCATACTGACGTTGTACATCCGGCCTCTTCCGCATGCAGTTCACTGGATGCTTCGGAGAATCATTCGCTCTCTGATTGATTGTTGTCCGTCCTTCGTCCCTCTGTGTTGAGAACAGGCGAATGAGTGGGTATGCATCGGCTCACCCGGGTACCCAATGGACTCTACGCGTCCACTGGGTTCGCTACGGAGAGGGAGCACAGCGCCTTCGTATCCCAGGCCAACCTTTCGGTGTGAGCATAGCATGCGGCATGACTGGGGAAGAAAACATGGCTGATGCACCATTGAACAGACAACTACTCGCTGCTTGCCAGATGCGTGTTCAGCCTGCTCCGCCGTGCCCAGTTTGCTTTGCCTACCCCATTAAATGATTTTATCTCGAGTTTTTGCCATTTAATTGCCGCCTGCCTTTCCGGAGGGAGCACGTAACATGGCCGCGATTGTGCGCAACGCTATTGACCGATGAATAGTGCCAACACATCGCTTCGCCAGCAGATGACCTTGATTTTATGCAAGTCCAAGTCAGCCCGCCCCAGGCGGTGAGGTGTCACCAAGGTGGGCGGGGTGAAGCACCAACCCCATTGCCGTGCCCGAGCCCATGGGGAGCATTGAGCGATAGTGGGGGATCGGTGACCAGATTTCCCGCCTGCATGCCGTTGGCGTTCTACAGAACATGTGACGGCAACCCGCGATGCCCGCTGTCCAATTCATTCTGGTCCGCTGCCACGATGACGCAGACTCCAAAAGTCTAGGAATCTTGATGTGAGTCAAGTGAGTCTGGTCCTCTGGCTTGTCTGGCATCGTCCTGTTGGTCGCGCCGGGAGGGTTGTCGCCAGCCCAAGTCGCTGGTATCCGGGTCTGCGGTTGGCAACATACTGAGGCGCAGGGGCAGCCCCAACGCGAGACCGTTGGGTCGAAAGATGGGGGTTGTGTGTCGCGCGGTCGGTGTTTGTACCTTCAACGGGTGGGATACTTCAGGTACGTTGAACGCAACCCATGATATATCCCACAGGAATAAAACAGTTTATATCATTTTATCTGGAACAGGAAAATACTGCGTGTCCATCCATCGAATGAAAACTGATTATACCAAAACTGGCTCCGCAAGCTGAAAGGCAGTATTTTTAACAAGTGAGTCAGCGAATATACGAACTCTGGACTATGCGCTGCCCAGAGCTGTAGGTCTATGGTATCGCGTCAGCATAGCGGCTGTGTCTGGGCTGGCCAAGGCAGCTCCGCCATGATTACCATGCTCACCCCAGAATCCTTATACCACTTACGAAGAATATAGCAAGCAGCACTTAAATCCACTTTACCCGACATTTTCTAATTCTTTTCTCCCCTCGTCTTGAATCTTCTGGATTCGACCGTGGTGGCCGGGGTGCCCCGATCGGGTAAATCTTGAACAAGAAAGAAATGTCTTGCATTGACGTAGCGGGTCAGGTTGCCCCAGAATCTCGACTCACCACACCACCTCGGTCGAAGCATGGGCGAACGGATGGCAAGTCACCACTCCCACCGACAGAGCCTTGTTACTTCAGCCTTACACACCCATTTCCGATGAGGACCGCGAACCCAGATCTATGTAGATTCCCGTCCTTCGCGACACCTACACATTCTTTTTGGCTCACCCTGTTGAATTGCCACGAGGCCGTGGATCGAGATTGAATATACGTGAATATCTGCCCGATAGTATTCGAAACCTCGCTCTATCCTGTAGCGATCGTACTTCATCGTCGCCGCTCGGTCTACCTTCCAAGGCCTATTCAAGATTAAAGTTCATCATCAGAGTCATTCGTTACATTATCTCATGACCTCAATGTTCCCTGGGGCGCATACTCCATGCGCTACATTTTAGTTGCGGCAGTGATTTCCTATATGGGAAATGCGTGATATATGTGAAGGCTGCATTGAGAATGAACACCGCAAAGCCTCGATCAACCTCATCCATGACTAGAACTGAATTGAGTGTATGCATGGCCTATCGATGGTCTGTGGTGCGCAGCGTTGGCTATGCCGTCAAAAGGACTCAGTAACATGGCTCCACGTGAATTGACCAGTTGGTACACTGTGCAGGTTCCAAATATGTCCAGAGCATTGGTTGCGTTGGACTCATCTTGTCGTTAACACAACACAAAGGTGGTAAGATCCTTCTTGACACATGATCAGGGACTGCGAAAACATTTTTTTCAATTAGCTAGATGGCATGTAATGCGTGTATCATGTCAGGTCAGCGAGGCAACGATCTCACGGTGTATCCTACATGCGTACTATGACAACCCGCTGGTTCTTCTGGGACCGAGGGTTCGCTCTGCCTCCTACATCTACGGCGCCGTATCTTGTGCTCCGTTTTTACTTGATTCTCCGCATATTACGAGCTTCGCAAACTGTATTTGGTCCTAGATCGCTTCTCGGATTCCCATGATCTCCATCACCCAACCTGTAGTTATCTTGGCATCCCTCCTCAACTTACACAGACACCAATAAAGCTTTGAGGCACCAATGTTGACAAAGACCTGACTCTGGCGATCTGGAAAACTACCAACTCTCCATCCCGCGTATGTCCCGGACAGGTACGGCTGCTGATCCTTGAACAAGTCGGCGAATCGGAAATGTTGCTTCCTCGTCAATGACTCCCGGCTGGAATATGCGACTCTGGCATATAGCTCAGAGACAGCTTGCTGCTTTTGCTGCCAGCAAAATTTGGTTCGGATTAACATGTGGCCAATGCGAAAGCAAGTTCTCAAGACGCACTTTGAAGACAATCCCATGATTGGCGATCTGTCTTGGGCCTTATCTTGGAATGGAGGAAGTGAGAAAGAGTCAAGTGGCTTCTCCTCTCGTGCAGGTGCTTCGATATGTGTCTTTCCTGTATCCCTGAGACTGGCTTGGTGTAGTGCTTGTCCGCGAAGCTCCTGAGAGCCCACGAGAGATACGCTCTTGGGTCAGTCTTTGACCGTCACGAGTACAGCATTCCAGTCAATATCATAATTCAAAACGTCGTCTCTAGCGGCGACGTCATTGGAACCGCTGGGCGGAACTTGGGCTTCTTCTGAAGGTGGAGCTTCGGGAGAACGGTACTGTAGATTTGGACCATATTCGCTAGCTGATCTTGAGCCGACATCTAAGCGGTGTAACACGTTGGATGGCGGAATACACCCTTCGTCCAAGTCGCTCACCTCGTCATTTAGACGAAGCATATCTTGCTCCATTTCATCATCCAGGGGATACTGGTTAACTTCATCCCACTGAACACTTTTACCGTTCAATTTATAGTTGTCCAGGTAGGCCGCAGATATGGGCACTGACTGTACTGATCCCCCAAACGATAATTTCTATCCATTTGTGTTAGTCCCTAAATTCTAGACAAATTTAGATCAAGTATTGTGACAATGTAAACTCGGAGAAGACCTGGGTTTTAGACGATCCATGGTTGTTCCTTGGAATCGATGCCAGGACTTGACGGCTTTGCCGTCGCTGACAGCTTGCATAGGGAACTCATCTGGTTCGGAGCGTCGGCATACACACTCATATCTGGATCCCAGTTTGCTAGCTTTGAGTAACTGGAAGAGGCTAGATGATGGTGCTGTTGGAACATGTTCGTGTTGCTTCCCAATGTGGCTGCCGCCACGCGGGGATGCCCCTCGCTGGAAGGGCAATGATGGACTGCTTCTCAAACTGACATGGTGCTGGCTGCTTCTGACATCAAAGGCAACTTCGGTATGTATGACTGGGTTGAATTGGCCCGCCATATAACCTCGGGATTTGAAGAAGGCTGGGCCATATGGATTGATCGGAGTGAAACTGTTCGAAAGACAAGAAGCGCCTCCAAGGGCGTCCTCACCGTAGCATATGGGCATTAGCCTCAGTCCAAAAGGGGTTTCGGGCAGTCTAGACTCTCGGTCTGTCAATAGACCGATTACCTGTCACTTTGATTCAGACTTTGCATTTTGTAACGGCGCTCCTCCAGAGGAATATCCCACACCCTGGGGTCGGCAGGCTAACGAGATGGTTTGCAACCGCTCGAATTGCGTGAGTGGGGTCGAGGTGCGATGCGTCGAAGAGGGAGAACATCGCCAAGCCATGAATCAGTTGGCTACTGGTGCTAGAAGCAGAGGATTCAGACACATTGATTTCATGACACAATCGTTTTGAAAGGTTGACTAGTTGACCCGCCGAAGCTCTCTGCCGGAGAGAGGACAGCACATCACCAGGTCTGAAATCATGGTATACTGGATTCGGTATGGAAAGAGCGGAGGACCTGGGTGTTTGGGTATGCCAGACTTCAATTGCTTGGAGGCCTGATCTTCAACGCAACAGGGTGGAACTTTTCCATTTTCTAGCGGTCATCACTACACGTACATATGTGAATGGATATGAAGACAAAGAATGCGAAATCGGAACCATCACCGGACACGTGATGATGAATACGACAAGGTCGTATCACATGATTTCAGTGAACCGCAGAATATGCCAAACATCACTGCATATTGCTGAGGAAGGCGCAAAAGATGGAAGGAGTGAATATGGAACATATACAGGAATGCATCTAGAGATCCAAATGCAACAGAACCAAACACCCCACAAGTGAGTCCGAAACTAGACCTGATTGGGGATGTGCGGGTACGTGCATTGGAGTCGCATGACACCGGGCTGCGCACCTATCGGGCCCCAAGCAACCAAGGGCCCGCTACTCCAACTCCCGAGGGTTTTGCGTGCGGCTTGCAGATCAACATATCGCATGTCGTTTGATCTCGCCTGACAGATCCGTCTTGCTGAGAAATCTCCCGTCAATATTCGGGCGCCAAACCAACATCTGGACGCACCAGCTCTCGGCTTGGATAGACGGCACCCGGAGAGATACCCACCTCCACTTACTACCCCGCGACGCCTGTTATCAATACGTCACACTCACCCCTCAGCCCCCAAATCCGCCCGTCGCGAGGCTGTCGACGAACGGCCTTGCGCCGAGTAGCTGAGATCTCCGAGACTCCGAGTGATTTCGACAGGTGGCCGAATATCAACCTTTGAAAGTCGGCGTAGCAGTGCAGCATCTCGACATGTTCTCCCAGGTAAGCCAACCGCACGTGTAGTTATCAGGCGCAATGACTGGTAGGGCGACGAGATATGCCATGGAAGTGCGCTCGACGACGATAATATCCTACCGTCGGGTATCATATTATGATGATTGCCCTGATCTGGGCTGTGTCCCTCTGAGAGCGATAGCGATGAACAGCGCTAATTCGGCCTTGTTCATAGAAGAAACCCTACTCTGCAATCACTGTGACCGTTGATCGGCTCACTAGTGAGCAGTATGAAGAAGACGATCTAAGCGGTATCCCCGATCTGGTAGAGGTTATCAAGTTGCAAGCGTCAGGTCCCGCAGAGGCTGCCCGATCTATTCGGAAAAAGCTCAAGTATGGAAATGTCCACCGCCAGCTGAGAGCGTTGACCCTTCTGGATGGCCTGATCCAGAATGCCGGCCCACGTTTCCAGCGTGCTTTTGCTGACGAGCCACTTCTGGAGCGCTTGCGAGTTTGCGGAACTTCTGACCTATCGGATCCCGAGGTGAAGAAGAAGTGCTCAGAGCTGTTCAGGAGCTGGGCTACAGAGTACAAGAACACGCCAGGTTTAGAACGCATTGCAGTACTGTACAAGGTATGTCAACCACACAGCACGTCTTTACTGAGTTGCCTAACCCCAATAAGCAACTCCCACGACGAAAACAAGTGGTTACCCAGGACAAGTCCAAGGTTCTGAAAGAGACTGAGAACCCCTTTCACGATTCCGAGGATGAGGCAGAGCGACCACCCCCTGCACAGGCATCGTCTTCGAAACCTCCTGTAGCCTTCCCCCAGCCCAACCAAACGGTGCAATCTTTCAGCCACACCAAGTCTTCCTCGAAGTCAGGCTCTTTCTTTGGCTCCTCCAAGGACAAGAAAAAGGACAAGAGCAAGAAGAAGCCGAGGCCGTTCAACCTTGAGGCCGAAAAGGACACCATGAAGGTGTCGATCGCCGAGTCTTCTATTGCCGCTACCAACTTGATGAATTCCCTCCAGAGCATCAACCGTGAGCAGGAGCGGATCTCCGAAAACGCCGCCGCTGTTCAACGTTTTGAGACCTGCAAGAAGCTTCGAAGGAAGATCGTGCGCTATGTAAGTCGTCCCCATATGCAATCTCCCAGGGACGATACTTACTATCACAGATCCACCATGTTGAGGACGAGCAGTGGCTGGGTGGCTTGTTGCATGCCAACGATGAGCTGATCCTGGCCCTCATGACCTTTGAGCAGCTGGACCGTTCTATTGACGCGGACAGCGACTCGGACGACGAGTTAGCAGAGCAAGCCCATCTGTACAGGAGTAAGAACTCGCTCCGTTTCCCTCCATACCTTCCAAGCTGACCATTACAGTGGCAACTGAGAAAGGAAAAAGCACCATGTCCCCCACGGGAAGCCCCGACGCGGGCAGTCCTGTGCCTGACCTTTCCGGCCTGAACATCGCTCCACCCCAGCCGCCTCGTCCTGTGCCCCCGCCCCGGCCGTCAGCCGTATCCAAGCCATCTGCGGCTTCCAACCCTTCTCCTCCGCCTGTGCATGTCAACGACGAGGACGATGTGGCTTCTGAGGATGAGGATGAAAACGACCCTTTCGCGGACAGGAACGCCGTCGCAACGCCCATGGTGGAGAAGGGAGAGCCCAAGTGGTAATGAAGTGGTTGAACTTTGTCTGGTGTCGAGCGACTCTTTGCGTCTTTTCTCATTCGTAGCCATCGTACGGTGTAGCATTTCTACCCAACATTACACCGCTTACGAGTTCACAGTTTATATTCAACAATTACATTCTCCACCACCAGCTTCTCGCTCACTATTGTCGCAGGAATTCGGTATATGAACGTCCACATTACTGACCAGTATGTTCAAGATCGACGATTATGTGCTGGCCGGCGTCTCATCTACCCCCAGCACGAAATGTCAAGAAAAAGAAATAAGCCTAAACGGGTATCAATCATCTTGCACCACAGCCCCCCCAACCTTGCCCAACCCCATCTGACCGCTCAAATGCATATATGTCCGTATGTTCGTGTATCATCATCGCCCTCCCAACGCCGGATCATTGTTTCTCTCCCTCGGCCGTGTTCTCGTCCTCTTCCGTCCGGACCTGCTCCAGGCCGTCTTTGCCACCTTCCTCCCGGACGATGGCCTGCAGCGCGTCTCGCAGCCGCCGCTCCAGCCGGTCGAGGATCCACTCGGCCTCCTCCCTGGAATCCATGAGCGGACTCCTGTGGCCGACCCAACTCCACTTGACGACGTCCTGGCCGGCGCCGGCCGCGCCGTCCTCGCCCTTTTCCGGGGACTCGGCCACCGGGCTGCCGTTCTTGGCGCTGCTAGTCCCCGTGCGGTGCGTCGCGACCCGGCCCAGCACTGCGCCGTCGTTTTCGTGGCTGTGCTTCCGCGCGGGCTTGCGGTGCGTCTCGGCGCTGCTCTCGTCCTCGCCCATCAGGCGGAGGTACCAGGCCCACTCCTTGAAGGTGTACTTGCGCGGGGGCGAGTGCTGCAGGTGCTTGGTGACGCGCGCGATCTCGTCGATGAGGACGAGGTGGTACTCGGCGCGGGACTTGGGCAGTTCCGTCGGGATGTCGGCCCTCTCGATGGTGTCGGCCCGCCTCGGGTGGGCAAACTCGTCCTTGCCTTTTGCTGACGGCGACGTGGGTGTGCTGGGTTTCTTCGACCTGATGGACCTTTTCGAGGACGCTACCGATTTGGCTGTCTTTGTTGTGTCGATAGTGCCCCTCATCTTGGGTTTGCCTGTCTTTTGGGGTTCCTCCTTTGCTTGTTCTTGGCCTGTCTTTTCTTTAAATGAAGGAGAAGCATCGGCGGTAGTGTCCATGCCATCCAACGCCTCGTCGTCCATGCCATCTTCGTTCTCTTCTTCCTCGTCTTCTTCGTCGTCGTCGTCCTCCTCTCTGTGACCCAGGACTGCGCCAAAGAACCCTGGGGGTGATTCCTCTATATCTACATCCGCAAACAAGGCACCACATGTCAGCTTTCCAAGAATGAGCTTCACCTCCTTGTGGAACCCTTGCTCTCCTGGGAGAATAGTAATATTTCCGAGCTTGAGCGTCCCATCCCTGACCCACTTCACGACGGTGTCACCCGCATTACTGATGAGAACGGTCATCGTAGGTAAAGCAAGCAATGACCAGAAAACAAAGAACGACTTTCCAGAATTTGAGACCGGGCTGAGATCGCCGTACCCAATGGTTGTTAGTCCTGTGAAAGCAAAGTAGAACCCATCAAAGTAGCTCCATCCCTGATACGGCGCCTCACACTCCTGGAATATTTTGGCACCCACCAACCACAGCACCAGCCATGTGGATGAAGAGATAGCCATTGCCGTCCACCTTCTCCTTGTCGAGGCCCTGTCTTGTATCTTCCGCATCAGCTCAAACTCTCTCTGGCGGCGCTCGAGTTCAGTTCGCGGCTTCTTGCCAGAGACATTCCAGTCGAGGTCGTTGTCTTCGTATTCCCCCTCGATAGGGTGAAGTACACTGTCTTTACCCCTTCTGCGAAGATGCCGCAGGTATTGCCGCCTCTTCTTCTCCAGCATCCGGGCGTCCAGGCGCCGCTTGCCGCGATCTAGTATCAGACTTCGTATCGACCCTATGACCAAACCGAGACTGATCACACCGACAAGGGCGTATGGGATCAGGAGTGCACGTCCCAGCGTGGTGCCTGGAGAGAAGTCGCCATATCCCACGGTGAACAGAGTAACGTCGGCCCAGTATACGGTATCCAGATAATTCCAACCTTCAATAGTGGAGAATACCAACGCGCCGAGCAGGAGATAGCCCAAGAACATGATTGTTTGTAGCATCAGTGTTCGTTGGCTCGTCGTCAATTCAAAGTCTTTCTTGTAGTGCCCTGCCTGAGCGCCCCAGACAGTGACCGACATGAGCGTAGCAACAATGAAGTACAGTATGGCCGCGTATATCCCATAGTAGAAAGCCTGAGACCAGACATACTCGATCTCTGGCTGGAGCTCCAGTGGTCCACTCGCCGTTGCCGCAAGAGCCAACAGGCAAATGGCGGAGATGTACCACCCGACAATGGTGATGGGCTGAGCTATCGAGAACCGCACCCGGCGAGCCATGTTGAGGAGCAGAAACAGGTTGGACCCGAGCGCGAGAGCCAGCTGGGCGGCGTTTATGCCAGTAAGCCACCCTGGATCTGGGTAGAACTCGGCTTTCGTGACATCCATCCCGGGCGGGATGTGCATTCTCCATGGTTTGACCAGAGCGCAGATACTGAAGGCCGAGGCCACCGGGCCCAGGGTGCCTGCGATCATCGGAAAGGCCGAGCTCGCAAACCACCAGCGACTATATCATGCTCCATTAGTACTACGGTTCTTTATTGTCCCTTGCCAACGCACTGACCTGGGGTCAAACTGGACTGGCTCTGGCTCCGACCCGATGGCGCTGCGGCGGTCGACGTCCCCCTTGTCGGGGCCATCAACAGCCTGGGTGTGGCCGTCGATGTTTTCGTTGAGGCCTGCATCGTTCATACTGTCGTACGGGACGAAGCAGCAGGAGGAGGAGGCGGAGGCGGCTTGATGTTGAGCTTCTCCGACAGATGTGTGGAAACACGGAGTACTGTCACGAATGAATGCATTCCCTTCTACCAACAAAGTTCGCACATAGAGGCCCCTTGACTTTGTGCTTTGTTGACAAGCCTCTGCTCAACAGCCAACGACAGTGCACGTTTGTGAAGGTATTGCAGTATGCCTCTGTAAGTACCATGTATGATAAGTCTTGGGGCCTGTTGTCCTAGAGGGCCCCGATAACCCACCCCCAGGCGATCCTGTCCTTGGCAGGCGCAACTTGATATGACGTCGGGTGGCACACCAGAAATGCACCATCTCCCCAAATCCCAGGAGAGCCCAGAAACCCAGAGTCGTAGTGTGCTGCTGATAGGGGGCATCCACTGGAAAACCCCTGGTCTGATTGGTTCAGGGCGGCCTTTGGGTACGTTGCCGCCCTGCAGCCGCAACGATCAGGTGCTGAAGAGACGGGGCTTGACGGGGCTAGGCGCGCCCTTAGCTCCCCCCTCCAAAGCCAGCCATCAGCGCTGGACCCCTGTCGCCAGTAAAGTCCGTTTCAAGGTTGCGCTACGCGACGCGTGCGTGATGCACCTCCATCGCCAAACGCGATCGCTAGATCTGCAATTGAAACCTTCCGAGTCCCTCGACCCTTCTGCCAGATAACTCTCGGACGGGCTCCGCCAGACTGAACCGGGTGTGTATACAGACATGAGCGTCTGGCATCGAGGTGTGCATAGGAGAACATGCGAGGATGGATCCGGAGTAAAGCTGCCAGATATGTCTGTCACCTCAGGCCGCGGCAGCTAAGCACTGTTGCCCCGAGTCCCAGCAATGTAGAACGGGTCAGCGTAAAGTGCGGCTCTGCGGGCAGTGTCTGTGTTGAGTGAGTAGCTGGGTCGCTGCATGCATTATGAAAGTTTCTTTACTAAACACATCCGCAGCTTGCACAACATTGGCAAGTTGTCGTCCTCGGACCCTCTGCTGATATACCTGCCGCCATTCTCAACGAGTTCGGCCCAGACAGCGCCCGCTATCCCTGGATTTCTGAGAAGGTACCCCATTGCGGCCATCAATTACCGATGGGCTGGCTTCGATGCCTCGGAGGAAACCGAGTCGGCTCCTGGACCGACTGGAGAGAGCCCGGATGAGGTTGGCGGTCTGCCTCCACTCTCCTGGCCGGTCCCAGTTCATGACACACTAAGCGCGTACAGTTGGGTCATCGACAACTTGACTCCGTCGACTTACACGCGTCGCGAAGCGTACGTCTATGGCTCTTATCTGGGTGCGTCCCTGGCCACTTCGCTGGCCTTGACAGAGTCATATCCGCATCAGAGGATGGCTGTTCGCGGCTGTATTGCGTACAATGGAATCTACAACTGGACCACATTCCTGCCGGACCATCAGATCAACAAACAGTCTGGTGCACGATCTGCCAACATTCTGGAAGAGATCCTAGGACAGCCGACAGACCCGGCGTTCCAGGACCTGAAGCAGCGTGTCTCAACCCTGTTCCGCCAACCGTCCGACTTGTTCGACCCATTCGCCAGCGCATGTCTCTTCTTCCAGACTTCCGGGCTCTTGGTCCCCCCAGACTTTGATTCGCCCGCCGATCCTGTCATCGCCATGCTCCGTGCAGCTGCCGTGCCTACGGATGGCGCGCAGGAGGCCATCCAAGCCTTGATGCAGGTCATGAGCAACAAGCCGCCCCGGCGAAGCCCTCTGGCCTTCCCACCGCGAAAGTCGACCCTGAAACTGCCCAACACCTTGCTCTTGCACTCACCTGCGCCGTCGGCAGGCTGGCAGGGGAAGACGCAGAGGCGCAAGAAGGTTGTTGGTAACCACTTTAAGACGCAGGCCGAGGACCTTGCGTCGCTGATGCGCAGAAGTCTCGCGAAACTCGAGCTGAGAGACCGTGCCAAATGGGATGAGGACTTCGACGAGTTCGATGAGATCGACAAGCGAGTCCAGGTGTACCATGTCGGGGCAGATGACAGGACGCTCGAGCTGCTAAGTCAGGGAGAGGTGCTGGTGAATACTTGGCTTGCAGACAGGCTCGGGAAGAATTCGTGATCGAATCATTCCGTTCTAGGCTCAGAAGGTTCCACATTAGACGAGATATAAACAATAACCACCTCTGATACGTTTTGGTAGAGGTGATATACACATAGATAGCTGTGCCAGCTGGCAGCAGCTGGCTTATAGATATGGAGATAAGCCAGTTCTGTGGTAACACACCTTAATGGGTGCCACGGATAGGTGCATTCTCCATCTTTAATACGTCACACATCGCACCCTATAAGGATTGCATCAACCTTTAAGGGCCTTAATAACAATGAAGTAATATTTACAAGCTCGGCGTCTGGCTGTCATTTCTATCATTTCGCATTATATATAAAATACAAAAAGAGAAAAAGAAAAAGGGAAAAAAAAGGGAGGAAAAAAAAGACAAAAATCAACACGCACGCGTACGCACTAACGTCATCTGACAGTCGCGTGCCTCGTCCACGAAGTAACAAACGAGTGCTACTCCGAAATCCGAGATGTGAACAAAGAAAAAGAAGTCTCGAAAAACAACAAAAACTTGGGCCGCTCCGGGGATTGAACCCGGGGCCTCGTGCAAGATGGAAGGCAGCTGAGGACAGCTGCTATACCCAAAGCACGAATCATACCACTAGACCAAGCGGCCTCGGGACTCGAGATTACCTCGGTTGTTGTTGAATTACCGAGCTCGTAATCATCATCATGTAGCAAGGTTACATCCCTGTGTGGTGCTGTGGGGCAAGCGAGAGGTCGAACTGAATTTTACGGTATAGTTATGGTCCGTGCACTATTCAATCGTCCCCCTTGGGAGCTTGGCAAAGTCGAGCTTCGTCCTCAAAAATGTGGCGTGGATGGTGGCGGCTCTAATAGCCAGCAAGCTTACAAGCAGCCAACAACACCTCGACCGTTATGCAGGAGTCCTTGCTTCGACGGGCGTTTCTACTATAGTAAACGGCAATGGCGTGGAGGCTTCCCGGACTATCTGGAAAACGGCTGTTTCGCCGATTGTTTCCACCCGTGTTGCCCATCCGGACTGCCTGGTGCTTGGGGACGAGACCTGTTAGGCGATGTTGGCGGATTGTGTGTACAAGGGGGCCAAGCCCATGGCGCAGTCATCAGGAGAAAAGAAGCATGCGAGGGTCGAGACGATCTTTTCGGCAGTTGGAGGATGGCGATGACTGCCCAGACAGATTGCCATGACATGCCCCGCATGCCGATAGACGACTTCGGCTCTTCTGTTCGTCTCTGGCGCTCTTGAAGGCCCGTATCATGTGTCTTCTCTGGACATCGACGAGCGAAGTGCAGCTGTGTAGGTTCCGCGACCTGGACGTGGACTGATACATCAGTATGTGGAAACGTACTGTCATGGCCCACGAATATCACCGGCCTGGAATCCAAGTCGACCCAAATTTGCATTGGCCTTGAAACAAAATGCTAGATCTCGAAACTCAGTGCCAGACTCATCTCGGCCGCACCATAGAGTCTTGTGCGGCTGATGTTCCTAACGACCTATAAATGAAACAAGCTCAGACTTGATGGTTACTTGTCGCGTCGTTTGCTTCAGTCGTTTCGATTATCCCAGATCGACCCTAGCAGTAGGAAACAAGGCGGCACCCAGAATTATATCCTCTACAATCGCAGGGACATGGCTGACATGATGCTACTGGGCCAGTGAGTAGAGTAGAAATGTGATGAATTTTGTGCTATCAGTTGAAAGGTTAGGCTGCGATCTGGTCTGAACCGCGATGATATGTTTTTTGCTGCCATACCAATCACACCGGATACTGCTTCAACGCCTAGAAGCGCAATAATGTAAGAAGACAGACCCGTCTGCCGTAAAGAGAAATACAGAACTGGTAGATGTTTTGAGGTCGTAATAGTTGATGGAAGTAAAGTAGGCAAAAATCGTACTCGCAGGGTTTCTCATTCCTGTCTGTTTGTCTGGTTGAATTCTACTACGCACGGGTCACTGCTTAGAAGAGAAGACGCTCGAACAACCAAAATGCGTGTACTAGTATAAAGGATTTCAACGGCCGATAAATGGATTTCCGACTAATCGTAAAGTGTTACTTATCTGCATAAACTCGCCTCGCCCTACTTCTCTCCATTGTCCTTGCCAAATCCTTGTGATACGTTTCGCAGACATGTGTGTGGAGCGGAAGTTTACTGTGGTCACAGGATGCCTTGGTAAAGATCAGACTGTCTCGGTTATTCTCGTATTTCTATCTGATGGTGCCGTCTCGCAGGAGCCTGCGGCCCTGATAGGAGAGGCTGGCAACCATTCATAACCGTCACTCGGCAGTAGCAATCTTCTACCAGCTTGGCCGAGTAGATCTAACGTAACTTTCTAAGAACTTCCTGATATAGACAGTTCGTCGAGAACTCTCTGAACGTAAATGGGTATCCTCGGGTATTCTCAAACCTCTTCTCTTCTTTCTTCTCATCATCATTCAATTGCGACCATGAGAGATTGGCAATCTCTTGCTTAGCGGTTGGCCTTCTCACTTGTGCCCAATGGGCCCTCTTCCACAACATTTTCTCTGCTCTGGCTGGTGCTCTCATCCTCCTTCTCACTGGGAGCATTGTGGACGGTACCAGCATCGACGCCCTTCAAACCACCTCCGTGTGCAGCGGTGTCGATCAGGCCGTACTTGATAGCCTCCTGTTCGACCTGCTCTTCCGTCAGGAGAGGCAGCTCCTTGGCAGCCTGGACGTAGGACATCTTCTCGACAAAGCCCTTGGCGAAGATAATATCGATCTCCTCCAGGGATCGACCAGCGGTTTCAGGGTAGAAGAAGTAGATGATGGGAAGGAAGCAGGCGTTGACAATGGCAAAGAACAGATATGTTCCCCAGCCAATGTTCGAGACCATGATGGGTGTGACCATGACAATGAGGAAGTTGAAAAGCCAGTTCGTGCAGGTACTGACAGCGTTGGCCTTTGCACGGGTCTTGATGGGGTTGACTTCGGCGGGGTACAGCCACGGCAGAGGCAGCCAGGTGGCACCGAACGATGCAATGTAGGTGAAGAGTCCTACAGCAGCACCCTTTGCCGCCGCCGGGCTACCGGGAATCAGGCAAGCGAAAGTGATAACCATGGAAACGCATTGTCCAACAGTTCCCCAGAGGAAAAGCTTTCTTCGTCCAACCCGTTCAATCAAGAACCAAGAGGCAGTAGCGAATATCGAGTACACAATCATGTTGACTCCACCCATGAGCAATGCCAAGTTGTGATCGCCGGGAGTGATCGAGGTCTCGAAAAGGATGGGGAAATAGTAGATGACTGCGAGAGGTGCAGTAGTTAGCCTCTGAACTCGTGCAGGACGGCGAACACAACTAAGAAAAAGTACTCACCTGCGTTGCAACCGCCAACTTGCTGCATGAGCTGCGAACTGGCTCCAAGCAACATTCTGCGGAAGTGCTGGGTCTTTCCGTTGGTGAACAGAGCTCTGTACGGGGTGCTCTTCTGACCGACGTGTCCACTGGCGCGGATGGAATCCAGAATAATGTCACGCTCCCAGGCAGTCTCTTGGCTGTTCTGCTCGTACCCACGGAGAGCAGCAATGACCCTCTCGGCGTCTTCGTATCTCTCGTGTGTGAGCAGCCAACGTGGCGACTCTGGGAGGAAGAACATCGTCATGACGACAAGGCCAAAGATGCACTGGAAGGCAATGGGGAAGCGCCAGCTCATGTCAGCGCTGGCGAAGGAGCAACCGTAGTCAACCCAGTATGCGATCAGAGTACCAAAAGCGATGACACCACCCTCGATGCAGATCAGCAATCCTCGGTTGGTCGTCTTGCTACATTCAGCTGCGGAGCTGTCAGTCTAGATGCAGATGTGGCGTTGCAAGCTCTCATACCTTGATAGGTTGGGATCGTCGCAGTGTTGAGACCGTTTCCGACACCTGTGACTACTCGTCCTACGATAAACTGTGCGAGAGGTGTGGCATTGGATTGCGCGGTAACCTGGATGATAACCCCGAGAATCATGACAACGGCACCCAAGATAATACCCTTGCGTCGGCCCAGTAGATCCCCGAAGGAGAGCATGAACATGGCGCCGAAAAGGCAGCCGATCTCGTATATGGCAGTCACTGTGCCCTGCATAGTCGAGTTATCTCTCGTAGCCTCGAACATGTCGTTGAACGCCTTGGCGCTGATGATTCCACTCATGACACTGTGAGACAAACATGGTCAGCATGGCGCGCAGTGATTTGATTCCTGAGAGACCCATAGCTCACCCTTGATCATATCCGAAAAGCAGGAAACCCGTTGTCGCGACCGTTGATACAGCCAACGACAAGGGCCTGCCACTGAGGCCCATGAACTTGGGAGGCGCCATCTTGGAGACAGCTTGTGAAAAGGCGAGCGCAGCTGGCCGCGATCAAGAGGACGTTGCACAAGGAAAGGACCTGGAGAGGAATACGCTGGGCAGATTGCGCAGCAGCCCGTTCCACAAGAGGTAGATCTGCTCGAGGTGAGATCTACAGTCTTACCAGCAGAGCTCAGAAGGCATGTGACCGAGGTTGGGAGGAGGGTCATGGCGCTTGATATACTCGTCGGATCAAGCTGCTGACAAAGGTGCCTCCTAGTACCGTGGAGTAACCCCAGGTACCCAGCTTTCAGGCTTCTTCCCCATCTTGGGGATGAGGACCCGAAAGTTCTTGTGTATCCCCCCCATCACGAGTCATCCCGACATGGTCTATGCAGGACTATCCTACCACCCCACGAGATGGAGTTCTCCGTAGATTAGTCGTACGGTTCCAGGGATTACGGCGGGCCCAGCGCTGATCTTGGGAGCGCAAAGGGCTCTCATTCGACGGTATTTCGAGCAGTTGCAAGAACGTCACCATTGTTCTCCCATCCAAGCCCATCACTCGAGCCTGCGCTCTGCAGCGTTCTGAAAGAGGCCTGGTACAGGGCCAGGGTCACGACGTCATACGCCGTGAAGCTTTGGCTAACCCCTGGTTTTCCGCTGTTGCAGGGGCCTCTCCACGGCAGTTGCAGCGGGCGTGGCTTGAATGGCGTGCAAGTCGCCGGGCGGGATTGAGCAACCGACCTCGGCCGGAGTGAGAAACAAGGAGCCAAGAACGCTTGAAGGAATGCTTGTTGGTGCCCCCGCCCACCGCCCAGCGACGCCGTCGGGGAGACTACCCCGATTGGGAGTAACAATTGATAATCTACGAGAGCCTCAAGTAGAAAATCGGCGGCCGCCTATATTGCAACGTTCCCCGAACCCCACTTGGATGCATGTGAGGCCGCATCATGGCCAACGAGCGGGTTGAGAGAAGAGCTGTGCGTCTCGCTTAAAAAGAAAACGGTCTTGGAACCATATCATGTGTGTGTATGTATGCATTCGCCTTCTTCTCTCGAGGACGTATCGATTCGACTGGAGTCCTCTGCATTGCGCCGTTGCTTGCCGCGCAGCCTTAGCTATCGCGCTATGCATGGCGATCTCAGATTGGTGGACGGGCATGGAGATGGGAATCTGGGTGGTGGGATGCCCGCAATAAGCACAGCTGGGGAAAAGACCGCTTGTCTGGAGACTGGGTCCGGAGATTCACGAGGCACATGCCAGCTACACCGGCGCAGTTTGGGCTTCCTCAGTTCTGTGGAGAGCTGTGGATCGTGGATTATCGTGAATGGAACTCCTGGAGGGTCCTCAGTCTGCTCTTCAGCCTGTCAGCCTTCGAGCATGTGTGACGTCGGGTCTGCCTCGGCCTTTCTCGCCTCGACAACCCATATTTCCTCTCTCCCGGGTCAGAAATCCTGCATCAGGTGGATTGGTTTTGTGGAAACGCATCAAAACTGAGGAGCACAAAAAATGGACTTGACCAACTTCCCCAGGCGTTGCGCGTCTGGGGAATATATGGGCTGGCTGACGGTGGCAAGAGGAGCCCCGGATTCGACCCTTTCTGCAGCAAACTCCTCCAACGGTGGCCCTAAAATCCCCTCCGTAGATGAAATGTGGAACTGGAATTCCAACAATCCCTTCAATCTTCAGATGCGCAAAACTAATCCTACATATCAGAATGCACGACCAGCGAAAATGAAAACCGCGATAATTTCTCGGCGCACCAAGCGATTGGCAGCCTTGCAGGTTATAGGCTCCGCCGCGGTTGATTAATACCTGCTTTTAAGCAACCCGGCAGGGGTTCGCACATGGATCGTACACACTGCTGGTCTCCACCGCGGATTGCTTGATTATTTCTATAGCCACACGGACATGGTGGATAGCGATCCGTGAGCATCCTTCCTTGCCGTATCAGGTATGCCGAATAGCCGATCGCCTATGGTTGGCAGCAGCTCAACGTCGGGTCGGTTAGCTTGTTGGAAATTAATTTGACGTTGGCGACTTCGAAGGGTCCTTAGCCGCATGAGTCGCCGGCCGTCTAGCTACAGTCGGTCTGAAACTCAGCTATCACCGACGATCGCTGATGAGGCGACATGGAATGAAACCTAGCTGACCTCGCGCATCCCTGAGGCAAAATCTGTGAGATTGGAATTCCGCGTTGTATTATCGTAGTTTGACCCGGAACTTTCCGTTTACTGTACCGGTGTTCCGCACGCATTCGTTACAGACGCTGTTCATCTGACGGAGTACTTGCGAATAACCCTGTTGACTCATGCGATGCTTTACCATAGAACCGGGGAAACGGAGCCATTTGAAAAATCATGGCTGCGAGTTCTATGCCGTTCTCCGTCCCGCGGGTCAGTAACGACACATTTCTTGAGGAGAAAACGGTGTACCAACACGACCTGCTGCATGTTTTATCCTTTCTGACTCTTAAGCTATTAATAAATGAGATGAGATATTATCAAGACTCCCATCGAAATCAAGACCAACTTTGATTCGCGGATCAGTAGACCTAGGGATCGCTCATGGTGTTGACTCGAGGCCTTATAGCCTTCACTGCGACAAGTGCAGGTCCGGTCCAAAGGATGTTGGAGTAATCGCTCTGCGAATAGCCTACTTTTCATGCGTTTTACAGATGTTAAGAATAAGCTACCTTACCTGAATGTCCAAACATTCAATTCAGATGATCCTTGTATCTTACAAACTCGTCACTATCAGTCGCCAAGTGTGTTTCAACCAACTTCACTGTGAGATACCTGGGACCAAGCTGTGCTACTCACATGATTGCCGAATCTGCTAATGGTAGAGCACACCGGTAAAGTCACCCCATTTTAGGCATTATTCGCATTTGCAAACACTAATATCTTTAAACTCTGGCGTTCCATACCGCCAGCCTATTAGTTGGCGGCAGATGCCACATAATCCATCCAATGACTCCATTACACTGTCAGTAATGGTTGATGTGAGTCTCTCCAAGCCATGACTGGTGAATCCAATGCATCTGCGACTTTCATACGTGTTCATTTGATACGTTTCACTTTCGTTGCAAAACATGATGATAGAGATATCCATGTGGTTAGCTACCGGGCGACTATTTCTCTTTGATCGGATTATAGGACATGTAACAGACTAGTTGGCCGCCATCCCGCAAACCATACCCAAATATCTCACTGCAACTGGTCACAGTTTTTAGTATTCAAGGAGGATCACAGGCTTCATGCTGCAAGAAAGCGAGGTGTACTTTTGTGATGAAGGTATCTATATTTCGAGGTCTCGTACACGAGAGTAGAGAGGTCCAGCACCATTCCCTTTGATCTAGCCTTCTGCAAAATTCTTAACTCCCATAAATTCCCTGTCAATCGAGCCCATCCGAGTCATTAAGCACCACCCTCACGCTTCGCATACTCCTCCTCCATAGCTTCCTCGTACTGGCGGTCCGCCTCTTTCTCCGCCTCCGTCTTCTCCCTCGTGACACCCGCCCCGGTGTTTACACCAGCGCCCACTGCGCCACCAGACTGCCCATTGCCACTGCTGAGCCCGTGAGCCGCTTGTTGTCTGGGTCCGAGAGCCTGTGGCTCGTCGAGGCCGCCGCCGGCGCGTTCAGAGACTGAAGATGTGGGGATCGGCATTTTGTGGATATGCGACCTGATCTCTGATTGTTTCGATGACCAAATGAAGATTTTGAGATAGATAAATCGTATGGAACTTCAGATCAGTCCTGTCACTCTCCCCATCAAGCGGCTCTATTTGTAGACAGATTGTTGTGGGAAGGTCAATCACAGCAGTGGCGGTGCGGTGACGAACTTTCGCCACCTACGACTGGCGTCCCGTTTTCAGCCGAGAGGCAGCCAATCAGGGGCGACAAACCACCCAAGACTCAACCTGAATGGGAAACAGAACACATCGCTGGCATGCCTATGGAGTGCCCAATGCCTAAAAATTGATCACTAGTATGGCATAATTTTCCGTCTGTTCTGTGATATGGGGTACCTTTGCAGTAGAATAACGCAGTGACTAGAGACTACCAGTAGATATACATGCAACCTCCTGCAAGGCAGAGAGCCTCTTCTCATTATCTACACTCTATGTACAACATCGACATAAGTCTAATCTATAACGTCGATAATTCTATCGCTCAAACATATCGTACAAGCTCTAGAAGGCCAAGCTATGCAGTCTTCTCCTTCTCGTCACCCTTCCACTTCCAGGCTGCATTGCGGTGCAGCATGTAGTCCTTGCTCTGAATTCCTCTTACGATACCCACCAGTCCACCAAGCGGCCAAGTGCTCTTGACCCACGCTTTCCACCCCGACTCGGGCGGCGCATCCTTCACCCTGACCTTGTCGTAGACATTGGGGAGGCTGGTGGCTTTGTACTTGGACCGGAGCGCCTCGTAGGGCTCCCTGTTGCCGTACGCGTCCCAGAACTCGGCGTCGCTGTAGTAGGTGTGCGCATACAGCCACTTCATGCCGCCCAGCTCGTTGACCTTGGCCTCGAGGTCGCGGTTCGCCTTGACAAACGCCTCGCGGTTCTTGGGGCCCCAGCCCCAGACGCCGATGTTCAGCATCTCGCCGGCGCCCTGGCCGCGCAGGTGCGGGTGGAAGGTCGGGCCCTTGGGCGTCTTGAGCGGGCACAGCCACAGCGGCCAGATGTCGAGCGAGTCGGTTGTATAGTCGACGAACTGCTCGGCCGTCTCGTAGGGGATGGCCAGGTCCTGGACAAAGAACTTGGCGCTCTCGCCGCTGGCGTGCAGCGCGCGGTACAGCATGCGCGTGTGCAGGAAGTCGTCGAGGAACCAGCGGAAGAAGCGCGTGAAGGGCACGGGGCGGAAGTAGTCGAAGGCGGCCGCGCCGACCCAGAAGCCTCCGCGGTCGTAGCGGAACAGGTACTCGGCCAGGGGGATGTGCTCGGTCACCGTGCTCTCCGCCGCGGCCTGCGTGCTTTCCGAGGACGGGAGACCCTTGGTGACATCTTGAGCGTGCATGTAGAACCAGGGATCCCACGGTCCACTGAAAGTCTTTACAGTCTCGCCGTCCTTAGGACCTTCGTCCGTCATGGTGCCGCTGACAATGACCCCATGATCCTTGGAGAACAGGATGCCGTCCACATAGTCGTTCTCCTCCTTCGCGCATTCCTCCTTGACTACTCGCACCGCCTCCGCAACGCTACTGGTCCTCCGGTAAGTCGTCTTGACGAAGCGCTTGGCGTCGATGAGCTGCAGTTTCAGCAGCGTGGTGACACCCAGCGTGCCGACCGACGCCACGGCGCCCTTGAACAGGTCCTCGTACTTGCTGTCCTTCTCGGGGCTCGCGGTGACGACCTCGCCGTCCGGCAGCACCATCTCGACGCTCTTGACCGTCTCGTCAAAGTAGCCCCAGCGGAAACTGCTGCTCTCGCCCGCCGTGCCGGCGAAGCCGCCGCCGGCCGTGATGCCCGGGAACTCCATCACCACGGGCGGGACCAGGCCGTGCGGCAGCGTGGCGGCGACGAGGGCGTCCATGGGGACGTTGGGCTCGACGAGCGCCGTGCGGTCGGCCTTGTTGACCTCGAGGACGTTGCGCAGGGCCGCGATGTCCACGAGATGGGCCGACTTCTTGAGGTGCGCCGGCCGCGTCGAGTTGGTGGACCCATGGCTGATGCGGTACGGCAGCGAGCGCTCAAAGTACGAGCGGATGGTGGAGGAGATGAGCCGCACGGCTTTGGCGTGGCGCTCCATGGTGGTTTACGGGACGGGAAATGCAAGAATCGGTTCAGACAAGGGTCACCTGACTGGTGGCATTGGCTCGACCAGCGTATGTCTCCCTAATGGCGACTCGACATGAGAGACGCGTTATGAGATGAGTGCACGACTGAAAATTTAGGGTGCCGAGTGTCCAGTGTCCAGTGGTGCTAAGAGGCGCTAGAGCCAGCGGGAAGGATGGCCTGCAAGCCGGTGGGTTGGGGGAGTTTGTTTCCTCTGACAGACAGGGGTCGGCTGAAAGCGCAATCCTTGCGACGAATTCAAGTCTGAAGTCGATGAGGTAGACCTGTGCATGTCGCCTCTTGATACAATTCGAGAGATTATCATTGCTCATAGTATTAACTGAGAGGCCACAGCATCTGTTATAGATACAGTTCCTTGGACTAGGGTATCACCGTATACTTCGACAAATCAAATCCAACGGCTGCCACGCAATCAATCGCTCCTAAGCTCCTCCGCATTTCCTCAAACAAGTCGCATGGCAAGGTCTTCATTGCTCCTACAAGCCAGATCAAATAGTCGTCTCTTGCAATGCTTGCGTTCCTAGCAGTTGCTACTATAGTTTTGCCGGAACCTCGGGCATAGTGGACTTCCGGCCAATCTTATCAAACGCCAGCTTTCGGAGGTCTTCATGGGTATAGGGACTTAGTTTCTCGACATCCAGAGGCAATTCCTCGCACGTCTTTGCCTTGATGGTCGTATAGCTGGACTCGATGCTCTTGGGGTTCTCGACAGCTCTGGTGATGAAGCTGGCCCAGCCATCGTAGCACCGTTTTGCTTCGGGAATTTTGCCCAGAATGGGGGCGAAAACGTGTGGCATTGCCTCGTACTCCTCGAACACCACCGGGACCCCATGCTTGGCGAACTGTGCTGCCACGTACTTGTCTTCGTCCGCGAGACATTCCCAGCCCGTGCAGATGTACACGGGAGGCGACCCTTCCCAGGACGAGGCCAGCTGTAGGCTGACGAGTGGATGCAAGAGAAATGCGTCGTCGACAAACAGGTGCTTTCGAGGCGGCGAGGCAGGCCATACGCTGTCGGGAGGAATATTGTTCTCTGCCAGTAGGTTTGGCGGCGGCAGGTAATCCCACTTAAGATTCTTCATCCATGAAGGCAGGCTTTGTACCATATCCAGCCAGGGCGAATTAAGCGATACTCCTGCCGGTAAAGGCACTTCTCTCTCTTCACCAAACCATGTGATCTTGAGGTTCTGTCTCCGTAGTTCGAGAATAGTTTGCAGAAGGCAAAGGCTGAGATGGCCGCCGGCACTACACACTAGTCGTCAGTATAATAGAGCACGACATGACTGCTGGAACATACCTGTCACCACCAAAGACAATGTTGGTTGGGGGAACAGCCTCATGGATCGATCCTGGCGGAGGGTATAGTAGGGTGAAATACGAGACCAAGGCATCGAGGGCAGCCGAGGGAAAGGGATTCTGCGGCGCCAATCGGTATCGAACCGAATACACTCGGCCCTTGGTCAACTTGGCCAACTTCTTCGTCGAGTCGCGATGCGTGCTCGGATCGCAGAGGTAATACGCGCCGCCATGGAAGTACAAGACGGTGACCGCGCTCTTGCACTCCTTCATCATCTCCCTATATTTCTCCTCCTCTGAAATCTCCGGCAGTGCAGAGTTGGGATTCGCAGCCGCGCGGTACCCAGTCCACTCGGCCTCGACGGGGACGATTTCGGGTATCCTGCACTCCTTGTCGCCCGGCACCAGATCCGCTTTCATCGACTTTATGACGGCTAGCAGTGCATCCCTGATGCTCTGTTCCGGCGGTACTTGCGACGCTACTGTGCTGATCCATATCCTGCCCTTGACACCGGGATCCTTCAACGTAAGAGCCTGGGTTTTGGCGATGGGCGAAGGGGATGAGTTGCCCAAGAGATTCCTCAGAAAAGAGACTGTTACATTGCTTCGCAGATCGAGGTACTTTGATGGCTCCGAAACCTTCAGGATGTGTAATAGCACCACCCGGAGCACAAATGGTATTCTCGGAAGGACGATACGGAGTAGTCTGAGCTGGCCCTTGACCTGTGCCTTGACTCCATTATCCGGCTTGGGTCGATCCATGATTTGATTCGTTTCTGTTTTTCTCCGGGCGTGGTAATTTGCGTGTTGCTGATCGATGACCCAACACTCCGTGACACTTCAGATTATACGGTCGAAGAGAGGAGAAAGAGCCAACGATGACTCTGCGGCAGACTCGATGTGTATTAAAGGTTTGGTAGGTATATCCTGCACAGCCCGCCAAAGGGAAAAGAAAACCACGCGACACTAGAGGTTAGGGGAGCACTACCCTTCTAGGGCCAAGAGGGTTTTGGAAGAGACTACTTGTACTATGTATGTATTTGTATGGTCATCGATGGGCGCTTTGGGCCCTGTATGGATCCCCGTGCCAGAAAAGTGTGAGTATCATCTCGCAGAACGTGGCAAGCCCCTCCTGGGAGACTTGGAAAAGTTCCGAGGTATCCCTGTCTACAGGTCATCGCCCGCAGTGGTTCGCGCTAACGCCATCGTCCCCAGGATTAGGCCACCACGTTACCCACCTGTAGGCAACGTACGGGCCGGATTTCGCTTCGAATGTTCCCTTGCAGGCGCTCTAGGCCGCTATGGGCATTTCATTCGGCGGTAACAGTAGCAGCCGTAGGTCACGCAAGCGCCTGTGAGCCTCGGCAAGGACGATTAGCAGCTGTGCTAAAGCTGATAGCTGCGATGATCCAGCCTCTAGTGCTCCAGCTGGCTGATACCTTACAAAGCAAGCTACATTACAAAGTAAGCTACCTGATATGGAGCGATCGGATCATAGATCGCAACGATCGCATCTGGCTCTGCTTGCTGCCGGCGCTGCGCATCCTCCGAGCCCGTTTCAAGGCTGGAACTACTTGACACGGCCGGCGCACAGATTGCCTACCTGAGCATCGGATGGCATATGTACGAGGGAGTCCACGGAGAAAATCAGTCCAAGTGTCAAAGTAGCGGAGGGCTGCAAACCACCCCTGCTGATACCAAGCACGACCTTGCGCAAACAAGGGATGTTCATGCTGCTGTCAAACAGTGAAGCAAAAGACGCCCAGCTCGAGGAAATTGTCTCGGCCTTGCCTGGAGATTGGACGAAAAAAAAAAGTTGTAGCGCATGAAGCAAATGGCGATTGTCGACGCAGACGTGTGGAGGTGGAGTGTGCGTTTGGGGGAGGCGCTCGCGACAATGGGCCCAAAAGGGTAATCTTTGCGGGTGCCAGGACGGGCGGGCTGTGTAGTTTAAGTTGTATCGGATTGTAGAGGCCCGGGGCGACACGGCGACTGGATGTACGTTCTTCCTGGGGATCTGGAGCAAATTGCAAAAGAGAGAGCTGATATTATGGCAGTGGACGTGACATCTGAAGAAGAGGCCCAAAAGTGTTATTGAACCTAAAACTGCAGGCCGCGGTTGTAATAGAAGATTCCACGGTTCGTCGAGTAGCATCGCATATGGGGTCGCACGGTGGAACGCAATCGATTGGTGCGCTGCCGGCACTAGTCCTTCGAGATAGTCAAGCGTTCAAGACTCTCATGCCCGGAGCCAAAACGCATCGCAGCCGTCCGGCACGCTAGAACAGACTGACTAACCTGCCGAAAGCCCCTTGCACGCCTTGTCAGATGGGATGTTGGCCAAGGGTCGGGGGAGGAACTTGCGTACTGGACAAGATGGATATGAAACCAGGCTGTCCAGGGTTGAAATATGTCAGATAGTAGGTAGCCAAGGAGTGCGGCGTACCTGGCTTGTCAAGGCACCAACCCACCAGAGCATGTGACACCTGTGAGATCCACTAATCAGCATCGAAAACCTTGGATGCTTGCCTATGGCAAAGCCATTCGGTATCTTGAATCCGGGTATATGCATTCCTGATCAGCTTACGATACAAGACGTGTAGTGCCACTTTTCACAACATCCCTGGATGTGGGCTACAGGTTTATAACAAACTCCGTTGTGAATTACATATGTAACTAGGTAACTTAACTCCATGTCCCGAACCAATACTCCAGTCCGTTACCCGGACATCTTCCCTCGGTATGATTTTGTAGTACACGTGGTCCTTGCGCAAGCTCTATGAAAGCTCTTCTACGCTCTTCTACGAGCTGCTGCTGGCCTCTTGCTGGGATCCACCGGCCGACTCACCACCGGCGTTCTTATTCGCCATGGCCAGTTGCCAGGCGGGGATGGAGGCCTTGCCCCCGGGCATTCCACTGCCGAAGGGGCTGGAGCGGCCACCGAGCGAGGAGATGTAGTCCTGCTTGGTGTTCGAGGCTGTTTCATCGCCGTTCGTCTCGTTCTCCTTTCCGGTGGGCTGAGGGATTGGCGTTGCAGGCGATGTGGCAGTTGTGGCCGGAGTGGCGTTTCCAGTAGAGGGCCTGAGATGACCGCCAGTAGTGCTGGCGGGAGCCGCCGGGGCAGGAGTGGAAGACATCCGCTGGCCGATGAGTGCCTTCAAGCTCTTGACTTCGTTGGCAATCTCTCGCAGGCGAGAGTCGGTAAACTCCTTGTTCGCGCTCATGTTCTTGGGGATGAGCTCCTTCAGGGTCTTCATCTCATCTCGCAGGCGGTCGGTCTCGTCTTCTTGTCGTCGACTAGCAGACTTGGTGTCCCGCATGAAGCTTTCCAGATCGGTGATGATCTGGTCCAGCTTCTCGGTCCGCTCCTGCTCCGAGGCCTTGAGGGCCTCGGTGTCCTTAGATAGCTGCTCCAGAGTCGAGAATGCCTTTTCGAACTGCTCGTCCACTGAGGCCTTGTCTTGCTCCAGCTTCTCGGGGGTAGGCGGCGCGACGAGGGGGTAGACGTAGCGCTTCGAACTCGTGTTAGCTTGCGGTGTCTCGTGCGCAGCCGGGGCTTGTCGTGTCTTACCTTTGTGATAGCATACAAGCCGTAGCCAACTCCTCCCATCACGGTCGCCATGATGAACCAGTCCCGCCAGTCCCGTCGCGGCGGTGCCGGTGGCGGGGGCTGCCATCCATACGGGGCGGGCTGCTGGTACTGGCCATAGTAAGGCTGCGGCTGCTGTTGCTGCTGAACGGGTCCAGCGACGGCGTGCGACGGTGCAGGTGGTGAACCAACGCGCGCAAGCGATGTGTCGATCTCCTCCTGGGTCAGGTTCTTGGACCGGAGGAAGGAGACCTTGCTCTCGATGGGCGACGAGGCGACGTTGGGATCCTGCAGGAAGTTGACCGCCGAGGTCACGACGTCCTCGCGGATTGGCATGGTCGCGGTGGAGGATGTCGCGCAGCCTCTATCTCATCGTCAGACGCTGTGAGATCCGAATGCGATCCAGGGCGTCGTTGCGGTCGCGCCGTTACAATGGGGGCAGATGCTCGATGAGTGACGTTGGGCTTGGGACTGCACGGCGGCCGGCTCCAAGCTGCAATGGCCGTCTGGGCTGGGCTGGCGGCAGTTTGGCCGTGGTCGGGGGCGCTGAGCCGAGGCTCGCTGAATTAGCCGACCAGTGCGACCGCACGCTGCTGATGCAAGCCCAATCCAACGAGACTCTTGGCACTGAGCACACCTGTTGAGCCAATCACGCTGACATTTGCAACTCAATAGAACTTATAACCCTTCCTGCACAGTAGTTGGTATACCAGTTTAGATCTTGATTGCATTTGTATTGCTGGATGGATAAGGATGGTGGCAGTCGTGTACCCATGGGTTGTGCAGTCGTCCTTGCACTTGGGTCCAAGGCTATCTGGGCGCTCAATGAGCCCCCAACACGGCTCTTCTCTGGCCACTGGAAATCCCAAGCCGTGAATTTCGGATGGTGTTAGTATTTTTGCAACCTCAATCAAAGTATATTGAACGTTTATTTGGATATCTTGGCCATTGTATAGCCGGTGAGTCTTCTTCATGGCGGCGCTAGCGCCACAGGTTCAAGAGTCAGCTGCACCTTCCTCGTCTCATGTCTGGCATGTAAGTTGTGAAGCTGATAGAGAAGGCACGGTAAGCACAGGCCCTAGTTGGGAATCTCTGGACGAACGACATGCCAACGACTTCTGTCCTCCGTCTTCGAGGAACAACTTCACACACACGACGAACATAAGCTGTTTCCAGAAAATCGGTCAACTTGTACGCCTTGTTTATACTCTCCCTCGTCTGCCCTCTACATCCCATCGTCGAGTAGCACAGGAAATTCTTCGCGCGGCTATGGCCCGGCTCTGCGGCTTCCCACCCTGGACAATGTCCAAGTGAGCTTTTCAGAAATCTCGAACGACACACTGGACATCAACTGATGAGACCGCAACTCAAGAAGACTAGCGAGACCCGCTAGAGAGAATGGCCTTCGCCCGAGAGCGAATGAGCAAGTAAACTACCAACGTCACCGTCACGGTTTATTATCTGCCCTGCAGCAGATTTCGGGTCGATTCGCACCCCATTCGTGGAGCGAGGCCCTACGACTCACTCTACCTCGTTCTGGAGAGTGACCTTACCGCTCGGTGGCACGACAGCGTCGATCTACCGAGGCGCGTCCGAAAGCGCTACAGTCAATCTCAAGAAACATCTCAGACGGACACTGGGATGAAGAGAGACCGGGATTGGTACTGCCGCTGCAATTTCCCAGTTCTAACTCTATATCAGAGTATGGCTCCTCTTCGATTTGAGACGAAATATGGCCACGCGAATGTCATCCAGTAATGACGACGAACCTTCACCAACCAGACAAGCAGACAGTGGAACATCAAGTCGGTGGCCAGCTCTGGTAGCGTAACTTACATACAAACCCTCTCTTCAGGCCCCCCACAAACGTACCCAGCACAGTCTCCCTACCAATGGGAGTGTCCTCCTGCTGCGGGGCTTTGCTGCCAAGCCACGCTTGTTAGGAAAAGCTTTCACCGCACCCCGACACGCAATAAGAATCTTGTTAATCCGCATCGCTTCAACAACAACAACCGTCAGCTGTCTCATGACAGCTCACGGCCTGGTTAGCTCAATCGGTAGAGCGTGAGACTCTTAATCTCAAGGCTGCGGGTTCGACCCCCGCATCGGGCTCAATTCCTGATGCGTTCTATACAATAGAACATATGGTCTTCTTTTTTTGCGCTTTTTTGCTGCTATTTCCCTCACCTATGCCTTTGACTTCGGTCGCTGTGCTGTGTGCTATGTACCTATCTGGTCTTGTCCATTGGCGATTATTTCTTTGTGTTACCATTTCACCAATTAGAGGGATGACGTTGGCGCTGAATTTGCATCTTAGCGAGATTATAGGGCACTATTATCAAACACTCAGGCTGACAGACGTTTGGCACAACTCGCTTGCAATTAAATGTACTCTTTGAAACCTGCACACCTATAAACGTCATGTGCGGATAAAAATAGACGGGCTAAATGGCTTTAAATGGTATTTTGAATCATTTCGAAGCGTGAAGAACCCTGTCCACAACTCTTAAGATAAATATTTCCCGAGAAAGCATAGAATTCTCCTCATCATATCCTCTATGTGCTTCCGTTCAGTAAAGTGGTGCCCCTCCCTGGGATAACTACGCAATTTGGCAGTCAGCTAACGACTTCCTCTATGAAAGTGGCCAGACATTGGGTACTTACGTGACGAATTCCGTCTGGCTCATCAACCCGGCCTCATCCAAGGCTCGCCGGAAGCCGTGGGCTTGGCTTACGGGGACCCGTTCGTCTTGCTCACCATGCAGTATCAGCAGGGGCGGGATGCGTCCCTCCCTAGCAGCCGCTGGGAACTCGCGAATGGCGGATCCAGACACATGGACGTGGCGGCTCTCACCTCTCCATGGCGCATGGCCAGCGAATTGGGCTTGTTCATACCCAATGTCCGAAGTCATCGCCATGGCGTCCCAGTCCGTCACCCCAGCACCACATATGGCACCGGAGAACCTCCAGCCCAGGCCGTGGGTGCCGTTACGGACGGCGGACAGGTATGAGAGGTATCCGCCTTGCGACCAACCGCCGACGACGAGTCTTTGCTTATTCGCCAACCCCAACTCTATCGCGTGTTGGGTCATGGCCACAATGTCAGGCTCGTCGTACAGACCCATGCCGCCCCGCGAATAGCTGGCAAAACATTGGCCGCGGCCGCTGCTGCCACGGTAGTTGGGCATTAGAATGCCGTATCCGGCTAGCAGGAGAAGGGGAGCGAGGAACGTCAAGGGGTGCCAGATGTCGAAGTCGTTGGTGTGCCGGGAATAAGGGCCGCCATGCAGGACAACCAAGGTAGGTAAAGGCAGCTGTGTCATCACACTACCTGTTCCAGAGATCGTACTCAAGTGCGCTGGTGTCAGATATATTCCTTCGATTGTCTCGCAGCCGTCGAGAGAGGGACATTCGATGAATTTGCAATGACCGAATATCATGCTTTGGAAGGCGGCACCATGGACAGAAAGCTGCTTTATGTCTCTTTTACCTAATGAGAGACATTCGCAGAAGACTTCGGTAGGGTTATTCACGTCACCAACTGTATAGGTCAGCACTATCCGGTTGTTAGAGTTTCTCCTGGCGTCAAAGTGGCGGATGCTGCTCCCCTGGCTCCGGAGGAGGACCGTGTCGTTGCCAAGAAGCAGCAACTCGTCGCTCATACCGCGTTGCGTCTTTACTATAACGTCGCCGTTGATCTGTAGAAGACTGATTGCACAGCTGTTGCCATTGCCCATATATACCTTCCTGATATCTGTCGCATCACTTATCGATGCATCGATACCATGGCTGTCTGGGACTTGCATACTATAGACCACGAACCCAGAAGTGTCTTCATGGGGAACACTGCACGCGACGAAATAGAGCGACTGGCCTGACCATACTATACTCGAGAGGCTTCCAGAGAAATGCGCCGCCTCCCTCGTCTCTCGTGATGCAAGGTCCAGGATAAAAAGAGTAGCACCGTGTAAGTAGTGGCTTTCGATGTGCGGAGTGCGATGCGTCACCACGGCGATTCTGTCTGAACCCTCACTCCACGCGAAATCTACCACTGAGCAGTTCTTGTCAAAGGCCAGTTCGATCGCTGCCGTTTCTAGGTCGACGAGATATAGATGGGTGTGGTCCCAGTCCTGCCACTGGCCCCAGATGAACGCGTCGTCTTTGGCATCATACTTGGCCTTGGCCTCTGCCGACTTTTCCGCCGTGCTGATGTAGGCAATGAACCTTCCGTCAGGACTGAAGCAGAACTTGGAGATGGTTCGCTCGCTTTCTACCGCCGTGATGGGCCTAGGCTTAGACTCGGCAGTGTCCAGGTCAAGCAGATGCAGCGCTACAGATTTCCCTCTTTGGCCCCCGCGATCTGACAGGAAGGCGATTGAGCGCTTGTGTGGTTGAGGCGACCATCGCGGCATGCGGTCGTAGAAGAGCCCATCCGTTAGTTTCCGTGACGATTTGGGGCACGATACGTCGTCGACGATGTGGAGCGGCTCGCTGACATGCTCCTTAATTTTGTGGTGCCACTTCAGTCGTGTGGTATAGACAACTGACTTGCAGTCTGGTGACAGCTGGGGCTCGAGAGGTATCTCGAGGTTGAGAATCTCTTTGAGCATTTCTGCATCAACGTGTGAGTTCTCCATCGCTTCTGATGTGCTTGGTTATATCAGGCTGAGCAATTAACGGCGCAGCAAGCTAGCTCGTAAGATACTTAATAGGATTACGTCGGAAAGCGAAACAGAAGACAATACCGGAAAGGAGAATGACTATAAACTCCCCATAAGGTCAATTCGCGTCACTCAGACTTGCAAGAGCCACGTATCTCGAGCGCTTCATCGATAGGTAGGTGGCTACAAGTTTGCCGACGCTGCTCATAACTAGGGATAGACCCAAGAGGAGGGGGCGTATCCGTCTTCTACAACGATACATTGAAACGTTTGTAACTGACCAATCCAGTTGCCAAACCGTTTCCACTGCTTTGGGCGCATCCATTCTCGGTCGTCGAACGTTCCTCGCGAGTTCAACCTCCTTAATAGTCAAAGTTTCCAACGTATGTGCAGGTGTTAATCGTGCAAAAGGTTTAAACACTGCCGAGATCTTTCACGCATCATTATCAAAAGAAGCAAGCAACGTTGGAGGGCCAATTGCTTTTGCTAGTGATGCCTGACGAGAACGCCAGGGAATGCTTCTCACCTGGGAAACCTGCCCCTCTACTGCTTGCTTTTTCGAACCTCGTAACTCAATCGGAAACCTGACTGTGTGCGGTCTTATCGTGCAAAAACAGTTCGAGCTGAACTTCACGGTATAGAAGCGGCCCGTGCGTTACCCAGTCGTCAATTGCATCTGTGGGCGCTGCAGTATGACAATCTGTGGAAGCCACGCTCTCTGCTTGCACGCCAGTGTCATGTCCCTTTGTGCGAAAATGACAAGTCCATGGTTCTGTTCGCCCTTGCTGCTGCGGCTGTGATCATCCAACCACCAGCTGACAGCGTCTTCACGGTGCGTTTGCGCGCCAGAGGTGTGGCCCATGGTGGGCCTCATGGATGCCCATAGGTGGATACCAAACCGCCTTGTCTCAATGCTGGGTGGGCGGTTCGTAGCAGACCACCTTCATCGCATGCAGTGTCTGATGTGTCGCGTCCCGACAGTTGTCACAACGCCGGTTCACACTTGCTCTCTTTCTCAACATCATATTCTCCCCAAATCCCTGCAGCATCTGCGGTCTGATTTGGATCTGGCCCGAGTTGTCCCATAATGTCCAAGCGCCATTGCCTCCGCCTAAGTTAGAACGTTTGCAACGGTGGCTAGCTAGGCTCTAGTGCCCCCAGGAGTCGTAAGGGAACTCCCGCCACTTGTCTCTGCACCCCTCAGCATCTCAAAACTGACATCAACCACCACCTTGGAATGGTCGATTTCTGGCGGTATTGGCAAGTTTGTCTACTTGAGAAGCCAGCGCTGGTACGTCAGCCGCCATCTATCAGTTCCGATGCCAGAGGCTCACACAAGTGAATAGCCCACATACCAAAACGCGTCTAACGCGAGTATCGCTATGACAGACGTTGACATTGATAGTGATCAGGTTTATGGCTCGTGACTCTCTTTTTCGCCTGATATAATACCTTCCAGAGGAGGGATTTCCAGCGGTCGCAACCGCTCTGTATCTTGTAAAGGTCAGTACGATTTCTATAGTCAAACATGCGCCCTATAGTGCAGTGAAACTCGGAAAGCTACCCACGCTATTGAGATCCCGACCAAGCCATGCATCTATCTACCTCTGATTAAACCACTGGATTTCTGTGTCCCGCCCGTCAAGCGTGGATTCTAGCCCGCTGTGTCCACTCGCAGGATCAGCCCGATGAGCCAAGAGAGAACTTCATCCAGTTTGTTTCACACAGAGTCTTGACATACAACTACTGGCTTTCATTGTCCCTGCTTCCACGACACACATGATACAAGACGGGCTTTCTCAGTTGGCTGCTGCCTTCCGAACCGCTGCCATGCAGCCTCTGCCACTGGATCGTCACATCTCCTGATCCATCATGCTGTTCTATCAACTCGTTTGCCACTTACAAATTCGTCCAATCTTGACTTTCACAAAAACTGGCCAGACAGCATCACACGGCAAGCTGCAGGGTGGGGTTGTATCCAACAAGGCTTTGGAAACATGCATAGCTTTCTACTGCGTTTGAGCTGCTAGCCCAATCAACCATTCCTTGCAAACCGATCACCACTCAAAATTTCTAAGCCCTTCGAGCTAACTTGGGTTGCTATCCAAGTAGATATCTATCTACATAGTTTGACTGATCTCTTCAAGCTTCTGATGAAGCCCATCGTATCCCTTCATATCAACATACTTGGGCAGAAACTGTCACCAACCGGCTGGACCCATTTGCACCATACGGCTTAACCATGGCTGATCGCGGACGTGGCCAATCCCGGGGAGGTCGCGGAGGCCGTGGGCGTGGTGACTTCCATGGCGGCCGCGGTGGAGGCTCAACATTTTCCGGCTTTGACTCCGGCAATACACGTGGAGGCGGAGGCGGCTTTCGCGGAGACCGTGGCGGTGTTGGGTTCCGCGGTGATCGCGGCGGTGGTGGATACCGAGGAGATCGCGGCGGCGGCGGCGGATACCGAGGAGATCGCGGCGGCGGCGGATTTGATCGAGGTCGTGGTCGTGGCGGGACCAGAGGCGGCCGTGTCGACAAATTTGCTGGAGAGTCCGAGGTGTTTAAGTACGTGTCGCCTGTTGTACTGGAAACCATCCGCTAACCTCTCCAGAAGCTCGAGCGATGCGCCGGGTCCGGACGCGAAGATTGCTCAGCTAGAAGACAAGCTGATCAACGAGGCCCTGTTGACAAAGCAGACCTCAGCGCTACAGATCTCGGGCTCTGCATCGCCATCCCAGCCTGTCTCCGAATTCATGCCCCTGAGACCTGCGTTCGGATCCAAGGGAAAGGAAGTCATTCTTTGGGCAAATTACTTCACCTTGCAGGCCAAAGCGCAGACATGGTCCAAGTATTCCCTCAAGGTAGCCAAAGTTGCCACGGATAAATCAGGTGCCAAGGTCAATGTCCCCGAGCCAAAGGGCCGGAAGTTACAGAGGATTATAACCCTTGCCCTGGATCAAGTGGGTTCCGCCATTCCAGTTGCATCGGAATACAAGAGCCAGGTGGTTTCTCTCAAGCCCCTTGATCTCCCTGACAACGGTGTCGTGGAGGTCCTTTACGCCGATGAGGGCCGGGACAGCACCTACACAGTCAAGTTCCACGGTCCGAGCGATGTAGCCCTGGACGACATGCTGAGGTTTCTGTCGACGATGCAAGCTCCTACCGCCACATCCTCCTCCTCAACGTTCCCCATCTATGAGGATGTGATAGATGCTGTGGGGATTGTCCTCGGTCAGACTCCCCGAGCAAAGGATACCATTGCATCGCTTGGCAGCAGTCGGCATTTCCCAATGAACCTCAAGTCCGAGGTTCACGACCTGGGCTATCCTGGTTTCAACACCATCGTGCGAGGTTACTTTCAGAGTGTGCGGCCGGCCACCGGACGGCTCCTTCTCAACGCTAACGTGTCCCACGGCGTCTTCCGCTATTCTGGTTCTGTTATAGAACTCATGACTAGATTTGCGGATGCGAATCACCAAATCCGCGACAATGACTTAAAGCAGCTGCACAAAGTTCTCGGTCGATTGCGAGGCAAAGTCCAGATCCTTGCCGACCGTGGCCAAGGAGATCCCAAGCCGAGCAAGAAAGGCAAGGCGAGCTCTCACAAGGGACAAGCGAAGCCACCAGGAGTCGCAAGGATCAAGGAGTCTGTCATCTGTGGCCTCGCAACTCCCGGCGATGGCGATAAAAAATCTAAGACCAAAGTGATGCGCTTTGGCGCCCGCCCCCATGAAGTGTCCTTCGTTATCAACGATAACGCACCACCTGGTCTTGAGGTTGGGAAGACATATACTGTGGCACAGTACTTCCAGCTGCGTAAGTCTAAATTTGAGCGTATCTCAGTCGAAGACTCGTGTTAACTGTTCTAGGATACGGTCGCCAAGTCAATCCCGACTGGCCTGTCGTGAACACTGGCACCAAGTTGAAGCCAGTGTACATGCCCGCTGAGTTGGTTGAAATTATACCGGGCCAGGCTCTTCGCCGCAAGACTACGGTGGAGGAAACGCGAGACATGATCCTGTTCGCTTGTCGGTCTCCTTTTGCCAATGCGACTTCGTTGATTACTACGGGGCGAGCTTGCCTCGGACTGGATGGGAATCCAGCTTTGGTATGTCGTTTGCTATCCAAAGCGGGCATGTTCTAAAACGACTACAGATGCGATTTGGTATTTCAGTCGACAAAACCCTGTTGAAGGTAAAGGGCCGCGAGTTGACCGCGCCACAAGTCTTATATGCCAGCATGAAAAACCCGCGAGAGACCAAAAGGCCTCGTGTTTCTGAAGGGTCATGGAACAGTGAGTGCTATTCATTTCTTTTTACTGGATGCAAGTGACTAAGTAAGCAACTTTTTAGTGGCCGAAGTGAAAGTATCCAAGCCTGGACGCCCGATTCAAATTTGGACCTGGGTTTATATTAACAACTTTTCGGGCCGTTACGTCCCACATGATGTGCTGAAAGTCTCCATGAAGAAGATGATTGCGTTCTGGAAGGCAATGGGCATCTCTATACCGAGCCCTCCAGCCCATGACGATGGATTCGAAATCCAAATACCCCAGGGCGTGACCGCCTACAAAGCAATTGACGAGGCATTCTCTCGATTCCCTTCTACCGTTCAGTTCGTGTTTGTAGTTCTTCCCGACAAGGGCACGGAGACCTACAATGCGGTGAAGACATTGGCGGACACCAAGTATGGCTTCCACACCGTCTCTGTGCAGCGCAACAACGTCACCAAAGAGGCAGGAGCTGAACAGTACTTCGCGAACGTCGGACTGAAGGTGAACCTGAAGGCTGGTGGTGTAAACCACAAGCTAGAGAATGGCGTAAGCTTGGTCAAAGAAGGCAAGACCATGGTTGTGGGATACGACGTCACGCACCCAACCAACATGTCTAGCAATGCCGAGGACGCACCGAGTATGGTCGGCATGGTATCAAGCATCGATGCGGACCTCGCGCAGTGGCCGGCCACGGCATGGGCCCAGGCTGGCCGTGTTGAGATGCTCGATGCCACATTACTGGAACGATTCAAGGGAAGACTTAGGCTCTGGCAGCAACACAACCAGGGCCGCATGCCCGAGAACATCATCATCTACCGCGATGGTGTGTCTGAGGGCCAGTTCATCAAGGTCTTGCAGGAAGAACTCCCCCAGATCAGGACAGCCTGTAAAGAATTGTCAAAACAGAAGCCCAAGATCGCCTTGATAGTTTCTGTGAAGCGGCACCAGACTCGCTTCTTTCCCACCGACGCCCACAATATGACTCGATCTCGGAACATCAAGAACGGTACGGTTGTAGACCGAGGAGTCACGCAGGCCCTGGTCTGGGATTTTTTTCTCACAGCGCATACTGCCCTACAAGGTGAGCACCCCCCTTGTGATCTTGCTTAAAGCCCGTACTGACACTGATCACTGTAGGCACGGCTCGTCCCGCCCATTACACGGTGCTACTCGATGAGGTGTTCCGCAGCACCTACAAGGCCGAGGCCGCCAACACCCTAGAGAAGATCACGCACGACATGTGCTACCTCTTTGGCCGCGCAACAAAGGCCGTCAGCATCTGTCCACCGGCATACTACGCCGACATCTTGTGCACGCGCCAACGGGCGCACATGAGCGAGCTGTTTGAGGGCTCCGACGATGCGTCGATCGCGACGTCTACGAGGGTTGACATCACCTCGAGAGTGGTACACGAGAAGCTGAAGGACTCGATGTATTACATCTAGTCCGAGGACATTGAACCTGGGGATAATGTACTAGGTCTGGATCTCAATGTTGATTTTCCGGAAATTTCGTTTGCCTTCATGTTTTGCAAGAAGTTTTGCCTGTGAGTTAGCGATGACAATCACGAGGTTGATCTATGTTGGAGGGCTATGGAGAGTACTAAGTAAACAAAAAGTTACTTGAATGACTATCGATCGTACGTAGTATGTTACTGCGGTATTCAGAGTGCTGTGCTTTAGTTTGGGACGCAAATTTAAACATGTAATTGACGTTCGCGCCGAGAAAGATTGCAAGTTATGATCGGTCCGGACTGTTATACTGTTGTCGCCAATCTCCAAGACATCATAATAGGCGTTGAATGAGACACCATCTCCTCAGGCCCCTCGCTTTCGCACACACGCACACTTGTGTGTAGCCCTCGGTTCGGATTTCTACTTACAGTCGCTCTTCGGACAACTACGAATGCCGACCTGCAATTGAAGGCTTGGGAGGCAAATTTGCAGGGGCCTTGGCTGAGCCCACAGCGGGCTAGCCCGCCCTACAGGCGTCCATCGCGGGGGTTAGTGTCCTCGCTAGGGCTCTGTGATTCAGTCTGATTCATCGCGAGCTTGCTCTGATGGTCTCAGTTTAGTACGCATGGCCTTTGAATCGGATTGGCTGAGATCGCTCATTCCACCAAATCGTCATCATGGTCGCCCAGTCCGACTGTGGTCTTCTCGCACATCCCTCAGGCCAGCGCCATTTCGTATGCTCTGCTTCGCGCCAGATCGGCCTGAATACTAGTCATGACACCATAATCTATCATAAAAATGAGGTTGTGAGTTAATCTGACTTCCATTCTACTCAGCTGAGGTTATTGTGTACGGATATCTTCCGCGGCTTTCCCCTGCTATCAAAACAACCCAAGCAGCACCTTCGGGGGAGGCACCAACGTCAAGGGTCGTATCACGTCTTACGCCCGTTCGAGGACTCTCTACATGACCCAGAGCTCTGAGGCCACACCCAAGATACCTATAGAGGACCAAATGACTGGAGATAGTAAAGAGACAGCGCCGGATGGCGCTTCTGAAATGGAGGCAAAGCAAGTATCAACGACGCCTGCCCGACCCATAACAGAAGATGAAGAGGACATCGAATACCCGAAAGGGCTGAAACTTGGACTTATCATCCTATCATTGTGTCTAGCCGTGTTCCTTGTGGCCTTGGATCAGACGATCATCGCGCCGGCATTGGGGGCAATCACCGCTGAGTATGGCTCCGTGAGGGACATCGGCTGGTACGGCGCGAGTTACCTGTTAACGAGTACGGCACTGCAGCCGCTCTATGGCACCATCTACCGGCTGTTTGACATCAAACTCACCTTTGTGGGCGCCGTCGCGCTCTTCGAGCTCGGTAGTCTGGTCTCTGCCGTCGCGCCGTCGTCGGTGGCGTTCATCGTGGGCCGGGCCATCGCCGGCCTAGGGACGGCAGGCCTCTTCTCAGGCGCCGTCGTGATCCTGTCCTACACCTTGCCACTACGGAAACGGCCCGTCATGTTTGGTCTTTTCGGTGGTATGTGGGGGATCGCGAGTGTTGCCGGACCCTTGCTTGGCGGGGTGTTCACTGATCGTATTACCTGGCGCTGGTGTTTCTACATCAATCTTCCCATAGGTTGCGCCGCCGCCCTGGTGGTGTTCTTCTACTTGGGCATCTCCAGGGCGAACAACCCCAACAATGAGTCCTTCATCTCGCGAATCGTCCAGCTGGATCTCTTAGGCGCGGGCATCCTGATCCCGGCCATAATAATGCTGCTGCTTGCCTTGCAGTGGGGAGGAACCGAATATCCTTGGAACAACTCCCGAATCATTGGCTTGTTCGTGGGTGCCGCTGTCATGGCATTAATTTTCGTCGCCGTGGAACATCGCCAGCAGGACAAGGGACTTTTGCCCCCTCGGTTCTTCAAACACCGCGACGTGCTGAGTGCCATGATATTCTCTTTCGTCTTCGGCGCTTGTTTCTTCCCTATGATCTACTACCTGTGTAGGTCACATCCGCTTTCTCAACTAGGAGACGTACTAATGATACTCGGTAGCTCTGTACTTCCAAGCTGTGCAAGGCGATTCAGCAGTTCAGGCCGGTATCAAACTCCTGCCCATGCTCCTGTCCACCGTCGTCAGCTCCATGATCAGTGGCGGCTTGGTTACCGGATTCGGATACTATAACCCAATCATCTTTGTCGAGACTGCAATGTTAACCGCTGGTGCCGGGTTGATCTCGACATTCTGGCTCGACACCCCATTCAGCAAGTGGTTCGGTTACCAGGTGCTTTATGGGCTCGGTACCGGTGTTTGCTTCCAGACCGGCATCACTGTGGTGCAGAACGTCCTCCCCCAAGAGCTCATACCGCAAGGGAGCGCATGCGTGCAGTTCTTCCAGAGCCTGGGCGGCGCTCTCTTTATCGCCGTCGCGCAGACCGTCTTCCAGAACGGACTAATCGAGGGCGTAACGCGAGATGCACCGCAACTGGACCCACTCATCTTCATCAATAGTGGTGCGTCTCAGATCCGACAGATCCTGCAGGAGATGCATCAAGAAGCAGCCATCGATACAGTCCTGGGCGCGTATACCACCGGATTAAGAAACACATACTACATCAGTGTCGCGACCGGCGCCGCGGCGTTCTTTGCTGCATTTGGCCTGCGATGGAAGAAAATCGAGAAAGGGGGCGCTGGAAAGAAGGATGTTGAGATGGGCGACAAGACAAGCTCCAACAATAGTGATGGCGCAAAGGACACATCTGTCTGAAGGGTGGCCAAGTGTAAGATGATGTATGTATACTTAATTATCTCTGCTACGTAAGCTTAGACATAATGTGATCATGAATGAATCCGTACACTAGGCTCAGAGACTTGCCATATCAAGTTTTCGTGCAACTCAAGCGAAGTGTATTGATGAGCATACATGAAAGCTCGCATGAACAGAACTAGATGGTGGATATCTTGAAGCAAACAAAGCGGGTCTAATTTCAATTCTCCCCGTGACAGACCTCCGATCACACGATAGACTTAGGGCAAACGTAATACTAGACAAACATGGTTGACAAGTTCGGATGTCGAAATACTAATTATGCGATGAATATACAGTTCAGCCGGGTTCTTGAAAGGCTTGGTTACCGAACCAGCAGTAACTAGGAGAGACCTAACTAACGGAAACCATCGCTGTATCAGACTGCCTGTCTAAGCGCACGTCCTATATGCACACAAGCACTAGGAACAATCATCCGATCATGAGTCTATGATTGAATTCATGGGCGCCTGTTTATCCACTTCAATCCATCGCCTAGACACGCGTATTTAAAGGCCACTCCCACCTATTCGACTTGTACTGTACAGACTCGGTGCCTAAGCCAGAGGAACTCCGTCACTGCACTCATCTACTATAACCCGAACACGATGAAGCCTCAATATCTCTTCATTCTAACAGCATACATGCTTGGGGCGCATGCTGCGTCAGGTCTCTCCGACTACGCTAGGAGTATACCTAGCTGCGCCCAAGCCGCTTTCAAAGATGCCGCCGCCAGCAACGACTGCAGCACGACAGCCGTTGACGCCAACGAGCTCAACTGCCTATGTAAACACAGGGCAAGCATCACCATGAGTGTTTCGCAAAATGCTGAAAGCAAATGTTCCTTGAGTACGTCATCCTAACATCACATTCCTCCTTGACTGCATTTGGCCGATACAGCCAGCAGTTGTCAAGCTGCGGGAAATCGGGCATTTATCTGACTTAGCTTTTATCAAACAGCTTTCGCCAGCGCATTTGGGCGCTTTTGTGGTAGATGGATTGCCCAATCTACCGCGGCAACCGACTATCCCGCCGCCACGAGTGCCATAGGTGATGTGTTCGCCGGGAAGGACACCAGCGGAACAGCATCGACAGCATCGACAGCATTAAGCTCTACTTCCAAGAACCATGCACCGGCTGCAACAATAGGACCCCAAGTAGGAGTTCTGGGAGTCGTAGCTGCAGTGGCTGCTCTGGCGTTTTGAGCTTCGAACCCAAAGGATAGATCCAACCCGACACGACGAAACAACGGTGGCCAGCGTGGAAGCGGCAGTACAAACTAGCAGGTCGGCAAGGTCTTTCCACGAAGGGCTGTTTAATATAATAGTCAATAATTAATCGTATAATTCCAAAGTAACTTTACGACAGTATGCTCTGTTGAAACTTAAATGAATAATAGCACCTAGATCTCCGCCTGTCGGTGTTCAACTCCTGAAGATGGGGGCAATGATTCACAACGGACACCACCTTCTTGGGTTCTTATATAGAGTCGGAGGTATTTATTAGCCTGTGACAAGTGGTACCCAATCAGACAATAGGTCGAGGAGTGCCTTGCCCTCTGACTTTTCAGTGCCTGTGGCTTCTCACCTTGAAGTGCAAGCACCCGCAGGACTTGCATCAGTCGTTGAATAAGATGAAGCGTCACTTCTTATTCACTATTAATAGCCTGCTAGAACATTTGAATGGTAACAATCAAATGTTAGAATCGGAGTATCGTCAATGTCAAGCCCATTCTCTATCTTATCTCTGAGGCTCGCCACTGAACTGCCAAGCAAAGGATTCGTTTCAAGCCGATGAAGCTCACTGACTCAGACTCTGAGCAGGCTTAATTTTTGGGTGCTAACGGTACACGACAGGGTAGGTAAGTTAGGACCCGAATCCTTGAGAGAACTGTGGCAGCGTGCTCCTTCACGTACCACCATTCGTATGTACCTAAACCGCCTAGATCAGGAATGGGTACAATATACCTTCGTCGCTGCGATAAAACCCCAACGCCACAAGTACAGTTTACCGGATGAAGAGTCTCAATTATAACGATGTGAACAAGTCTCTCTTTGTGAAGGAAAACCTGCTAGCAATTAGGCAGAGGATTAAGGATTGCAGGGTGATTGCCTAGCTTGCTGGCTGTGCCTTAACCCATGTGGGGACGCAGCCTTCGATCAGGACTGATGCCTCAATTGTCCTAGACCCCCCCCTTCCCCATTGCCTTTAAGACAGTCAGAACTCGTTCATACTCAAGAATCAACTCCCGGGTTGGTATTTCCGTTGCCAAACGCCCCGCACATTTTTGTCCTGAACGATTTACTGTTGTACCCGTGCTGTCATTGCGCAATGCCTTCTCTCTCCGACACATCTAGCGAGACGGACGTGGTTGTAATTGAGACGACAGACGTGAGCAACTACAACCCTGAACAGGTCTTACCGGAGCCAGACGAGACTATCGAAAAGATACGTGCATGGCTGCAGCCAACCGCGTATGACTTGGGAAGTGGCGAGTATCTCAAGCATCTCGGCACCCATGCCCCGGGAACCAGCTCTTGGGTGACCGGCACTGGATCCTACCAGCAATGGCTCAGCAGTGAGAGGGATGGCCTTCTATGGTGTGAAGGCATCCCAGGATCTGGGAAGTCTGTACTCGTATCAAAGCTGATACATGACCTCGCTCAATCTCACCCTGGGGTGCCAGTTCTATACTTCTTCTTTCGCCAGATCATCGATGCAAACCACCAACCCGCTTCGCTATTGAGAGATTGGCTGGACCAAATCTTGAAATACAGCCCTCCCCTTCAGAAGCAACTCAAGGGGTATGTCGAGTCTAGACGCGAGCTCGGTAGTATCGCCATGGAGGACCTCTGGAGAGACCTTCGTATGGCCATAGCGAACCTTCCGGGCAAAGTGTTCTGCATGGCTGATGCCCTCGACGAGATGGACCAGGGAAATGAAGTGTTCCTCAAGTCCCTTGGGATATTCGGAAATTGGAGACCGGATAAGGTCAAAGTGCTGATTTCAAGCCGCCCCATCCCGAATGTTGAGGTTGCCCTCCAGCACACAGCTCACCTGCATATACGGCTTGAAGAAGCTCAAGTTGATGCTGATATCGCCACCTATGTGGAGCAGAACTTGGGTAGATCGTCTATCAGCGCACAATCTCAGGAGTCAATCAGACATGCGATCCCTGGCCGGGCTAAAGGCATCTTCCTTTACGCCAAACTAGCAATGGATGCCTTCCTGGCGCCTAATGCTGATGTAGAGAGCGTTTTGTCGCGACTTCCTGCAGATCTCAATGATTTGTACACCAGACTTTTGCAGGAACATTCTACAAGATCAGGGGTGCCTGACGATATACAGAGGCTCATCCTCCAGTGCGTCACACATGCTGTACGGCCCCTTCGACTCATTGAGATTGCTGAGATGCTACGTGTCACATATCCTTCGGGGAATATCCGCGACCGCAAGTCCGCTAAGGACTTGGTAAGGGCCGCGTGTGGACCTTTATTGGAGATACTTCCCGATGAGACGGTCTGTGTTATTCATCATTCATTCACGGAGTATCTTAAGGGTATGACGAGAGTGGGGGTGGATTCTGGGTACCCCATCTTACTGCATGGCCCTTCAAACGATGGGCTTGCTCTCGCCTGCCTAACCTATCTATCTTCCGGTGCTCTAGACGATATCGCACTGTCGCTAGCAAACCAAACCAAGACACCAAGCACGAATGTCTTTGTAGGGTTCGATGAGCCAGAATTTATTGAGCATATACAGATGAGCGACAAGGAAAGGTTCATTGTCAAATTGAAGCACCCTTTTCTGGAATATGCCTCTGAGAATTGGCACATCCACGTTGCGAGATCAGATACTACTGGCTGTGAGCAATCCAGAATTTACGCAGTTCTGGATGGGATAATTTCCAATCACAACCTTTGGGAGCCTTTGCTGGTACTAACTGGGGAGACGCATTTGAAGGACTTGACGGCATTGCATGTGATCGCCAAAAAAGGCCTGAGCTCCGCTTGTCAAAGGCTCATCGACGTCAAAGGTGCTGACGTGAATGCTGTAGATGCCAAAGGAGCGACTCCTCTTTGGCTGGCTGCCAGCGTCGGTCACGCCGAAGTCGTGAAAATCCTAATAGAAGCTGGCGCGAATCCTGATCATGACCATGGGTACAACGGCCTCAAGCCACTGCACTTGGCGGCCAAAGGGAATAACTTTCATTGCGCGAGTGAACTGCTCAAGGCTGGCGTCGACCCTTTAACCAAGAAAACAAAGGAGGATCCTGGGAACTGGTGCGGGAACGCACCAAGGACTTTTGGCCATACGCCACTTATGGTAAGCCCGCGACCATCCTCATGGTAGGCGCATGTTGATTTACTAATGCCGGAGTGTAGTACGCATGTCATTCTGGGCATCTTGAAACGGTAGATGTCTTCCTGCAACATATCAAAGATGTTGATATCGCGCACCAAGCTCTTGCATGGGCGACAGAAAACGGTCGCTCCAAGGTGATCAAAAGAATTCTGCAGTATCCGGGGATTGATGTCAATGCAAAGGTACGCGGAGATACACCTCTTCTGCTTGCCTGTGCTACACAGAATGCTGAAGTGGTGGTGATGCTCGTGAAAGCTGGAGCAAATCCAAACATCTTGTGCCGGGGGAGCGGCGACGAATTTGGCGGCATCGGCACCTACGACTATGCATTTTACCTCGACAATGACCCATCACTTGGCCTGTCTCCGCTACATAGACTGTGTGCTGTCTCTAGCGAACATCAGTATTCCGGAGGAGCGTCTGGTCAAGACCTCACGCTGATGTTGAACACTCTTCTGGAAGCAGGTGCCGATATCCACCAAAGATGCCCGCACGGAAAGACACCGTTGCATTTCGCCGCGGGGGACTCGGAGCCTGGATTAAATGGTTTGCTAATAAGTCGTCTTCTGCTTGAACGAGGAGCTGATGCAAATGTCGTCTGCAAAAGGGGTCTGACACCACTCCATTACGCCCAATCATGGACTATAATGAAGCTCCTCGTTGAGGAGAGTCACGCTGATATAAACAAACAGGATAGCGAGGGCCGGTCTCCACTATACAGTATGCTTGACTCCTATGGCATCTCCCGTCCCTCATCACGGTCTATAACAAGGTTTATGGATCTGAATCCAGATGTGACTCTTCTCGACAAAGGTGGCAACAGCATTCTTCATATGATTCTAGCCAAGAGCCCCCCAAACTTAGCCATATTATCCAGGCTTCTCGATATGGGTGCGAACCCAAATCAAAAGAACCGCAGAGGCGAGGCCCCGCTGCAAATGACAAGAGGACCGGATAAGGATTTCTACAAGATCTTAGATATAATGATCGCGGCTGGAGCTGATATCGATGTTAAGGACAAGAATGGCGCTACATTCCTGTTTCGTACCGTGGCACAGGGAGGAAGAAAAAAGGAGGTGACAAGCTTAATACAGCAGCTACTTGACCGGGGCGCCTCGAAAGACCAGCGGGATTTCAGAGGCCGAACCATGCTGCATGAGGCGATCAAGTATGACCAAGGCCGCTCTACCTACCATTCAACGTATGATGAACCAGATGGCGCCCGTCTGGACTTTCTGCTCGGTCTCGGAATCGATATCGGGGTGACTGACCATGACGGGAACAATCTTCTCCACGAGCTTGCTGAGCGCGACGCCATTAGCGACTGCGATTTCACCTTGGTCTGGAAGAAGCTCCTTTCGCACGGCCTTGACCCCGACTCCAGGAACAACTTTGGTCACACTCCGCTGCATACATTCTGTAGCTACATGCAGTCGAATGGGGGCAAGGCGTTAGGATTCAAACTCCTACTTTCAAAGATGCGGAATGTGGATGTGACGGACCAAGATGGCCTAACTCCTTTGCATTTTGCTGCCACACTATCCGAGTGTAGTGTCAAAATGCTGCTTGCGGCTGGGGCCAATCCAGCTGCTGAATCTTCAGAGGGTTTGACGCCTCTGCACCTTGCTGCTAGGTCGAGGCAGAGCAACATCGTCGGACTGCTGCTGGATGCTCTTCACAAAGATTCCGATGTCCACATGACGGATGATGGCGCGCCCAGCTTACAATCCTGGGAGCCTGCGGGCCGATGGCAAGGCAAGCATAATGCTGCAGTAGATATAGGAGTCGGAGGTTCGACACCGCTGTCATATGCTTGTGCATCAGGTAGGCCGGAGACAGTCTCTCTGTTGCTTGCAGCGGGCGCAGAAGTCCACGGCAGGAACCTCTTCACCGCTTGCGCGCAATTTGAAGCCGAGTCCAGACTTTGGGACGCTATGATACCCCAGAACAATCGAGAGAGAAATGGCAAGGCGGGCGGACTCAGGCTTGGAGATACGTCGCGCCCAGACTTGGGTGATAGTGACAAGCGTCCTGTATCCTACCAATTCGAAGGTTTGGCGCCAAACCGGGACACAGCCAGACTTGAGGAGATTATAGACATGTTGCTACCCCGCTACGCCGATATTCCTTGTCCCTCCCGTAGGGAAAAGTCTATTCCTGGGGGTTTTGTACCTGGGCCTTTCGAAAACTCTATCAAAGCAGATATGACTTATACTATTCAAAACTTGGCGAGAGCACGGGATGCATGGGCGGAAGACAAACCTAAGCCGGCTGATTTATTCCAAAAAAGGAAACCATTCGTCGAGCACAGCATTAGCTATCGCCAGATGGCTTTAGCGACAGCCTTACGTGAGTTCCCGCATCTCGAACAAGGGAAACAAAACTACGACCTGTTCCGGGAAAGGCTCGAGTTGAGACAGTACAACCTTGTGGAGAAGATGTTCGAAGCTGGGGTCGATTTTCTGTCTGCAAACCAGAAAGGAAGCAATATGTCTATTCTGGTACGATACGGTTTCTACGCCCTGCTGAAGAGAATCGGCGTACGCGTAGCTGAGTTGGAGTTTGCTGGAGGAATGTGGCATACCTTTGGCGACAAGACGAAGCCAGGCCTTTACCGCGAAAGGGGCGCTTGGAATGACCAGGAATCCTACCAACCATTCACCCTCCAGGCTGTCTCCCGTGAATTGCCAAACATGGAGGTACTTGGCGTGCTGGTTGAGGACCTTGGGGTAGATGTGGATGAGTTCCAGTACAAAAAGGAATGGATCGGTAAAGAGTACGTCATGGCCCCTGTTGAAAATGCTCTTCACCATGTGGCGAAAGGGAAATTTTGGTGGCAGATGGCTTTGGCCCTTCCATATCTCCTCGAACGGGGAGCGGACATCGAGAAACGCGATTTCCGGGGTCGGACTCCGTTGCATACGGCTCTTCATGGCAGCGGCGGATACGGCAAGGATCTCTACCAGCAAGAGATTGTCGCCACTCTGATTGGAGCCGGGGCAAATGTCAATGCTGTAGATGAGAATGGCATCAGTTGCCTGGCGCTCGCAGGAAAGAATATCGACTTGGTCAAGATGCTCATTAGGCATGGCGCGACTTTCGAAGCTGATGTACTCTTCAGTGCTATCGAAACCCATCAGCCAGAGATCCTGGAATGCCTTCTGTCAGCTGGGGCTGATCCAAACACGTACCGGGAAAAGCCCCCAGAGGATAACTTTTGGGCACAAGTTCATGTTCGGTGGCCGCTGCACCACGCTGCCCGCCAGTACAGCGACCGGACACCGGGCTCAATTGAGTCTCGCAAGACCACGCGTAATTCTGTCATCAAACTAATGGAAATTCTCCTTTCATATGGTGCTGATCCATTCGCCAAGTATTCGAGAGACAAACTAGAGGAATCTCACGAAGACGATGAGCCTGGCTCAACGCAGAGCGAAGAAGCCTTGGTACTCCATGACCTCCTCATGCTGGGAGATCTCGTGCACCCTATACTTCTCAACCCCAAATTGGAACTCGAGCGTACAGATCCTTACGGACGCACACTGTTTCTCGCGGCATGCTATGGATCGAGCGGACCCGATGTGCAGGTCGACAAACTACGTGGCGAAGACTGGCTCGAGTCCACTCAGCCGACACTACTTGAACATTTCTTGTCGCGCGGCGCAAACCCACTTGCCCGTGATAGCCGAGGTCGAAACGCGTTGCACCAAATGCTGTATGGCCAAGGCTCTACGAAACATTTCATCTCCTCTCTTAACTATATGGCAAGCAACTATCCCGAGCTCGTGGATCAGGCCGACTCTTTGGGGAATTCGCCTTTGCTAATTGCATTGCATGCTGCCGAGAGCAATGTAACAGCCGCCGAAGCCCTCATCAACGCTGGGGCGGACGTTCTCGCCGTCGATAATGATGGGAATACTGCGCTGCATATCTTGTGCCGAAAGTGCCCCCGTGATATGCGCCGCGATCTTCTGCAAACGCTCCTTGCACGAGGGCTCGACGTGAACACACGGAACAAGAAGGGCCAGACGCCGCTGTTTGAATTCTACGGATCGCCAGTCGGAGACCCGGATCATTTGATGCAATACTACGGGATTGATTGTATCAAGGCCGAAAAGGAGGTCTTGGAGATCTTCGATACTGCTGGCGCTGACTTCGCAATGGTGGATGAAGAGGGGCGTGGGCTGTTGCATGTAGCCGCGAAGGCCGACGCATGGCGCTTCAAAATTCTCTTGGATAGGGGCTTGGACGTCAAGGTCGAGGATGCTCAGAGGCAGACGGCACTCGACATTGCGGCAGCATCTGGCAATCGCAATGTGTTGAAGCTGTTTGAGCGGAAGAAATGAATTTACAAGAGCAATAGTGGCTAGGCCGACGGAGTCACTCTTTTAGCACAATTGAGTTCTAGTATATCAAAGTAGTCAGTCTGTCGTGTCGCTCATAGCTGCTGACTTTCTGAACATTTCGTGTGCAGCAATATTGAACCAGCAACAGCGAACAACTTCAAATCATGATATAATACAATGTCAGGGCAAGGAACAGAAATACAAGATTGAAATTGCAATACTTTAGAAAGGTAAATTACTAGAGACGGTCTCTGACACCATGAACAGCTTACCTGCCTTCGAAGTTTTCATTACGCCTAGTATTTCCAATACTCCAAGTTTCACCAACTCATTTGATGTCGCTTTACGTAAATGATCTTCATACTCTCTTGGCCTGCTGAGTGTGTGAAGTCTCTTCTAACTGCTGCCTTGAATTTTCCCTCGGAAACCATCAATGATCGACCCGGTGGCAACGATTACACCGACTGCATGACTATTTAGTCAACTTACTGGCGCTGCAGATCTTTGCGCAGATTCAACCAGTCCTCCATAAAGCTTGAGCCTGGCATACTGGGCTAAAAGCTCCAGGCATAACTTCCTGTATCGGGAGCTGTACCCCGATGGCCAATGATGTGTTGTGCCAAGATGCACAACTTAGCAAGGCTAGGATTAGGGTTGGTGAGTAGTAGCTCAGCTGCCTTCAGCCGCACTCGACTAAAGCGCAACAAGATCCTTAATATCCTGCCTAGCCTACTTTTTCCAAGCCTAATTTGATGACCGACGCTCCCAACGTGTTCATCGTGAGGGGTTCCTCATTGGCCCTTGGACCAGTCCATCGCTAGTTAGGCATATCCGAAGGTGCCAAGAATGGGATTCGCTACACCATCCGAGGAGTGAAGGATTTTGTGTCTAATTACCACAATTCTGAAAATTAGCCAGTCATTCTGCTGAAGAGGAGAATAACAAAACACGCCCCAGGTGCGGCATCGAATTCTCCCGACCAAAAATAAGCAAGTTGAGCCTCAAGTATGCGACAGCGGTGGTTCACTACCAAAAGACTCAACTAACCATGCAGACGTACAAGAAAACCGGACACGGGAAATCAGCCATACGCCACACCACAATGTGTCCTGCGAGTAACATGAATACGACCCCGGTAGTCCTCCCCAGCGTGCCCAGTCGTCAAAGCCGAACTACTGCAAGCCACCGTGTGCTCTGCCTTGCCGGGCGGTCTTGGCCCCAACAACGCTCTCCCGTAGCTCGAGATTAGTATTCTCCAAATAAAGACCAAAGGCTGATCATCAACACAGCCCCATCAAACTGGACGAAGACAAGCACAATGTTGTCTGTATATAAAGAAGCACACGGCCGGGGAAGCAGGGGCTGTAGCAGTCAAGTGGTGAGCTCAACCTTGTGATAACCAATTTGAAGACAGACCTCCCTTTTCGGTTGTCCCTCTTCTCGGTATAGGTGGAAATCGAATCAGTCATAATGCACGCCTCATTCCAACTCTTGAGCCTCCTCCTGGCTGTGGCGCCTACCGCGCTTGCAGAGACAGACACCGGCCAGCGTCTTGGGTACGTCGATTTGCCGGACGTCAGCATGTCGGGCGTTGTCCTTGCCGCAAGCTCCTGTGGTACTGGCAGGACGGCCTGTGGCTCTGGTTGTATGCCTCTTAGCGGTGTGGTATGTTTGGCACTCCTTCGTCCTTCAACTTCGTCCCCGTGGTATTACTTGTATCTTTGAAGATATCATGAAACTAATTTCGGGTCTCATAGTGCTGCAATGACGGTTCCAATACCTATTGCCCTATAGGCGATCGCTGCGTGACCAACGGCTGCTGCCCAATCGGCAAGACATGTAGCGGCAACGGTGGCACGACGTGCGGGGCCGGCAGGAAGCGCTGCGGAACGGGCTGCATCCCGCTGACGGGCAACTGCTGCGGCGACGGTTCGTACTGCGAGTCCGGCAACCTTTGCACCAGCGACGGCTACTGCTGCCCGATCGGCAAGACCTGCTCCGGCAGCGGAGGTGGCGGTGACGATACGACGACGACGCGCACGCGGACGCGGACGTCCACGACGGAAGAGCCCCTGACGACTACGACTCCTACCTCAACCAGGACCAGGACGACCAGGACGACGACGGATGACGATGACACGACTATTCTGCCCACTGACACCTTCACCTTCAACCCCCTGACCAGTGACACTTCAACGACCTCGAGCTCGCGGCGAACCACAACGACTCCTAGTGGCACGAGCATAGCATCGGGGACTACTACTGCGGCATTGGCTACGACTAGTGTCCTAAGTCAGGAGGGAGGTCGCTTCTCGCCAGAGGGCAAGCTGGCCGTTGCGGGTCTGGCTGTGGCTGCTGCCCTACTTGTCTAGATTGGCAAAACAGATCGTGGATTTAATGAGATGGTATTATTGTAATGAATCCGGCGGTTTGGCTTGGAGAAGCCTCTGGCTCTCGATATGGGGGTGGGGCGCGTGGTTGAGAGTATATAGTAACGTCACCTTATACCCAAGAATAATGGAAATCTTAGTATCATTACCCAATTCTGAGTCGGTATCACGGATGTATCCCCGGTAATAACTAGTCCATTCAACCTATCCGTCTTGTTTGGCGCAAGTGAAGTAATTGTGATGGTACTATTTGAAGCAATGTGAAATGCTGGCAAGTTTCGGTTGGCGGAGACTGCATCACGGCTGCGGCGATGGTGAGCTTTGTAGCTAGCCACATCGATAGTGCAGTTGAACCTTTTGTGTGCAGATCTTCAGATGATAGCCCAATTTGGTCCCTCATACTCTAAGAGGGCGGCAACCAGAATTCGGCATGGCTGAGGCATCAAAGATGGAACACTTATTCGCTCAAAGCTGCCGATTTTGCAGCCAATTACATATCCTGGAACGCCATTAACGCGCTCATGCATTGACTTCGGTGGTACAACACAGAGCAGAAGAAATGGTTGGGTTTGGCCTCACAGCTCGCAGGGCACCAAAGTCTCTTCAACTGCCTTTGTTTTTCAAGTGCTCAACCCCGGCGGTCTCGTACGCATGAACAGGTTCGGTGGCCTGGTACGTTCCTTGAACTCCTCATCAACCCCGTACTCGACATCCTCGACGTCCTTGAACCCTAACTTCCTGTACACATGGCGGCCCATAGCCGAGGCCTCGGTGGTCGCCTCCAGGTCGCCGCGTGCCCGCGCCTCGTCCAGACCCCACTGGACGAGCTTCTTCGCGATGCCCCTGCCCTGGAACGCCGGGTCGACGACACAGAGATCCAGGACCATCATGGACTTCTGGGGCGACTGCGGATGCGCCTTCTCGGCCAGCGTCTCGTGGCGCAGCTTGTGCAGCGAGGCGAGGCACTGCTTCAGGTACCGCTGCTCCTTCTCGTTGCCCGGGTACAGGCCGGTGAGGTCGACCTTGGACGGGACCTCGCCGTGGGCGGGGTCCAGCGAGGCATTTAGCCAGATGGCCAGGCCCACGATGCGCCGGGTGCCTTGGGCCTCGGGATCCGGCAGGGAGGCCTTGACGAAGAGGGTGTTGCGGCCGGCCTTGGTGGACTCCCAGCGCTTGGCCAGCTCCAGCGCGTGCCTGGCCTTGCCTTCGGGTGTCTCCCAGCCCGGGTTCATGAGGACCCAGATGCCATCGGCGATCTGGTGGCCAAAGGCATTGCGCACGCAGTCGTAGGCTTGGTCAAAGTCGTCGGCGTCTGTGACGAGCTCGACGCGCAGGTCGTCGGATGGGGGATTCTGACTGGCCATGGCTTCTCTCTGAGCGAACGCGGAACCGCTCGAGGACAAGATTATGGAGAAGGAAGAAAGGGAAGGGAATGGCAGTTCAAATTCGGTCTACACTTGACTGACTCTCTGTGGGGTACGGGGTAATAAAATAGCTAATGGGATGGATACCGACCGGGAGCTTGGCATCATATCATCAGTATAGGCAATCCGAGCCGCTGCCTGACATGGCAGGGTATTGGCCATGCCAATCGGAACGTGCTGGAGAGCTTTTTTGAAGAGTGCATCCGAGGACGTGTTCCGGGAATGAAAGGTTGGCGGATATATCATTGCAGAAGTAGAGTCTTCAACATGGACGAGGCTCTGAATGACTCTCATGGCGCTTGATCTTTTTATGCAGACCCCACCGCTCCAATTTGCATCTGCATAACTCCGACGCGGGGCGGAAGTGCGTCAGCCCCGCGAATGCCTATCCGTTCCGCTCGAGCCATGACAGCCAGATATATTGTCGTGTCGTCAAACGGGCCATTGGTCTTGATCCTCACATTTCGATATTGAACTGCCCTGCCTTTCCCTTCCGCCATCGCACCATACAAAGTCAGGGCAGCTCCTGTTACACCAAGACCAGCACCCGAGTCAACAGTTGGAAGTTAGACTCACTCCCAACAACGCCCATCATGGCGTCAAACCCGTACGAGGGTATGTGGCTACCACTCCCCAACCCACCACCGTGATGCGCCGCGCAACCTGGCCGCTGCTCCCCTGTTCTTCTCCGATGCTGACATCTATCGTATAGTTGAGCACAACATCAAGGCCTCGGCCTCCAAGCCGCACAGCCGCCGCCCCGACATGTCCTCCTTCACCTCCCACCTGCACACCATCTCGCCCGAGGCGGCGTCCAACTCGGCGTCGACACACCACGCCGGGCCCACGCCCGTCGACGCAGCGGCCCTGTTCCGCCTGCTGCAGGACCAGATGGCCACGCTGGCGACGTCGGCGCCCTCGGAGGAGAACCGCGACTTCCTGTCGGGCCTGATCGAGATGCTCAACAGCGACGTCGACAACCCGCCCGAGCGCATCAAGGGCGTCACCCAGGACTACCTCGACTCGCTCGACCGCGTGCCCAAGAAGAAGATCAAGAAGGACGACAGCTGCCCCATCTGCGCCGAGCCCTACCTGGACGACCAGTACCCCCTGATCGTCGAGCTGCCGTGCCATGGCGCGCACCGCTTCGACCTCGAGTGCGTGGGGCCGTGGCTGCTGAGCAAGGGAACGTGCCCGCTGTGCCGGAAGGACCTCACGGAGAAGAAGAAGGTCGAGATACCGGTAGACGACGAAGAAGAGGACGACATGGACGGATTGTACGGCTAAGGGGGGTGAGTTGATCAAGCGAGCGCATTGCGAGGGGTTTGGAGTTGGGGGCGGACCATGGGCTGGTGACTAGCGATACCCAAAATGCCGAGAAAGGACACACATTGTTCATGATATAAACAGAATTCTGGCTCTGGTGGTATTGTGCCACTATGGGCTCAACATATTGCAAAGCATATGCATTGATCATCCATTCCCTACCAAACTCCTAAACATGCAATGCGTCCGACAAAGGCGTTACATGTAGCCGCTTGCCCCCGCCAGCCTGGAGGTCGCTTCGGTGCGCCTTGGATCCTTGAGCACCCTTTCACGGGACTAGGTACAACAACAGCACAACCCCCTTCGACTACTGTGTCGGCTTGTTCTTGGCTGGGCTGCCGCCGCCACTGCGCTTCCCGGCGCCCGCCTTGGTCTTGTCCTCCTCCTTGCCTCTCCCCGACTCCGCCACGTCCTTGTTGGCAGGGCTGTTCTCCAACGGGTTGGTGTCGTTGCCGTGGCCTGCCGCCTCCTTGGCTGCCCCGGGGCTGGTCTTGTTGGGGTTGAAGGCGGCGTCCGGGTTGGCAGCCATGTCGTCGTCCTCGCCCGACCCCGTGTACTCGTGGGCCTTGGGCTTGAGCGACTCGCGGTCCTGGTCGTCCTTGTAGGGCCTGTGAGACACTGCCGATGAGTGAAAAGGACGGGCGGCGAGCGGGGCCGCCATGCAACTAGTTACTGGGCCGCGCAGAGCTGCGCGGAAATGCGTCAGGGTAGGCATTTTGAGGTGGTTTACTCTGCGGTCGAGGGTGCGGGAAAGTGGTGAACGAGATTGATATAGGTTGTCTCAATCGCCAATGCTTAGGTATAGGTCAGGCAGAGGACTGGGATTGGTTTTAGACTGGAGTTCAATTGTAGTAGACTATTGGTACATGTTAAATGGAAGTGGTTGCAACGCTTTCTGAACTACCTATGGCGTCGTAGGTACGGTCTTCTGGTAACAGAGACGTTGTAGTGACGTCAAGACAGGGATAGAGCTCTCCAGCGTCTGTGGGGTGGAAGCTGTCAACTGGGGAGCCGTTTCTGGCGGACATTTAGCTCCCTAAGCTCCTGCTCTAAGCTCCCTGATAGGCCACCAAGCCGAGGTACCGACCTGGGCTGCAGGCGTATACATTACATTTCTTAGAGTGCGCAGAGAGCCTGAATACACAGCAAGTTCTAGCCATTCTACCCACAACACTAACCCGAGTTGCGGCTGATTTCGTTGAGTGTCTTCGATTGCTTCAACTCGTTGCCAAGATACTTCTCATCTGAACTATTTTGCTGGCAGGGAAAGAAATGGTTAGAAAGGGCTTAGGCATCCTGTCGCGAACAATTGCTCCCCATTGACAGGGATCAGTAAACCTTGCAGCTGTATTGGACCCCATCATCAACCTTTTTTTTTACCTTGCTCCACAGGGACACAGAGAGCGTTGCAGGGGTCACGGGGTTATACACGGGGGACCTCGTATGTGTATATGAAGCTGGACCCCATAGACCCGCAACGGAAACCCCAGCTCACGACGTTGCATGACTGATTACAACAGACCGCTAGAATTAGTCTCGAATAATATTTTGAACAGTCGAGCGCCGCAGCGCAGTAGGACCCTACTAAGTTGGCTGGGGAACTACCTTAATTAGCACGACAAGGGGACCAACTGCACTTGTCCGCCCTACTTGCAAGCGAAGCCGTCCTAATGTGCTAAAACACCGTCCGTGTGCCATCGCAAGCGCGAGGCAGGCAAACAATAAGCTTCACTAAGGGCAAGCGAAGCCCTGCCTTTTAGGCCATGCAACTAGAGCAACGAAGAGCCGCCTAGAGGCCCAAGTCGCCTCGCCGTCTCCGGCTGGGCGAGCAAGCACCAACTTCTCTTTCTCGCACCCTCAATGCAAATCGTCTACAAACCTCTCAATAAATCCTCACTCCAGGCAGCTCAAAAGAACCCGGCTTCGACGACAACCTCAACTCGCTGCTGTCCGCTGCTGCTCTGTGACGCTCGTCCAACATGGAGGAACCCAAGAATTTCTGGCAGTTTTCGATACTGCCAAAGGAGCTCCGGACCATGATCTGGCGATTCGCCATCTTCAACGAAGCGGAAACTCCAGGCGTCCAGTTCTTTACCCTATATCCCAGAGACGGTTACCTGTGTGATTGCATGCAATGTGTGGACGCTGACCTGCTTCACCGCTGCGCCTACATCCGAAGTTACGACAACTCAAAACGCATCCCGCAAATCCCAGGTGTGCAGCCGCCGCCGCCCAGGGAGTCTTTCCTCCGCAAAGCACGCTATGGCAGATCACACGACCTCGCGCAGAGATATCTGAACGGGGTCGCTGCTCGTCCGGGCAACTCCAATCCTGCACTCGCCATCCATGAGTCTTCCGCCGAGCACCAGGCGCGGGTGTACTCCCAGTCCTTCAGTGCGGCGTTCGAGGAGGGCCTGGCCAAGACGGTACCAGACTTCGAGCACCGGCGGGACAGCATCCTGCGAATGGCATCGGAGGACCCGTCGCAATTCCCAGAGGCATGCGAGCACGCCTATGCATTTGCTGGCGAGAGCCTCAAGGCGCACGCTTCCTCCCACCATGCCGTGGGGTCCCAGGCTCTGGGCGTCCGTTCCATCGTCGACACCGACAACGCCTGGTTCATGAACCATGACTTGTACCGCATGGGACGCTCCGCCTACGAGATCAACGACGCGTTGTACCACGCCTGCTCCGAGTCGAAGCAGGTCGTCAGCCGCTGGAGGGCCAAGCGACGTGCCGCCACGATGGACGACGTCGACGAGTTCGCGTTCCAGGCCACCGCCAATGGGCCGGGCCGGGACCTGACGGAGCTGTTCTGGAACCCGGCCAAGGACCTCATCTGCCTGCGGCCGACGCGGAACCGCTCGGGCGGCCTCGCCGTCGCCCTGGGCGACCTGTGCCACATCCCGCACGTCGACCTGCAGCGGCGGCGGTCGCCCGACGTCGCCTTTGCCGTCGAGTTCGACCCCTGGTGGCGCAACACGGGGCCCGCGCTGCCCTCGATCAAGGCCGGCCTGCGCGACCTGGCCGGCTTCATCTCCAAGTACGGCGCCGGCCGCCAGCAGCGCGCCATGTACTTCATCGACTGGCGCGTCCGGCTGCGGCCCGGCGTCCACCCGGCCCAGCTGCCCCCGCCCCTGTACGAGGGCGCCGGCTCCAGGTTCTACAGGGCCGACGTCGGGCCGGGATATTTTGAGACCCCGCCGGCGGACATCTGCGACTTGATCTGCGAGCTGACGGCTTCGGGCCCGGTATCGCGAAGGGTTGACGTCTATATTCTGGCGGCCGTCAATATCAACTGAGAGCGGTGGGGATGTGGTCAGGCTGAAGTCGTTGAGAAATAACCCTAGCGGAAGGTTCACGGACGGTCGGTCGTTCATGGATGGGTTTTGCTCGGGCTTGACGTCTTGTTGTGTGGTGTGCTGCAGTCACTAGACTGGCTGCGTACGGACGTATTGTGTCCCGGCAACATATGGCAAAGGAAAAGGGAAATGGAATTTGTGTTTCTAGAGCGTTTAATGCTCGGAGTTGGGGGAAGGCATCTCATCAAGGCCATCGTGAAGTCGCCAGGGTTTCCACGGATGGGAGGCGACGTAAGAGGTACTGGCAGACTTGTTGGCACTGGCGTTTGTTATTCTAGACATTCTCGCTTTACGCAGCGGCTGCGTGTCAAGGTAGCTGATGACGCTGGTCAGCGGCAGTCATCATCCTGAATCTAATCAATAATTCGTACCATTCCGTTGGCTTGTATACGCATGGCAAACACTGGGTAGTCAAGAATGTGCCTCCCGGAGGTTGTAGTCACGTGCGTCAAATGTTGTTCCGGTTTGGAATCTCTTGGGAGATGATCCAATGAATTCCAAGTTGAATTTGTGCAATTATCAACCTGGCTTTCTTACAATACTACGGCATGTGTCTCTTGTCCAACATGCCTTCCATGGCACTCTACGCATGTGACATCCGCACACGCGTCTACAAGATATATTCTACGCTCCAGCCTAGCTTTAGAGGGCAGAGATGAGCTGGAGCTACATAAAGCTCTTGGATGTATATGCCGATCATGAGAGCCAACAAGAAACATTCAACCCTTCCAGCCATCGTCTTCTTCCTGCCAGAAGTAGTTGCTTTCCGCATCGTATGAGCCGGCCTCTGTGTAGAACTTTCCGCCCGCAACTTCGCCTTCCTCTTCGTCGCTTTCGTTGTTGTACCAGTTGTAGACTTGGGCATCCAGCCCCTGTAGACGCTGCTTGTTGAGTACATCCTGGCGGTCAGATGCATCGGGGCTCTTGGGACCATCGACCTGGCCGACGGCGGTGGTAGAAGTACTTTGTTCGCCCGCGGCTCCTAACTTGATGGCGGTGCTGGCGGGCTGTCCATCGGTGCTCTGTGGTTCGCCGTTGATCCAGGTTTTGCGGATGGCCACGGCGCCGTCGAAAGCGAGTCCTGCCTGTTTCTGCTCAGGAACATGCAAGTCTTGAGGGGGAAGTCCGGGATCACGAGTGCGCGTATTGCCACGATCTAGCGCGTCACTCTGAGTCGCAATCAGGGCATCCTTCATGGCCTTCTGCAGAGCCCGGCGCTGGGCTTCGGTGTCGGGCGCACGAAGGATGCGGAAGATGAGGTGGCTCTCAGAGCGCTCCTGCTCCGTGCCCATCTTCAGCCCGAAGAAGTGCAGAAAGTCGCCGATGCTCTTGAAGCCGAGGTCGCTAATGACTTGAGCTTCGCTGGGAGGTTCGGCTTCTTGTGTTCTTGCAATTGCCCGCAGATGGGGCGGCAGCTCGTCCGCAGACATGGGGGATAGCTGGCCGTGGGTGTGGGAAGAGACGATAGGGCTGATCAGGAGGACTGCTTGATCATCATGCTAGAGTTCTCAAGCTTTTGCGGATGTCAGCAAGGTTCCAAAATGTAAGGCCACCATCCTGTCGTGTCCGTTTGTCTCGAAAGGTAGGGGGCAACGAGGGAAAGAAACGAACCGTGATATCAACAGGCACCATCACGCGGCCAGATTGCTCTCAATAAAAGGCCACCGGTCGTCCAGTGGCGCTCAGGTGATTGGTCTCGATTCTCAGCGGTTAGTAACCCCAGTGAACGGAAGCTGGGTCTGTCCGTGATGGCTCAGAAGGAAAGCGCGTCTCGCATGTTTCAAACTCGAGCGACGAAGTGAGGCGGCTTTCTTGCACCCCGGGAGATATCAAAAATACGATATTCAGTTGCAAAAGGTCGGCCACCGCTCAACATACCTTAGTTGAAGAGCTACAAAAACATCGCAGCTTAGCGTACGGGAGTCTCATTAAGACTGGTCTAGGTGGCCTTCCCTGTGGTTTTCCACTTTGAAAGATAGACAACAGTGCAGGACCTGGGATCTGGCATCTTCAATGCTGAGTCTCAGAATCAGTGGTTTTGCGTGAAGGTGGCTTATATATCTTTGAAAACTCCCTAGTACAGCTCAAATATCTTGCCTTGAGTAAAGGTGGGTGTTATCCCCTTGGCGCCCTCGTTAAGTGGAATGCACGTATGACAGACAGTCTTGTCACGGGACAGACATTCCTGCCATCTTGTATATGGGCAAATCTAGATGACTTCTCAAGAGCCTGGCCTCTTGAGAGCTGCCTTGTGACCGCACGTGTGCATTCTGCCATCCCACCAAACCGAGTAAGTAGTCTGCCTCCCTTATAGATCGAGTAACAGAGAGCACACGACCAGCGTTAAAATCCGTGACTGTCTTGCCCTTACCTGTCTCGGCCCACCTCGCCCTGCCTTGCCTCGCGCTTGCTTCGACTCTGGCTACTCACTATGTCCTTTCAATACCCAAATGATTTTGCGCCTTGCTGCCCAGGGCTCGGAATATTCACCCACAGCACAGGCGCCCAGCGCGGTCTTACTCGACAATGTCAGTGACAACAATCGACCGCGTTCACATCAAATCCTCAGCACCGGGTATTGAAGAAGCAGGATTTCACGGTCCCTATCGTCGTAAAGAGCCATCTACCGTTATCACAAGCGTTTTCGTCTTTCATCGAGTCGTTACGACCTCTACTAGGCGAGATGGGGCATGAGTTCCACGACCATCGTCATCACGGCCACGAGAGCACGACCGCAGCTAGCCGCACGGCACCGCGCCGACTCACCTACGGTTGCCAGCAGTTCTCAACGCGTGAGCCTATCTTCTCAGGGGCGACGGCCGCCAAGGGACATACTTAACACCAGTGGCCCAGCCTGCGCATTGATCCCCAGCACCCCAGCAGGTAGCGGTACCGGTTTTCGACTTCGCATCGACTCATATATCGTTATCACGAGCGAGTTCGTCTTTTTGCGACCCAATACGTGCCTTGCTGGCGGAGATACAAGTCTATGGCGTGAGCTTTGTAAATACTCTACCTCCCGCAAGCCTCAAGAGGTGCAGCGCCGGGATTTCGGTTCATCGAATCATCTGCCTCTATCACGAGCAAAAGTATCTCATTGCGGCTCAAGAACTCAACAGATACGCAGATAGCTGATAGCTAATAGCAGGGTATACTACGGTTTCGGCTCCGAGGATCTTGCAGCTGGGGTCGGTCTATCTCAGTGTTCCGGTGGAAGCCGGTTCGCACATGCATTCGATGCCCTTTGCCGATCTGAGGTTGCTGGTCCTGCCTGTCGTCAATGCATTCACTCGTCCTCAATTTGGAACGCCAGACACCTAGCTTGCGGCACATTTCTTTCATGGCTTGATGTTTTACATCACTGCAATGGCCTTGATGTCGCAAGGCTGTGTTGTTACAGGGTCTTACGGATTGTCATGGCTCAAAAAATTGGCTGAGCTCAAGTGAATCACGGTCAACATCATACAATCACACAGAACATGGTATTAGGAACAGACCAAATATTTTTGGTCTTTCTCGATTGGGTATCACCAAATGCAGAAACTACCGGGGATTCTCAGAACAGTGCATGTTCCACCGAAGAGAACTCCACCGGTCAAAGGGGGTATGGGGTATCCATGCAGGAAACAAAGGTGTAGACGCCACGCCGCAAACCAGGATCCATCGCACTTTGCCGAACTTTCACCACAGCGCAAGAAAGGCAGAGTCCGCAGACCAGAATCCAGCTTAGGCAGTGGCAGCGGGCTTCTCCTCAGCCTTGGGGGCCTCAGCAGGGGTAGCGGCAGCCGGGGCAGCCGGGGCGGCGGCGGCCTCCGGAGCGGCGGGGGTCTCGGTGGGAGCAGCAGCAGCTGTGAAGGATTAGCCATAATTCACAATTTTCAACAATGGAAACCTCTTACCCTCAGCAGGAGCGGGCACCGGAGCCGTGACCGGAGCGGCAGCGGCAGCGGGAACAGGCGCAGCAACCGGGGCAGCTAAATCTCACGTTAGTATCTGGCGTCCTCAGATTCGAATCATGTTAAATCTTACCAGCAGCCTCTGTCTTCGGCGCCTCAGCAGCAGCCTCGGCCTTGGGAGCCTCAGTAGTGGCGGCAGCGGTCTCGGCCTTCGGAGCCTCAGCTACGGCAGCAGCGGCGGGAGCCGCAGCAGGGGCAGTGGCAGGGGCAGCATCGGCAGGTTTGGTCTCGGTGGGCTTGGTCTCCGCGGGTTTGGTCTCGGTAGGCTTGGCCTCGGCGGGTTTGTCGGTGGTCGCAGCCTTCTTGTCCTTGTTCTTCTTGGCAAAGATTGCCTTGAACTTGCCCTTGATGTTGTCGAGGGCGTTGGGGGCTACGAGAACGACTCTGTCAGCGTCTGAAGTGGGGCAAGCAAGCAAGTGATGTGGATGGAAGATGGATGGACCGCGGTGTAGGATCGAGGGTCACGTCGCATCACTTGAGCATGTCCTCAGTGACTCTGTACCAAGGACGCTCATAGCCGGCTAATACTAGCCCTGCTACGCCAGTCCACCACGAGCTCCTGCGTAACGGGCAGCCTGCGAAGCCATGCAGGAGCAAGTCCTGTAAGCTAGTCTGCCACAAATTGTGATAGTGGCCAAAATCCCCAGGCCGGGGTGGAAACTCCGCAACTATACAACGGCAGGCCATTCGTGGCGCAAGGTGGCCTTTCAGAGCAGGGAGCAAGAGGGTAGAGCAGAGATCACAGGGGAGGGTAATGGAGCTGAAGCTGGGGGGAAACTTACGAATGCCGGGCATCTTGACGGTATTACGGTTGGACGGTTTGAGACGAGGTTCTGACGACGGCCGAGAGTCCAAGTTGACGGAGGTTGAGGGTAAAGGTTGGGTGAAGGTGACGAAGATCTCGAGAGGTGGTGGACAAAGGAAATAAATGTCGAGCTCCGAAGTATGGGGTTGATATGTTGGAAATTGGATGCAGCGATAGCGAGCAAGACGGCGCTAACAACCGCTGGGCACGGACCAGGAGGACCCGAAAACCCCTGCTAGACCCTGCTAACTTGCATTTAGTGACAATGCTCCTCCTGCAGCTGCTGCACAGACGGGGGAGCCTACTGTACGAGCTGCTCCAAGACTCGAGAGACTCGAGACAACGAGGCGCCAGGAACCCTGATTCGAAACCACGCCCACATGCCTGTTGACCGGAGGCCACCTCCCCTCCTTCTGGGCTCAGTTCCCACGTATGGGACCACACAGAATTGCATCCGAGAAAGGGGTTCTTTGCTCAGAGCCGACGACGATCAGACTCACGACCAACTGCATCGTAGGCAAGATGTTCGCGTTGCGTTGCAACCTGTCCACGGCAGGGGCTCCCAGGCAAGGGCTTGCGTTATCGAGATGACGGCATTCCTGTTAGCGCCGATCCAAGATATAGCTAGCGAGACGAACCCCGGTTTCTTGGGATTCTTTGACGCTTGACCCGCGCTGGACCCAGTGCTGGACCGCCTGGAGATGTCTCTTGGGTCGGTTTTGGGTTGATGGCTGCTCACTTATTTTAGATTCATATCGAGAAATAGCCACTACAGTCTAACCCGGCGACAGCCCCTTTCGTGATTTCCCAGACCACGGGTGTATCGACTTTGTGCGCAACTATCTCGAGTGTTCGATACGGAAACCTGCGCTGCGGGTCACAAAACTTGGAAGAGACGACATGCAGTAACTTCGACTATTTACCAAGGAAGAGACAGCAACCAGTAAATCCACACGGGCTGCAACCGCCCGGGGCCTCACACTTTGCGGCTGATTCTGTCGAGCTGAAGTGGACGCAATTGCAAGCCATCCAATCCGCCAGTGTTGTTTTCGCGTTGCGCTTAAAGAACGGGGGCTTGCGCATTAGTTTGTCAGCTGACAGACACTGACCCCTATTCGGCGCACATCAGTCCGACGGCACGGCCACCAGGCCATGCGACAAAGTGGACAGAACGAAGCATGGTTTTGACATGACTTCGGAGAGTTGGCGCGAGTCGCGCTCCGAATGCCGGTCCAGAATGAGTCAAATCGCCCAAGAACTTCCAGGCCCGGTGATAGTCAAATTCAACGTTGGTAGTCCACTTTGCCACCCAATCGGCGTCCGGCTGCTGTGCGCGTGCGGCCTCCAGCACTGCTAACAAGACGGGGGTTGCTATGGGTTCGTATCATCCCAATGACCAACCACCGTTCCTCCAGTTATCACCGATCATGTACATATTGAATTGTGTCGGCAGCCCAGCAAGGACATGCTGCATCGGCAGGTCGGAGAGTTCCTACGTCACGTAGTATCGATATATTACTCAATAGCTAAGAAGGAAACCATCGTGAATCGCCGCCTTGTGGATCCAGTTCAACCCGCCTCCCCCGAGGGCGGGTTCAAAATTTCGCGGGCGACCCGTGGTCCACTCCAGGCACTAATGACCTAAACAGCCAGTTGCTTCGGAGGTGATCAATCCGGACTTGTTCGTGGGTTCAAACATCATTTCAAATTCGAATTGCACAATTTGCGATTCAACCTTCATTTTGACAATCTCCCATTATCTATCTCCTCCACATCGATCAAATGGCTCCCACTATTCATTTGGTCCGCCATGCTCAAGGTTTTCATAACCTGTCCCACGAGAATGAGCAGCTTCCAGACCCTGATTTGACACCGTTGGGAGAGGAGCAATGCAAGAAACTGCAGCAGCACTTTTCGGAACATGAGAAGATCACGCACCTGGTTGCGTCCCCCATGCGCAGAACGCTATACACCTGTCTACTCTCATTCGAGCCTGCGGCAAAGAGTGGCAAGAAGGTCATCGCCCTCCCGGATGCTCAGGAGGTTTCCAGGCAGCCTTGTGACATTGGCTCAGAGCCCGCCAAGATAAAGGCCGAATTCGGGGACAAGGTGGATTTCTCCCTGGTTGCGGATGGCTGGAACGACAAGTCACCCGAGAGCAAGTATGCGCCGGATGCTGAGAAACTAGACCAGCGGGCGCGGGATGTCCGTCTCTGGCTTCAGGATCTGGCCAAGAAGGCTGGCGACGACGCTCACATCGTCTTGGTCACCCACGGTGGTATTCTGCACTTCATCACGCAAGAATGGGATGATATCATGCCTGGACGAGGTGAGTCTTTTTCCCAGGGCCGCGCAGCCCATCATCTGACGTCATTATCCGGGTGGATTTGCAATCACGAGAAAATCGAACAGAAGCTGACGTAGCCTCCAGGTACGGGCTGGGAAAATACCCAGTGTCGCTCATACGAGTTCAGAGACGCGACATTGAAGGACCCAGATGCCGCGCTGCGGGAACTCCAGTCCAGCTGGCGGCAACGTCGTGGCGATGCCATCCCCTTGACAGATACGGAGCAGAGACAAGCGCGTGCTGCCTTTTCCCACAATATCGAAGCGGGCTTGCAAAATGCAAAGAACTAATCGATCGTCTTTTCGGTACTTGGCGTAACGTTGCTGTCTTTGGAAATAGAATAAGAGTTAGAGTATAACTCAGAACTAGATCTAGAATAATTGGGTGGGCTTATTAGAGCATTACACGTCGTCTCCAATGAAGGGATTCTTGTAGCTCCATGGATTTCACCACTTTATCAAATGGAGCTGAACTTTGAGATGAATGAGCACATCTATATATAGTTTCTGAGCAAGTCAACAGCCACGGGCGGCCTGGGAGCGGGGTCCCGCAAGTTATATGCCTTGCGGATTCCTTCAACGAGTCTACATTCTCCACGCACTGACTATCTTGTGCTGGATTGTTCCCAGGAACTGTGATTGAAATGCTACGTGAGTTTCATTCGCGAATGTGCAGTCATCTACGAATAAGTTGCTAGCAACAATGGGAGATCCCAGTATCATGTGCTTTCAAGGAAGCATTGTCCATCCCACTCCCACTGACCTCATGAGAGCATGTTTTCCCTCCCCCCCTCCGAATTAGTGGCATTTTAAGACTACTGTCATCTTGCGCCTACTGAGATATGCTCCTGCTCTGTTATGAAACATAAGTGAGAAGATATGGCTGCCACCAGTTCTGCATGCGGGTGGCAGGTTGCAGCACTGCCTTCAATTACACGGAATAAAAAACAGTTTCGTATCTTTTTTTTGTCTTCTTTCAAATCCACGTTCGACAGTCCTCAATTGAGGGGAATAAATCCTCTCTCAGCACGAGCTAAGTGTATATATGTCGCTATAGACCATGATGGATCAGAGTCGCTGAAGGACCCCACATTCGCAGCGACTTTAGGGGTTGCAGGGGGACCCCCTTTTCACCCAGGGTTAGCGTCAACCGCCAGCGAGTCCCCGCCGGGACCGCAACGTCGTCGGAGCTTATCCCGACTTCGCTCGCAGAACCCGGCGTTTCGGTGAGACAAACCCGTCTGGATGGTAAACGGTCTCCCGCTCCCGCGTGCATAACCTTATTCGGCGTCATTCTACCAGAGATTCAACCGTATACGAGTGCCCCATCAACTTATTTTCCTGGACTCGAGGAGTACTTGCGCGGGGCTTTCTTTGTCTTTCACAGGTACGGGCGGATCACCGCCCCAGGGGCCAGAGCAAAGATGTCGGTTCAATTTCATGAGCAGTTCATCCGCTTCACCACCGATTCAGGTATGAGTTGCTGTCCCTTACGAGAAATCTACTGGGTGTTGCGTCCGCATACGATTGCTGGAGCTCCCAATTCCCCTTCACACTCCTCGCCAAGACGTGTGGTACCTCATTTGCTTTTTAGTCTTCTCAAATCCACCCAGGTATCTTCGTCCTTGGAATGCTGCCTCCATGTGATTGCATATAGTGACTATCCTTTTGCAACATCCAAAGTTCAGGCTCAGTGCAGAGGACTCGTCCAAATGAGAAACCATTACCATCAGCATGTAGCAGTGCGTAGCTGCACCTGCCCTTCTTCTGTTTCCGCTTCCTTGTTCACTTCTTCATGCCCACAGCTAGAGAGCCTCTATATCAAGTTTCGCAGTCACTAACACTCACCTTCAGTCGGACTCGAGCGGACTTTCAGACTGCTGCAGGCCACCGTACAGATTATAGCCTCATACCCGGCCGTCCTAGGTCTTCTGCTCTCCCTGCTGGGCTTTATCACCGGATCCTCATCAGCCGCCGTCTCGCACGCGCAGACAAACGTGATTCTGCTCGCCCTGCGCCAGCGGCTAGGCCTGGCACGGCGCTTCTTCCGGCTGTTCCGCTTCCTGGACGCCTTCCACGCGGCGCACAAGCTGTACGCGGGCCTGTCGGCGACGGGCGCGGCCCCGGCCCCGGCCGAGGCGTGGCTCGACGTGCTGGGCCGCACCTTCAACGGCATGTACCTGCTGCTGGAGGCGTCGACCATCGTGGACGCGCTGCAGATCGAGGGCCTGCGGGTCTGGGCGCCCGACTGGGAGCGCGCCATCACCGTCGAGGCCCAGCGCTTCTGGCTGCTCGCCCTCGTCTGCGGCGTCCTGGCCGGCCTGCTGCGCATGGTCAAGGTCCTGGCCTACACGCCGGTGCCGGCGACGGGCGACGGGTTTGCGCACGGGGCCAAGGAGGGCAAGGACGATGCCGGGGAGAAGGACAAGGTGGGGCCAGGCGACGGCGACGAGGGCGAGTTTGACATGCAGAAGGAGCAGCAGAGGCTGCGCGCCATCGTCAAGGAGAGGCGCAAGGGGCGTGTGCTCTGGAGACGGGAGGTCCGGGCTAAGCTCCGCGGTCTGGGCCGTGCCGTCACGGCCAACGCACTGGACATTGTTCTCCCTGGCTCCGTGGTCGGTTGGGTTCAGGCGGATCCGGGTACAGTGGGACTGGCCATGTTCGTCACTAGCATTCTGACCGGCATGGATGCCTGGGAGCGGTGTGGGAGAGAAGTTGCTGCGAGCAAGTAGACTGGCGGTTCCAGGTTGGGTTCCCGAGGCAGTATCTGCAATCGGCTGTTCATAGACTATAGAATTTGTACGGTTGAATGATGATAGAGGATACGGCATGACTGGTAATGTTATCATGTTAAACACATTTTACGATATACGAGTTGCACACATCCTCTACATGCGCTTGAGCACAGCCGGTGGTGCCAATAAACCACCAAGGCTGCAGCTTAGCGGTTAAAGCATTATTCCACTCTCTTCTCCTGTTAATCAGCTAAATGCCCAAAGTCCAAGCGCCCCAACGGAGTATATAGATTTGATATTTTCCCAACCAGATAGATGGAATGCAGATGAGCCTTGAATGCAAGAAACAGCCCAGAAAAACAAAATCGGCAAATGGGTATATATACAAAAGCAACTCAAGCATGAGCGTGTCATGAATCGTCAAAGGCAGAGCTGATGGGTCAATCTCCCACTTACTGCCCAGTAAATGCAACGGGTATTCTGCGCTATCCAAAACCAAGTTCGTCATCCTGGAAGGAAGAGGGCCGCTATCAGAGTACGTTCGGGAGAACTGCGCGCTGTCCAGCTCAGAGTGTGCCATCAGCCCGTTTCTGATCCCTGGGTTGCACTTCAACGGCAGGGGCGGCCTGCTCGGCCGGGTCTGGGACGACGTTCTCTTTGGTCACAGGGCTCATCCTCATCTTCTGCATGCGGATCTCGTCTTCAGTCAGTTTCATGAGCTCATCCTTCCGTGCGATGGAGGGCCACTTCCGGTTCCCGTCCTCCGCAGCTTGTTCGGCTTCGGCGAGCCACGCCTTCCACTGGGGGGTGCCAGGGGCGGCACCGCTCCGCTCTACCCAGGCAGTGCGCTTTGTCTCGCGAATGGCGAACCAGAGCGTGCGAGTAAAGCTCTTTACGCCCTCACGGGGGTCAGTATCGTCCGTGGTTGTATGTGCGTTTTTGGCGTCCTCTGGGGTGATATCCTCGACGTTGTACCGACTAAGGTCCCAGAAGTAGCGCTTCGGGAGCAGGCCCATGGCCCAATACATGCCATTGAGGAGGATATATGATGCAGCGATGAAGGTCTGGCTGTGCCATTTGCAGTTTCCCAGCAGAACAACGCTGAACATCAGCAACATGGTGCCAATACCCATCAGAATTCTATAAGTCTGACCACCGACTCGGTATTCACATTCCTCAGTGCCGGCATAAAGCTCGCGGGCCACGTTCTCCGTGCATTTTATCAGGAGAAAGGCACCCTCACGCGTGCGGATGACAACATCGCCGTCTGGGACCTTGTTCGTGTGACTTCTCCTCATGAGGAGAGGCTTCCACCACGAAGCCGCACCTACGATGGAACTGGCTAGGGAAATGAGACACAAGGCCAAGATGGCCGTGCCGTCGTTGAAGAACACAGCCGCGATGATCATGGCGATGGTGAGCAACATGGAGAACACGGACAGCAGATGAACCGGCGACCACAGCGCGGCGGGGATCGCTGGCCGCTTGGCGTTGGTAGCCAGCGTGGGATTAGCTATAAGGTCCGTCATACGGTCCTTCACGGTCTGCCGTCTCGTGATGCCTGGCTGAGGTACCTGGGCTTGTGCCTCAACGTCACGGTGGAAAGTGACACCTGTAGCCCGAGCAACGTCGCTATGACTGTTGCCATTGGCGTTGCCATTGCCCTCGGTGTTACTACTCGGAGGGCCAGGTATCCTGTTGGAGCGTGGCTCGGAAATATCTGTGTCTGCTCTCCCTCCCCTCCCTAGGAACTTGCCCAGCTTGCCGGGCCCAGTTGGCGATTTTGGTACCTCGAAATCGCCGGCTTCATTCTGATCCTTGTGAGATATGCGTAGCGCCTTGAACGCAAAGGGGGCAAACTCGTCGAGGGGGTGGAGGATGCTAGCAAAGAAGCCAACGGAGTCGAGAGTCACGCCGCTGTAGACACCGGTGATCTTGGCCGTGGTCTCGGGCATACGCAGGGGACGGGACCCCTTCAACAAGGCCTGGGGCGCCGGGATGATCCGGGGCAGCATGCAGAGCACGCTGGCCGTGATGGCCTGCGAGTGGTCGGCAATGGAGGACTCGCCGATGACGGCGAGCAGCGTCACGACATCGAGGCGCCAGCCGCTCGGCCCCTCGCCGTCCGCCGTGTTGGACGCGAACCAGCGCAGAGGGCCGGTGGGCTCGTCGTCGGCCATTGAAGGGGGCTTTCGGCCTCGCGAGGCCCGGAGAGTCGGTAGGTTTGCGAAATACTGGGGAAACTTGCGGGTAGCTAAGTTAGGTTCGAAAGCTCTGGCCCTTTCGACTCGAGCCGGGCCCTTTCCCGTTCCCTTTTTGTCTCGCGGGCTCGGGTTTGGCTCCTGTTGGAACTTGGGAGTCCCCAGTGACGGAGGAGCTAGGAACAAGGGTCTTCCTTTCGTAGCAAACAACAGCGCAAGCGTCCAACACCAGAAGTTAGGTGGAACAGAGGCAAACCAAAAATGCAGTGAAGCAGTCCCAGCCTTTTTGGAGTTTTGTCTTCTCAGGAGGATGAAGGGGCCATCTAGTTCCCTGCACGCCCGAAGCGAGGGCACGCTCCTCGCTGCAAAGCGCTCTCAGCCTCACCTGATCTCCTCCTGGCTGGAAAAGGATTTGTTGGAACTAATAAATTCCAGCCAGAACCCTGGCGCCGCCCTGCGGAAACCAAGTGCCACTAAGCTTGGTTTGGGTTACAGTGGACCCGCAGGCGGCTGCTTGTGACGAGACGGGACTGGCCCTGGCGCCCGACGCCCATTGTTGCTGCGTCGCCAAGAGCGGCTGAGTGCCCAGTCCTTATGTCTTCGGCCCTGTACGATTGGGTCTCGGGTGACCGCAAGAGGGTGCCGATGCGCAGCCTGCCGAACAATGGGCTTGTGCAGTGCTGCAGCCGATCGCCCGTCCAGACAGCCAGGCTGGAACATGAGGGGGTCTTTTGTTTCAGGCACTGTCGTTAGGCGCCAAATATACCAGAGCAGGAGAGGAGTCGATAGATTGAGTGAATGGTACATGGTCTCATCTGGCTGAAGAAGGAGGGTTTCCGCTACAGCTCCAGAGGTTGGCGACTGACGATCGAAGACAGCTCTTCAACACGCGATCGGTGATTGAACGTTGACTGGCGGCGTAGGGGTATCGAAGTGTAAAATTTGGTGCATATATTTGATTTGAGTTCTGACAGACAGACACGGAAGAGCCACTGAGCCCGGCTCTGTAAGCACTACTGATGAGTGTGTCAGTAAGCTGTGGCGCGCATCCCTGGGTAACCATCCATGGGTAACCATCCAGAGCCTCGTCCTTGAACTTCCATCCAAGAACACGTAAAGAGCACAAGCCTAAGAATAATTGCACAGAAATGGTGGATCTAAGGCGTCCAAAACGTCTTCTTCGTCAAGCGCTCAATAAACGACCGTTTTCTATTCCCACGCCCAAAGAAAGGGGGCCTACATACTCTCCAAACGCCTGCCACCATGTTCATGGAAACACTGATGTCCCACCCCCGTCAAGTCGTAAAGGTATCTCTCAGAAAGACTCATCTCAAAAACATGCAAGCCTCCAGTCCTCAAAAAGCCCGGATCATAATCCCGCAAATGCGTCCTCGCTGTTCCCGTACATTACCGTAATATCTGAGCCAGATTGTGATAGTTTGCATCGGCCTACGTACTTTGCCCTACTTCAGAGGTATAGATGGCAGCTGAGCCACAAAGTCCCGCCATTTCTGCTTCTGCTCTCTGAGCACAGTCTCATGCCGCGTCTTCTCGGTCTGCACCCGCGCCTTGTGGTCCTGTTCGGATTCGTCCTTTCCTTTCTTGGGCGTCTCGAACTCACGTATGAGCTCAATGCCCTTGAAGGTGTGGTTTATCCAGTGGACATAATGGTCCCAGCGCGGCTCCCACATGGTTCTGAGCTTCCTGTATTCGTCGGGATTCAAGCTGGAATGGTCTATGCTCCATTCGATGAGCTGGCGCCACCCGTGGAGGTTCATATCCTTGCTTCCCACCATGACCTGATAAAAGTCATGAGACAGCGTAGATCTAGCCCGAAATATTAGCAACCGGTTCAACGCAGAAAAGAGTATAGTAACTCACCTAAATAATGTGCCATTATCACTGCTGATCGTGCAGTGGACACTGTTTGCCAGCAGGTCGTACATGGCGTGCCCGTTCATCCGTGGTGTCAATCCCAAGACCTCGTTCGAAATCGGGCAGACCTCCAAGCAGATATTCCGCTTCTTAAATTCCGCAATGAGATATGGCTTGCGCGCCAGGGCGAAGCCGTGTCCGATACGTTTTGAATCGAGAAGGAGGGCATCGACCAGATTGCCGTCGGTATCACCACCGAGCTCCAGAGTCTCTCCACAGTGGAAGAGAAACGGGATTGTGACCCTGGCGTCTCGGCATTTCCGCTTGAACTCGAGGAACTGTGGAATGAACTCCTTAAGAGGTTTCCCTTTGGATTCCTCGCCCACCAAGTCAAAGCCGGCGATATAATCCACATACTTTCCGGTTTTAAACTTCAAGCACTCATCCAGGGCGTACTCTACCAAGTGATTTGCGAAAGAACGGGGAGTGCAGTAGATAACCTTCAGCCCGGCAAGGGAATTAGGCCTTTCCTGATTGAACTCCTTCCAAGTATTCACGATTATGTCCATGGTGTCTTCGTTAGTTAGCTGCTTCTCTCCACTATCCTCCCAAATTTGGTTCGTCTTCATAAAATTCGGACGAATCTCAGCGTATTGAATCTTGTCAGCGGCTAGCTCCTCAAGGAACGCTCGGGTATACCGTGTGAATGCTGTCTTGTAATTAAACAGCCCCTTCATCATGCGGGTGCGCCCATTGAACTTTTCCCAAGCCCTGGTCTCCCATTAGTAAAAATAATTTCTACGGTCAGATCACAGGTCTTACCCTTCGGATGTCTGGTGGATATTGAAAGCTTCATGCTCGTTAAAAACGAGCTTGCTCACCAACCAGTTCCTGCTGCTCCACCGTTCACCGCTGCTTAGGTTTGAGAACCTCTTCATTTGTGATTTGTGGTGCCACTGTTCCTGGATCTCTCCCCATTGATCTCTGAAGGTCTTGAACTTCATCCATTGTCTCGCGCCGTCTGTGAGGTAGTTTCGGCTGAACAAATTGCTCTGCTCGCTCTCAATGTTCTCGCGAGTCAAGTTCGCGTTACTTAACCGAGTTCTCTCGGCCTCCAAGAGCTGATCCCTCTCTTTCTCCACCGTCTTCTGGTTCCTCACCAGAAACTGTATCTCACAGCGGTCAAGATTGTGCGCAGATGTGAGTGGTAGGTCGCTAGAGATGTACATGTGGTCCATGTCGGTGGCGATATCCAGTAATACATGGGGCAAGAGACAGGAGTTGAAGTGGATGTGGAGATGAGCGCCCTTGGGGGTTTGCGTAGCGACGTGAAAGAGGGCGGTGTTCTCCATCAAGTCGGCATTGGTCAAGTAGTGGTCTCCCGGGAAGCGACGATGCATCTGACCTCCATATCCCTCGAGCTTCTCGTCGCCGTAGTAGACCAGCTCGTCATTCCGCCTGACAATGTCTAGTAGGTTCTTCGCGTGCTTCTCATCCCCGCTGGCGCCTTCGGTGAGGGCATAATCAAAGCCTATCGAACGCCCTCGGTTCACAATCTCATCGCGGTCCCGGAAGTATTCAGGCTCCTGATCACGAGGTCCGAGCTCCCCGCCACCAGCAGACTTGCGGGTGTCAGACCTGTCATAGAAGACGGGCTGGACACTGTCGCGGAGGGAGTCAAGTTTCGTGTCTGCCGTCTGGACATAGCGGCTAATGACAAGGTCCTTCTCCACCCGCTTCTTGGACGCCATGTTGTGATGTTCTGCCCGATGGTGGGAGACGAGCTTCCTGTGCGGCTTCTCGGGATCGAGGTCCTTATCAACCTTGCTACAGAGGGTCCCCATGAGCGCATCCGGCGATGTGCGACCAACAGTCAAGCAATGCCCCGGATCGAGTTGTGCGGGTTTAGTAGTTTAGCGGTTTAACTAGTTGGGATGGCCGGCCTCCTTAAAGTGGAACTGGGGCTCTACTTGAGGTCGTCTTGCCAAATGCGGCCTCCCCGTGCCTGCGCGCTTGTGCCTGGTCCGCTCGTCTGGCGATGCAAACGAAGCTACCGGTACCCGAGCAATGTTGGAATAGGGACGAAGGTGGTTGAGCTGGGCTCAGCCGCGAGCTCTCGTGATCCTGACCGTCTTGAGCTGCTTCCGGGGGGCTGAACTGACCAGCGCGTAAGGCTCCAACTGTGGCCCGCTAAACCGCAACCGGACGACCCCACCCCACGCCTTTGGGGCGTGCTGGCGCGGGATTGGGTGGCTGAGACGACACCCCTGCAGTGCAGCTCTTAAAATATGGCCGTTGTCTGTCTGTAAATACCTAGCACCCCGTCGCAACACATGTATCTAAATGGAACTCATGCATGAGGCACACGCCAAGGCTGATCAGATAACCGTAGATGTCAACTAGACTGTCTCTCCACAACTGACCATAGATGGCTTCTCGAGTGAAGCCACGTGAGCAGCTGTCAATGCGACTCTTCCGTCTAGACTCACAGCTACTCCGAGACGAACTCCGAAACCCGTGTCCCCCGGGCCGTCTACTGGAGCCAGCTCTGCCGTTGTAGCCGCAGTAGGCTATGCTGGCGACTGAGCTTGACGGGACAATTCCTGGACTACAACCCAACACTTGATGAGTCAGGGAGGTCGCCAACCTGCCAGGCTTGTCTCCGTGAATAACATGACGTTCTGATTTGTTGTACAAACGAGCGGACCGCTGAAAGATGTTATTACGACATCTCAGCGATCGTTTTCCTAGGTCACGAAGCGAGACCTCCTGGTCGCTTGCTCTATAGCCTATTCTTTCTGACTGTACCTCCAAAAAAACGCCTGTCGATTTTTTCGTGTTTGTGATCTGACAGGTAATACTCGTTAGACAAGGATCTTTCTGTAAGCTCACCGACCAGTCACAGTCGAATCAAGCCGGCATCCAGCCTCATTGGCATGTCAGATGCGTTCCCCAGGATCAGGGCATATCAATCTGATGCGGCCACATTCAGAAAACAGCAATCTAGATCCCGACACTGGCGTCACACCTGCCTGTGCTGCCTACCTATGTGCCCCTTAACCGTTCATCTGAACTGCATCGCCACAAGTTCATCTGTTACTAGCGCCCATGGCCCAAAGGGATGGATTCAACTTCGCCCTGCTGCAACGCCCTCGATGTGGCACTTGACAGAACATCATGTAGGCAATTACAACTCTAGATCGCATCCCTTACGGGTGTCTGAGCACGGCACAGTCATACAGCTGGCTAATCTGGGCCAAAATAGTCATCGGTCTCAACCCGTAGTTTCTCGAAACACATACCCACAAGGAGCGCTGTGATGGGATGTAAACGGAGTACCTTTGGCATATTATACTTCAACTTGGCTCTACCATGCGTGATGGAGCTTGCTCATTACCTTGATACGGGTCATCATATATCGAACAACTGTATATACGGCGGTCTCAAGGGACAGGCTAGAGTTATTAGCTCATTAGCCTCGCGCCTTTCTAAAACACGATGACAGGACGAACTTAGGATGCAAGTCACCAGGGTAGAAACCTCTTTGGGACTATGTCAAGACTCTTGTAGCATCGTGGAAACTTTCACCACCATGATTCTGTGACATATCACCCATACATCACGGCGCCAAGGCGGACTCTATCCCCATGGCATCCACGCGATCTCACTATAAGCCTTCCCACATGGCTACTAAGTATGCCCGGGCCTAGTCCTTGAGTAAGAGGCCCACGTGAAAGTCGTATCCGTCGAGACCCCGCCTAGAATCTTCAGCTTCCGGGGTTGCCTCTCATCATCATGACACACACCGTGTCCCTACACTGCCATGAGCTAACAAGTCTAGGCTATTCCAGCTGCGAACTTCAGCAGGCAGACACAGTGCAATAGCCTCATTTTTGGTGAGTGATAAGTTGACCGCCCTTTACGAGATCAGGAAGTTGGATGTCGACACGGCCGGGAAAGCCCCTGGAGCGGGTGACCCGCGCCGGGGTGGTAGTTCCTCCGGCCCTGACTGATGCGGCTACGAATCCAGGCACCAGACGTAAATTGCCCGAAGGCTTGGGTAACAGAAACTCCCGATCGCCACGCATGAACGACCTTCACGTTCAGCCTACCGGTATGCCTAACCCCACAAACTCATATCATGGCGGCCCGGTCTGTGGAGTCAACACAGAGGCGCAGTCCCCAAGTCCCCTGAATAGCGCAAAGCGTCAATCAGGGAAACTCGCTGGGTTCTGGTTCCGACGCACTTGATCACTTTGCTGAAACACACTTGGTAATTCTGGCGGACGACCTCGCAGGCACAAGACTTGTGAAACTGTGTGTGTATCATACATGAGCATCAATTTGGGCTAAAGCTAGCGATGTATATCAAAAGCAAAACATGCCATCTATCTCTAATGAACGACAACTGACCCTCGCGGGGCCACTGAGTGAGGTTCATCATCATCATCTCTAAGCTGGTATCAAAAGTCTAACATCCCCAAACCCAGAAGTAAAGATTGCCCTATCAAGCAGAACTAGGCTGGCTGACTGACTTGGGAGTTTTATCAGACCCCCTACTGGCTAAAATGCACATGTTTGTTCTTCTGCCACTGTCCTCCTGATGCCTTGCGGCCGGTGGGCGTGACGGGCGTGTTCTTGCCACCGCTTGCAGGTGAGGATTTGAGAATCGACTTTGCCCCGATCGACGACGGCTTGGTCAACGACCTGCCAGGCTTCGGGTTGGGCGGAGTAGTCACAGCCGATGACATGCCCGACGAGTTCCCCCTGCGAGGCTGATTCAGTGAAGCTGTCTTCGACGAATTCTAATCCTCGAACTTGATGCTTCGGCTGACATTGGTGTCGAGCGGGCCTCCCTTGTACGCGCCGCGCTTCTTCTTGTTCTTCTCCTTGGTGAAGCCCTTTCCTCTGGTCACAATGAGATCCTCGTGGGCCTTCTGACCGTATCCGTGCTCAACGTAAGCGTTCGATGACAGTCTCGGGTCGATGACGACATCCTTCTTAATGCGCGAGAAGGGTTCGTTCTGGGGTTTCTTGACACCACCGTTCTTGCCACGGTTGTTGAGTTTCGGGTCCGGTGGAAGAGGGGCAAATGTGGAAACCGGGAAGACTTCCGGGGAGGTCTTGCCAAGAGTAGCGGAAGTGTCGGATCCGGCGCCGTTCAGAGCGGTGTCCTTCGCTTTGGCATTGGGCTTCTCATCGTCGGAGTCAGAATCCGAATCGCTGCTGGAGGAGCTAGAGTCTGAGTCAGACTCTGGCAGAGGAACCTTAGCAGCCTTGTCATCCTCGGACTCGGAGTCGGAGGAAGAATCAGAGTCAGACGACGAAGAGGAGGAATCCGAATCAGAAGACGAGCTGTCATCTGCAGCAGGGGCCTTGGTAGCCTTTGCAGACTTCTTCACAGGCTTGGCGGGGGCTTCGTCGTCCGAGGAGTCTGAAGAATCCGAGTCGGATGAGGACGAGGACGAAGAGTCGCTCTCAGAGGGAGCCGGGGCAGTCTTGGCCTTCTTAGCCTTGGGCTTCGCGATCTTCTTTGCCTTCGGCTTCTCGTCCTCCGAGCTGGAGCTGGAGCTGGAGCTGGATTCGGAATCAGAGTCCGACGAGGAAGAACTGTCACTATCGGACTCGGCCTTGCGCTTGCGGAGGTTGGAGGCAGCAGGAGCGGCGGCGGCAGGCTTGACGGCTTTGCCATCGTCGCTGTCGCTGTCGCTGTCACTATCGCTGTCGGAGCTTGAGCTCGAGCTCGAGCTAGAGGAAGAGTCGTCGGCAGCAGGGGCATCAGCCATGTCGATATCGTCATCGTCGCTGCTGTCGGAGCTCGAGTCGCTGTCACTGCTGCTACTGCTGCTGCTCACTTTGGTGACCTTCAATGCATCGGCCTTCGGGGTGCCGTCCTTGCTGGAGAAGGTCTCCCAAGTCTGGAAGACACTGACGAGCGAGTGGTGCTCCTTCTTGGCCTTCTTCTTGCCATCCTGGGCCTTCCAACCCTTGTCGGCGCGGTGCTTCTTGAACTCGTGGTGGGCCTGGTCGAAGCCCTGGTCAGACAGGAAGGACTCGACCAGGTCCATCAACTGAGCCGGGGGCGCAGGAGGCGACTCCTTCTTGGAGACGGTCTTGGTTTTCTTGGCCATTGTGGATGAGGAAGACTCGGGTTGCGCGCCTGCGGGATCGGGGATCGTGGAGTTGTTGCTGAACAGCCAGGCGGGAGGACCAGCAGCGGTGGTGGTGGAAGAAGATGGTTTGGCGGATCCAAACATGGGCCAGAGGTGAGGTCAACAGGTCGTGCGCCCGGTGCTCTGGAGGAGGAACAACAATGGTTGGAGGGGAATTGGAGTTGGCAGGGCAAGAAAGGGGGGGAAATTTCTTGTCACCCAGCAGCTGAAGTTTTGCGTCCCGGTCGGTCTTCTGGCTGGGATTGGCGTCGCACCCGGCGCCGAGCGAGAAAAAAATTGTGGAATCTGACGGCCGGGGACTTTTACTGCCGCCATTGTGAACTTCACCGCCTGCCCCGATCGGCCAACTTGAACCGTACGCTGACGAGGAAGTTAAGTTCCTTAGACAGGGGTTTCCAGGGTCCAGGCCATCTTTCCCCCAGACAACTGCCACTAAACCCTTTGCAGCATTGCTCGATGCTCGCTGAGATGTCCGTTTGAGACCCTGATATCTGGCGCGGAGCATGTAATCTGGTAATGTTTCAAAAACCATAGGGCAGGTACTTGCGTTGCATGATTACCAAATCTAGCCGAAAAGACTGCGAGAGCGGCTGCATGCTTGTTTGTTCTCACCGAGCAGAGACAAGTCCAGTCTCCTATGGCACATGGCAACCGCCCACTTGCTAGAGGAGGTCGACTTATAGATATGTAGGTGAAGACCCACGCCATTTGTCCTGGTGCTGGACGACGAGGACCCACATTTGGCTAACGTGCTTCAATATAGGGAAAACTCGACGTTTCTACGCGGGTTGTATTGTTGTTATGCATACATGCCTATCCAAGGGCGGCAAGGTTTCATATTGCATTTGGAATCTATGAATATCCAGTAGAGCCTGATTTACAAGTTTCGTGAGTGTATTCCTACCATTCACTCTTTCCGGGGAGACGAGTATGCAATGCAACTCAAGTAGATATAAAGCAGTAGAACCCCATTGGGGCCTCCACGCTTAAACCAAATTTATCCACTCTTCTTCTGAAGACTCCTCGACTGCCTCGCCATGCATGATGCCCTGGACAAATGCGTGACTCACATATTCGTAGCTCTGGCCAGCGATAGATTTGCTTTGTCGTACCGGGCGGAGGATAAAAGGCACCTTGCCACCGAACAGAACGCGGACTCTATCGGAGACTTGCACCTCTCGGGACCCGATTCCCAACCGGCCACCATGGGTCAGGAAATAGGTGAACCGAGGCCAATGACTCTTTGCAAGATAGATAAAGCCCCTCAACCGTTTACAGGAAGCCTCTATAGATCCGTTCTTCTTCACGAGGGAACGAAGGGCTTCGCTTAGGTCATCTTCACGGGCTTCGAATGCACATGACTGACTTGCTTGGATCAATTGCTGAACCTGTATCAGATACTGAGCTTCATCTCCGGTGCAACGTTGCCGGGGCGTTACGATGTCTCGGATTGTCCCTGCGTTTACCAGATCCCCTCTGGACGCTGCCGATAATATTGCATCTAGGACTTCGTACGTAAGATAGCTTGCAAACTCATCAACCCCAATGATCAATGTTACCTGGTCGTCAGTCGACTTCCCAAGCAACGTGAGAACTCCGGGCGCTGATGCCGAGAGAATGCGGGCTGTTCTTCCTTTGGCCGCGTCGAATTGATCCAAGTGCCCGGCTATTACCCCGAAATCCATCTCATCGGGCAAGATCTTGTCACCACACCAATCTGGTGCCCAGGACGGTAGTAGTGGGTCTCTTTCTCTTTCGTGCCCCCGAAAAAGAGCAAAAAGATCGCCTGTGTGATGAATGATCTCGACCAACAATGTGCAGCAGATTTCGAAGCACTGCAGAGAGTAGTCTACAGTCAAAGGGGGAGACGTAGTCGGGGCAAGGCCAATCAGAGCATAGACCTTGTCACGCCTGTTGGATGCTAGCCTTCTCTTCGACAAATTGAGCGCGTAGATGAAATATGTCCATTGACGGCCTTGCCTCAGGACTAGAAGCGGCCACAGTTGACGAGCGACGGACAGTATGCTCAAGTAGACGGGATATCGGATATTTTGGAACCTTTCGAGCCATAATCCGAAGGCATATTCAAGTAGCTCCCACCGCAGCTTATGCGTGCTGCACTGAAACCAAATTTGAGGCGGCAACACGGCTTCTTGAAGTGTCCAGCTTCTATACCACCATGGTTGGGAAGTGACGTGCTTCATGGTTTCTAGCAGCCGCTCGAGTGCTGCCATCTGCACATCAGGGTCAGACTCATTCTCAACCATGTTACCACAAAGCTGGTCGATCTCTTCAAAGCCCGGTATCTCAGTCTCGCCGATCCACATGATGCCAAGCTCAGCATGAGAAAAGATATCACCCATGTATTGAACCTGATGCCCCTTCTCGCCCATATCAGCCTGGTTAATACATAGGGCATCCGCCCAAATCTTGACAACTTTATCGAGACACCGCTGGCGTCGGAGTGCGTCGAAGAGATTGGTTGTTATCAGCGTCTCTACACCGTTGAAGTAGATCTCGCGGGTGACATCGGGATCGCCCCAGACATAAGACAAGACATGATAGATCGGATGTTCGTCCAAAGATACAACGAAGGTATTGCAACGTATAGGATCCTCCCAACTTCCGGGTAGCAAGTTCAGGATACGGATCTGATGCCGGGCTGGGTCCAGGGCTTCATAAGTCCCCAGGTGACGTTCGGATCTACCAGTTGAGGAAGCATGTGGCGCGAGGTTGCCGGGTTCTGTGGCGGTATGCCCTTGTGGCTGAGAAGCATGTAAGGTCATAGCGACAGATTCTTTGGGACAATCCATCATGTTGAAGCACTTCTGGACTCTTGTGGTGCCGGTGGAATGGGTCGATCGAAGCGCCTGGAGCGGACCATCGAGTGGGGAAATGGTTGGGCTGAGGTGTTGCAGCCTCGTCGTTACCTGGTGATGGATTCAGCCAATGGATTGCAGGTTAGCTGCTTGAAGTTGAAGCGAATAGGAATCAGTAGGCTGCATAATTACACCCGTCGTGCTCAATGTCTCCATGTTACATGTACCTATCTTGGACTAGCCAGCCAATCAGACTCTACCTTATTTGGGTGCCTGTAGAAGGAATCGCGTGTGCCCCATTCGGGAATTGGCTTGTCTTTGACCATCCGAGAGTGGGGACTGAGTTTCAGATCAGTTACCGGAACCCATCGCATCGGCGTGTCCAAGTGTCCCAGTTATCTTCTGGTCATCTTACTATGTAGGCCTTATAGGTCTTGTATGGTAAGCAAAGTGTCAAAAAACGGTGGCCAAATTTCGGCAATTGAATCCACCTGGATCACTTTGATAGGTTTTTGTATAGTCAACATACAGGTGGGAGTATCCATGAATATAGATAACGTATGCACACAACTTTCAATCCATCTAGTACGGCGAACTGGCCCCCTGCACTGCTTCGACTCCTTCGGTAGCTTTTCCTCGACACCAAAACATGCCGCGTAACGCTCGACCGCAGCGGCTGCTTGGCCGCCAGCTCATTACTTGAACGAACAACATCGGAGTGTTACTATACGGGCACCCACAAGAAAAGGAGGGGGCTGCGCTGCTTGATGTCCATCAGTCTGGTGGGCCAACCAATCATTCCTAGTCTGAAACCACCTTGAGGTGCTCTTGGCGCAACCGACCAGACAACCTTTAGGCACCGAGGTTTTGTCCATGCTGAGTGGCCCGGCAAACTCCACAACTTCCATAGTGCTGCAATACATGAATAAACAGACTGTTTATAAACCCCCAAACTGGCTCTCAGTCCATCCCACGCAGACTGCTCAGTGTGACCCGGCTCCGTTTTCAACAGAGTCCTGTCTCTGCACGACACATACTACCCATCATAAATACAAAGCCATCTTTCCCTGAACATCATGGATTCCGAATACAAAGATCCCCTCCTGTCGCCGCGGGCTTCCTCTGACGATGGTACCCGCGCAGTGGAACACAATCCGTCCTATACTCAGAACCCAGCCATGGACTCCGGCCGCACCAGCCGTCAGCTGCACCCCAGCATGGTTCACCGTCCCCTGACGCCTCCCGGGCATAATTACCCGGAGGACGGAGGGCACAAGGCAGATTGGAACATCAGCCTCACGCCCATCTTGCGAGGGGTGGTCATCGCGCTCGCCTTCGGCATCGTCATGAGCGATATCCCCTCGCGCTCCCCCTTCCACGCGGCACTGGCCCGGCTTATATTCGACTTCTTCGTCCTCGTCTGGAACATCATCGCCGTGCTGCCGCTCCCCAGGCTGCGCAGAGCCGGGTTCAGAGGCAGCAGGGTGCTGCAGTGCTCCGTCGCCCTGGGGCCTTATAAGTGCAGCTGTGGGGGCGACGAGGACAACGACAGCGACGACGGAGGCGACGAGGAAGGCCTCTACGACATCTATGTCGCCCCTCGCAAGCCAGAGAGATGGGTCAGGGTCACGGCGGCTCTGATTGATCTCGGGTTGGGCCTTGCCCTGCTCTCGACGACTGCAGCGGACGTCGCCGAGTCTCGATACTATCGTACCCGCCAGGGGCCACCTATCATAGTGCTCCATTTCTTCTTCTCGTGAGTCTTACCGTCTGTGCACTCGGTGCCCGAGGTCTTGTGCTTACTAAATGTGCCTCTGTTGCAGGTTGATCCCGCTGCTGATCGCCATGATCCAAGTCCTCAATGTGTGGAGGGGAACTGTCGTCTCGGTACGAGTCGCTGCAGGCAGCGGAACCGATGATGGCCACGAGTACCGCATTCGACTGCCGCGGGACGATAGTGAGCAGCCAGACGAGACCGACAATCTCATGTCAGCCTCAGCTTGAGATCGTGATAAGTGGTGATAGGCAACCTCACAAACTACACTTGGCTGGTGTAAGTCTGAGAAATGCTTCGTTCACCGGCTAGCATGGTTTCCATAGGTAGTCTGCAGGCATGCCGGCAGAGGGAGAGTGGCTTTTGGGATCCGATGGGTAGAGATTTGATTTCGCACTGCGGTTTGTATTACCCTTGTTGGTCCAGCATCAAGCATCAAGGACCGAGGACAGATGAGGAACTATGATGATCAAGCCAATGATTAGTCGTCAATGATTAGTTCAAGGTCCGTGCCGTTGTTGGTTGTTAGTGATTGGGGCCGCGGAAATGCCGTAGCGACTGGTGCTGGTGGTGTTGGGAATGTGCAGAGACGCAGCAGCGTACTTGATCCTTGCCTTACCCAGGGACAGTGGATGCTGTAAGTATGCAGGGCTTGTATGCAACATCCTATACATGGTTACATTCTGATACAAGTGACTTTCCATGCATAGAATACGGTATCTGGCCTAGGTATGTATTGGGGTTACTATTACTGTAGTGTACATATTGTAGTAGGATACTGGTGGCCGATAAGATAAGCCAGACGGGAAACAGAAACTCCCCCTCCTCGGATCTGGATCCCTCCTGGTCGTGTTGCTGTTCTGCCCACCTCCACACACTACCTAAGTTAGGTAGGGGGGTTGCGCTGGGGGGTCGCGCTACTGACGCGGTACCTGAGCTCCGGGCCCCTCCGCCACAGAAATCGCGGTGCGCTCTAGTTTTAGCAGTTTCCAGGGCGGGCGGGCGTTGCACGCGTGGGCTTGTTTATTGAAAAACAATTGACAACCGCCTCAGCGCAGCCAATTGGCGCCCGTCTCCCCCCCCATCGAGCATTGAGCCCCCCCGAAAAGGACCTGCACATCACAACCCCCCCCGAGACATTTCTCAATGGCGTTTCTCCATCTGTAGGTAGCTTCTTGCGCAACGAATTCGACCTGTTGTTTTTCTTTTCGTCCGACCCAGGGCTGTCTTTGATCCCGGATTTCCACCTGCCCCGACAACGGACTGGACACTTGAGGTCGGTTTGGCTGTTGTGCCCCTCGTTTACTGCTAGGCCCTCCTTTTGACAGCCGTCGACACCACGACCCACGACCCACGACCCACGATCCACGGACATTCCTGTCAAACGCAGCGGACGGCAACCCCCCAGGACGGACCCCACCTTCGGCTTACTTGCACCTGGGAGACGAGACGAGACGAGACGAGACGAATTCTGTCAGACCTGCAACCTGCCACCAGGCCGACCAGGTCTACGACTGCTCTCTCCATCCCTCTGTGTGTGCCTGACCCTCGCCTTGGGCTGATATCACCCGCCGCCCTGCGCATCTATACACGCTCTTGAGGGCCTGCACTCCTTGCCGCCCCGTCGCCATGGATAACTATCAGAAGCTGGAGAAGATCGGTGAAGGTAACAGCCACCCACCCCCGTCCGCTACATGCATCCCGTGCGTCTGCATGAGACCATGCAGCACAGCTGCTGGCGCCGGCCCACGCTGACCTGTGTACTCGCTCGTCAACAGGCACGTACGGTGTCGTCTACAAGGCCCGCGACCTCTCGAATCATGGCGAGATCGTCGCCATGAAGAAGATCCGCCTCGAGGCCGAGGACGAGGGCGTGCCGAGCACCGCCATCCGCGAGATCTCCCTGCTCAAGGAGATGCGCGACCCCAACATCGTGCAGCTGCTCAACATCGTGCACGCCGACGGCCACAAGCTCTACCTCGTCTTTGAGTTCCTCGACCTCGACCTGAAGAAGTACATGGAGGCCCTGCCCGTCAGCGATGGCGGCCGCGGCAAGGCCCTGCCCGACGGCTCCAGCGAGTCCCTCGGCCGCCTCGGGCTGGGCGACGCCATGGTCAAGAAGTTCATGTGGCAGCTCTGCTCCGGCATCCGCTACTGCCACAGCCACCGTGTGCTGCACCGCGACCTCAAGCCCCAAAACCTGCTGATCAACCGCGATGGCAACCTGAAGCTCGCCGACTTCGGTCTGGCCCGCGCCTTCGGCGTGCCTCTGAGGACCTACACCCACGAGGTCGTCACTCTCTGGTACCGCGCCCCCGAGATCCTGCTGGGCGGCCGCCAGTACTCCACCGGCGTCGACATGTGGTCCGTTGGCACCATCTTCGCCGAGATGTGCACCCGCAAGCCGCTCTTCCCTGGCGACTCCGAGATCGACCAGATCTTCAAGACCTTCCGCCTGCTGGGAACCCCCACCGAGGAGGTATGGCCCGGTGTGACATCCTACCCCGACTTCAAGTCCAGTTTCCCCAAGTGGCATCGCGACTACTCGGTACCGCTGTGCACCAACCTGGACGAGGACGGCTTGGCACTTCTCGAGAGGTGTCTCGAGTACGACCCCGCCGGTCGTATCTCGGCCAAGCAGGCGTGCAACCACCCATACTTTGAGGGCTCGCGGCATTCTCGCGCCAACGGATACTGATGACGGAGCCCCAGCGGCAGTCCGGAATATGCTTGCATGAATATTCAGCATACCTTCAGGCTTGCTTTCAGGATACTGGCTGAGCACTATACGCGACAGAATTTGCATACCTCCTTGCCGGCGCTGCCGGTCCTGCCTCTTGCTTCCTCCAAGACCTAGCACAGGCTTTTGTGTCTGAGGGCTCCATTCTCCCAACCCCCCATTCTAAACCCCGGGGGATCTCGTATGCACATTTTTCACGATGAGGGTCTGGTTTTTAGAAGGCGTTGGGGAAAGGAAATAATTACGGCACATATGCGAGGCGGTAATAGGAGGCATATTGACCCACGCATGGATGGCTCGGCTTTTTCTTTCGCCACGAGAGGACGAAAGACATTGAGAGTGGTATTCACTCGGTGCGCTTGAGGGGAAAGCCATTGGCAGTCTTCACCACTTTTGGCACTGCGCTGCGTGGCTGTCCACACGGAACAAAGATGCTCCAAACAGCTGATGTTCCCTTTGTTACTAGGCAGGTGTCGAGGTAGATGAGTTTATACATGTCTACTTTTACTCCGAAGAAGAGGGAAATGAGCTTTCTCCATTCGTGACTGTGCAGAAAGACGTATTCCTGACCTGAATAGGTGAACAATAGTGGTGATCTGCTTGTGTCGAGGTAGATATATCGTTTTGAGCCCAGATCTCCGATTTAATCCTATGACTCAAGTCGAGTGCATAGGTCAACCCTACAGCATCTCTTGATCTGACAGGCACCTGACTACCACATCCACGTCCAAGCATTTGCCCTTGTCACAGGATACCTGGGGCTTTCGCTATTAATTTATGAGTTTCACTATTTCGTTTTGAGTCTTTGATTTCTTCTCCTTTCTCTGTCATCGTTTTATGCCAGATCTCGGATTATCTTACTAACCTGTACACAACAGTGCCAAGATGAGGCTGAAAACGCTTAGCTGGACTATTTTGATTTTACAAGTATTTTTGCTATGGTAATCTGTGTAAGATATCTATACGCAATCATCATGTGTGTGAACTCGTAACACGTGAAATGGCTATATACTGTGGAACACATCACACGCACCCGCACTCGCATGGCACGGCTGTTGCTCCTCTCGCTGCCTTTCTGTTCCGCTTCGCATCCTATCAATTTGTTCTATGAATCAGCCCAGGGGTATCCGAAAGGGCGGGCTATGCCGCCTGCTGACTATTCTGAGAGCCCTCGCATTATGCCACAGGCTGCACGATTTCTCGCGGCTCAAACATGGCCTGGAAGTTGTTCTGCTTGACGAACCAGGCGTTCACCAGCTGCCACTCCTCGTTGGGGTCCTTGAAACGGATCTGTCATGAGAAAAGCACGGTCAGCATATCGGAACTCAACTTGGTAGGTATCCAAGAAAACTGCTAGTAATAGCACCGGGGACAATACTCACCTCGAACCGCCGCAGCAGACTGGGTACCAGTTTGTAGATCTCCAGCAGGCTGATGTTCTTGCCGATGCACGTGCGGCTGCCCATGCCGAACTGGAACATCATGCCGTTCATCTCGCGCACGCGCTTCTCGTCCTCAGCCCGCGCCTCGCCCGTCAGGCTCTCGTCCACCAGGAACCGCTCCGGCCGGTAGACGTCGACGTCCGGGCCCCAGATCTCGGGCCGGCGGTGGATGATCCAGGCCGAGCAGCCGACGATGGTGCCGCCCTTGACGAACTCGCCCGCGATCTCGGCCCCCTGCGGCGGCACGATGCGCTCCAGCGGCAGGCCCGCCGCCGGGTGCAGCCGGAAGGCCTCCTTGATGCAGGCGTCGAGGTAGGGCAGCTTCTGGGCCTCGGTCCAGGTGACGAGGCCGGACTGGACGTCGCTGAAGCCGCCTTGGCGCGCGAAGTCGTCGAGCTCGGCGCGCAGCCGCTCCAGCGCCGCCTCGTTGCGCAGCAGGTAGTAGAAGACGCTGGCGAGCGAGATGGCCGTGGTCTCGGAGCCCGCGAAGGCCATGGACACGGCCATGGTCTGCACCAGCGTGTCCGACATGAAGTCGGGCCGCGCCTCGCGCGCCGCCAGGAACTTGGACAGCAGGTCCGGCGACTTGACGCCCACCTTGGCGTCCGCCACCGGCAGCAGCGGCTGCGACTTGGCCCCGGCCCCCTTCGCCCCCGTCCCCAGCCGCTCCGCCATGCGCGCCTGCGCGAACTTGGCCACGGGGAAGGTCGAGTCGATGAGACCCCATTGCGAGAGCTTAAGATACAGCGGGTTCTTGAGGAAGATGAGGTCGAGGAAGGGGATTTGGCCGACCTGGATGAGCATGTTAGTCTCTTATACGGGGATAGCCTATCTCATATCAAGAACCAGGGAGATCTGGATGATACTTACAGGAGCGACGTAGAGGAACAGGTTGGCCAGGTACTTGATGATGCCGTCAATGTCCTCGTTCTTCTCGACGAAGCCGTGGCGCTTGCTGTAGGTGATCTCGCCGATGACGTCGAAGGCGTAGAACTGCAGCCACTTGGTGAAGTCGCAGCCGTCGATGTTGTTGGCGAACAGCTTCTCGGTCTGGTCGAGGAACAGCTTGGTCGTGTTGTCGACAAAGGGCTCGTACTGTACCAGCGCCGACATGCTGAAGGCCGCGTTGACGCTGCGCCGGAACTGCGAGTGGAAGTCGTTGTCCGTCGTGCTGAACAGCGACGCCAGCCGGTGGCCTGAGACCACTGATTGCTGGACTATGTAGAAGTCGGACTATATTTTCGTCTCATGTTAGCCGCTGTCACTATTTGATTCGGTGGTTTCCACTGTATCAGAGGAGCACTGACCTTGAGGAACCCCTTGTTCAGTCCGTAGATGGTCTTCAGAGCCTTGGGGTCGGCGAAAGATAGTGTGTTGGGGCCCAGACGGACCACATCGCCGTATCTTGCGTGAAGTTTCTGATGTGTCACTTCCGGTCTCTGCCCATAGACGTCACAGAATCGCCACCAGTCGGTCAACGAGGCCAGGAACGGGCCTGGATATTTGTGTAGGCCATTGTTGAACCGGTTCTTGACCAGCCATAGCACAATGACTGAGACTGAGATGGGGAGCCAGTATTGAGTCAACAGACTCACCAGCAGCGAGTCTTCTACAGCCTGCATGGTGATGAAACGATATATCGAGCCCAGGTCCGAAATGATCTCAGACGGTGTGGTGGGCTGAGTTGGAGGGTTGTTGAAACCCGGTTTTGCACTGGCCTTGGGAAGGAGGAGGGAACGCTGTACGGTCTCCAACCAGGCTGGGTTAATTGACGTAGGGACAACAAGTGATGAAGCAGATATCAAAAACGCTGGCTCGTCGTCTGGCTAATATACAATATTGATTGCTTACCAGGCCCAGGGGGTTGACGGGATAGGCACTTGATTGTGGAACTGATCACCGTTGTCGATGTATCAAGTACCCTGGTTGGTAAGTGTGTTATAGGTCCTGCATACCGTTCCCACGGCGCAGGTATCTCGGTATCTCGGCTTGATATTGTTAGCCAAAGGCTATGTAGTGACACTAATACAGTTGCTTAGCCGAACTGGTGGGGCCTCCATTATCTGGCAAACCAGGTCATGCGTGTACTCTAAGGCCTGCCATCCTGCAAGCAATTGGTTCGATTGGTCTCGTCTAGGATTGAAGCTTTGCGTGAAGCTTTGCAATCACTTAAGCATTTTCCATATCTCGTGTTGTGTCTCTTCACATATTGCTTGTTCCAAACTCCAAACCCTGGTCCATCGTGATCCCAGCTCCTTGGTCATCACCCCTCAATACGAGTCGAGTCTGGCAAATTGCCCCATGGGGGGTCATGAGGGGGTGGGGAACTTGGCACTGAGATCCTCTTAGACCACGGCCAAATCTACTACCTATGCTACAATAAAGGCGTGGCTTTCTTGGTAGTGCTGCGCCCAGTTTCTGGGGTTCTGGGGGTTCTGGGGTGCCTCGCTTGTTCGCCATGTTCATTCCCAGCCGAAGCACATTATCTATGGGACAGCAGACAGGCAATACGGTGTCGGCAGATGCAACGGCCCAATGGGAGCCCGCGAAGTGGATGAGGCTAAGAGCGTTGGTGACCTAATCCGGAGAATATGTCAAGCCTTGGTCAAGGGTCTCTGGGAGTCGGTCTCGGGCTGGCGAACGGCATTGCGCGCCGTCTGATTGGTCGAGGGGGGAATTGATTGTCCTTAGACCAGCCTTACTTGCCGCGACCTACTGCACAGGACCCGATAGGTGCGCAGACGCCCCAGAACGGGCCTTCGTCATAGCCAGGAATAGCGGGCCAGGGGTTGGTACGCGCCCGGATCTCCCAGCATTTAGAAACACCAGGACCCTGGTGAGCCTCTTGTCGGAACTGGGCGTTATAGCCCGAATAGCCCGAATTGCCGCGCAGCAATCAGATGACTTTCATCGTCTGCACCAGTGTCAAACTCAGATCGAAGCAGGAATCCACAAGTATCCACGTAGGCGGGAAATCTACGACGAACTGCCGGCCAATCGTCATAGAGGAGCACAATCAATTCAGCATTAGCCTGCGTGGTGGTTGCCCAGGTACTGCACAGTTCAATGACATATTTGCCCTGGTCGGCAGATGGGGACGATATATTGATGAGTAACCAGCCACATCTGCCGCTTTAGGTAGTGCCCAAAAAGTGGAGTCAGCGACGGTAAGTTATTTATTTGGCTTCTATGTATGCATTCTTTCTATTCTATACAATGGGTATCAGTCCGAAAACCGACTACAGGCTCCTTGTAGACATGCTATGTTTATACAGGAATTTCCTTTCTCTCCAACACACGTTGCACCATCACCTTCGTAGCTGTTACGGAGATCCAGGACACCACCCACTTGACAATTGGTGTGCATCGCGAGATCTGTGCTCGACTAGACAGCCAATGTCTCTAGTTGAGGTGCCAGCGAATCTGGTCCGTTCGTTTCGTCCTTGTCAAAATCATTCGCGAGACCCTTGATACCGCTCTTATCGCCCGAGTCGAGGTAACCGCAGATTCGGCCCTTGGGATCCCGTTTCCTTCTAATCTCCATCAACTTCTTGCCGTTCTCTTGACTCCAGAACTTGGTCCCTCGGACCTGGAAGTCGGCATCGCCCATGTAGCTTCCGGTATCGTGTTTCTTCATCTCGCGCATCGTGCTGCGGACCCAGTTGGTGCAGCGCTCGTCGTCGGCCTCATTCTCCCAGACGGTGTATATGGCAAAATAGTGATCCGTTTGCATGCTAAGCGCCATGTCAGGCAGTGGGCGCCGCGATGTGGGGTTCATGGAAAAGTAGAGTGAAAAGGCCTTCTTGCTCGGCAGGGTCGTGAAGGCCTTCTCCAGCGCCGCAGGCACGTCCGCGTCGTTCTCGATGTACGCGTTCTCAGCGCAGTATCGGTGGTTCTTCGGGTTAGCCTCTCCTTGATTGACGTACTGCTGAGCAAGGCTCGTTGTGCCGCAGTATATCTCGAACTTGGAGTTGCTCGGTCGGCTATCGTGGATCGGTTTGAGGGCCTTTTCTGCCTCTTCTCGGTTTGGTTTGAAAGAGGTGAAGGCTGCGATCATCGAGATCTCGTCCTCCCCTTCGAGGTAGCGAGAGGTGCCCACAATCTCCGTACCTTCGTCTGCAGTTGGGCAGACCTGCGTAGGTTTAGCCAACTGCACCATGTACAACCTCAGCGTGCACATTGACTTACATCGATAACCCATTGAAGCACCTTCCTGTACTCCGAGATGAGGAAGATATAGACGGACTCATACAACTCCAACAACGGGCGAGTGTTGAGGTGGTACCGTACAATCACCGCCGGAAACCCTGGGATATGTCAGACTCTCGTCCGCGTCGGTGGACTGGCTTGGGATATCTTACCTGGCCCTGAGCCGCGCGCAGCCCAGTAGAGGTCGGCATTCTCGTTAGCACTGCAGTGGATCTCCTCTCCATCAGCAGTGACCACATCCAAGCTGTGGATCTGCTCGCACGACCAACCCCAGTTCTTGGGTTTCGGGTTAGCTGAACGCCCTTTGCACCAGATGGAGGAAGTGTACCAACCTTGCAATTCCAACCCATACCTCCCTGGAGCAGGAAGCCGCCTAGACCCACATCCGGGCAGTGTCCACCTGCAAAAAGCCTGCCCTTGGTCCTCAGGAACTCGTTCAGCTCTTTGCCGTGTGTAGGGGTGGTACAAGACACGATCTTGGAATCGTCATTGTAGCTGATTTCCCTGAAATTGCCCAGGTCAAGCAGGATGGCATCGTCCCGCACGCTCCATGCAGCCCAGCTGTGGCCACCGCTGCGGACAGAGACACGACAGTTCTCCTTGTTCGCGAGATCCACGGCTGCTTTGATGTGGGATGCCTTCGAGACGCGCACTACAGCTCGCGGCTGTCGCTTGGTGTCGCGGCGCACGTTGAAGACACGGCCCCATACCGCCTCATAGTATGTTTCGGGGTCCGTCGAGTCTCTCCAGACGATGGGGAGATCCCCCTGGTCTGTGGACTCGATTCCTTGGGTGTTGCCCATCTTGTAGTCGGTTGTGACACGTGGGTCCAGATGTCGGGCGGAACTTGGGCGTTGGCGGGTAGAGATTATCTCTACAGTGCAGGTATCCTACGGGCTGTCTCGATGCGTCTATATTCGTGCCTGTAGTCTGCTTGAGAGGACGGACTGAGATTCTTATATGAGTGACACGGAATCATCCATGCATCCCGCAACCCCGACCCGTGCTGCCCCAGTTTCAATAGTTGAAACTAGACCCCGCACCCCACGTTCCGATCGATCGTTGCGGCTCCCCACCTGCGGAACGACCCAATCTTGACTCGTGACAGTCGGTAGGCTTGAAGCTGCCCCAGAAAAGGCGCACATGGATGCCAGATTGTGTAGCGAGATCTACTCCATTCGGCGGATTGTAGGCCCAGATCGGACGGGTGGGGGGACGCGTTGGTAGTTCTCAGTGGTGTGGTTGTACAGATTCGGCCAATTATCCTGTCGTCTACCTGGCTTGGATGTGACATAAAAACACAGTACCATCTCAGGTTGCTGTAGGTATACGTATTGCCAACCTCCCCCAAGAGGATGAATCGAACGATGGTACGTGCAACCCTAGTTTCAGTACTGCCAGTTGAAGACCACCTGTGAAGTCGAGGTAGTCGCGCATGTGCTATCACGGCTATGAGACACTCGGCCTCGGAACGGCGATCGAACGGACCTCCCTCGGGGAGTGAGAAATGTCGAACCATACTGAGCTCCACTGTTCATGATGCAAGCATCTTACACAGGAGTCGACGGGGGGTTGTAAACGACCGCTGAGTCATCGTGGTGGACTTGATCCCCAGCGATCAGCCAGTCCGTGGTATACAGAAGTTCAAATCTGGGGTGACGGCCGAAGCCCCAAGAGCCCAGGCCTGTAAGCTAGGAATGTAGGGGTGCGCCACGGCCGCTGAGTTGCCCCACCGCCACTACAAAGCTGCAGCACTGCGGCGGTATGTGGTGGGTTGGATTTCAGCACCTTCTCATCGAGGGCCAAGACCTCTTCTGCTGCAGCACACATCAGACTCGAGATATACCTACTTGAGTACACCACGACTGGCCGTACGGTTAATCATCGACTTCTTCATGATTTCCCCGCCGTCTCCTTGATGTGCTCACATGTGGCAGACAGTGGGCTCTGCGCGCACTCTTGGCGGGCATGATTGGCCCCGGGCACTACTCAGACCCGCGCTGGCTTTCGCGCCGGAGGATCAGAGGGCGCAATTAGGTCGATCCACGGAACGCAGTAGCTCGAATATGGGTGCCTAGAGTAGCGGCTACTTGAAGCCTCAAAATTTTGAGGGCTTCTATGCGAGCCACCAACGAACGGTCAATCCAAGCTCGCACAAAACAGTCAAGCTCTGGAAGCCATTGCCATGACATCCGACCAAGAGAGCACCAGCTTTCTTAAGCGAAGCTTGGAGGAGTTGGGCCTCACTGCTGTCTACAACTCGCCCTTCGACGTCAAGCTACTCTGTTTTCAGCGATTCGTGCGGCTTTTCGCGTATGGCGCGTCCACGCTCATCCTCGTCGCCTATCTGGAGGCGCTGGGCATTTCGAAGACGCAGATTGGACTCTTCATGACCCTGACCCTTGCCGGCGATATCTGCATTAGCTTCTTCCTCACTCTTTTCGCCGACGCACTAGGCCGGAAGGCGATCCTGGTGCTTGGAGCCGCGTTAATGACAACCAGTGGCGTTGTCTTTGCTCTGTTTGGCAACTATTGGATTCTGCTTCTTGCGGCAATAGTCGGCGTCATCAGTCCAAGGTTAGACTATAATACATGCCCCCAAAATGGACCTTTCTGATACCTGATGTATAGCGGCAGCGAGATTGGCCCTTTTAGAGCCATTGAAGAAAGCATTGTTGCGCATTTGACCGAGCCGGGTGATAGAGCTCATGTATACGCTTGGTATAGCCTCTCAGGGTCCCTCGGTACCGCTTTTGGCATGTTGACAGGGGGTCTGACTATCCACCGCCTGATCAATGGCCTAGAGTGGGACAAGGTGCAGGCCTATCGTATCATCTTCTACATCTATGCTGGCCTCGGCGTGCTGAAGACAATCTTGGCTCTGATGCTAAGCCACAAGGTCGAATCTGAGAAGAAACAAGAGCAAGCGCGTTCAAGAGCCAATGGCAGCGAAACTACGCCTCTTCTAGATGGCGACGCTGTGCCATCGGAGACAGTAGCTGCCGTACCGCCGAAAAGAGGCTTCCGGTCCTTGCTCCCGGACGTAAGCAAGGAGAGCATTGGGATGTTGATAGAGCTCTGCTTCCTGTTTGCCTTGGACTCTTTTGCATCCGGTTTAGCTACAATGTAAGCCATTGACCTCTTCTCCCAGTCCGTCGACTAACAGGTATAGCTCCTGGATTACATACTTCTTTCATACACGCTTCAATATTGAAGAAGGAAGACTAGGGACGATCTTCCTCGTCACAAGCATAGTCACCGCTGCGTCTATGCTTCTAGCTGCATCAGTTTCCAGGAGACTTGGCAATATCAAAGTAAGGACCTCTTCAGCCGCTCCACGAAACTCGTACTAAAGACTTTGCAGACCATGGTCTGCACGCACCTCCCTTCTTCGGTGTGCCTGGCCTTGATACCACTTCCAAATGAAGTGCACTGGTCTCTTCTTTTCCTCGTGTTGCGCGCCTGCACTCAGTCCATGGACACGCCTCCCAGGTCTGCCTTTCTCGCCATGATGATCCTGCCAGCGGAGCGCACGGCCGTCATGGGAACGATCAACGTCGTGAGGACCTCGTCTCAGACGTTAGGACCCCTGATTACTGGGGTCTTGGCAGAGAAGAACCTTCTCTGGGTATCTTTTGTGATCGCAGGCGGGTTGAAGGCCTGCTACGATCTCGGACTGCTCGTTATGTTCAAGAACAGGGAAAAGGAAAGAGAAAGAACGGAGCAGGAGAGACACGAAGAGGATCGCTCAGACGGCGCTCGATCGGACAACTCGTGATATATCAAAAGGGAGATAAGCAATGAGGTAGAGAATTTATCTTGTTGTTACAAATGCTGGACTGCCTGGAACGATGGCTTCTACTGAGGAGCCTTCGGCTTCACTGGACCTATTCCGACTCTACGCAGAGTTGACCCTAGCCGCATGCTCGTATACCAGAGGCTGTGCCTCCGAGTCATCCAGGAAGATCGTGAACCCATCATCGTGGTTTCGGCCGTAGGAAAAGTTGGAGAAGCCAAACTGCCAATACATGTCCGGCATCTCGGCCTCCTCCATAATACTCTGCCAGCCGCCAAGGACGGCGACGCGGGTCTCGTTCTCGGCAGCCACCTTGCCCAGGTTCGCGAGCCGTGCCTCCGGGGTCAACCAGCCGTACTCCTCGTGCACGACGGGCTTGCCGGCGCGCTGGCCGGCGGCGGCGTGGTCGCGGACCCACTGGTTGGCCCACTCGACCGTCTTGGACCACCAGTCCGGGTACGAGTGGAAGACGCCGAAGTCGATGTTGGGCAGGGCGATCTCGTGGTCGAAGTCGCCGCCGTCGGAGCCGGCGTAGGCCCAGTCGTCGGACCCGCCCGCCAGGTTGAACTCGCCCTCGCCGCCCCACGTCACCAGGTGGTGCGGGTCGAGGCTCTTGACGTAGGCGCTCATCTCGTCGATCCAGCCGCTGAGCGTCGCCGTCGTGCAGTTGGCGCTGCGCGGCAGGTTGCGCGTCGCGTCGGCCCCGCAGCGCGGCTCGTTGGCCAGCTCCCACGCCATAATGGCCGGCGAGTCGCGGTACCGGGTGACGAAGGTGTTGACGTAGTTCTTGTAGGCGTCTTTGATCTGCGGCAGGACGTAGAACTAGAACAAGTTGGAAACAGGTCAGCGATCAGTCTTATCGAGTGAGTCCAAAACGATTAGGACGCTCTTACATCGTCGTGATACTGCCCACCGAGGTTGACAGTGTAGACGTCCATACCGCCATAGTCGGCCCAGTTGTTGGTGAAGGCGACAATGAGCTTGATGCCAACGTTGGCAGCGGCATTGACCACCTTGTCGAAGGCGCTGATGTCAATTGTCGGGGTGCCGTTTTCCCAGCGCTGGAAGATAACCTCGGTCGTGCCGGCGCCCTCGTTTCCGTACTGAGGCAAGCCATTGGGGTTGTACGTCACGTTCTTGTCGTTAAAGCCCCAAGTTCGAAACACCTTGAGGCCGGCATCTTTGGCAGCTTGAAGTCCCAGTTCGACATCGGCTTGGTTCTGGAGCAGTAGTAGCAGACGTTAGCCTCGTGCCATAGACTAGATGAGTCAAACTTTTGTTGATGAAGGCCACTCACGTTGTTGAAAGGGAAATAGTACGCATTGCTGCCAGCGAAGTAGAAGTCTTCACCATCGAGCTGGAACTTGGTGCCCTTGGTTGTCACGAAGCCCTCTGGAACTTGCCTGGCAGATGGACGAGCATCTACTTGGGATGCTAGTAGAGCGGCTGGAACCGCGCTCACAAGATTGAAGCGCATATTGACGGTTTGGCTACTTCAGGACACTGCGACCTGAAAGATACTACATAAATCTCTTTTTTTTCTTTGGCGGCTCAACGTCATTTATACCATCCGCGCTTTCTAGTAAGTCGACGCGATTGCTATACCCCATTGAAGATGGCGGAGACTGTTGGCCCGTCGTGACTGTTCTGGCCTAACGCTGTCTTGGAGCCGTAGGCTTGGGGTTGCAAGATCCTCCAATAAGAATGCGGGATTGCTTGGGGGATAGACTATTCGGGAACCCAACCGAGATCCCCTGTCCCCAAATCTTGGATCATCGTCGGTAACTCTGCACGAAGCGACCTGACAGTTGGAGAAGATGAGGAGATATGAGGAGAAGCCCTTGTCACTCCGGGGGCGAGTGGGTAACCTGAGGAGAGATTTCCCCAAGACTCCATCGTATGTTGGGCGAAGGCACATGTGAAGCCATTGCCCTGCCTGACGGGCTTGGTGCTGTGGAGCGGCGTTGGTTCTCACGGAAACAGATATCTTGCCGGTCAACCATGCGAATGAGATGATAATATGACGGAATGTCTATGCATTGCTCTTCTCGTGACCAGCGGTTGCGACCTCGAGTATGCGTTCCTCCAGGCCTCCAACATGAACAAACTTGACCCCTGCCTTCTCCAGCTTGGCCTTGCCCGAGTTGTCGCTCACAAACTTCTCGGGCTCTTGAACGCCCACGTAGACAGTCTTGATCTTGCCCCCGATGTTCAAAATCCGGTCGACACAGGGCAAGTTCCCGCTCAGACGGAATGAACAGGGCTCCATGGTGGTGTAAAGGGCAACTTCAACAGGGAGGATGTCGGAGAGCTGGCCTGCATCTATGGAATGCTTTGATGCCAGCTTCTCAAAGCAGCACTGTTCTGCATGTGTGTTTCCTGGCAGCTCCAGAGTATAGCCGGTTGACAGGATCTCATTGGTAGCTACATCGAGGAGGACAGCGCCGACTCTGTAGTTTGTGGGTTTGGGCGGCGATTGCGTTGCCAAGGACAAGGCGTACTTCAGGTACGATGCATGATCTCCAGCCGTTATAGATAGTGCGAGGTCTGCCATTATAAAGATCTCCTGGGGAGGCGCGGAGCGAAGTAAACCGTGTGTATCGTAGTGTAAGCCAGCGACGGCTTCATTTGCAGAAGTCACATCAAAGTGACTGAAGCTACCTCGGGACCAGCAATGTGCACTACTACCCCGCGGATGCATAACTACTTAAGCACACCGACACTTATCGATAAGCCAATTGCCTGCATAATCCTGTCCCTGCTACTTACCGTCACTGCCAGGGCCAGGGTCTATCCCATCTATCTGAACGCGTCTGACGCGCAGCCAACCGATCACGAAATACGAACTCGCTCACACCACCCGAGCTCCTCAAGAAACATCATCAAGTCGCAACCCAATTTCCAACCCGGCGACTACTTCTTCCGGTCTCACACGGCACTGAGCAACACCAATATGTCTGATTCCGAGTCGGAGGATATCCTCCAGGGCGACCAAGCCAACATTGATCCCTACGAGGTTCTCGAGGTCGACCGCGAAGCCAGCGCAGACAAGATCAAGTCGGCGTATCGCAAGCAAGCCCTGCGAACCCACCCAGGTACGAAATCGGGACCACTGTGGTTTCTTTGGGTCGAAAAGGCTCTCTAATACCCAATGCAGACAAGGTCCAGGGCTCCGAGTCCGAGAAGCAGGCCGCCAAGGAAAAGTTCCAGCAGGTCGCACTTGCCTACGCCGTCCTCTCCGATCCCGTACGTCGAAAGCGATACGATGCGACGGGTGAAACTTCAGAGTCACTTGGCGGATCCGACTTTGCCTGGAGCGACTTCTACCAAGAACAATTCCGCGATGCCATTTCCGAAGATGCGATCAAGAAGTTCGCCGACGAGTACAAGAACTCGGACGAGGAGAAGGACGACCTGCTAGTTGCGTACGAGAAACACGAGGGCAACATGGATGGCATCTACGAGGAGGTTATGTTGAGTAACGTCCTGGAGGACGACGAGCGTTTCCGCGCGATCATCGACGAAGCAATTGCCAACAAGGACGTCGAGGCTTACAAGACATACACCAAGGAGTCCAAGAAGTCCAAGAATGCACGCATCAAGGCCGCTCAGGGCGAGGCGACAGAGGCTGAGGACTATGCCAAGGAACTCGGTGTCCACGACAAGCTTTTCGGCAACAAGGGGAAGCAGGGCAAGAAGGGCAAGAAGGATCCCGAGGCTGATCTGGCGGCGCTCATTCAACGCAACCAGAAGTCACGCAGCGGCTTTCTGGACAACCTGGCGGCAAAATACGGCGGTGCAGATTTTGAAGAGCCATCGGAGGAGGCCTTCCAGGCTGCGGCTCAGAAGCTGAAGAGGAAAGCACCGGCAGAGAGCTCCAAGTCTGGGAAGGGCGGTCGGGCCAAGAAGGCAAAGTCCTGAAGATTGTACCTGGTTTGATGCGCGGCATAATTGGCGTTTTCTGGAGTTGAAGGCTGGGTTGTTGGGAAGGGAAGGGAAGGGGCATGGCTTGCGATGGGTTGATCTGATTTCGGGCGCGTACCCCATCCAGCAAGCTCGCAAGGATTTATGGAGCCTCTGCTTCGTGTTCTTATAGCACGAAAGAAAACTATACAATACTACCAGACCATGCACTTGGTTCACTAGGGTTCCGATCTATTGTCTATTGGTGAAGCTATGTGTTCCAGTGGCCAAGACACTTGTCGGGCTACTGGGCTAGCCTATAGCGTATCACCTGGCCAACAGGTGACGCGGGGACCCTGCAACGACGCGCCTGTCTCTTAATTGAAAATGTGCGGCACTCCAGTTCCATGGGCCAAGACACCCTCACGATTGTCGCTGCCTCGCTATCCGCCAGGGTCTCAGCTCTACACTACACCATGCCATGACAAGTGCTGCGGTGCCCGACTACGAAGAGTACCCACAGTATTGCTATCACTTGTCGCCGACCATCACCAAGTGGTGCCCGTTTCGGGCGAGCGATATCCCGCAGCTGCGATGGCATCCCGGGTTCCAAGGTAATTCCGCCTCGAATGCTTCGGGGCCACTGTTCTCACCTGCGCGTCAGGCCAAGATGATACCTTCTTCCACCTGAACCACCCCATCCGATGGGTGCGCGTGGTTGGGGTCGTGGTGGCAATTGATTCCTTTCAAACTCGCCGTGTCTACACAGTAGACGACAGCACTGGAGTATGCATCGAGTGCTCCGTCAGCATCCCCCAGCCTGCCGACCCGAAGCACACAGCGCATACTGCTGTCAAGGCAGAGTCCGCCGCGGAGCCGGCAGCAGATCTGTACCCCGATGTCGACGTAGGCATGGTCGTCGACGTCAAAGGGAACCTGAAGCTGTTTCGGGACCAGAAGGTGATCAAGATCCAGAAGCTGCAGAGGATCCGGTCGACAAACCAGGAGGTCCAGTTCTGGAACAAGATCAGGGACTTTAGATCGGAGGTGCTGAGCAAGCCCTGGGTCCTGGACAGGAAGGTTCTGCGCCGCCTGGAGAAGGAGAACAAGACAGACGCGGACAGCAAGGGCAGGGAGAACAAGAAGAGGCGGCATAGGCGCGAGGAGGACGCCAGATCTCATGCTACAGGAGGAGACCGCACCCGTTCTCGAAACGCGTATGGAGGATCGTCATTGAGGAAACCATACCAACCATCAAAGTTACGTTCAGTAGCGGCCGCTGATGACAGTCAATACGACGCTTTGGGATTATGAGGCTCAATGATCTGCTACCCCGTATGGCTGCAGACGCCACCATGTCAATAGCACTTGTTGGTATATATAAAACTACTGCTGGATTTCGACAATGATCTCACGTGCTACATCCAAGGCGGACCCCCCGTCTCAGACCCCACATGGAAGATGCACACAGACTAGACGGACGACACTGGTGGAAGGGTCTACATACGACTGCTGTGTGCTGTCGGATGAGGTATCCCGAGTATCCCGAGTATCCCGAGCGATCCAATATTTACGTGAGCTGTCTCGCCTCGGAGAGACAGACAACTCGTGGCTTCGCGTCGCATGCAAATCATTAGTGGGGCTCTGCGTGCACTTTCAACGTCATTCGTTCATCCCCCGGATTTCTGGCTTCAGAGACACTTGGCAGACCCGACTCTTTCACGACCGCCACGAGACATCGGCGCGGTAAATACAGCGAGACTATAGATCGCTCGGACCACTGCAACTCATCAGATATCATTAGGAGGTCGTTGCAGCAAAGCCACGGCCCTTTACGACGGGTGTAGTCGACATTGCCGTATGTTCGCTGCTCCTGATCGTAGCTTCCGTCCAAAGCTGATGCTCAGGAAAGTGCCCGGCTGCACATCATCCCGCCCAGCCACGGAGAAGAAGAGTCAAGCTCTCGATACTTGGTGATGCTCTTCGGCTCAGCATTCATGGGCTTTATTGGCGACCTAAACCAACCCACCCCTCCTTCGTATTCCTAGAGAGATTCGTCCGAGCATTCCAATCGCGTTTCTAGACCTCACTCGCTTGACTCACCTGGTAAGACACCTCATATCGTCTCCTAAGTAACCATCCGGCATTCTCGTTAGAGAACTGCCTCAATGATAGACGACCCCGACGGCGTACAAGTGTCGCCAAACCCTGAAAAGCCACGAGCCCGTAAGTTTTGAACCTTCGATGTTGGTGTGACAACAACGACGTCCACCACCACTCGGTACACATTATACGGACTATATCTCGATATCTCTGGCATATTGCTTGCTCAATTCGACCTGACGTTCTGCGTCCTACCCCCTGTCTGATAGCAGGGCCTCCACAGACTCTCCTCGATCCCTTCCTGTCGTGTGTGATCATGTTGATTCATCTCTTACTAACGATTCTCCAGGTCAGTCCAAGTCGAGGCGTACCACTACCTGGGTACAGAGAGGAATACCTGCCGCTTCCGGTCACGCCAACTGCAAGCCAAGAACCGGACCGTTATAAAGAAAGCTACCGGCCTGTATCCGTCCTCACTACTTCCGTTACGGGTGTTGTGGCTCAGGTACTGCCTCCTCTCTCGACGACCACACCAAATACGGACGGGACTGTTGTTACGTCTCTAGAGACAGAAGGAAGGTCAAGTGTTTACCCCTTTCCCACTAACAGCATCCCAGATCCCTCGTTGCTCATCGTGAGCCTCGGGCCGGCTGATCAACCTTCACCCAAAACTACAACACCACCCCAACCCGCGCAGCCTACGCCTTCGTGTGAATTACCGTCACCAAGCAGTGTGATACCCCCTAACACCCCTTCACCGGCTCAGCCAACACCCGCGAGTGAACAGCCGTTCTCGAGCCCTGTAGCTCCTCCGAATACAGCCCCTCCGGCAGAAGCAGAGCCCACGAGTGAACCCCCGTCCTCAAACAGTGCACCTCCGAACACACCACCCCCGGCAGAACCAGAGCCCTCGGGTGAAGCTTCGTTCTCAGATAGTGTACTTCCCGAAACACCAACCCTGGCTCAGCCACCACCCGCGAGTGAACCTCCAGCCTCAAGCACTTTACTTCCCACGACTACGAACTTGCCTCTAGAGAATACGGCACCTTCGAGTGAGGCGCCGACACCGTCGGAGACCCAGCCATCAGAACCCCAGCCATCGGATACCTCGCCCACGATGCCTGAGATTGATGCTTCAACGGATCTCTTCGCTGCACCTATTGCATTGAACGCGCCTGCGGCGATCTTTCAGGTTCGCACAGATCATCCGGTGCCTCGGCTTGGTATTACCAGCACAGGTCCGCATCAGACAAACAAGTTTTACGCCAACTTCTTCTTGGGCAATCAGAATGCCCCGACCTATGTACATCCATACTCCGTCGCATGGGCGAAGGGCCAGGGGGCCTCCGCCAGCTGGGGTTTGTCGGTGTCGCATATTGAGGCCAGCCAGAGGGTCTACGGCCAAGCATCATCTGGAACGAACGCTGTGCGATACTTCTTGAATCCGGTTGGCATCCAGTCGCTATGCCTCTCAGCCGTCGAGCTTGGATCCACGACGGCACTTACACTTGACAGCATGCAATCACAGTCCGTCAACGTGAACCTTCTGGACAAGTCAGGAGGCAGGACTTTGGTGACTTTTCCGCTAGTTCAAGGCATGGCGTTTGTGACGGCGGTGTATCAAGGGTCAACTCCAGCAATCAACTCTGGAGTCTTCTTCAAGACCGTCACGAAGTCGACGAACGGACCGAAAGCTGGCGTCACGAAATACACCATCTACCTCGAGGACGGAAAAGTGTGGCACGTGTATGCATACTCGTCGAGAGGCGAGACCTTGGACTTGAACGTTGTAAATAATGGGTTTGCGAGGGCTTCTAGACCCTTCAACGGCATTATACAAGTCACGAAGGATCCGGGGAATGCCGAGGGTGTCCTGGATGCGGCATCAGGGGCCTACCCGACGGCTGTAACACTTTCGGGCGCTGTTGCCAACACGCAGGGTAGCTATACCTTCACCTACACCAAAGCGGGTATCTCGGATACCAAGCTCCTGATGTATGCCTTGCCGCACCATACCGAATGTTTTGATGCAAACACCAACAAAGGCCTCACCACAGTGAAGCTTCAGACGACCACCAAAGGAATAGCGACCGCTGTGGTTGGAGATGCGTGGACGATGGTGGAGCCTAATATGCCAGTCTCCATGGACTTTGCTCCCTGGGATCCGGTCAAGGGACCTCAGAAAACACTGAAGGCATCCTACATCAATACAATTGCGCCTGTCGCCCTGAAAGAAATTTCGCAGAACATGGAACAGCAATCAGACCAGAACTCCATGTACTTTAGTGGAAAGGTACGGCATGCACTAATATCATTGCTTCGTTAGGCTAATGTGTTTGACAGGCACTTGCGAAGTTCGCTCAGCTGTGCTATGTTGTGAACGACCTTTTACAGAATCAGAGGCTGGCCCAGACCGGACTGAATAATCTGAAAGCTGCTTTCAGTCGGTTCACGCTCAATCGGCAGCAGTTCCCGCTGTATTACGAGAGTATGTCGCTATTGATTCATGATAACGGAACCATGCTGACTCTCACTAGGCGCTTGGGGTGGCCTTGTTTCTTCGGCAACTTACCAGACAGGAAACAATGGTGCAGATTTCGGCAACACGTACTATAATGATCACCACTTTCACTATGGCTACTTTATCCTCGCCGCTTCCATCATTGGATATCTTGATCCTTCGTGGCTGACAAAGACAAACATCGACTATGTAAACACATTGGTCAGAGACGTGGCCAACCCAAGCAGCCAGGATAAGTACTTTCCAGTATTCCGCAACTTCGACTGGTACCACGGGCACAGCTGGGCTCATGGCTTGTATGAGACCCTTGATGGCAAGGTGAGTCAAACACCGGTGATACCCCTTGCCACCTTGCAAGCTGGAAACTGACTTCTCCTTAAGGACCAAGAATCGAGCTCGGAAGATGCCATGCATGCTTATGCGATCAAGATGTGGGGGAAGACAATCAAGGATGCCAGAATGGAAGGCCGGGGTAATCTGATGCTTTCCGTGATCCAGAGGTCTCTCAGCAATTACTACCTATACACCTCAGACAACAAAGTGCAGCCCTCGAACTTTATTGGGAACCGAGTTGCCGGCATTCTGTTTGAGAACAAGATCGACCACACGACATACTTTGGTACGAACATTGAGTATATCCAGGGGATCCACATGCTGCCGCTTTTGCCCAGTACAAAGCTCACCAGGCCAGCCATCTTTGTGAATGAGGAGTGGCAGACCTACTTTAGCAACGGACGTGCCGACCAGGTCGAAGGAGGCTGGAGAGGCATTCTATACGGCAACCTGGCAACTGTCGATCAGAAGACGGCGTGGGACTTCTTCACCGCAAAGAACTTCGATCCGGCTTGGCTGGACGGCGGTGTTTCTCTCACATGGTATCAGGCGTACACAGCTGCGCTCATGGGGTGAACAATGCTACACAAGACTCAAGAAATTGATGGACGAGTATGATTTGGACGACAAATGACAGGATGAAAGACACATGATTGATGCAAGCATTGATGCTTTAGACTTACGATTCGCATTAGACTGGATGGATCACTCTCCTTTTGCATTTACGCTGTAGGATTAGACAGATTGAGTATGGAATAGTATGGCATTGTTGTTCTTGTCCTCTGCGAACTTATGCCATTAATTGCTATGGTCAACTGCTTGCTTGATCAGCCCATCGGACACGTCAATGGGCGTTGTTAGGTTGTATTCAATTGGCACAGCCCTTGAATTACATTCTCCGTAACGAGATGTGCATAGTGCTTACGGGCCATGCGAACCCCTCACTCTGGATACAAAGTTCATCGAAGCAGCCCCCCAAACACCTCCGGTTACACTGCAAGGCAATTATCGCAGCGATGGCAACCTTAGACATCGAGGTAGTAGACCTCACCGGTATCGGGCTCCCTCAAGAAGACTGCCGCAAGGTGGCCGTCTGGATGGCGCAGGCCTTTGCTCAAGCGCGTGAGTTGTTGACCCGTGTCGCCGGTCTTCCTGGAGAGGCTTTTGGTGCTGATTGATTTCCTTTATAACCAACAGCCGCGACGCCGGCCCTGACCATTTTCTTCGGCGCCGCGCCCTACGAGGCCAACGTCGAGATGCACGAGCGCTTCTGGGCCTCGCACCTGAACCGCGTCGCCATGTCGGGCCGGCTGATCGGCGCCCGGGCCCGCGGCGGCGGGGCATGGCGCGGGTTCCGGGCCTTCTTCGAGCCCGGTAGGTCCAGGCTGCCGTATGTCTCGGACTTTGTGAGTCCTCTGCTTCTCTCACACCCGGCTCGTTGGTTCTGATCAGGCAATCTAGAGACTTGAGAACAACGACGACTGGGATCGCTTCCTGGAGCTGGCCAGCGAGGAACAGTACATGAGTCGGGTCAGGGAATGGGGCAAAAAGACAGGCCGCACGAATGAGGAGATCGGTATTACACCTGGCGAGTACTATACGACGTCCATCATCGTGGTCGAGTAGGGGAGCCCTTCATTCAATCACTGCGGATGACTCTGACTGACAGATTGGTAGCCCGGCGCACCAGCGACAGGGTATAGGCCACGCGCTCGACGAGTACACACAAGATATTGTACGATTGCACTCCATCAGACAAAACTCATTGGGATTGTTCACTGATCTGCCAATAGGTCCGAGAAGCCCATAGGCCGCTTCACGTCCGCATCCATGAGTATATCGTGAGTACCCTTTTACGCATCAGGAGCTACACAATCTCACACTGACGTCTGCGCTGCAGCTGCCCTTTTACATCGCACAGGGCTATCGTGTGGTCGCATCACCTACATACAGCCTTGTGGGCTCGGCGCCGTTCAAGGTGCATTTCCTGATGCATGATTGCAGCCGGATTGTGTCCCGGTAGGCTTGTTAAAGGGGGTATGTGGGGACACGTCGCGCACCCATAAGCCATCGTGCGTCGTGACATGTCCTGCTGATGGCTTATAAGCGGGGTTTCATATTATCATATCATCGCCACTAGAGAAGAGAGCCTTTCACATCAGTAGAGGTGTCTGTTATACAATGTACTAAAGGCATCTGATGCCTATGACTAAGTGAAGAGGAGGGATGTTGGATACCAGCATTGAAATTGCTTCGTTTGCTTCCAATTAGTTAGCACAGGTCTGCATCCCTTGCTTCATTCTCTGGTTTGTCCAAGGCCTTAGGCCTACACTCAGTACCCCGCGCCAATACTTGTTTTTCCAGATGTGAGATCTTGACATGAAAGGATAAGTACACTGCAGCCGCACCTTTGCAAACTGTATTTTCACGAGAAGAACGAGAGCTTTCATTATGTATCCTCTCCCTCCACAATCTTTGCCACAAATGTTGTCGGTTGACAAAGTGATCCCCGTTATTCAGGGCATCATTGCTGATCGAGAAGCAATCCGTGAGTCGGTGGTTTCCAAGGTGACACCGGAGACGGCCACGTTTGGAAATGTCATCCAGCCATGGCTAGATGAGGAGAACATGAATCAAGGAGCCGAAACTTTGATAGACATGTATCGGTATGCAGGTCCGAACAAAGCTATCCGTGACGCAGCCGAGGAGGCAACCAGGTTGATGTCAGAGAGTCACGCAAAGCTCATGCGAAGGCATGACCTCTACCTCCTAGTGAAAGCTGTGGCAGACAGAGACGATAGTCCTAATGAGGAATGCAGAAAGGCGGTGAAAGATATGTTGCGCGAGTACACAAATGTCGGATATGGGAAGTTGAGCTCTCAGCAGATCGAGAGGCTACTAAACGCACGGCAAACCATCAGTCAGCTTTGCCAAGAGTTTAATCAAAACTTGAGGGAGAAAACCAAGGGGCTCTGGTTCACACCGGATGAACTTGATGGCGTTCCTGTGCAGGAGATCGAACACCGCATGCCAGTCGGCAGAAATGAAGTATACATCGACCTTGGCAATCGTGCAGACCGGCTCCTGGTGCAGAGGTTTGCCCACAGCTCAGCTACAAGAAAGAGGTTGTACCTTGAAAACGAGCAGAAGCTCTGGGAGAACGTTCCTCTGTTCAAGAAAGTTCTGGTCGTGCGGGACGAGAATGCACGCCTTCTCGGCTACAAGAGCCACGCAGAGTTCAAACTGCAAGACCGAGTGGCAGCTTCACCCGAGTCGGTAGACGAAATGCTGGGTGCCATGCGTCAGAAGGTTCTGCCATTAGGAAAACGGGCAATGGAGAAACTGAAAACCATCAAGAAAACGCATCTGGGGTCGCATCTACCACCCGAAGAAGATGAAATCCTGCCCTGGGATTACTTTTATTATATGCGCTTACTGGAGGAGGAGACGCAGGTGGACCATGAAGTCGTGGCTGAGTACTTTCCACTTCAAAATACAGTGCTCAAAATGCTGGGACTGTTCGCGTCTTTCCTTCAGCTCAAGTTCGTACCTATTCCTCCCGAGGCGCTTACTGGGAGTACTTGGCATGAGGATGTGAAAGGATGGTCAGTGTGGGATGAAAGACCGGAACACAAGGGCGAGTTTATTGGGTATCTTTTTTCAGACATATTATACAGGGATGGGAAGTATAAAGGGAACCAAAACGTCAATCTTCAGGCTGTGGGTACAACTAGACTGCATATGTCAACGAGAAACTGACCTGCTAAAATAGTCCTACATCAAACCAGACGGTAGCAGGGTCCTTCCAGCGACTATACTGATGTGCAACTTCTCCCCATCAGCCGTTACAGGATGTGCTTTGCTCAAGCATTCCGAGGTAGTGACGCTATTCCACGGTGTGTTCCAACCCCATGTTTCTGTCCCATGCTTCTCACTGGGTAATGTCTAACATCATAGCTTTCTCAGAGCTTGGTCACGGAATTCATGACCTTCTGTCTCGTACATTGCACACCCGGTATCATGCCTGGAGAGTCCCGGTAGAGTTTGGTGAAGCTCTAAGCACAATGCTCGAGAACTGGTGTTGGGATAAGACGACACTACATGCAATGAGTTGCCACTACACAACAACAGGCCCTGAGTTTCCGAACCAGTGGAAAGCGCAGAACCCGCAGGCCTCACCACCTGCTGAACGTATCTCGGACAAGCTTCTAGATCGGTTGATCGGGGAGCGAAATCTGAACAGAGCCCTCCAAATACTAAAACAGACGTATGTCTTGGGCACTCTTACCAACTTACGTGACATCTTCTGAGACACATATAGTGCAGACTCAATATTTGACATGACGATTCACAATCCAGCTTCCCACTATGAGCTCGTACAGCTCGACGAGACGGAGCTCTATAACGTCCTTTACGAAGAGCTGACTTTGAGAAGAAACCCCGAACCGAGTACATGGGGACCTGCTCATTGCCATTTCGGACATTTGATGTCCGGCTACGACGCGGGATACTTCGCGTATTTAAGGTATGTTTCATCATAAATAACTTCAAGCCTGTAACAGTAGGGCTAAATCCAGCACAGCGCCCAGGTTTTTGCGGCGGACTTCTATGAAACGGCATTCGCCGCCAACCCAAGTTGCCAGAACACTTGGGATCGGTACAGGCGGGTGATCCTTGAGGCCGGCGGTAGTCGAGATGAGTCGAAGATCATGGAGGAGTTTCTGGGCCATCTTCCCACACCAAATGCCCTTGTGAGAAGCCTGGGTCTTCAGTAGCACATCTGCGGATTCGGAGGGGTTTGGATACTGGGATAAGGTACGAATGATACAGAGAATAGTATGGAAGGCGAGGGTAGCGATCAATGTACGACCTTCGCCCTCGAAGCGTCTACCACCTCTGTGGCGAAGCTATCCCTAGTATCTATTGTATCGTTTGGCACCCTCTAGGCCGGGCACATCAATATATTCGACTGAGGGCTTCCGGCATCATTATGGTAAGGAGAAAGCCCCCCTTTTCAAGGTTGATTGAATATTAAAGATATCGAGATGCTGAAAAGGACGCAGGTGGTGGGACGCAGGGGATGGCGTGCACGAAAAGAAAATAGAGCGGAAAACCCCCGAATAGTGAAAATAGGTTGGTTTAGATAGAGACAACCAACATCACCGTCTTCATGGTACTGAATTCTCAACGAGCTCGCCACTTCACTTATACGGAAAAGGCCAAGTGGTATGCAGGTGAACACTACGCTTATAAGGATTGCGCTCAAATTCCTAATATTTTTTGGTTTAGACAGAAAACGCACCAAGAGTTTCCTCAATTACCACTTTTGTGGACAGCTACTAGGACAATTTCATGCTTAGTAGCAATGGTACAGCATATAGTGTTTAAGCTGAGGTCGGCATTTGGAAAACCCGCCTGCGGATCTGACGATCTTCGAGCCTATTGCAGATCTAGCTTGCGTTCTAAGCTTAACAATGAATAGACTAGGCTTAGCTTGCCTTAATGAAGGTCCAAACACCATGATGTTTTAGGGCCATATGATGAGGTGCTTTATAGCTTACAGGTGACTGGCGCTGCCATCCCGCGCCTTGGGGTAATGCCAAGCCATGACGTTATTTCGTACCGCGATTGTGAATTTGCGACACCACCTTCAACGTGGGGAGTAGCTGCAGTGGCAGGGTAATTAGATTGCAGATCCGGGGTTGAATCAGTTAGCCGACATAAATTGGACCTGAAGATCATTGATATTACGCTACATGGCTGACATATGTCGTATTTATTGGTAGAGCGTCGTGCAGGAATAACATTGCCAGGATGCGCGGCACGCGAAATGCAAAGAGTTGCGCGCCGGCATGAGCTTTGCTCGCACCGAATACAAATAATGGCATGATTCCCGTCCATTGTCAGAGTTTGTGTTATCAACAAGCGTCATTGTCACGGAAAATGAAGGCTGTCAACATTCTACCATGGGCTTCCCTCCTGGCGGCAGCCCAAGCAGCCGTCGTTGAACGGGATACACCTGGGTTTGGCACGGGTCAACCAATTGACGGGAACGGCAAGGGAGCGCCAATTCTAGGTCAGTACAGCAAACGAAGTCCCTATCTCTTCAGTTAACGTCGTCTTTAACAAGTTTCACAGGCGGAACCAATAAGGCTCTCGATCTACAGAACCCAGACAACCTCGGTCAGCAAAGCACTGACAATGGGGTTGTCCCCAACCTCAAATGGAGTTTCTCAGACTCCAAGACCAGAATCCTTAGAGGTGGTTGGGTACGAGAGCAGGTCGTGACTGATTTGCCGTCAAGCCACGACATTTCGGCCGCTCAACAGCATCTGACCAAGGGATCTATTCGAGAGCTTCATTGGCACAAAGTGGTAGGTAGTCGAGCATCCACTTCGGGTTGCAACCTTGCTAACACTATACCCCAGGCTGAGTGGGGCTATGTGTATGCTGGATCTGTACTCGTCTCTGCCGTCGATGAGAATGGCCAGTATCAGGTATCCAAACTCGGAGTCGGAGATATCTGGTACTTCCCCAAGGGCGAAGCGCATACCGTTCAGGGTCTTGAAGATGAGAACGAATTCCTTCTGGTATTTGATGAGACCAACTTCGACGCTGTCGGGTAAGTTCAATAAAGCCAACGTCCGCATCATAGGTTTTGGTGCTAATTGTGGGTAGAACTACATTCAACATTGACGATTGGCTTGCGCACACCCCCAAGTCTGTCATTGCCAAGAGTCTAGGAGTCAACGAAACAGTTCTTGGCTCTCTACCTACGACGAACCCATACATCCTGAATAGTACCATTGATAATCACGAGGTCACTGGGCCAAACGGCGAACTTTCTGGCAACAACTCATATGTCTACTTTGCAAAAGACCATCCTCTAGAGAAGGTTCCCGGTGGTGGAGGTACCTTTCGAATTGTTGACACCACTACATTTCCCATTTCAAAGACTATTGCGGCTGCGATCGTGACTCTGAAACCTGGCGGTCTCAGAGAGCTGCACTGGCATCCAAATGTGAGATCATTTCCCAACTACATGGTAGTGTTGATGTCTAACAGTAGATATAGGCTGAAGAATGGCTTTACTTCCACCAAGGCAAGGTAAGCTTTGACTCCCAGTAGTTGCCCTTGGAACTCGCTTACACGCTTCCAGGGACGCGCCACCGCTTTTATCGGAAATGGAAACGCCCGGACTTTTGATTTCTCAGCGGGTGATACTGGTGTCTTTCCTGACAATAGCGGTAGGTCTCCGAGTCCCTCTGTCGCGTCTCAATCTAACAAACGTCAGGTCATTATATTGAGAACATCTCCGAGACCGAGGACCTAGTCTGGATTGAGATCTACAAGTCCGACCGTGTCAAAGATATCAGTCTCGGGCAGTGGCTCGCTTTGACGCCATCCGGCATTGTTGCAAGCGTGTTGAAGATTCCGGTCGAGACGGCTGAGAGATTGAAGAAGGAGAAGCAGATTCTCATTGCATGATCTTCCCAAGTCAGTGTTACATTATCGCCCAAGGCAGAAACAGCTCATGGAGATCTATGGATATCATAGGTCTTCATTTCTAATCATCTATTGTGTAATGGTAATTATGTAGGCTCCTCAAAACAATTGCTTTTGTATCACTATCGCGACTGTCTGGCTAAAGCCCTATCTCATGGGGCGGTGCAGAGAAGATCACTCAGTACTGCGGCGTTCTTCACTTTCTGAGTCACAGGTTCACCAACTAGCACGAAGCAAACTTGGTGTTCAATGGCCCAGAGACATGTTTACTTGTAGTCTCCTTTGTCCTACATGCCATTTAAGAGTTCCCGGATCAAGAGTCTGTAATTCGGTACAGATATCCACCAATGGAAGAGGTTGCGTAGATTTCAAGACTTTCCCAAACTCAAATTTGCTGCATAGAAACTCTCTTGGCTTGCCCAATAAATGTCGCAAAACCTTGCCGCAGGTTTGAATACACTTTTGTGGCAATCGTAAACTCAGAACAGAGAAGTTTTCGCTGCGGTAGTTTCAATTTTCTTCGCAATGTTCTTTCGGAGATTGCAAACAGAACTTATTTAAGCTTCCAATAATCTCCAGGTCCACCATCTGACTTCTTCCCCCTGAATCTGAAACACTGGCTTTCACCAGAACTTCTCGGATCACACCCTGATTAAGATCCTGTTTGCAGCCTTGTGCAATAAATATTTGGCGTCAAGTCAACATCTCTTACACTTTGCCAAGATGATTTACAGGAAGGCCCTGCAGCTTTTCCTCTCAATCAGCGCTTTGACGGCCGTCACCATCGCAATTCCAATCGCCAAAGTAAATACTACGGCTGCAACTAGAGCATCCTTCTACAACAAATCACACTCATCCCTCAACCTTACCACTAGCACTCTTGCCACAGCGGTTGACATTAATAGTACATCAAGAACGGAAACAACTGTCAATATCACGCAACAGACTTCCAGTCCCACCAACGGTACTATATTTGACACAATCAACGTCAATACTACATCAGTTACAACCATTGAGGACAGCTTTCCACAGCACACTCCCAGCCAGTCTATAGACAACACATCTGACGTTGACCCTGCACCAACGACCGTGGCTAACGGAAATATCACATCACAATGTGCTTCCAGTCCAAATAACAACTCCCTGGCCACGTTGGATGACGAGGGACGACCGGGAAAGATCCCATACCGCAGGTTTCCCAAATGCTATGTGGAGTGTTTTGACTCCGAAGGCACTGACGACAAGACCTGGCCGGCTATCGGAGATATCCGAGATTTGACGACTCACGAATTCTGCCACAGCCAATGGGTATGGGTCGGCAACTGGATGCTGGAACATCTCCAGTTCTGCGTCGCGGGCTATCCTGGATCCACGGGCAGATGCGAGCATTGCAGACCACAATGCCACCAGGAAGCCAAGAAAGTGATGGACAGTCTCTGTGGGACACCAGGCTAAAGAACGCTTTAGAAGTCAAAACGAGGAGGCTCGACAACTTTCAAGGTCGTCAAAAGGATATTTTACTCGGAGGACAATGTCGCTGAGTTGAAGAATGAAGTTTGTTAGTTGATATAGAACAGTAATAACACGGACTTCCCTTCATTCCCTTTTCTCCTCGAACGCGTTTTGATGCGGCCCACCGGCTCAGCAGCCCTTGCTCCAAGGCCACTTCTGCAAGTGAACCACAGTGTTTAAGGAGAACTAGGTTTCTAGAAAGAGCAAGGTGAGTATGCTACGGCGTGAATTGATATTGTGAACTGTTCATTCAGAGATGAGAGCGAGTAGTACCACCCAGATCACTGTGGTCTCTGACGTCTATGTATGCCACGATTACCATTGGAGTTGTGGCGCGCGTCACTTTTCTCATCGGTATTCACGTGTCATGAACCATTGCTTCCGTATAGCCTTGCAAGAATAAAAATCGGTTCCATTCCGAACCTTGAGAACCTTCTCTGTTATTAGCTCTTTCCTGCATGGGCTATCTGACCTGGGCGACAAAAAGAGTCTGTACCCCCTGGCGATTCCCCCGGCCTTCTGCTATTCAAAGTCTAAGCCCCCATGCAGACCGCAATCAGCTATGTAGGCACAAGCTGAAAGTAACAGTTAGGAACCAGCTGTATGTCTTTGTCACGGAAAAGAGTAAACTCCAGTACGCGAAACAAAACAGCAGCCAGATTTTCCCATCATTAAAGATGGAGTAACAGCGCCGATGTGGGTAACACTGAAACTAAACGAGCCAAAGTCCTCATACGGTGAATTCTCACGTTCAACTCACTCCTTGGTACCCTTCTGCGCTGCAACAGTCAAGCTGTCTACAGCACTGAAAGGGGACTTGGTGAAAAACCCACCAAATCACGGGCAAACACGTGCAAAGCTCTACCACAAGGATAGACACCTACACCAAAACCCCTCCCGAAGGAGCCTTATACCAGCCTAGAGAGAGTCAACCAGAGAGAGCCACCAGAGAGACGGACAGAACCACAAAGAGTACACCAACAACACGCCACCAAGAGAGACAGAGTCGACCAGAAGAACCACCAGGAGCGAGACACAGAAGACCAGCGTAGTGTGAAAAAAACAAGAAGCCAAATGAGTGTGATGGGGAAGTGAGGTGAGGGGAGGGGGCAAAAGAAAAAAGGGATAAAAAGAGGGTCAAACCGGGTTTACCACTGATGCCGACCAGAGTGAGTGAGAGACCAAGACCAAGACCAAGTCGCCCAACCACCAAGACCTTCGCCTCGTATCATGGCGGAAAATAATGCGTTACCGGGGCACGCTGCGGTGTTCTTGTCGATGCATTGACCGGGGCATGCTGCGGTGTTCGTATCTAAGTATTAGTGACCAGTGCGCTCACCTCGAGATAAATGGCGTCAGCAACTAGGTCGTGCGTTACCGGGGCACGCTGCGGTGTTCTTGTCAATGGCCCTTCGCGGCGGAAGACATGGCGAAGGGCGAGAGGGGAGGGGATCCTGAGAGCAGTTAGCTGGATTCCAAACAAGGCGGGCAAGAGAAACGAGAATGAAATGGAACAAGATAGGAAAGGGGTTACTTAGCTCTGGATCGAGAAATATGCCGGTGGTTGATGTCAAGGTCGGTCTTGGTCTCACACTTCAATCTACGCATCCATAAACGACTACTGGACCTTTCTGCACATTAGCCAGAATGCGCAGCTCGCCGACGCGCCGTGACACTTGGATCCTCTTCATGGCTTGAAGAGAAACCTTGCCCACGGCGGTGAAGGTGCTGAGCTATCGCATCGCGACCACCTTCGAAGTTGACCGCGAGACCGAGGACTTCCAGGCGAACATCCCAAACCTTGCGGGAGAAGGGCAGGTCGACACTTGGAGGGTATCGACCGTACTTCGAGACACGTTCGGGTTGCCACCAGAAGAAAAACCACTGAAGAGACCGTGTCAGTTGAGTCAAAGTGCTGATGAGAAAGAGAAGAAGGACAAATGAGAAAGGGAAAATATCAAGGCCTCACAAACGAGGGGAGACAGTATGAAAGGGGAACAAGAGTGCATGCGCAAAGGAGAAGCTTACCATCCACCAAGAGCTTCCCAGAGCCTGGCAAATATTGTCCTTTGTGCCTCGATCCCACGGATTACCTTCGAAGAGCTTGTACAGTGTCAGAGGGCGCCTAGAGTCGCGAGCGTCCTTGAAACCCAACAAAATGGGCTTCCTAGGGCGTCGCCATTCCAACATCACCTCGTTCCTCATCACCAGGTGCTTCCACTGTTTGGGGGCGAACAGAGCCGCCCCGACAACGAGAGCAGTGCAGGTAAAGAGAACAGTGACCGCGAACGGCCAATGAAACTTCCCTCCCGGCGAACACAATTGCACCATTAGCACGACAAACGTTCCAACAGTGTCAAGAGGGAGGAAGAGGATGGTGTAGAGGTAGGACTTCATCGTTCGTGAATATACCGAAACCATCAGCCAGCTGCAGAAGTGGTCGTAAATGGGCAGGCATCGATCAGTCACGACGCAGTGATACACCCTGTCTGACGATTCCCGCTCACAACGAGGACACAACCGCGGCCGATGGTTGGGGTGCCACTCGCTAACATCATCGGCGCTGAAGCCTGGAGGAGAATCGACGTCAGTAATTGGACATGGAGTAAGAAGAGACATGATGATGTGCCATGAAATGATAGATGGGATGATGGACGGAACAAGACAAGGTCGATTATTGTGCCATGGAATAAGAAATGAGATGAGAGACAGGATAAGAAAATGCCGAAGAATGCGACTTGGAATGAGAGATGGGACGAGGAGAGATGAGGTGAGAAGAGATGGGGTAAGAAGGGATGGAAAAGTGTGACGAACCACTCGCTTGCACAATGAGACGACCATCTTGGACAGAGCGCCACTGCCGATCACGAAAATACGTGATAAACAGTGCCGTCAGCCAAGAGCCCATCCACTGAACCTTCAAGAAGCCGAATATCGCTATAATCGCAATACCTGCACCTTTGCCGTTAGCAGTGTCAGCCGGGACCAGAAGAAAACCCTTGTCGGCGGGGAAAATAAGTGTTGCCCATGCATATCGGTAGAAAACCTGATACACAGACATCACAAAGAAGGTGACGAGCCAGAAGGGACCAGCCAAACCAAACAAGTTCACGATCAACGCAAGAAGACCGAGAAACGCCTGGCGGAACGAGTCCCAACTGTACTCGGCCATCTTGAAGAAGTGAAGAACAGGGGACGGGGAAGGAAAAACCAGAGGGAAAGGAAATCTGGGGAAGGAGAGGGAGAGGGATGGGGAGCGTGAAAAGCGGCTTTTCGTGAAGATCTTGGGGCGTGAAATCGAGCTTGTAGGCAAGAAAACACTAGAGACGACGACACGGAGAGCGCTGATGTGCTTGTAGAAATGTTCGAGATCGTGGGATCAAGAGGGCTCTGCAAGCACTTTGGGAGAGAAAGGAAGAGGAGGGGAAGAGAGCGCGGGACCCAAGCACAATAAATATTAAGCAACCCGCCCGAACTGGAGGTGGGCCTTACAAACGGGCGAGCAGCAAAGAAATGACTGTACTTCATTCCACTGGGCAACCCACCTAGCAACAGGACGTCGAGCTCGCGTTGATAACCCATGACAAGACGCAGAGATGTTTTTTGGGATTTTTCCAAGCATGAAATTAAAAAGATTAATGTTTTCTGCTCTATCAAACCCGTTCTGTGATATGACCTAGAATAGTGGACGCTGAGATACTCTTCGTGACTTCCTACGGGACAACAACCAATCACCGCATATCGATGTGAAATTCGAAGTCCAGGGTTTCATTGACATATGATGACTCCAGATGCTATCCACTACTCCTGCTAAGATTGTAGACGTAGGCACCTGTTCAGCAACCAGAATCTGGACGGCCATACCAGCTAAAACTCAACATTTCCTATTCCGTGCATCCTTGATGAACTGCGCACAGCGCTCCGCAACCATGTAAACAGGGGCCATGGTATGGGCAGCTGGAATCGTGGGGAATACGCTGGCATCAGCAATTCTCAGATTCTTAAAGCCATAGACCGTCAACTGGTCATCCACGACACCCCCATCCTCCTCTCGAGCCATTCGACATGTGCTCGAGAGATGCACAACAGACTGAGCGGAGGCTCTGACGAAACCATCGAGATCTTCGTCACTCAGCTCATCCCACTTGCGTGACGAGTTTAAGTTGGGGGCATGAACCAGCTCAACGGCATGACGGTAGCCTGACGATTGCATGAATTGGTCCGCCAGGTTCAGTGTAAACCGTAGGGCCTTTCGGGCAGTCATGATATCTCGTGGATCCTCCATCATCCGATAGTGGACTCGAGGGTCTGCCTCAGGATCTGTTGATGCCAACTCAATAAACCCGGTTGTCTTTGGCTGAACCAGACATGCGTAGAGAGTAACTAGGGCCATCCCAGAGAACTTGCCTACAATCGCGCCAGCTGGAATGATCATTATCTCCAGGTCTGGCACGTTCTCAGACACTGAACTATCAAATGGTCGGTCTGCAGGTCCGGGCTTGAGCGTAAAAGTGGTGGAATCAAGCTGGGATGTGTTGACATATATGGTGCTAGACGTAGTCCCAGTTTTAAGCAAGCCCGTGCCGTTCCAAAGGAACAAGATGACCTGCCAGATAGCCCAAAGCCAACTTATTTGCATGTAGTGGTAGCTTTCTCTACCGGGCACTTTCATCATAACTGGGAGGCCGTGGTGGTCGCTGAGGTTGGCGCCCACCCCAGGCAGCTCCTTGTTGACTGTGACATTGTAGGACTTCAGTTGCTGGGCTGGGCCAATGCCGCTTAACATTAACAGCTGAGGCGAGCCAAGCGCACCGCTGCATACGATGACCTCTTTCTTAGCCTTCACGAAGTAGGTCGGTCCATCATGTGATCTCACTGGTCTGATATGTACACCAGTGGCAAGCCCACGTCCAACGTCAAGCTCGAGTCGTGAGGCGATGACACCAGTGCACACCGTCAGTCGATTTTGTCGCGCAGTTGCGACAGAGCTCGGAAGGTAAGCGCGATACGAACTATGTCGATGTCCATTCTGGTCGATGGTATAGTCCGTGTAGTAGTAGCCGGCAGCGGGTCCATGCGGATTGTTAACGTCCCATTCGATAGGCAATCCCAAGGCTGCGGCCGACTTGTCGATATGGTTATGAAGCTCAAACTGAGGTAGATGCTGTATGATGTGGACTGGTCCATCATGGCCCAGGTGCTGTGCGTTGGGGTGGCTGACACAGTTCTCGATCCGCTTGAAGAAGGGCTCGACATTTGCCCAGCTCCAGTCCTCGTGGCCCATCTCAGCCCATTCATTGTACATGCCTGGGATGCCCCTCGTGTACAACATCTGATTGACCCGCGACGCACCCCCTAACGCCTCACCAGTCCACAGATCTGTCTGCCTGCCATTACACCCATCAATTGGCTCAGACAAGCGATGCACCACTTGGAAGAATCTTCCTAGGCTGCCAGAGAGCAAAGGGACTCGTGACAGCCAGTGATCACCAACTGCGCCTTTCTCCAGCAGCAGGACGCTTACATCTGGGTCCTCGCTAAGTCGCGAGGCCACAGCGCATCCAGCCGTGCCGCCGCCAACGATGATGTAGTCATACTCGACGCCGTCAAGCTCATGTGCTTTGCGTTGAGGGTAAGATGTTTCGAAGGGCCACATGGTGGAATGATGGCCTCGCACCCTGCAGAGCACAGGCCAAGCAGGTTCGCGCAATTACTTGAAGGCAACGTACTGACGAGGCGTGGACTGCGGATACGAATTATAACGGAGTCATGATGAGTTGTAGTGATATCCCGTAGAGCGCGTGGCTCTTCAGAATCGGTGCGCCGTTTGAGAGCGTTAGAGAGCGATGGCATCACTACAGGGGCACCAGCCCCACTAGAAATCTGCCTGGATTCAATCGATATCTTGGCGGAGAAGATACTGTGTGTCTATTGCACCATACGGGGAAGTTCACAAGACCAGTTGACGTCTTGGAAACGCCTTCCTGAACGTCAATGGATAATACATCATCCTTCAGCCAGGCATGTAGTGCTCAGATGGTTGGTAAGGCCTTGGAAAGCTTCAAGAGTTATTATCACTATCTATAGCTGGCGAAGGCCCCCTAAGCTAGGTCCGCATTAGGCCCCAGTTGCCCTCCCCACCTGGGGAAACGGGGCCATTCCGCTCGTACGACAGTGAGGTATCTACCTATGTACCTACCTGAAGGTGCTTTAGCGCCCTCCACCTGCACGTAGAATCATCGCACACTACCGGTACGCATGCACCGGCCGGCAGCATGTATTATATTCAACGATGCTGATGCTGTCGTCATCCTGGCTAATCAGGGATACAAAAGTTGGAGTCGTTCGCAGCGTTCTCCAGTAAACCAGCAAGGCAAGGGTCGCCACCTGCCCCATGTGTGCTAGGCGGATGCAAGTAATGCTTATCAGCGCCGGTATTTACCTTGCAGTTCGTCGTGCGGCCGTTACTTGAGCCAATGAAGTATCACATAATTGCGGCTCAAATCAAAACTCGGGGGTTGGTCGCGTAAAAAACGGATCGTCGTCATGAGCAGATAGAATGCGCGCACCGAGTATATATAGCGGCCTGCCAAGACAGGTGAGGGCCTCTACCCTTCGTCCCATCCCTACCAGGCTACCCCTACCAGCCCCAACCACAGCTAATTCTGACCCGTGTCGGAGAGAGTGGGACATTCAGAGATGGCGCAGCGTGTCAAGTACCTGGTTGCGGGTGCCGTGTTGCTATCGTCATACACCGCGGCCCAATTTGTGCCAGCACCTACCGATTTGATCACTAAAGAAGGGTACGCGGGAATCAACGTCCGCTACAAGCAAGTCCCCGCAGGTATTTGTGAGCTGGACCCCAATGTCAAGAGTTACTCTGGCTACGCGGACGTCGATGAAGACCAACACATTTTCTGGTAAGCGAAACTCTGGACTGTCTTTTAAAACGGGAGCAGTGGGAAGGAAAGGTGACAGAAGGCGGATCGAAAGTGATCTGGCAAGATGCGTGGCGGGTTGTCGTGCGAGCAGCCAGCAGACCTATCTCAAAAGCGACCCGGAGAAAGGCGTGTAGGAAGAAGGATGTCATGATTGAACAGTTGATGATACCTGAAACTGATAAGTGCAGGTGGTTTTTTGAGGCTAGGAACCAAGATCCTACAGAGGTGAGAATGGAAACCTATGCTGAATCTTACACCGCTAACATTTGCTCAGGCACCCCTCACAGTCTGGATCAATGGAGGGCCAGGGTCATCCTCCATGATTGGGCTGTTCCAGGAGCTAGGCCCCTGTGGAGTGGATATTGATGGGAAACCGTACAACAATCCTTATTCGTGGTCCAACGTGAGCAATATGGTGAGTCTCGGTGTTTTCGATATGGAGGTGCATTAGTCTGAGACATGCCAGCTCTTTATCGACCAGCCGGCTACTGTCGGGATGTCATACTCGATTCCAATTCCAGCGTATGAGGATGGCAGTGGCAACATTGTGCAACTACCAAACGAGACGTGCCCGGATTTTGCCGAGGTATATGGAACATGTGGAACATATTCGAAGCCAGACATATCCTTGGTTCCCAACTCTACCCTGGGAGCTGCGCCTAACATGTGGAAAACACTGCAAGGCTTCATGGGTGCTTTCCCGGACTATTCGAGAAGTGGTTTCAGTTTTACCACTGAAAGTTACGGAGGGCATTACGGTCCGGTATTCAATGGTGAGAACCTTAGCCTGGGGTACCTCGTATTGTCTTCTAACAGTAACCCAGAGTATTTCCTGGAACAGAACGCAAAAGACATTCCCGGGGCCCACAAGATTGGACTCGAGAATGTCCTGATAGGAAACGGCTGGTTCGACCCACTGATCCAGTACCAAGCCTATTACAACTTTTCGGTGTATCCGGGAAACACCTACGATTATGATCCGTACAACGACACTGTGAAGGCTGAATGGTACAACAATCTCTACGGAGCCGGGAACTGCGTGGATCAGACCATTCAATGCTACACCACCGGACGCAATGATATTTGTTCAGCAGCTGATAACTTCTGCGCCTCTAACGTTGAGTATCCCTTCGATGTTTACTCTGGCAGGGACGAATACGATATGAGAGAACTCACCCCTGATCCATTTCCGTACTCATTCTATGTCGACTACCTGAATACCCCAGAAGTGCAGGCGGCTATTGGAGCATACCAGAACTTCTCTGAAAGTTCAGGAACAGTCAGCCAAGCATTCGGAAACACTGGAGACGATGATCGAGAATCTGGGACTATTGAGGCTGTGCGGAAGCTGCTTCAAGCGGGTATTCAAGTCATTCTCTACTACGGAGATGCGTGAGTCCATATTGCTCCCACATTGAAATTCCTACTAACAGAGTCTAGTGACTATAATTGCAACTGGTTCGGTGGCCAGGTTGTCGCAGCCGAAATCAACGCTCCTGGATATGAGGATGCCGGATTCGTCAACATCACGAGTTCGGATGGCATCGTTCACGGACAAGTTCGACAGAGCGATTTATTCAGCTTTGTCCGCATCTATGAGTCCGGCCATGAGGTTCCTTTCTACCAGCCACTGGCATCACTCGAGCTGTTCGAGAGAGCACTTGCCCGCAAAGACATTGCAACCGGCGAGGATGACGTCTCTTGTGCCCGCGGTAGCTACAGGACGTTGGGCACACCCACGAGTGACTATAGAGAAGGGAACAGCACCATCGTGTTGGATGTCCTTCCCAAAAATGCCACATACAACACGGCCATCAATGGGCCCGACCCGACACCGACACCATTCGCCAGTGCCAAGATGAAGCGCGACCAGACAGAGTTTAGGAAGACGAAAAGCTATACTAAGCTTGGTAGGCCGCGTCGATCGAAGGGTGGTAAGCGGGTAGCGTAAGCATCGTGCAACATAACTGGCGCTATAATATAAGAGTAGATAGCGTCTAGATGAGTAACATGCATAATATACGTGTCGTGAGTGGACCGAACTCAAGCCAGAAAGTATGTCCAGCGAATTCAAGTCGTCACCAGCAAGGACACGAAAGTGTCTAGAGCTCAAATGAACTAAACCTCCCGCCAGAAAATCAACAGCGTTAGCGAAAATCATACCCGCTCAATACTATTACCTAGAGGTTAATAAAACCAAGCCCCTGGTTATCCATGCAAGCAAGTACGCAGAGTTCTTTAACGTACCATAAATAAAATCAGTGGGCCATCATGCTTATCATTTCCTTCTTCGCCTCGGTGGCTATAGTGGTCTTAGGTTTTGTCATTTCCCGATCCATCTGACTTAACAGGAAAGGCCCGCTTCCACCAGGGCCGAAAGGTCTTCCACTATTGGGCAACCTGCTAGATCTTCCACCGTAGGGGGCCGTAGAATGGATGCGCTGGCTGAAACAAAAGGAGCGATATGGTTCAATCAGCTCAGCGACAATACTCGGCCAACTCTTCATCGTTCTCCATGATAGACAGGCTGTCTTCTACATAATAGAGTCAAGCGCTATCAAAAGTGCTTCGAGACCAAACTTGGTCTTTGCCAACGACGTGTACGTCAAGAGAAGGGGTTTTCCTGATGCTCATTATTTCCTGCACTTATATCATGACTCAGAGTCGGATATCGGGATATCATGGGCATGATGCTGTACAATCGAAGATTTCGACTGCACCGCAAACTTACAGAGACCCAGGTCAGCAACAAGTCAATCGGATGATTCCAAGCGATTCAAGATCTAGAGGTTCTACGGTTTTTGAAGAGATTGGTCGCAGATCCCGTCAACCTGCAAGATCGTCTCCACCAATGAGTGTCCATTCGTATACCCTTACACGGTGGTGTCATGGTAGCCATCTGATATTGAAAGTGCAGGATATCTGGATCCATGATGCTTCGCATTTTACATAATCATGAGACAGACCCAGAGAAGAATAATCCTCTAGTCGCCAACTCCAATCAGGTCATGGAGGAGCTCTCCAAGGCTACAAGCCCAGGCGCGTGGATGGTAAATGTTGATCCCCTGGCTTCAGTACCTTCCACTATGGATGCCGGGCGCCGGGTTTCAGAAGACAGCCAAGGTCTGGAGAGGCCACCTTGTGCGCTCTATCGACGACCCTTACAACTATGTGAAAGATCAAATGGCCAAGGGCAATGACAATGTGTCCTACGTTGCTGGCTTGATGAAAGATGTGCATCGACAAATCGGACCCGAGGAAGAAGGTGTCATCAGCTGGTCGACAGCCTCCCAAGGTCTCACGGGTGAAATTCACGATTGAGCCGTGCACGGGTCATATCTAACCGTGAATTTTGGTGCGACCCACTTGCCTCCATGCTCAATGCAGGCAACGGCACCACCAGCGCTGTGCTTCTCTCTTTCTTCATTGCGATGATTCTATTCCCCGGGGCCTAAAAATGTGCTCAAGAAGATATTGATCGTGAGGTGGGAGATCCCCGGCTGCCGTCGTTTTCTGACAAAGCAAATCTTCCATACGTTCAGATCATAGCCCAGGAAGCACTACGCTGGCATACACTTGCGCACATGGGCTTCCCCCACTTGACGAGGGAGGATGACAACTACAAGGACTACTTCATACCGAAAGATGTACTAATGTTCCCTGCTGTTGCCTGGCTTTCGCACGACCCTGATGTTGTCATAGTCCGAGAGAATTCGAGACTGGGAGATTCCTTGAGCTTCATTGCGAAGCTCTAGCATCTGAAGTTGCGTTTGGGTTTGGGCGAAGAGCTTGTCCTGGAAGATAGATCGCCGAGCAGACACTTTTCCTCTCTATTGCGCAGACGTTGGCTGTCTTCCATATCCAGAAGGCGCTGGATAAACAAGGCAATGAGATCACAGTAGTGTATCAAATGTTGCCAGGCGTCATTTTTCGCGTTAAGCCTTTCCCATGCAGAATCGTAGCTAGGAGCGAAAAGCACCGGAGCTTTGTCAAGTTGCGTTTATAGAATAGTGAAGCTGAAGCCATGGCACGATCAGACCATTTAGCTAACGATGGAATTATAAACTTTAAAAACAGCGAAGAAGTCATATACCTAGGCATTCAGCAATACGCTAAACAGTCTGGGAGTGGGTTTTCATATATCTGGGGCTAGGGGGTAAATCGGGTCTGGTTATATCGCGAGGACGATAGATTAAATCATCATAGACGAGCCATATGTACCTTGGCCTCAGCGTACATCTTGGGTGCCCTCTCGCCGTTCGCAGAATAGATGTGCTCCTTAGCAAGCGAACTATTGTGTTCATAAGCTGCTTATCAGCTGTTCGTATGCTGATGGGACACTTGCCATGCTGTCCCATGACGTCGAACTTGAATTGGGTAACGCTGAGCAAAGAGATGAGAAACAAAGCAATATGGGCTGATTTTCGGTGCGGTGGCACGAAGCTTTCACCAAAATAGTTAAGCGCTGCTTGTAGAAGAAACTGAGATGGTTGACAGGAGTCAGTTTGACCAGTGAAGCGGCGGTTTTCATGCATTCAGCCCATGAGCAAGGTTTTGTTTCAGCTCGTTGCTGCTGCACCAGAAGCTGACGAGAACTTTCTAGCGCGCTTGTGTCCGGCCTCATGCCACGCATAGACGGCTAGACCGACAGGTGAGACAACCGGAATGAGGTGTGAAGGTCTCGGAAAAGCGGACGCGGCTGAACTCTATCGACTCAACGATACAGAACTGAATGGTGAGACCCGGCTCTCATGTGGTAATCCGGTCGGCGCTCCCACGCGAGAATGGGATGGGCAGGAATTACCGTTGTTGGCTGTTGGGTGCAGTAGTGAACGACCAGAACCCAATCGCTTACTTGGCGCGACCCGTTCTAGCATGAGAAGCCAAGAGTCTCTCCCCTTAAGGTTGCGATAGTGCCCTTAAGCGGGCTAAAGCTTGCCAAGCTCCTGCGGATCGCGCGTCCGGGGACCGGGGTAGGCGACCCCCTGCGACGGTCATCGCCCATTCACGGTCGGGAGATCTCCGGTGGTGCACAAGGCGATATTCAAATTGCAAAATAATCAGCTGTTTCGAGGAGCGAAGGGCTATGGTTATTAACTCCTGAGATCTGTGTCAGACTCCCAAAGCTGGCCAGTGGTTTGAACTTGGGGAGACTTTACAAGAGTATTCGCCGTCGTGTCGACATGCGATCTCGAGTCATGTCCCAGCCGGGAGCGTGGGCATAGCCAAACTCTAGTCCAGGGTCTTGGGGATCTGATTGGACTGGAACGGCTTGCAACCCCCGTACGTAGCGTGATCCTGGGCATAGTTGCTTTTATGACGACGCATTGGACGCCAGCTTAGGCCAGCTTGACTGCCGTTGTGTGCAGAAGCAGATCAATCACTCTTATTAACCAAAGCTATCCGTGCGTTGGGACGCAGTCTCAATTCCTGGTCTTCTCCATTTCACACCAACTCTGGGCAGACGCTGTTGCGCAAACCTTATCGTCATGGCTCCCAACCTTCGACTGGACCTCACTTAACGAGAGACATCGATTTACGAATGATCAGCCCATCGATCACCCTCTCCGCTATCCTCGCCAAGGGAGCTAACCATCCCACGAGCGCTTCGACATGGCCGGGGAAACGGGCCCGATCGGCCATGTGGTGTCGATGCCGATAGCCATGGTCATTGGCGGGTTCTTCGCCTTGGCCTGCTACAACAGCATCGAGATATTCATATTCATATTCTCCACGTTCAAACGGAAAACCGGGCTATATTTTTGGAGTATGTTGGCGGCGAATACCGGAATCGTCATGCACGCGATATCCGTTCTTTTGCGCTTCTTCAGCTTGGCGCCGAATTTACCCATGTGCGCCGTCATCGATGTCAGTTGGTTCCTCATGGTCACCGGCCAAGCCGTCGTGCTGTATTCACGGTTGCATCTGGTGGTGGGCGACCCTCGAAAGATCCGCTGGGTACTCATTATGATTATCGGCTGTTTCGTCTTCATCCAGTTGCCTACGGCCTCCTTGTTCATCACAACCAACGTTGGCGGCAGCGTTACGGATTCGACGTTGACGGTATTCAACGTATTTGAGAGGATGCAGGTGGCAGTATTCACCATTCAGGAGGGCATCATCTCGTTCCTGTACGTGTACGAGGCGTCGCGTGGTCTGAAGTTGATGGACGTGATCAAGGGGCCAAGAGTTCAGGCGGTGAATCGCGAGCTGATCGCCTTGTTCATCCTCGTCGTGACGCTCGACATCACCCTCATGGTCACCGAATATACGAACAACTTTCAAATCCAGACCACGTACAAGCCCGTGGTCTACAGCATCAAGTTGAAGGTCGAAGCCTTGGTGCTCAACAACTTAATCTTACTAGTGCAGTCAGGAACATGCACTTGTTTCAACTCGTTAGAAAACAGCTACTCGCTGTCGGGCAAGAGGTTGACAGGCAGCGGTGCTCAAATGGATCATCCCTTTGCAAGCACGCTGGCCCCTAACTCGTCAGTCCGGACGACGTCGGAAGCTACGGCGGCAGTGGAGGGTTGGAGCGGGTTCATATATGATGGTAGGCCCCAAAATCCGAAAGGTAGACAAGATTAACATTAATTAATATTTCGCACCTATTTCTAATGAACAAACTTGTTGCTTCATATTAACTACAGGCAATGAGATTGGGATGTGAGCGAGTTGTTGATGTCCAACTCCTATACGAAGTTGATAATGAGGTAACTGTGTGTGGCCACTTGTTAGGACGAGTGTGGCAACCTGGTAGAAGATGAACGTTTAGTGGAAGTCTGTCAGATGCTTTACACGGTATCGTGTCCGATGTCGGTTCCAAGGGGACCGAAGTTCGGAGTCATTCAGAGGTTCTTATTAGACCCAAAGAACGTAGACTCGAGGCTCATCCAGGATGGTTTAGTCCCACCGGGGCCGGAATCTCGAGCCTGAGCATAAGTGGCAGATGCAGCAACACAACAGGACAGGCAACATCGTCACATAGCCTCAGTTGTGCCACCTCTCCTTGCCCATCTTGTCAACCACTGATACGCACTCTTTGCGTTGCACGTAACTTGTTCACCAGGAGCTTCTAGAGCACTCTATATTTTTGGATTTATTGCAGAAGACGCTATGTGCAGCACTTGTGTAACTTGAGTTCGTTTCTTTTAGAGTGTAAACCAAGGAGATCAAGAGGTATCAAGATCAGAAAATATCACTAAAATGGTTTTATAGAGAGCCGACCTGTTGTGTTATTTCTATTTGAAGTAACTATGAGACAACGATATTAGCTTTATGGCCTATCTGGTGCATATGCTTGGCCATAAGGATGGGTTAAAGATCCTCTGCTGAATCCTGGAACATACATGTGGTGCAGCACCAGTCTACCACTCCGGTTTCTCCTCGAATTTAAGCTGTGATGCATTCATTCTTGTCCTCAGAAATCGAAACACTATTAGTGTTTACGTTGTGGTTTTAAACGTCTATTTTGGTGTACAGTTTCAAAGTCGTTGAGCGTGGAACAACGGCGCCCTTTCTATTGGCCTGTCAGGCACCAAGTCGGCGCCACGGCAGGCTCAACGGATTGGCGGCCATGGGGCACGATCCTTCGAGTTGGGCTGATGGTCAGCATGCACACTCGAAACATCTACTCGAAACGCCCCCTGAAGAGCGCTTTTGGAACTCTTCACTGCAACCAAACTTAGAGCCTCATAATTATTTCCAGTATTTCTCACCAATTTCAGGGTTTGTAATTCAGTCTCGTGATCTTATAATTCAGTTTGCCAATCATGCGCCTTTTTAACGTCTGCACTCGAAATTTCGAAGAGTTCTTTGATACCAATACGCCACCATATGGAATACTTTCGCATACTTGGGAGAAGGAGGAGGTATCGTTTCATGAGGTTCACCAATTCGGCGCTGTTAGCAAAGCAGGCTTTCGCAAAATCGAGAGGTTTTTTGATGTCGTCCTCAAGGCCGGCCTGACGTATGCGTGGGTGGATACCTGTTGCATCGACAAGACGAGTAGTGCCGAATTATCAGAAGCCATCAATTCCATGTTCAAGGTAGATACTCCCAGAAAAAAAAGGTTAACGATAGCTGTTAACCATGTCCATTGGACTCGAAGTGGTACGAGAAATCGGCTCTCTGCTTTGCATATCTTTCCGATGTCCCTGGAGACCAGGATCCCGCTTCCAGTCCAGCGTTTACTAACAGCCGTTGGTTTAAAAGAGGCTGGACGCTCCAGGAGCTATTAGCACCCCCGCAGGTCATGATTCTGGGGTCAGACTGGAGTTATATTGGCAATCGAGACTTACTGGCTGAGCCTATCAGCGCCATCACGGGCATTGGAAGTCGTTATTTGACAACAAGAGAAGCAGAGATACATTACCGTGGGTCGAGTGAGCTATTCGTCTACGATTTCCGCGGGCACCTGGAGAGGATTCATCGTATTCACGATGCCACCATTGCAGAAAAGCTGAGCTGGGCAGCAACACGTCAGACCACCAGAGAAGAAGATATAGCCTATTGTCTTCTAGGCTTGTGTGCTGTCAACATGCCACTCTTATATGGGGAGGGTACAGCTGCGTTTCAACGTTTACAGGAAGCGATTATTCGCCGAAAGTTCGACCCAACCTTGCTCGCGTGGAATGTAGTCATCGAGGACTCCACAGGAAAGAGGCCGCTGAAGCCAGAACGGTGCCGCCGCTCCCCTGGGTGGTCATCTATAGGAAAAACTCTACTCGGGATTGAAGATCCTTGGAGTCACCCTAACGGCGACGAATATCGACCGCTGAATTTCTCCTGTCCTGGGATCTTAGCAACCAGCCCAATATGCTTCTCACAGTGCGACCAATACGTCAACTTTGAAGCTACCTTGGACTGGGATCTGACAAGTAGGGGCCTCTCCATTAAGCTCCCTACATCTGACAACATAAATCCGTATATGCTCCTCCCGTGTCACCGAAAAGATGATCAGTGGAACATTCTGGCTATTCCTCTCATAGGTTTTGAAGATGGGTCCTTTGACCGCGCAGCTGCCCCCGTGGAGTTTTTCGATCGTCAAAAGTGGCAAATGTGGCCATGGCGCTTACTGTCGCTATCGACATACGCGCCGGCCTGGGATTGGATACGCGAATCCTATACTAAGGTCATGCGGATCCATGCGGATCCAGAACTTCAGCTCCTAGACGTGACCATTGCAAATGAGGTGAGCTGGCTGTCTGACGGTATGGGCATCCGATGGTTTGCCAATAAAGCCCGTCAACGGCTGCTTCAAATCTTGGTCAAGTCTCGAACAACAGAAACGAATTACATCATTGAACTTGAAGCTTCCATGATAAAGGCCGGGGAGCTTCGTGCTCTACTTCCCGAGTCCACGCACCTGCGTTTCAACCACTCGGTGCGTCAAACCAGACAAATTGTTAGACTGAATTCGATGGACGTGAAGGAAACAGATGGTCAGGGGATGTTGCAAAGGAAAGATGCTCCCCAACCACTGTTGGTAACCACTTCCCAAGTAATGTCGGCGAATGACGCGGAATATCTTCTTCATGTTAGCGAACCTGGCTTCCGTCAAGCTGTCAATACCGATAAGCCACAAGAAACAAACTTCATTCTTCAAAAATACAACAGTGTCTATGTGTCTTTTCAAGACATAGCAGAGGGCACACTTCAGAAACTCGCCGTGCTCACCGACAACTTCGAAGTTCATGTTCCCCGTACGGTTCGACGCCTGCTATCCGATCTTTGGACAATGACTCACCTGTCCCTGATAGCCATATTTCCTGCTTGGAGCTGCGGTTTAATATCACCAAGTAATCTCCCGTGTGACCTCTGGTGCTGGTTTCTGTGTACAAGGACCTACAAGCTTCTCGCTTGGGCTGGTATAGTCCATGTCACCGTGTATCAGGCTCTACCGGTGACCTGCTATCTGATACCTAAGGCTTCTCAGAAGATCGCTCGCTACAGAGGTTGGATTGCGACCTTGTGCATCGTCCCGATCTTCTCGGATGTAGTTGTATTGCCCGGTGTTCGTTCGGGAGTCGTGGCATTCGTCGTTGGGGTAATGGGCAGTCTTATCGCGGCAAGCACGGGATCCAACAGCAGTGGCCTCTACTTCACAACTTTCCTGATTGGCTTCGCCATTGGGTTCTCCCTACCTTATCTCACTTGGATCGTAACCGTTCCTCCTATCAGTGCAGGCGCGATGGCTGTTGGCGTGGGACTGGTGGAGCTTTGGATATTTTCCATCAACGCGCAAAACTGTAGTTGGTTTACGATCTTATGGTTGTATACCAGCGTATTTGTTTTCTTGGAGCCAATGTATACAGAGATGGCGGATTGCCAACTAAACCCTTTTGCTCTTCTGGTCGAGGACGGCATTCGTCGGTATCAGCAGTCCTTGTATGGGCAGCAATTGTATGGACATCGACAGTGAGTAGCAGCGAGATTAATGAACCAGATCGGGTAGATCGTAGAGAATGTGCACTTGAAAATTTGTAGAATTAGATAATAATATGGTTTCCCCTTCTTCGAGTTTTTGAATGCAGGTGGAGATGCTATCCAAGAGCTGTACTCATAGGTCTGGATCGCCCGTTGCTGCTGCATGCCGTAACTGCCTAGGTAAATATTCCACAGAGATGTCTAATACTTGAAAGGTCACTAGAAAACATAACAAGAATGGCTCGGGAAGTCAAAAGCGAGATATTGCCTCGGAGCAGTGGAACGCTCTACGAACGCACCGTTCTCAGGTGACCTTGTGCGAGGTGCTGGTACTGACTGTGGCCGACCTAACTTAAGGCATTGAGCTGAAACGCCTTAAGAGCGCTTCGCCAAGGCACATGTAGCCACCTGCGTCCATCACAATGGCCCCCAATCTGTCTCTTTTAACAAGTACGATCCCAGAGCCCCGTCCCCTGAATCTCATCGCCCGCTTCAAGGGAATCAAACCCATAGTTTGAAGCAGAAACAGGGGCTGACAGCCTGTCAATGTGTCTGGGCAAGGCGCGCCTTGCATGCCATAACTGGTGAATATGCCTTCGTGGCGGGGTAGATAGGTGCGGCGTAGCTGCGGCTTTTTGGCACTAACCTCGGCGCTAGGTCGGAGCTTCGTGGGCACGCAACAGCGAGACGACATTGAATCTATCAGAATACACCCATTTCGCTCAACCAGACACCAGTTCATGGCGGAAAAAAAAGGCCCACCAATGTCTACAGAGCACGAAACTGGCGGTGCTCCTACCAAGTTTGGGGTTGTCCTGTTCGAAGGCTTCCAATCCCTCGATGTGTTCGGGCCTTTGGACATCTTCAACTTTCTCTCCAAAACGAGGCCGCTGCAGCTGTCGATCCTGGCCAAAGAACTCAAGCCAGTATCAACCTCCTTCCCTTCCGCAGGCTTCGGCCAGTCCGTGGTGCCCACACATACTTTCCAAGATGCGCCCCACCACATCGAGGTCCTTCTCGTACCCGGGGGAGGTGGAACAAGAGACGATGAGAACATCGCACCGGCTATGGAATACGTGAAACGCGTCTTCCCAAATCTTCGGTATCTCCTCACCGTCTGCACGGGAAGCGCGCTGGTTGCGAAAACCGGAGTGCTTGACGGCAGACGGGCCACGTCTAACAAGAACAGTTTCGAATGGGTATGGGCATCTCATCCTACATAATATATGAAGACCATGCTAACTGACTTGCAATAGGTAAAGAAGCAAGCACCAAATGTCAATTGGGTTTCAAAAGCACGATGGGTGACGGATGGCAATGTGTGGACTTCATCCGGTGTCTCCGCAGGAATTGACATGACATTTGCTTTCGTGTCGGCTATCTATGGGGAGTCTGATGCAGAATGGATTGCTGCAAGGTCTGAGTATCGGCGACAAACTGACCCTGACGATGACCCGTTCGCCAAGGACCCTGAGGCAGGAAGCTCATAGTTTGAAGTAAACACCAAAACTCTCAGCTTCTAGCAGCATTAAATCAGGCTGCCTTCTCTTCCTCTGTGCAAATATTGGAATCACTTCGGACTCTATAGAGCCCGTAGAGATTTAGTATAGAGCTCATTCTTGCCAACTAGTGTCTTAGCTAGGCCTTGACAATACGTCGTTTCAGCTGAGCTCGGGCAATTCATTCAGGGCCGGTGCTATTGGGTAGATTATTCTCACCAAGCAACTGCACAAGAGTCGATTCTTCGAAGTTATTGACGAAGTGCAGCCTTAGCCCCCACAGCCTCACCCTACGGTGGGTCGATGGATTCTAGCCTGGGAGCATCCGAATCACTATGTTCAGCTTAGTGACCATGGATAGCAGCAAGGCTTACTCCGTGGAACGTGGATGCAAATACGGAGTCCCCGCAGTGAACGTCACTCGGCCGACCAACGCAAGAGGCAGTGCAGCGACAGTGCAACATAAAGCGTAGGTCGTCTCTATCGTTTGTTGTAGCTAATGAAATCGATATCTACTGTGAATCCAAAGCAAAGAAATCAGCTTCACAAACGTTCCCGAACATACGTAAGTAGCTCTTTGATGCTGTTAATACGTTAAGGTCCTTGATATCATTTTATTACCCTGCATACCACGACTCCACCCAGGCGAGAACACAACACCTGAAGTACAAGATCAACATGGCAACTAGACCAGAATAGCTGTTCTGCGAGTCCTAGAAAAGGTCCGTCGACGGTGCTAGGAGCAAGCAAGTGAACTGGGAGAATCACTTCTCTGAAGAGGAGAAAGCGAGATTGCATAGAAAAGGCATTAACTGGCACTGAAGGCCGAAATGGACCATCATATGAAACAGTCTGAAGGAAAAGGAATTTGGCAGAAGGCTGCTGGAACGAGCATGGGAGGTTGTTGGATCAAATGAGAGAAGTCTACCACAAGCCCACACATATCCTTGGTCATGTCTGAGCAGGGAATGAGGGTAGCGGCTAGTCTGTGACAGGCACCGTAGCAGGTCTGGACTTGGATGGAGAGGTATCCTTCCTGGGAGAAACGGGACTAGAAGTCTTAAGATATACAAGCTGCATCTGGTGTTTACCCCAAACCCAAACATAGAGGCTGAGAGGACACGTGATCGCAGCACAACGAACGATGGTTAAAACTTCAGCTTGAGGTGTCTTCGTCTAAGGGTATGCCTCATGCAGGCTCTATGATTCCTGACGGTCTAATAGATCGCCAATCGCAGCCGATCAATCGGAGACAATGGAAGAGTTCAACCGAGATAAAACCGATCTTACCTGCATCGTTGGCACTCCTCTGGAATCGCATTTAGCCCCCAAACCACGCAATGACAACACGCAGCCAGAGGAAACTCATTGGACAGAAGCCACACTGCCTGACCTATTCTCGGTTGCTCGGAATCTTCCCATATGACCTGCAGGCGTTTCTAAAACAACTGCTTCAAAAATCCACTTCCCAATCTAACCAACTTCTGTGATTCCCTTCGCACGTTTCCGCCTCCTACGAGATCATGGCGCCACAGGCACTGAAGTACCAAAGCTCCGATGTTACCTTTTCTGAGTGGGTATCCCTGCTTACACTAGGCTTAGCCCCATTGGCGATGCATATTGTCGCAGGTTCACCTTCATTTTCGTACTTCGCATCACATCGTCCAGCTTGGCATGACATAATCATACACTACAACCCAACGTCAATTTTGTGGCGATATGCTGCCATTGCGGACCGTCGCGCCCGAGCTCGCAAGTGGGATGCAGTTACGATGGCAGCCACCAATTCCGTATTTTGGACAGCTCGAGGCTGGGAGGGCTCTGAAGCAGTGATTGGTTTCGTCGCGCCTTATTGCACACGATGGCCGCATCACCCCCGAGCGCGGGTCTTCTCCTCGCAAATGCTAAAAACGGTTATAATTGCCATGCAAGGTGCCCAAGCATTCACTCTGGCTTTCTCAGGAGCTATTCGACACGACAGGTTCATGAGACTGGCAGTGGGGCTTGATAATGTCTTCATCGCCATTGCTTTCCTGGGCTGGTCTCGCCTTTTCGCAGCTTTCTGGTTGACCGATGACTTGGCATTTAATTCACAAGAGGAGATCAAGTCACACACAGCGACTGTACCCACGTTGGTGCCAGAATCCAGTCTCAGCAGGATATCTTTGGACAGTCTCATAAATGAGGCTAATAGAAGCAACTCGGACAAACGAATTGAAGACGATTTCCACTCGACGTCAATAGCGTCAAGCAGGATGCTACGGCTGGCATATATACTTCCTTTGTTAGGACTTACGGGGTTCAGTGTTTATGTTACACTACGAATGCTTATTGATCCGACTGTCGAGCCGACAATGACTTCCCTTATACTCCAATTGGCCTTTCAACAGATAGCTACGCCAAGCGCAATCCTCCTTGGAATATATTTCACCCGAGGCCAGACATACACCACAATCATCCCATGCATATCTACTATATGGTATAAACTATATACAATCTGGGTCTTTGCGTGGGCTCTCACATTGCTCGTAATTGCGGCACTCGAGACGAGAGGCACCGCGTGCGGGAAATACACAACCTACTCTGGGGTTCAAGCGGACCTCATCACTTGCAGCACGGGTACAGACCTAGGAGTCGTTGTATTGCAGCAAGGTGTCGCCAAATACACGACCGGCGTCGCGGAGTTTCATTATAACGAGACGCGGGAGCTGTGGATGCAGAATTTCACGGGAACTTGTACCGGCCATTTCGAACATCTCGCAGGACTTGAGTCTCTAATCAACTTAACATCGACAGAAACATGAGCATCGACGAGGAAAACTTCTGCAGGCCGCAAGAGTATTCAGGTCACATCCTGAGAGGCACGGTCAATGTACTTTGAGATTTGACTTTGCTGCTGCCGTTTAGCTTGAATGGTTTGCCCTCTTGGACGCTAAGGCGGTAGTTCGAGCTCTGGCAAATTATTTATGCTCAAAAGCATCTTCGAGTTCTAAAACTGGGTCCCTCCACATAGGCATGTGGTAATCAACTAATGGCATTCTGGTGCTCGGTTATTGTATGGTCTCACTGGACCCCTGCAAAATTCTGGTGGACTCGTCCCTGTAACCTGGTTTGAGACTTGCTTCGGCAATGAACGGAGGACTGGTAACCAGGTTTGCTTAACGCAGACCCTGCATATATGGTAAATGAAGTGTCTAGAACAACTTGACCGGATTTTATGACCCTCTTCTCCTGATCTCTATGGATCTCGTTCCCCGTAAATGATTCATGATCATATGAGCCTCATGTACGTTTCCATGGCTTCACTTCTCTGTATTATGAATGGAATCGAATTTTCCGTCCCCTCAAAACGAGTAGCTCTCCCTTAAGCGATGGGCAAGGGACCAGTCGATTGGTATTTAACTGGTAAGCTCTGTTTTCAATGCTTGGTCTGGGAACTCGATGTCCGTCAAGCCAGCGACAATTGAACTGTGTATCTCTCGTCGAAGAACACAAAGGTTTCCACAATGTGTATGGCAGCTTGCATTCTTTTACTGGCCGGGCTTGCTGCTCGTGAAGCACTTGCTCAAGTGAGAGGCTCCGCTGTCGGATTTGCGGCGGGAACTACGGGTGGAGGTTCGGCCAAGCCACAGTATCCATCAACTCTTGCGGAGTCAGTATCACGGACTAGCAGTTCCCGTGTGGATTACTGATCTTCTTTGCAGATTGGAGTTCTGGCTCAGCGATTCGACTCCCAGGGTCATAATGATCTCACAGACTTGGGATTTCACCAACCATCAAGGAATGACCACTGAGAAATGCTGTCAAAACTCGTGCCAGCCAAATGGCCAATTCTGGATTATGGACACCTGCGATGCCGCCTGGGTCTCATGCACCTACGCAAATGCGGCGCGCAATCCTATCCAGGTAGGCAGTAATAAAAGTGTCGTCGGCGTTGGAAGCAGTGGTGTCATCAAGGGGAGAGGCCTTCGGGTTATCAACAATGCCTCAAATGTCATTATCCAAAACATTCATTTTACGGTAAGTAATCTGTAAGACAAGCTTCGCGACTCGGATCAGAGCAGCGCTAATGTGATATGGCGTTCGTTCAGGGACTGAATTCCCAGTACGTCTGGGGAGGGGATGCAATCACATTGGATGGTGCTGATAAGGTTTGGATTGACTACTGCAAGTTTAAGTTGCGTGACTCTTAGACACCCTCGTCATTTTCCTGTCTAACATACCAGTCTCCCTTATCGGCCGACAAATGATCGTCTCTGGCTGGGGCGCCGCAGGGCACGTAACCATTTCCAATAATGAGTTTGATGGAACGACACCGTACTCTGCCAGCTGCAACGGCCAGCATTATTGGGTCCTTTTATTACTTGGATTGAAGGACTACTACACATTCGTGGGCAACTACGTCCATAACGTCTCGGGTCGTGCTCCTCACATGGGCACTGACTACACCAAATCCGAGATTATCTTCCACGGCGTCAACAACTATTTCAAGAATGTTGGTGGGCATGCGTTTGATATTGATGTCAACACCTATGTCTTGCTAGAAGGAAACTACTTTGACAACGCTGACACTCCGATAACGTCTGCCTCGTTGACGAAGAGTAGCTTGTACTCGGTGGTGACGGTGGATGATGCTAGCGGGTGCACGAGTAACCTTGGTTACATCTGTGAGTGGAATAGGTTGTCCAACTCTGGCAGCTTCCCTTCCTCTAGAAGTTCGGAAGCATTGTCAAAGTTATCCGCACACAAGAGCTCCTTGGTTGGGCACTATGGTGTGGCTGACGTGCCGAAGAGTGTCGTGGCCAACGCCGGTATTGGAAAGATCTGATGGAGCCTATACCGTCAATTACCGCTGCGTTGGTGTCCTCATATGACTCACAAGGACGCTGATTGGCGTTTGGAGTTAACACGCGCTTCCTTAAAGTGTGTGCTTCCAAACCTCGCAACAAGTCAAGAATTCAGTTGTGCCGCTACTTTAGGTATTGGTTACGTCGGTCCTTGGAGTCCGTGAGATTGGGATAAACTCATTCCATACTCGAGCCTCCTCCATATCATTCTGTGGCTTTTGAAAGAATGTAGCCCAAATTCCATACGATCCAGGATAGTCAATAATAGCATCTGTTATGCGCGAGCCTTCAGGTAGGCCGTAAGGTGGTTCCATACACGGGCTCGCGAAAGACCCGGAGCTGCTGATGGCACCCATAGTCGCGGTATCATCAACCCAAGGCGACGTGGAGGATAAGGGTGGAAGTAGACTTTCGTTCAGATTAATTGCTGCCAATCCTTGGCTGTTTTGGATAGTATTTCTTGTGGCTCCACTTGCAGGCGACGATGATTCACTTTGGTAGCTCATAGATCCGTCGGATCTGGAAATCGGTTCTAGTCCGGGTAATAGGTCATCAAAGCTGCCGCTGTTCCAGTGCGTCGGTAAACCAAACATACTTCCAGGTTGCAGATGTTGTGCAATCTGATCGTAGCTGTCCCAAGCATAAGCTTTTCCTTGGGCCACATTGCGAAAGTCATACGCTGCAGTGGTGGCATCGCCTTGTGATCCAACCGTAGAGGCCAAAGCGCTGTCGATCTCAATATCGTTGGGGGCGGTTGATACTGGGGTATGTAGGCGGCCTGACTGTGAAACAGGCCGAAGCTTCTGAGTCCCTGTGCTTCTGATAGAGATGTATTGCATCTTCCCGTGGCTTTCATAGTCCGGTCCTCCTGGCGATTGGCATTTTGCTTGTTCAGCAATCTCTGTCTCGACCTCAACTAGCCGCGCTGCAACCGCACCGACTCCACCAGACCGCCATAGGTTCTCTTGACGGTCATTGCACGTCATGAGAAGGTTCAAAGCTGTTCGTCGTATTATCGGGTGCCGACACTTGACGGCTACAAAGTATAACGGAGGGATGATCTGAGTGTCAAACGAGAAGTCTCGTCTGCTAGTCGAAAGCTGCACATGAGAACTAGTAGCTCGCCTGCTTTCGTCAGGGTTTTCCGGTGTGCGGTTTGATGAATGTTTCGGTCGAGGCTGCGAGCCGTGAGATGGAGGGAAGTCAAAGAATCTCCTCGCCAAAGGCAAAATGGCGCTAAAGTGATCGAGGTATTGGTCGTAGTCTGTCTCTTCCAGTGTGAGCGCAGTTGACACCCAAATAATAGCGGCGTGGTAGTATATCTGTAAGAGAATCATAGATAACGGAGGTGGATCCCCGACTGACTGGGTTGCTGTCAGTACCGCATACGCTGTGTTCCACTTCGATAATGAGGACAGGTGCCATTGTTGGTGTGCTCTCAAGTCATGGACCGATGCCGGCGGGAGATCTGCATCTTGGACTTTCAGTCGCGCGTCGGACGTGAAACGCAATACTCGGTCCATCATAGAGTAGAAGGTATGTCTAGCGTCTTGGATAGTCGAGAATAGGGGCGGGACCTCGTAGAACGCGTCAAACCGATCGGGGATGGGCTGGACGCTGGCCCCAGATAAGACAGCTGTCACGCCGGACCGGATGTATAAGGGGACGATATGCTGTTTTATGATGTCAACCTGATATCCAGGTACGTGGCCAATCTGAGAGAACTTTTGGATGATTTGGCGTCCTTGATTAATATAGTTTAGAGCGTCCACCTCTTTCCCTTGCATGTACTCCATGCATATAAAGAGCAGGCACATGAGCAATGGCACGATGGCGTCGCGGACCGTTTCTTCGTTCATTTGGTCGCGTAGGATGCCTATGGCTATGTTGTATTGTTCTAGTGCGAAGACTTGCCGATCCTCTAACTCGCCTTGCCCATCGAGATTTCCCAGCAGTAAACTTTCGTGGAAGCTGCTTACTGCAAGGACAGCGTGCAGAACAGCTCGTTCCGAGTGGCAAAGTTGTAACACTAAAGAGTTCCAGAATCCCGAGTCATAATCTGATGCCAGACTAGGGCCGCTGTGAGTGAGAAAGAAGTGGTACGACTGAGCTTCCACAGCGCTTCCAAATTCCGGCATCGCATTGAGCGCGACAGATAAGCGCAAGTCGTCTGCGGGTGGTCCTTGACGTGCGCGTTTCCCGGGCCTGGCAGCCTGGTAGCCATTGCATACACGCCCAGTTCTCTTGCATCTCAGGCATTCTGGCTTCGTTTCGTCGCACTTGACTTTGCGCAGTCTGATACCCAGGTCTGGTTAGATGGCTGCGCAAGAGAGACGGCAAAGAGGTGTAGCTTGCTTACTTGCACGTGAGGCAGCCAGTCCGCACTTTCTTCGAGCCCTTACGCCCGTTAGGTTTTCGATAGCTATCATCTTGATCATCGGACTGGCCAGACTTGGTGTGGGCCATTATTGTGCCCTCGATAGTCAGGGCAACATTTCAGAGAGGATGGCTCTGTTGACAGCTGAGGTCAAGACAAGCCGTCAGTGATATGATCAGCGCGGCAATGGAAGCGGGGAGGCTAGCACCGCCCCAGAACACCGGCACGAATGACAGGGGTCTTGCTGACAGACTGCGGCCAGATGCAGGTGATGTTAAGGTGATGTTAAGGATCAATTAAAGCAAATCTTTCGTGCCGCTGCCGCTTACTCTGATGACGTGATAAGTAAGATCTAGTCGGTGAAAATTTTGCGTATGTATTTCAATAATCAGCCGAACGATCATGGCTGTTGTCAGCGAACACCTATCACGCCAGGACACAGCCCCGTAGAATCGGAGTTTAGATAACATCCCTGCTCCACAATCCTTGTCTACCCGTGGACGTGCCATCAAGTGGACATCTTGGTGCCAGTCACTGGGGGCTGTATTGCCATAAGTAATATTGCCTCGCATCTGTAGTATTTGATGCTATCACTTATCGATTCGTTTCTGTGTAATGCGTGCCATGGCTGAGCGTGTCCCCCGAAACTCAGAATGCGAGCTCCCAAAAGACCGGACGTGGGGGCTGCCAAAAGGTCAGCTGCCATGACTCTCAAATATGGATCACTTGCAGACTGAATCGCGATAAGAAAGCAGTATATACAGCGCGTGGGGTGTTTGATTGGGCGAAACCCTCACCCTCACCCTAAAGTGATCCAAATCCAATCACCTGCATGAGATACATTTACGTTCAGTATAACTCTTGCTTTCTTGATTAATCGGGTATGGAAGTATCTTGGCTTAGGAGCATGGTCATCTTTTTTCACCCTCTCTCACGTAGCGCGCATGGCAGAGTGTCATGTGGGCAAAGCGAATTTCTATGGTACAGCAGCTGTTGGTTCCTCGCATGTCAGAAGAGGCAGAAAAGAAAGAATTTGACGAGGGGTGGTTCAAAAAGTTTGCTCGGCCAACGACATACTGTATGCAGAATGGCTTGCGTAGTCAATTCATCTCTAGGATCAAGGGGCACACTGCATGTAAGGAAATGCCTGTTCTGCAGCGTCGCAATGGACAGCGGCGGAAAAACTATATATTACAAGTCAATGGGTCACATCGTAGATTACGGTGTCAATACTTTGCAGAAATTGCTCTGGTAGAGCGCAATCAAGAATCTAACAGAAGAGAATAGTATACTGACCAATTTTCAGCCAACGCGGTACATTACATGCGTTTTCATTACGCTGTATGAATGGCTTCAGAGACCCACGCCCATGTGCATCATCAACGACGAGATGACCTGGCATAGGCCTAATTCCTGCATTACTGGCAGGTAGGGTTCCATTCCGCTTCGCTGTACTAATATTGCCACTGAACAACCCCCAACCGCGTCTTCGTAAAGGCTCCTTTTTTCCCTTCCTCAGAGCGATACATCGCCATAGATCACGATTCGATAGAAAGAGACAGTCGTTCGATTATCCGCCGTTATCCGCTACGATTGTAGGAACTTCAGACGCTCTGAACCTGCAACCCAACAGACATAGGGTTTGTTAGTCTTGGCATGAAACGTTGGAAATAGAGTTAATTATTTAGATATGTACTGACTTATGGCTATAGTCTGTGTCTGACGGGAAGTATTGAATTTATGAATGAGTTCAAAACGCAAGAATATATAATCCGAAAAGAGAGCAGACGTTAAGCATGAGGGCTGGTTTAATCCAAATGCTGCGACAAGTCTCGCTGAACCAGCAGCACCTAGCTACCATCTTGAGATTGTTGCAAGCTCCTTCCAATTCAAATACTAGCAGATGATTCTGATTGACTTTGGATAAATTTCGCCCGGTTGGCTAGGAGATCTCCCGCCATCTTTCGGCCGCCGGCCGCGTATGAAACATCATCGAGCCCACCAGGCACGTTTGCTCAACCACAAGGATTTAGCATGCATTGGAAAAGAGTTCCATGCATTGATTTATTGGCTATGCCAAAATTAGAAAGTCGTGAACACGTCAAAGAGTATGGGGCGCATCCTAATCACACGCCGGGAAGTTGCATAGCAACCCTCGACTTTCTTTGCGTTAACCCAGCATTACACAATCATTTCTGAGGGAGGATACTGCCGACACGCCCCACAAAAGTCGAGAGAATAGCCCATACGTGCAATGAGAATACTGTTAGGATTCGCAATGCCAGCCAGAAGGAGGTTCTCCCCTACAATCAAGGTCATCGTTGAAGCTACCCGGTTTCTCCTCCTGTCCTTGCAGACGGATTAGCACCCTCAGGCAGCTATCGAAAAGATCAATCGCAGAGGTGAAGGATCGAGCGCCTCAAGGAGGATTCAGGACGATGGCCATGCTCGTAATATAACTGGTTGAGTTCATTGATCAATCATCCACGTCACTGTCATGGAAGTTCCAAAATAGAGTCACCCAAGGAGCCTGAAGAGCAGCTTCGCGCTGTGGCAATCAAAAACGAATTACATTACCTGCAAAAGAGGCTGATGCCACTGGAAAGGCCCAGAGTAGTAACTGCAGAATACAACATTCCTAACGCGGATGACAACATCCGTAGAGCATGCATAGATGACTAAGAAATTCGGCCGCAGCAGTTGCATTCCAATCAAATTCACGAGGGTTTACTCCTCTCAAATTAAAGTGGCCCCCTACTTTGCAAACCTGACCGCATTTTGAATCAATTTGCGTCACCGGGCAGGGATTTACTGATCAATAATTCTGCTCTGCTCGGACCGAGATTTCTTGAAGTGACAACTATGCAGGCCAGGTAGCCAATCGCATGGCGGTGTATGTAGTCTAGAACGGCCCCCAGAGGACTCGAATTCGTGCATGAAGGATCGCTGGTCGGCGACCAATGCCTCTATTGCTATGAAAGCCTATCCGTCGGTCTTCCCCTTGGTCCCCGATGCAACATCCAAATGCTTTTGATGGTGGGGTCTAGGCCAATCAGGCGTGCAGGCCAGTAATGAGTTATTACACCCTGACATCTACTGTGGAGATTGACGGGGAAGATGCCTGTCATCAACAATATTCGCAGCATTCGACACAGCCCTATGGGGCAGCTAGCAGGCTGGATCTAGAACACGCGTTGTGGAAAGGCTTAGCACATTCCTGGTGACGCACCAACTTTGACTTAGTAGCGGACTGGTTGCTTTTGCCCCCCATCCCCAAAGATTACAGCACCAAATGAGTTGCTCGTAGAAGGAAGGAGTAGTAGGCTGTCAAGATGCTTGCTCTAGGGCCACTTGTGGAGAATACGTTGTCGTGGTGCCACGTTATTCTGTAACACCAGATATCCTAGTCGATACCCGCTGGCTGTGACTGGATTCCTTTGGCAAACACAGACTGCTCCCCGCCGACAGCGGATTCAAGATTGAAAATAAGTTAAAACGAGATATTGTGCCATCATATTTGATGGTATGTATTTAAATCTTGAAAAGCTTCTAATCGTAGCTCGGGGTATTGCGCTCATCATTATTTGAACCTCTCAGACTATTACCAGACCATCGATTTTGTGAAACAAACCCGGTTTACCATGACCACGACTAGTGAACCGGTTTTTGACCAGTGACTATTCCGTGGACCAACTGCAGGTGCAGTCTATCTTTAGCATATTATAGATGAATCATCTTAATATAGAAAAGCATGGACGAAGCTCTACATTGACCGTCAGTAGTATAGGAGCTAGCGGCCGGTCCCGAACGTTCTCAAGAGCTATTGGTTTGCCATGCAAAGAAATCCGTCAGGAATACCTCTGCATTGCCTATCATCTCACTCGCAGTTCTATGTGTGCGTGTCTCCTGTGGATGCTTCACCGCCGTTGAACATCCCATACGACTTCTGAACTATTAAAGGGGTCGAATTTTCCTCCATTTACTACAGACTCAAGCTCACCATCACCTCGCAGAATAAACGCAACAGTCCTCTTCCAATTTCAAAGTCCAACAGACACACACAGTCAAAATGCAGTTCACTAAGGCTTTCACCATCATTGCCGCCCTGGCCACCACTGCCTTTGCAGTAGCTATGCCGGTTTGTTGATGCAGTCAATATGGAATCTTACCGCGAAGCTTATTTTAATAGCAGGAGTCTCTGGAGGATCGCGCCACCGGATGTGTTGTAAGGCTGCACGAATGACAAAGCTCTACACTCATAGGTACTAACGGACGATTCTTTTGGTTAGACTATCCAGAATGGCCTCGGATGCCCCCAGGACCGTCCCGTCAACTGCAAGGACTTCAAGAACGGCAACCACCGCTGCTGCGTACGTACTTCTTGACAATTGCCTGACCTTGGGCTCACTTGATGCATTGTGCCATCGCACTATTCTAACAATGCTTGCAGGCTCATATCGGTGGATGCTAAATGAGATTGTTGACTTGAGTTCTGGTGTCGCTTTATACATTTCGTTCCAGAATTGTGTAATCCTGCGTATCCAGACCTGGATGGAGATGGCAATATACGGGTCGAGATTTAGCTTATCAGATCCCATGACTTCTATCCGAACATCTTCTTTCCCAATGGGAAGTTAGATAGATACACTCCTTCGATATTTTTCAATAAAAACCTCTGTCGGCCGACTAATTCAATACTGGAGTCATTTTAGTGCACATTTCTTTTGCTTAGACAGCAAGTATGAAGGCATGTCTCCTATGTATTTCAAATGGGAGCCGCAACACTCGCGAACATAAGCAACCCGTTTCCTTTCGACTGTATTACTTTTGCCTTGAGAGTGTTTCATGCACCTAAAAGTAAGCTTTACATGACCAAATGATCTTACGCTTACGGTAGCTAGACTATGTGCCCTGCTACGGAGATAAAGAAACAGCTTCCCAGTTGAGGCTTATTGAGTCTTGCTCACCCTTGCGCCTAGTAGTCCTGTATCATTGTCCCAGCTTCAGTATGATCCTCGCGCTCATAGTTTCGAGAAAAGTCTTACAAACTGTATCCGAATGTGATGTACAGTGTACTTCTAGAATAATAACCCGTAGTCCGTGGATTGAAGTTGCGAGCCAAGCTACAGTCAACGTCCAAAGGCGTCATCTCGATTGGGTTTCTGGGTCTAGTATCCAATATGGCACCGCTCAAAGTGGTAATGACGTATACAATTTCCTCTGCTGCTATAATGGCGTATTGCTCATCGCTCGTTGCCTGTAATTTGAAATATAGATCGTAGTAGGAATCGAACCTACTTAGCCTTCACATCGACCAGTGCATTACCACCGAGTCAGATGATGCAGCTAGCACCAACCCGATCATCGGGGAAAAACCCCCCGAAGGCGGAAAAAACCCAGGTGTCCACCCATTACTGGAATGGAGAGGTCCAGAAGATCGACAACACGCTTTCCCTCACAACCACAAGACACTCTACAAGGCTCATGATCGCGGGAGCTTCGACAGCCTGAAAAGTTAGCAAAACACAAACTCAAGGACCACTTACTCAAACACAGACGAATATGTGCACACAGAACGAAGACCAGGAAGTCCCCGCAACCCATCAACAACAAGTACAACAACGCTGTCGGAGAAGGAGAAACCGCTGAACTGATAGCCAATACAACAACGAGCGCGAGATGACTACCCCCAAGCCAATACCATGGTCGCGTTCAGGAGGAATACCAGACGAGAAGGGAGAAGAAGAGGAGGACGAGGAGAGAACCCCTACACAGCTGCCCCCGGATGGAACCAGGTTTGCTGTCATGGGGAGAGAAGGAGAGATGGTGGAACTCAACGGACGCGGCGTGAGACTCCGAGTGGCCACCTGCACAACCCGAAGCTGTGAAAGACGTTCGTTCAGACGGTGGAGATTCGCTACCGAGTTCACCGAACCCTGTTCAGGTTTTCGGCATGCGGAGGAGGAGGAGGAGGAGGAGGAGGAGGAGGGCGGGTCGACAGCGTTGTTGCATCGGCTACGAATCTGGGCGGCGAGTAGCTTCTCAGCGGCCTTCAGAGCCTTGCGCTCACGGCGGCCGAGCCGTGACGAGTCCAACCATTCCTCGCGCGGTAGCTCGCTCTGAGGTACGAATTCGCCGGTGATGAGGCAAGTGGCCAAGCAGCCTGAGTTAAACCCAACTTTCCTAGGTTGGACTAAATGAAAGCAATCTATTAAGCTGAAATTCGGCTGAGTAGAGTTGTATATAATTAGATACCCTTTTTATTGTACTAAATTCAATATAACACTGAGTCTTTGAAGCGTATTTATTCATGTATTGCCTCTTGTATTGCAGAACGTTTGACACCCGCCGATTCCATAGCATAAAACGTGGCTCGCCGAGAGCCCATCGTAAATATGTATCCACGATTAACACAGATGTCTATTTTTCGAATAGAGCGGAAGTCATATACTTCAGTCCCGTATCGCAAGCAACTGTTACAACGGTTTTTCCAGGTCCAAGTTTCTGTGCTAGTCTCAGGGCTGCCACAACGTTGACACCAGTGGATGTACCAACCAGTAGCCCTTCTTCGCGAGCAATGCGCCGACACATAGTCCTTGCTTCATCCTCGGGAACGGTCTGCACCTCATCATACAAGGCTTTGTCAAGCAATGGCGGTACCATCCCGGCCCCGATGCCCTCAATGCCGTGCACTCCTCCGCGGCCGGTCGTGAGGAATGGCGCCGCCTCGGGTTCCAGCACCACTACCTCGCAAGGTTTCGACTGCGACTTGAGGACTTTGGCCACGCCCATGATCATGCCAGCACCACCCACCGCGGCGCAGAACCCGTCGACGCCGTCCGGGAGCTGTTGCAGGAGTTCCTCTCCCAGTATCCGGTAGCCTACCAGCGCATCTTTATTGTTAAATTGGTCCACGAAATAGTGATCTGGACGCTGGGCCAGCGAGTGAGCCCGCTCCCGCATGGAAGGGAAGAGGTCCGGCGTTATGCGCTTGGTCGGACTCAGGACTAGGTCAAGCTTGGCGCCGAAAGCGGCCATGGTGCGCAGCTTCTCGGTGGAGAAGGCATCGGAGCACACGACCTGGAACTCGTACCCCTTAATGGCGCACACGAAGGCGAGCGACGATCCGGTGCTGCCGCCCGTTGCCTCGACCAACGTCGTGCCCGGCTTCAGGTCCCCCCGGAGCTCGGCCTCTTCCACAATCGAGCGTGCCATGCGGTCCTTGTACGAGCCTGTTGGGTTTAAGCTCTCCAGCTTAAGGAACACATCGGCGCATCCTTCCGGGACCACGTGCCGAAGCTTGACACATCGGGTGTTCCCGATAACGTCGAGGACATTTTCTGAGGCCGGTGGAACGGCAGCCATTTCATATACAGGTGGCCTCGGTATCGTTAGAGTAATGCCTGCATTGAGTGGGAGGTAGCCGGCCGGTTATAAAGACACCTTAAGGAGGGTTCCCTCGCCTGATGCGCCCTTTGGTCATTGACTGACCCACCGGAACGGGCCAACAGGGGCTAACTACCAAACGACCCATCTAGAACTTGGCTACAGATTAGATAAGGAATCATTCATATGAGCTTTGAACAGCGTGACTAAATCATCCATTAAAACAATGGTCAACACCAATCCGTTATTCGTAATACAGACGATACATACGCGTGCATAAGGCTGCTTCGCAGGTGCTGCGATATGTCGGGCCTGACACCTTTCTTGGGAATTTCCTTCATTGTTTGCCCAATTGTAGATTTTCCATTATGTTAAGTTGTAGAAACCTCATCAGGGCTGGTAACTTGATACGGTTGGATCGACATTAGCACAAATATGATGGGCCAAGACAGCGACGCGGTGAGATGACACCAGGCTACTCGACAGGTATGTACAGGGCCACAGTTTTCCAACCCAATTGTTAACAATTGTTAGTTCTAAAACAAGTTGGATCTCAGAGTATCATCAAGAATTGGTCGGAGATTCTAGGCTCAAACCATTTCAACTCAGAGCTGTCAGCGAGACCATTGGGCATATAGCATGCTTGAAGCTCAATATTCTGGCTTGAAGGTCGACATTGACCTGTCAATGAGTGCAACAACTCATCAGTCTCAAGCAAGTTCCTGTCTGTGTTTGTCAAAATGGATTTCTCTGACTACTGGGTTGCTGTTGGCACCATTCCCTCCAACCGCAACAACCTTCTCACCCAGAAGCTCGCACCATCGTCGACCAAACTTCCCAAGCCTCTCAAGGGTATCCTCAAGAAACCTGAGCAACTTCGCTTGCGGCCATTATGATCACTGTACTAGGCCAGTGATGAAGTCGCTAGCCTGTTGCACTTTTCCAGTGTAGTCCAGATGCGCACTCGTGACAATAAGTGTACCATCGCAGACCAGATCACCGTCGTTGCACAAGATAAGAGTCTTTGCGGGATCCAACCCGGGGACTTGGTCGTCATCTTGATCCTTTTGCGTATCGCCGAACGTGACGGCGGCGGCGATCTTGTCCTTGACCGCTTGGTCGTCAATCTGTTCGACCGACCGGTGCACCATGGCGGCTCCCTGGCTGTACCCAGAGACCACGATCTTGCTGTCGGGACATGTGGACGATACGTTGGCGATGAGCTTCGCCATGTCAGCAGCTTCGAGAGGGTTGGTGCCTCCGGGGATGAGGTTCTGCGGTAGGCCTGCATCATATTCGACTCCCTGAATAGCTATACGATCGGCGCCGAGTGAGGCTTGCAGAGCGCTGGCGAGTTGCGGTCCTGGCTGGTCGCCCTATGTGCTATTAGACATGAATGTGTAATGATACGTTCATGAGGGAACAGGAGCACATACCATGTTGCCGTCCTGCGTGCTTCCGCGGGCGTAGACCAGCACCACGTCCTTGCACCCACTATCAAGGAACTGATTGGCAGTAACTTGGACGTCGCTACCATCCGTTTCGTTCGACTGCCGAGGTAAAACAGCGCCACGAGCTACGAGCTCTTGGATCTCGACTCCCTCTGGCACTTCATATACACTGCCGCTAGCCACAATGGGAATGGCACTTGCAGTGGCAGCCAGAAGGCCTGGCAAAAGGATGATGGCGGACTTCATGGTGGATGTAGGTGGCAGTCGATTTTATGGGCCGTGGAATAATGGCAGGGTGGCTGATGCCGAGAGAAGAACTACTCTATAGTCCGTACAGCTGTACTCAAGGCGAGGAAAGGAGATACTGGGCCACAACCTTTTGGCACGAGCAAAAGCAGCACCCGTCGTTATCTTTCAAGGCTTGGCCCTGTCTTTATTCCTCGATATCATCGTGAATCTGCATGCACGACATCCTTTCAGCCACACTCGGGATATCCGTGGTCAAACGCCCATCGGTTTTGGAAACATCGGATGGCATCTCAATGGATACAGCCGCGACTGGATTTGGCCCATTCTGTAGCGCCGGCCGCTGCTCAATGCCTCCATGCGGCAGGCTTCCAGAAGGCGAGCCCGCGGTCATTATCCGCACATGTCGCGATCTTCCGTGACAGAGACGGTTGGTGTGTCAAGGAGGTGCCCTGCTGCGGCTCATTCACGGTTTGCTGGTTCGATTCGCCCCGGCCTCCCGTTTCGGATCGACTGATCGTTGCTGGGATGGCAGCGAGCACGAGGCCAGATGGGGAACTGCCGGGCGTTGAGACGCTAAGGTTTAGCGCCCGCTGCCCACCGGGACGCGGCATTTTAGCTGATTTGGTGCCAGGGGTACCCCAATTTAAGCTTCATGGCCCTGCGAACTGAGATCCCGAAGGAAGGGAAGCTCAGCACATGAAATGGAATGGCCGAGGATATCTATCCAATAGGTAGCAAGTCTTAACTCTCTGGCGCGAGCAGCTGAGAGGAGGCTCCATTCCTCTCGTTGTGCAATCAGGTGGTTCGATTGGCGTGAAGGACCAGGCGGACTATCCCTCGGATCTCAAACTTTGGGGATGATCTTCCCGTACCAAGATCAACGGCTACTTATGCAGGTAGATTTCTTAGCTGTTGGGCACCACTGTGGTTCGTCATACACCTCCTATGCCACATTTGGTGAGCTGCATACCAAGTTCCGTTACTAAACGCTGGTTCGTAATTGGACTCGGCTCTACGGACCACCCACATGCTACCTTGAGGTATTATGACAAGACCGCGCGGGCTCATGCCCATGCGGGGCAGAAGCTGGTTCAAAGGATCGCAATTCCCGCTCATTTCCTGTTCCTGGGAGACCTGTCGTCCGTCTATACCGTCAAGTGGCACCTATACTACCTAGGTACACTTGAGACAAGGTTCTGCTTCGAGAAAATGCTCCCGTTCCGTCCTAGCGCTCGGCGTTGGGCGGCACGCATAGTGCCCGCCGTATCGAAGCCGATAGCTGCCGCCAATAGTCGTACATACGCTGCTGTTGGAGCCGAGGAGCCATCTTGGACTAAATCGACATTTCCCACCGCCAGCCCGGGTTCAGTGAGAGCTGGAAATGTGGCTTCTAATGTGAAGGAAAACAAGGTGCTGTGCGATGCTATAGCAGCAACGGCCCCACGGAACAACTGGACCAGGGACGAGATCGCAGCGATTTACAATGAGCCTCTGATGGAGCTGGTGCACCAAGCGGTTAGTCGACATATGCCACTGAGTCTCCCTTATACAGTGACTTACATATCTTCGGGGACAGAGCCTTCTTCATCGCCGCTTCCACGATCCTGCAGAGGTCCAACTATGCACCCTGATGAACATCAAGACGGGTGGATGTACCGAGGACTGCAAGTACTGCGCCCAGTCCACGCGGTACCAGAAGGGAACGGGTCTGCAAGCCAAGAAAGTTGAGACCGTCGAGTCGGTCCTAGCTGCGGCCCGGATCGCCAAGGAGAATGGCAGTACACGCTTCTGCATGGGCGCCGCCTGGAGGGATATGCGTGGGAGGAAGAACAGTCTCAAGAATGTCATTGCTATGATCCAAGGAGTCCGCGGCATGGGGATGGAGGCCTGCGTGACACTGGGCATGATCGACCAGGAGCAAGCGCACGAGCTGAAAGCGGCCGGTCTCACGGCCTACAACCACAATGTCGACACCAGCCGCGAATTCTACCCTTCCGTGATCTCGACACGTACATACGATGAGAGACTACGGACTCTGGGATACGTCCGCGGCGCCGGAATCAACGTCTGTTCCGGTGGGATCCTCGGCCTGGGGGAGACGACAACTGACCGCATCGGGCTGCTGCACACGGTCTCGACCCTTCCAACGCACCCGGAGAGCTTTCCCGTGAACGCCCTGGTGCCGATCAAGGGCACGCCCCTGGGCGAACAGGAGTCGGTCAAGTTCCCGGAGATGCTGCGCACGATCGCGACGGCCCGGGTCCTCATGCCGGCTACCATCGTGCGCATCGCGGCGGGCCGGAAGACCATGTCCGAGGAGAAGCAGGCGCTGTGCTTTATGGCGGGTGCGAACGCCATCTTTACAGGCGAGAAGATGCTGACGACGGAGTGCAACGGCTACGACGAGGACAAGGAGATGTTTGACAGGTGGGGCTTCGTTCCTATGAGGAGCCATCAGAAGTCGCCGCCCAAAGAAGCGGCTTGAAATGCGAATTCAACATGAATCTCCTGACCCTTCTGACCAACTAGAAAAGGGCCGTGATGTGACGCATGTAGTGATCGCCATGGTGTTGACTTCTTGGTGAACTGGTCTATCACGGATCCTTCCTCTTCTCCCACTCTTCCCTCCCCAAGACCCAATAGCCACCCTCGTCTTCGTACCGCAGGTCTTCGGAAGTTCGCAAAAAACCAGCTGCCTCAAAACATCTTTCTGAAGCCGGGTTGTCTTCTAGTATGCAAGCAGTCAGGCGCCCCTTGACCAGGTGCTTGCTGAACGCATCGTCCACTAGCCCCTTTAATGCCTCCGTACCATAGCCATTCCCCCAATGCTCCCTTGAAAACCCGATATAGACCTCCAGGGTACCTGGTGGGGGTGGCCATTTAGCTGATTGCGGTGATGCGTCGTCTAGGTTGCGATAACCAATCCAACCTACCCATTCTGTTGCCCGGTCGTCACCGCCGCTGTGGTTGACAACGGTCGCATCGGAGTGACGTTTAGACACAGCCCAGATGCCGTGGCCCCGTCTGTCAACCAGAGTGCTGTTTCTCTCGTACACTCTACGTGGATTTTCTGGTGGATATGTTGCATGCCATACTTGCTGCTGCCACGAGGGATCTGCTCGGATGGCTACGTATGCCGGCCAGAACGAGCTGTCCCGGGGAGGACAGAGGTCCAATGCCAGGCGCTGTGTTGTTACTCTTGCTGACATGACCAAATTTGGAGTCCCAAGCAAGGTGCAGTGCGTTCTCAAGATTTGGTACCTAAGAGCCAGCTGCAATTTGTACTTGCAGTCAAGAGTGAATCATTTACAGTCAACAATGAATCATCCCCATGCACAGTGATTGAAACAGTTGGTAGACAGTACGGCTGCCCCCTCTATATGCAAGTGACGTCAACTGGGACCGCTGAATGGCCAGTCCCACAGGCAGATTCAGGGACCTGTGATGCACGTAGGGATCGACATCTAGCGTAGTCTGATGCTCGCACACTGTTTGACTGTCCGGCGGTCCCCTGCAAGACACTGCTAAACTTAGCCCACTGAGACACGCAGCTACTGGGCTCTGGGCCGCTGGGCTGCTTATCGATACCTGGCTCGCCTTGGCCTGTTCGACAGTAGATCTCCCTCCGTGTGACCTCGACCTCTGACCCTGGCGGAATGCGACGTCAGCCGGATTGGATGCATCGTCGAACAAGACATCTTGCAAACCCCTCGAAACCAGTATTGACGCCCGCAACACCACTTCTCCGTGCCAGTAAGATGCCCCCCCGACCGATGCGACTCTTGCGACAATGGCGGCATCAGTAATGGCAGCCCATCAGCTGCATCAACCCGGACCAGCATGGCAGGAGGGAGAAAAGGACGACCGGACTGGCAGTAGCGTGCCGAAGAGCCTAGACGAGCGAGATGGGGATCGTGGTCAGGACAGGGACGTCGATGGAGACGTAGAAACGAGGCAGCTTCCATCGCCTCGTCCCTCGCCCGCTGTCGAAGCTTTCCCAGTACTCGAGATGGCGCCCTCGACCTCCAGCACACCGCCCGGGGCGGACCCAGGCAAGCTGAAGCACGACGACTCGACAAATGACGGCACCGATGCCTCCGGCATTGCGGACAGCCAAGAGACAAAGGAAAACACGTCCTCGTCCACCGAGTCCTCAACCAACAGCAGCGACGAATCCTCGTCCTCCTCTGCTGGCGAGGACGCCCCTGCCGAGGCCTCACCGACGAAACCAAGCGACTCGACAGCCAAGCCCAGAACACCGTCCACCAGCAGAAGCGACACGACTGGGAATGGGAATGTGCGCAAGCTGTCGGCATCCCAAATGCAGGCCCTGGCCACCTCGCCAGATTCCCTGCCCATTGCTGTCGTTCCTCCCCAATCGCCCGTCTCGAGTCAGCGCAAACCAAACGGAGTTGAATATCCGATGTCTGCTGGCATCGTCGAGGCCGGCACCCGCCCTTCTATGGCCGAGCAGCTGCAGAACGAAATACAGAACCAGGCCAACCAGAACGGCTTTGTCAAGTTGCCAGCGCCCATGTCGAAAACACTGCCCGAACCTGTGCGATCGCGATACTTTTCCGAGAACAGCAATGCGGCCCTCAGGAATGCGGGTGCTCCCGACTCGAGACGGCCCCCGGCTGCTTCTCGTACCCTCTCGCAGCCGCCCATCACGCGAAGACCTACAGTGGGCAGCGCGACTCTCACGACCCCAAGCACCACCCGACGGAATTCCTTCAACCCGGCAGCAAGGCCTCCGCCCTTGAATCTGGGTAGTTCCAGCAACATCACACCGATCCCCAAGCGGACAACACCAGCACCTCGCAGAGCAGACAAAACTCCCATGGAAGAGAGGGAGGATGTCCAGCTCGCCCCGGCCGCTCCCATACAACCGGCAATCCCGCTGCCGCCCATGTCGTTGCACACCCATCTGCAACTGGAACTGGCTGGCGTCCGGCCCAGCCCTCTCTATATCTACCGCCACTCATCTGTAGACGTTCCGTACGAGTCCAGCGCTGTCAAGTTCGAGAGACTGCTAAACGCTCTCCTGCTTCCTCCCTACCTGGAAGCTACCCTCACCTTTGGCGCTCTGGCTTGCTTAGACGCCTTCCTGTATACTTTCACTCTGCTGCCTCTGCGATTTGTCATTGCTGTAGGCGTGCTAGTGAAATGGTGGGCTTACATGTTTTGGAAAGAGGTCAAGTGGGTTACGGGCTTTGTGTGGCAGGGTATCTGGCGCTTGTGGAGGAGAGGCCGGAGAGGCCGGTCATCGTCGCGTCCTTCTAGAAGCAGGACCAGCAGCAGCCAGTCTACCAGCGAGGTTGAAAGGAGTCAAAGTCGTGCCAGAGAGACGAGCAATGCCTCCGAATCTCTGGACAACATCCGCCTCAACGGCAATGCTGCCTTGCGCCCTCCGAAACACGCAATGCCGAGGAACCCGCCTGGCGTCTTTCGACATCGAAGAACAAAGTCCATGCCATCGGATCTTACCCCTTATCACAAGGCTGATCTCCTCCAAGGCGCTGTCATAGTCTGCAGCTCGTTGGCCCTGATGACTATTGACGCTAGCCGGATGTATCACTTCATCCGTGCCCAGTCTGCCATGAAGTTGTACGTCATCTTCAACCTCCTCGAGGTTGGAGACCGGCTGCTCTCGGCGATTGGCCAAGATATATTGGAGTGTCTGTTCAGCTCCGAGACTTTGTCACGAAACAGCCTCGGACGCTCCAAGATTCTACTCCCATTTGGCATGTTCATACTGTCGCTGATCTACAATGTTGTCCATGCTGTGTGCCTTTTCTACCAGGTCATCACCTTGAACGTGGCTGTCAACTCATACTCCAATGCCTTATTGTCGCTGCTCATGTCGAACCAGTTTGTTGAGATCAAGGGCAGTGTCTTCAAGAAGATCGAGAAGGAGAACCTTTTCCAGTTGACTTGCAGCGACGTTGTGGAACGGTTCCAGCTGTGGATTATCCTGATCATCATAGGTATGAGGAACATCGTTGAGGTCGGCGGGCTGTCAGTGCCGGGTGCTGGCAGCGAAGCAGACCCCGGCATGGCAGGTCCGGGTCCCATCCACACTTCATCGAATCTTCCCGCGAGCTTCACCCTACTGCCGTCATGGCTATTCTCCGGGGAAGTGCTCTCCCCGTTTCTCATCGTCATTGGAAGCGAGATGTTGGTCGATTGGATCAAGCATGCATACGTCAACAAATTCAACAACGTGAAGCCGACCGTGTACCGCAGAATGCTTGACATCTTTTGCAAGGATTACTACACCAATGTAAGTCGATGCTCTCCTGAGCCAAGAATGAAGATATCTAACAAGAGTTAGGCTTTCGGCGCCCCTGCTCTCACCCGCAGAATCGGACTTCCACTCCTCCCGCTATCATGCCTCTTCATTCGAGCTTCGGTGCAAATATATCACATGTTTTTGGCAACCCATCTCCCTCCTCCCATGCCGACGGCCACAACGGAGCTTTCTGTCGAGTCTTCTCTCCCTTCCTCGCCAGCCATGATAGCAGCTCTTGACCGACTGGACCATCTACTGCGGAACGCCCTTGGCCGCGCAGTGTATGGATCCCCATACGCCGACGGAGAGCCTCGCTCATTCTGGTCCTTCACGTCAGACGACGCGGTCGCCCTGCTCACCATGCTCACCTTCTTTTTCCTCGCCTGGCTCGTCCTGCTTCTCGTGAAGCTCCTCCTCGGCATGGCGCTGCTGAAGTACGCACGCGAGCGCTACGCCTCCTGCCAGGCCCAAGAGCAGGCCATCGCCAACGGCCAGGAGAAGCGCGAGAGCTTCTTCCAACCGGGCAAGCGCGTCGGTGGATGGGGCATGGTCGAGGTCGGCGACGAGCGCCGCAAGCTGATCTATGCGGACGACCCGGAGGGCCTGAAGCGCATGCGCGAGCGCGAGCGCAAGGGCGACCAAATGGCCAAGAAGATGGAGATTGGTGACGACGGCCTCGAGAAAGTCACGCGGTACGAGATGATCGCCAAGCGCATCTGGTAGGCGGCGGTCAGGCCTGGTCACTGGTGGTGTTTGTACCATGTCATACATACATACATACATACATACATACATAGCGTTCGTCGTGCTGCATTTACGGGGCGTTTATAAAACGGCATGCATCGGGCCGTGTGTCGTCGTTGTCTTTACAGCTATCATTGCCCGATATCAACTGAGCTAATACATTTGTCTTTCCGCCCGTTAGTTTGACTTGCATAAAAGGCTCCGGCTCTGTCGCTGCACTCTAGTCCCTTCAGAGGGAATGTGTCGGGTAATGGACCAAGAATCCATTGCCAGTTTGTCACTTGGCTTTGATCCAAGCCCTTTTGCGTCATTGGTTTTACTGGGCTCGTTCTGTAAAACGAGGCGCCCATACTTCCAACCACAACGACATTATACTCTCTGCGACCGCCATTGTGTTCATATGCACCAATCAGGATGAATTAACTCTTTTTCGTAGGGGGCAGTAGGAGTCGGCAGTGTGTCAATACTCTGAATTCACCGGCTACCTGTTATTAAGATGCTGAATTTCCCGGTTCCTCCCATCCGGAACTATATCTGCGTAGATATAGCCCAAATTGCCTCATACACTCATCCCCCTTCTTAGACTATGGGCTCCCCCCGCCTCGCACTCTGCCACGGTTGATTTCTATGCAACCATTCCACCATCATATCGGTGCAGGACTGACTCTCTGACTTCGGTTTACAGCGATTGTCGTAGTATCAAACCATATGCAGGTCTTGGGCGTGCCTTCATGCCTATCGTCGGTCAACTACGGCGCTGAGGTCGACGGTTTTCGCTGACCAGCCTGCTCTGGAATGTCCAGAAAGCACAAGTCGCCCAACAAATTCACCAGGATAGAGGAAATGGGCCGGTTTCAAGTGACAGAATGTCCCTATTCGTTAATGCTTCGTTAGTGAATGTACTAGTTTAGTTGCTTGGATCTTCCCCCTCACTGCTCTGTGTCGAGCAAACTCTGTGACTTCACCCATCCCGCCTAAAAGAGACTTCAACATACCATATACTATGTCGAAACTGTCTGATCAGGTCGTTTTAGTGACAGGTTCCAGCCGTGGCCTCGGACTTGCAATAGCGCGAGCTTTCCACACGGAAGGGTGTCGATTGGTGCTTAACTGCAGCGGGCCCGACTCCTACCCCAGGACACAGGAAATTGCGAAAGATCTCGGAGGCATCGCTATTCAAGCCGACGTGACTGACGCAGAACAAGTGTTGTCGCTCTTCGAACAGGCCGAGCGCCAATTTGCCGAGCCCATAAGTGTTGTGGTGAATAACGCGCTGGCGGATTTCAAGTTCAATGGCAACGGCCGAAAGAGCCTGGGCACGATTGAATGGGGCGACTTTGACAAACAACTACGAGTCGCAGTCCAAGGCGCCTTGAATACCACCAAAGCCGCACTTCCCGGGTTCGAGAAACTTGGCCGGGGGCGTATCATCAATATCGGCAGCAATCTCGTGCAGAACCCCGTGGTGCCGTATCAGGACTACTGCGCGGCGAAAGGCGCCCTGCTGGCCTTCACACACTCGATGGCCGCGGAGCTGGGCCCAAAGAACATCACCTGCAACTTGGTGGCTGGCGGGCTGCTCAAGGTTACGGATGCAAGCAGTGCGACGCCCAGCGAGGTGTTTGATCAGATTGCCGCCGCCACGCCGCTGAGGAGGGTGACTACCCCCGACGACCTTGCTGGGGCAGTGTTGTTCTTTGCGAGTCCATGGGCCAACGCGATTACAGGGCAGCAGGTCATCGTCGACGGTGGGCTCGTAATGTCGTAGCTACAGCAACTCGCACTGTTTCCCACAAGTCAGCATGGGAGCGTCTGTCTGAAGCTTGCGATATTAAGCCTCAATATTCAACCGTAAAGCTATCTCATCATTATGTGTCTGATTAACTCACGATCTCATGGCCGTTGCGGAACGAGCCAAGTTATGGGAGCAAAATTGGAGGGATAACCCTGGCGGGTGGAAATGATTCTGGCCGGGCCGTGAGACACCTAACTACCTTTAGTTAGGTAGGTCCCTTGGTTGGTAGTAGCTAACGGCTGGTGTCTAGCTGCCCTACAAGCGCTATTCACCACCTCAGACATTGCCCTGGTGGTTAAGTCAGGGGTTTGTGTCCCTTAGACAGCGCTTCAGCCCCACTGTTGGGACCACTTCAGCTGTTTTTTTATGCTAGGCATTAGGCGACTGCCTCGTCGAGATCTCGAGCCATTGTTCCGTTTCTAAAGGCCTAGAAGAGCCTTATCGCCATTCTGTATTCGTTTTGATCCTTTTATGAACCGTCTTGGTTCAATGATGTATAGTTGCCACATGAGATCCGGCTGTATCGCTAGACCGTAGCCTATACACACGTGAAGAGCCTCTCCCCTTTTCCAGTCCCACAGACACAATGAGCACCACAAGGCGACTCTATCCAGGTCTGGGCAGTGCCTTGGAGGAGGATTGCTCAGGAAAGGACTCTTTCCCCGTGGGCATGGACGTCCATTGCGGAGAAGCTGTCTCGTCATTGCTTCCTGTTCGAGAGGTTGCAATGATGGTTATTCTGGACCGACTGACTGATAAGCCCGAGTGGAACAAGAAGGTGTTCGATGAGCATATCCTGGCCAAATGGCGCAAAGAAGCTCTTGACTTCCCGGACGACGCGCTCTGGAAACAAGCCAGTGGCGGCAAGAGTTTTGACCCGAGTGAGGCACAAGGCGAATACTTGGAGGAGCTATCTGCTGTCTCCCAAATCCGTCCCCTGAAGAACATAATTACTGATGAGATTTTTGACTACGTAAGCTCACGGCAACAACCAATTGACGACACCACTGACCTTTGGTTCTTCTGTTCAATAGTGCGTTAAAGAGCTCCAGAACAAAGCTCGGTATTTTGCAGAATCCGGCATAGTGCCCACGTTGGAAGCCGAGGCGTCTGTTGCCAAGTCGGATACCCTGGTTGACCCTGAGCTACGTAGCACCCTTCGCAGGGCTTTCGACGAACTGAAAGCGGACCAAGCCGAGTTTCCAGACTGGCATCCCGGCACGGATGAGAAAGTACAGAATCTCGTACACCCGTCCATGTATCCGCTTGTCTATGGCTCGTCTCGAGTCTTTCAAAGCGAAGTCGTTGGCGTCAATGATGCTGTATACGGTTGGGCTGGAAGGGGTTACATTATCAAGCACCCAGATCACCACCCGGATGTGAGAGTCTATTTTGGTGAACTGTGGTCGAGAAATTACCAATGGCTACCGGCTAATGTGGCGGTCGACGATGCTGGCTCGGTGAAGTTCACTAGCTATGTCAACAATCTCCATCCTAACGAGCACCGAAGTATATATAGCACCTTGGAAAAGTTGGTGGAGAAAGCTATTCCAATGTGGAATCAATGCCTCGCCTTCCCTGATGACACGAACCCTAGAATCCGGGCAGGCCGCGTGTCATCGCGCTTTAAACTAGATCATGACGCCAAGTAAGTGACGTTTTGCTTCTACCAGAGATGACGAAGATAAGCTAATATAGCGGCACATCTAGTGATGATAATGAGGACAATTGGACTCCAATCGAGTCAGAAGTTGCTGGCATTGCCGTTCATTCAGATGAGGTTGATTCTCTTCGCGAGCCTGTACAGCCGCAACCTCTACCTTTTGAGAATATTGACTACAAGCCATCACTGAGGCTTCAGGAAAAGTTCAATAGTTCCGGCCTTCAGATAATTGTCAAGATGGCTTCTATTGAACTTACGCCGGAAAAGCCAACATTTCCGTCGGGATCCTGGCATGTAAGTTCTCCTTTCTTATCCACAACAATGCAAGTCTACGTACTCACCCATAATGCAGCTCGAAGGGCTGATGAACGAGAGGATTTGTGCCACTGCGCTCTACTATCTTGACAGCGAGAACATCACTACAAGTAGTCTCGCTTTCCGAATGAGGACAGACTCGGATACCGGCATGGAAGACGACGAGTTTCGTGTCCCACAGGACTCCTATAAATGGCTGGAAAGAGTGTACGGAACAAGACTTTCGCCTAATTCCGCGCCTTGCATCCAGAACTACGGTAGTGTCGAAACGCCTGAGGGTCGTCTCTTGGCATTTCCACATATTTTGTAAGCTTCCATGTGCTGAGAGCAGTCCTGATCGGCCCCAAAATTCTACTAATGTGTTTACTCGTCCCTGTAGCCAGCATTGCGTCTCTCCTTTTAGACTTGTAGACCCCACCAAGCCTGGTCACAGAAGGTTTATCGCCCTTTGGCTCGTCGACCCTCACCTGCGCATCATCTCTACTGCCAATGTCCCACCACAGCAGCAGGATTGGTGGGTAGACGCGCTGCTCGGTCCATCTCCCGTCTCCGAGGAAGAGGCTCTCTCAAAGCTCCCAACCGGACTGGTTCGGCTGCTTCAAGAAAAGGGAATTATTGGAAGTAGCGGCATAGGCCTCAGTGCTAGTAGCCTCCCACCTGAGCCCTCGAGCATCGCTCAACCCAAATTGTATGTACCGGGAATGAGCGTGGAAGAGGCTAGAGAACACCGAGAGAAGCTCATGGAAGAGCGCACTGTATCGCAGGAATCTACGGATCTTGATTGGCATGACGAGAGGTATAATTTCTGCGAACATTAGAAAATAATTCTTCGCAGCCTGAAGGGCCGAAATAGACAAGTTCCTAATCGAATATGCGCTTTCGTTGGAGCTCATTGTGATGACCTCAAGGCTATATCTCTATACAATGGTTAACCAGAAGGGGACTGGGGTGGTTAGAAGTCGTGTGCAATTGAGTGGTCCTTGTCCAGGTCGATATCAAATGTATGGCTTCTTATCAACCGTCTCAATGTACTGTTAAGAGACCCGCGATAACTCTTTCATTACAATGCCCGTTCGCAATGCCGACCCGAGTCTCCGGGCCGTTGCTATTAAAAGCCAGGGGACCCTATTGGCCCCATTTTTAAGTTGGTCGTGTTGGTTGTGCCTGATTTGCCGCCGAACCCCTGCCTTCAACCAATGACTTGGACATAATTCTAGGCGCCGCCCCACCATGGGATGGCATGGCAGTGCGTCAGGGCCAACAGAAAGCTGCCTGTATTTCCCAGCAGTAGTTCGAGGCTTCTGAAATCTTCAACAATTCTTCGACTGTACTGTGGATCTTCCTCGCGATTGATTTGGCTATGTCTGTCAGGCGGCCGTCAAACCTGACGTTTGGTGCAATAGGGACCCTTCTCATATTGGCAATACTGCTAATTCAAACGCGCCGAGCACTGCCACGCGTGCCAACGTACTTCGGTTCCAAGACCGAAAGCAAAGACAGACACCTAATTAACGATATTCAAAATGGCACATTGGGGGTAAGTCTTTGTGTGTTGTAGCTCTTCGCTGGAGCCCATTGCACGCAATTGAGCTGTGACGATATTGACATACGTCACCCAAACACAGTTCGAGAAGATCTTCGTTGTTGGACTTCCTTCACGGACCGACCGCCGAGATAGTATGGTTCTGGCCGCTGCACTGAGCGGCCTGGAGATCGAATTTATCGACGGTGTCGTGGGAAGTGCCGTACCAGACAAGGCGATTCCGACCCGCCCCGGACAAGGCCGACTTCCAGATCCTTCCGTCGGGTCATGGCGGGGACACATGAATGCCATACAGGAAGTGGTGAGAAGAAATCTCTCATCAGCATTGATACTAGAAGACGACGCGGACTGGGATGTCAGGATAAGGGACCAGCTTCGATCCTTTGCACTAGCAACACAAGCGTTGACCCAACCTCTTCACCGTTCTGAAGCAGCGTTTGCCGACCCGACGTTTCCCAGGCCGCCTGCGGGATCGGAATCGATGACCCCCGAGCTCGCCTTTGGTCGTCTCCCTAAGACAGTTGCCCCAAGAATATCACCATTTGGTGACAATTGGGACGCATTTTGGTTGGGCCACTGCGGAATGCACTTCCCATTTGAAGATAACACAGTTATCCCGAGAGGGCGTGTGGTACAAGCAGATGACACAGTGCCCCAGCAGCAGCATCTATGGACCTTGTCAAACCCGAACGATGTGAAAGAGCAGTACAGCAATCATACTCGAGTCGTGCATCATGTTCAGGATGGAATCTGCTCTCTTGGCTATGCCGTGTCCCAAAAGGGAGCTCGGCAGATGTTGCATCAGGTTGGACTCAAAAACTTCAACGCGGCGTTCGATATTCTTCTACGATGGTTCTGCGAAGGGGTAGAAGACAGGAAGTATCACAATTGCCTTACATTACAACCGGCATTATTCCAACACCACCGGTTCGCCGGTCCAAAGAGCGCCAACAGTGACATCTCGGATCATGGCGAAGGGTTCCAGGAAGCATCGACGGATGTAGTACGATGGAGTGTGAGGATGAACGCTGAAGCCATGATGGCCGGAGAACCTTTTGTAGATCAGTTTCCAGATGCTTTGTAGAATTTATTTAGCGCAACAGCCAAGGACGTAAGCGTGAGCTATACGGTGCCCACTCGTAGCGGCATCCCCCACATGCAGGTCCGGTCCGCAAGTTGCTTTCCGGACCTGCACTAGTTTCAACCCCATATGACATGTCTTACAACTGCGTGTTTCTTGCTGTCATTGCTTCCACACGACGCTCGTCTTCTTTACCAACTTAATTGACACGTGGAGCTTGCATACAGACGCACGCCGAGAAATCATCAACGACGATGGCCAATACAGGTGGCAAGTATTTCATTCAAGATGAGCTGGACACGGTTGCCCCTCATCACGCGAGTTTCAAAACGCTGTGGGAGACAAAGTGGAAACAGCCAGTAGGTCCAGATTGGAGGTTTGACGGCTTCATCAACTGATGGTAGTGTAGTGTGCTATGGGTGTGTACCCTTTCATGTTTGGGGCAATCCAGGATTTTGAGCCCGTAGCCGCGGACATTATCAAGGTCAGCAGAACTCTTTGCAAATGCATGATGTTTCAGCGCCACTTATTCAGCGCAGAAAGGTCTCAAAGAGCCGTACGACTGGGACGAATACGCGAAGTGCTTTTTTCCCAAGGCAGAGGAACTCGTCAAGCAAGCGGTAGCTGCAGAGAATGACGGCCAGCGAGAGAAAGCGTCAGAGCTATATCTGTTGGTCACAACTTGTGCCTGCATTAGCGCCTTTGTACTAATGTAGGTAGTCGAGGGTCTACCCTATATCGCATAGCTCGCTTTCCTGCACCTCGATCTGAGCAGCAACGGCATGCATGGAGTGCAGGGAAGGAAGCTTCTCGCAAAGGACTAGAGTATATCATCATATGCTCCATTCAATACTATGTATGTGATGGCTAATGCACGTACAGGCTGCATGAGTTTCCCATGATTCAGGTAGATATTCCTCACACGAACCGCATTGAAGGCGAGGGCCAAGTTCTTCCCGGGTTTTACCATCTCCCGGCAGAGGCTTCAAATTCCCACAGGGTGCCACTAGTGATCATCTTCACTGGTCTCGATGGGTATAGGACAGAACTTGCGGTATGGAAGGAGGGATGGCGCCAGGTTGGTTGCGCTACTCTGATCGTCGAGATTCCTGGGACTGGCGACAATCCGGGAGCACCTTCTGATCCTACAAGCCCTGATCGAGTTTGGGATAGCATGTTTGAGTGGATTGCCAAGCAGGATGCGATTGACCAGGCTCAGATTGTAAACTGGGGTTTCAGCACTGGTGGATATTACAGCATCAGGTTGGCTCACACCCATGCGAAGAAGCTAAAGGGTGTTGTGGCTCACGGGGGTGGCTGTCATTACATGTTCAGTCCTGAATGGCTTGAGCATGCTGATACCCGTGAATACCCATTCGAGTGAGTATATGGATGCATGAGGCTTTTTTACGGATTTTCTAAGCTAAATGCATTACAGCCTGGCCCACACTCTATGCCATAAGTTTGGCTACGGGACGGACTTCGAACGCTTCAAGAAGGAAGCGATCAATCGGTACTCTTTACTTTACGATGGGACCTTGGATAAATCTTGCACAAAGCTGCTACTAGTGAATGGGATGAACGATGGTATATTCCCAATTGACGACTATTATCTATGCCTTCAGCATGGCGGGCCTAAAGAAGCTCGGTGAGTTCCCTTGCTTGTTCTGTTAGCGATTAACTACTCAACAAACATGCAGCTTTGTCCCCAACGAGGAACATATGGGCGAACCCCAGTCGTTCTTCATCATTTTGAACTGGCTTGCAAAACTCTTGGATTTCAAGATAGACACCGGGCGTTTCATGTCAACAATACCCAGCAAACCGAAATTCTAGGCTCACAACCTTAGCTTGAGCAGAATTGGGTTACTTAGCACGCTTGTACAATATGGAGCATGTCAAAAATGCTCGTCGATCCCAACGGTGAAATGAAAGAGTTGCCAATATCTACAAACAGGCGTGATAGCTACCAGGAGTCCTCGCCTTTCTAGCTGTTGGTGACTTTGGCTGCAGAGTGCAGATGACAGTCGGTGACCACCAAGATAAAGACTCAAGTAACGGGAAGAATAATCTAGATCGATTTCTTGAATCACAGTTGTTTCTACCAATAAAGACGTGTTTTGGTACAGATACTACAGGTCTCAAATGTCATGTAACGCCGGACAGCCGAGCCGACCCCGAACTATCTCCCTGTTTACAAATACCGCTGACGCCAGCGGCGATGAGCTTTGGTGCCCAAACGCGAACAAGACTCATCAAATAAAGCCTCAGTGGCCATCGCTACTTAAAGCTATTAGAGCTGACTTCCATTGCGTGCTTGTACACATGATGACGAGCTGGCCTATCTATCGGTGACCCCTCATTTCAGCCAAATGCACAGACCAGGATTACCACATTCAGCTTCATGATGATGCTAACGCACGGGGCTAACCCTCTCAGTTTGTGATCTACTGCCCTAGTGGGAGTGACATGCACTTCTCGTCGATCTGGGTCTATAAATTGAGGCGTCGCTGCTACTCTCCTCAAGTTCAGCTGAAGGGGAACCTGAAGCATTAAACCTACCAGGCGTAGCCAAAGCCTCATCGCAAATAAACCCATGTCTGCAATCCAGAAGAATCTGGTGGAGAAGAATGAGGAGTATGCGTCAAAGTTCACGAAAGGACATTTAGCACTTCCCCCTGCAAAGGCATACCTCGTCTGTGGGTTACAACGGTTATTAACTGAGAAAAGTAATTGAACTGACCCCTCCTAGTAACATGCATGGACGCGCGCATTGATCCTGCCGCAGCATTCGGCATCGACCTCGGCGACGCGCATGTTATCCGCAACGCCGGTGCCAGCGCCAAGGACGCGCAGCGTTCCATCATCATATCAGAGCAGCTCCTCGGCACAAAGGAGATCCTACTTGTCAAGCATACCGGGTGTGGCATGCTGACGTTCTCCAACGAGGACGCTCATGGGCTCGTCAAGAAGAACCTCGGCGCTTCTGCCGCTGCCGAGATCGGGACTCTCAACTTCTTGCCCTTTTCGGACCTGGAACAGGCTGTGAGGGACGACGTCGAGTTCATCAAGAAGACTGAGACTATTCCGAAGGATGTGACTGTCAGCGGCTGGGTCTATGAAGTAGAGACTGGAAAGGTTAAGCAGATTGTGTAATTGGCACAACTTTGTTTTCCGGGTTGGTCAGGAGAAGTAATATCGTAACCAAATCTGCTTTTGTCGTGAATCGCGTTGGTAATTAACAGGCTACATCTGTGATTTGCACTAGTATGTCAATATGCATTAGAAACATAGCTAGGCAACGTGTGCCAACAAGTACACATGTTTAATGCGGTCTAGGTTGGACACTGGGCCTTCCGGCTCGGGCGGCTCTACCAAATATATTCCCCCGGCGGGAGGCTTGTATTTCGGCAACGCCACGACGCTGACCTTGAATCAGTCAAGGCCCATGTATTTGGCTGAGGCGCATGGGGCAATTACCTTGTGATCTGGCCGCCCTTACTATCCGAAGGATCGATTCAAGGCTGACTCAAGCGGCAAACGGTAGATGCAACATTGCTTTGCCGTTGAAGTCCTTTCTTCGCAAAATTGACCTCGAACCGGGTACCCTGGATCACAAAGTCGTGTAACAGCATATCTGCAACCTGGTTGCCGGCCTCTGTAATGGCCATTTTCCGGGGGTGGCGTTACCTGTCATATCTTGGCGTTTGGCATAATTGGTGGCATTTAATGCACTCGGGCAGGATAAAGCTGCTATGCTTGATGGAGCATGCTCCGCAAAATGCCAAGGGCTTACTGAACGAGAACACAGTGGGCACAATATGTGGAACATACCGAAGTGTCTGATAATTCCACTGCACGACTCTATTTTGGGAATTTAGGATTGTAAGCCCGAGCCAAGCTATAAATGAGGGTCACTTCAATAATGATGGACGCCGGGTCCAGTCAAACTCTCTTCCAAAGGCTGTGCAATGACGGTACACTCAATCATGGTTTCTCGTCAAGGAAGATTTTTGCCCCCTGCCTAATGTCATTGTTCTTTCTCATTACTGATAATTTGTTGCCATATTGCCGTGTTAGCGAAGGCGTTTGGTCTGTTCCCTGAAACAAATCGCAGCAAGGATTGTTCGAGTCCACGGTCCCTAGATGCATATGCATATAGCTCCAATCAATGAATGCTACTCCATTGCTTTCGAATCATAGGCGGATGAGGGCAAGTGGGAATGAGTGAAGTATTCTCCGACCAGCTGGCATGCCTGGATTTTGGGATGCGTACGCGAATGAGAACAAACCTTCGAAGTCAGGTGTCTATTAATCTGTCGACCCCAGTTCCTAGACATACAATGATTGGCTCATCTGTCAGCAATACATATTTCTTGCTCTGAGGATGTCACTTAGGATGCCTTCCTTCTCTTATCTTCTGTCAGTTCGGCTTTTGCTTCATGGAAATGTGCCACGTGCGGCAACTGGATTCTTATACAAGCCACCCCAATGGATAAGCAACTCGTAACACAATGTGCATAATAGGAGTATGAGACATTCGGATCGTGCTAGTGGTGGAATGATGACCGGAAGATCCCTTCGCTCCAATTGTAGCGGCTCAAACGTTTGGTTGATGAGATATACACAGCTTGTAACTGTATAAATACTCAGTGCCGATCACAATGTTCTTGGGTATCTCATTGAAGCGGACCAAATAGGATAAACCGATTTCTCGTTTCGTCTCTCTTTGATTATCAGTTCGTCAATATGCGCAAGTACGCCATTGTTGGCCTTCTTCCGGCCGTACTGGGCTGCTCAAACCCAGACTCGAACGCTTGTGCCAGCTACATCAGCGCCCATGTAGCCGACTGTGCCACATTCATGAACGCTGTAGTCACTGCCACTGCTGAGCTACCATCTTGGGCCAGCAACTTCGGGAACAAACCTTCACAAATCTCAAAGGAGTGTAGCTGTTATACCACTGGGGGTGGGGGTGGAGGAGCAACGCCAACTGCAACTTCAACAACAATCAAGACCTCCATTACAACGGCGAAGCCGACTAATACAGGTGGGAGCGGATCCACGTAAGTCACACCAATGGCTGGCAGTCGCCATGTATATTCGCTGATCTACATGTGCAGTCCCACAGGCCTCACTACCAAACTTCCTGCTTCCTCCGGGGCCACCTCGACGTCTAAGCCCATCACCGTGAGCGGCAGCTTCGATGGAGGCATGAAGAAATACGACCGGTCTACGAAGGTCTGTCAAGGACAGTCAGAGACAGGCGAAGATGACGCTATCTTCGTTCTCAAGGATGGGGCAACCTTATCAAATGTCATCATCGGTCCAAATCAAGCCGAGGGGGTGCATTGCCAGGGAACTTGGTATTTCATCATCTCTCTTATCTGTTTGCCACAATTCCTAGGGCCATAGTCTAACAGTGCGCTTTGCAGCACGATCAACAACGTCTGGTGGCAGGATGTCTGCGAGGATGCTATCACATTCAAGCAGTCAAGCGGCACATCTTACATAAACGGCGGAGGGGCATTTGCCGCGTCAGATAAAATCGTCCAGTTCAAGTAAGTGATCATGTCCTGAGTATGACTAGGAGGTTCTGGGCGCCTGCGATTTGGAGGGATCTCAGAACAGCGAATAGTTCAATTGCGCTGACGACGGCCCCCATAGCGGTTTTGGCACGGTCCAGATCAAGAACTTTTACGCCCAAGACTACGGGAAATTGTCACGATCCTGTGGCAATTGCGACAACAACGGAAATGCTCGGCATATCGTGATTGACAACACCGTTGCACTCAATGGCGGTGTACTTTGTGGCATCAACGGCAACTATGGCGACTCTTGCACCATCACAAACAGTTGCCAGAATAAGGGTAAGAGTTGCGACAATTACAAGGGTAATAACAAGGGCGATGAACCCACCAAGGTCTCATCTGGGAATGACGGCACTCACTGTATTGTCAAGAGCTTGAGTAGCAACTGCTGAGAAAGGGCAGGGAAGACGATTGTGTGATCATTTGCCACATACTGTCGCTGATATTGACGAATTGACAAATTTAGCACTGTTTAACTTGGAGACGCTTTGATTGTGACTGAATGACTTCTTACCCCGTTCCGATTGCTGCCGCTACCAGCAGTGCCCGTGGACGTCAGTTGATGGCAGAATGGGGCCTATACATGATCGCTACATACCTAGATCGTAAATAGTAAAGTAGGCCTAGCTCTGAGTATGGAGTGACATGTGAGCTACGGAACAGTTTTTGAAGGAGATACTATTTGGAATATAATCTACCGGAGGAGGAAAGGTTCACAAGGCGCTGATTACCAATATCCATTCCTGGCATCGTAACGCGGGGCGAACCTTGAAGGGCGCGCGGGCAAAAGGGCGCCGGTCAACAGGGATGCTGCCAGGACGGTGATGAGTAAGCTCGTCCAAGGTTTTCTAACACAAGCCAACGAAATATAAAAGCAACCGATAGATAATCATCCGCTGTCCTTTACGAATTCAACACAGTTCAATAACCGGTCATCATTAAACAACATTGATTTACTAAGTTTTGCGCCACTAGCCTCTTGTCAAAATGTCGACTTACTCGACCGCCACTGTAGAAGCCGACGGCGCAAAGGTCTTCTATCGATATGCCGGCTCTGAGTCTGCGCCTGTCATACTGCTCCTTCATGGCTTTCCGTCGTCGTCTCACCAATTCCGAAACCTTATCCCGCTCCTAGCAAAATCATATCGCGTAATCGCACCTGATTTTCCTGGGTTCGGATTTACCGAAGTCCCCACTGGAAGGAACTACCAGTACAGCTTCGCCAATATCGCCAAGACCGTGGAAGCGTTCGTGGACGCCTTGGAACTCACCAAGTTTGCCATATACATATTTGACTACGGCGCGCCTGTGGGATTGAGGCTCGCTCTCAGCCGGCCGGAGCTTATTGCAGCCATTTTCACCCAGAATGGAAATGCATACGAGGAAGGCCTTGGGGATAGCTGGGCCCCAATTCAAAAGTACTGGGTGACTGGTGCGCAGCCTGATCGAGATGGTATCCGGCCGTTCTTGACACTCGAAGGGACCAAATCACAATACGTCGACGGATCACCACATCCTGCAGCGATTCAGCCCGAGGCCTACTACTTAGACCAGGCACTAATGGATCGGGCTGGAAACAAAGAGATCCAACTGGACCTGTTCTACGATTATAGGAATAATGTGGCCTTATACCCAAAATTCCATGAGTATTTCCGGGCGTCTGGCGTTCCCGTGCTGGCTGTCTGGGGAAAGAATGATGGCTTCTTCATACCACCAGGCGCTGAGGCTTTCGCACGTGATGTGAAAAAGTTCGAGTTGCACTTTTTGGATGCGAGCCACTTCGCTTTGGAGACAAATGAAGATAAGATTGCTAGGTACATCGAAACATTTATTCAGAAGTATGGAATCTTCTGAGTTCATAGCCGTATTTGCTGTCTATGCTTTTTCACGAAACTTTCTTCCCTTTCATCTAGATTCACTTGTTTCGTTCGCGATTAGTATACGCTTTCATAGTGCGCGCGTCCGATCTACGCCGCTATGTTCCTGTTCCAAAGAAACATCTTTACCATTGGTCTGGAGTGCTCTTGAGGTGTCCGTATTCTAGTAGCCAGCTGTTCGAGATGGCTTTAAAACTGAAAGTACTGTTCAAAGTTCGAAAGACCAGCCCCTCACGGTTGCTTCCATTGACACCTCGTCCCTCAGCCTTTCGCAGCAGTTCATCAGTATCTTTTGCGAAATGGTTCAGCTTCTTTCGTGTGATGACCGGAACATGGTCGATATGCAAACTTTTGCAGATTTGGAAGGTCTGTTGAGGATGCAGCCACTTCTGTTTATCGATATCGTAGATTCCGAAAGCAAAGAAACGGTGCTGTCCTTTGTGAAACTGCATACTGTTCCCCATGATCCCGTCTCCACAAAGCTCTCCCTGGATGGCGAAGTTGTTGCCGCCGTTTCGGTGGCTAGCAGCTGCACAAAGAGCACCAATACGCGGCACTTTGGAGATGATGCCCTGTTCCCGAGCGGCTTTCCAGGGGATCGAATTGTCGACCTCCATATAGTCAACCGATCTGCTGCACACGCCGAGGTGAGGTCGTTCGGCACCCTTGGTGTCGGCCCCACGAGGCAAAGCCGCAAACCATTGTGACTGGGGGTCTACATGGTAGACAGTAATCGGAATACCATCTACCTTCTCGGTGACGTGGAAATCTTCATTGCCGTACTGCTCAAACAAGCTGACGACATTCTGTGCACGCTCACAACCAGGCTGAGGGAAGAAAATGGGCGGGTACCCATAGCTCACGCCATCATCCAAGAAGTGCTCCTCGAATTTCTTGATTCCCAGTAAGCCAGCGTAGTCGATGTCCATCATTTTTTTCTCGATCTCTGCTGCATTATGGGGGCCCGGTGCTTTGCACTGCGCTCTCATGTCTTGAATGATCTCTGGAAATGTGTTCAAGGGAAATATGACACCCTGGGAAATGTGTCTTAGATGAAGGCGCGTCCTGACCACAGTCCCACGCTTGCCAAGGTACTCTTGAATGGATCCACTGATGGTGTACTCCCAATAGCGATCGTCGTCTTCGGGCAAGAAGGAATCTATCTCGAAGTAGACTATCAGCTCGCCGATTGTATACAGGCCCTTCTCAACGACCACATTCCACCCATCCACCGTGGCCACTTCGAACCGACTGCGCTTAATTTGCGTCAATTGTGAGATACGGCGGACGGTGACCAGCTTTCGGGGTGGGGGACTTGGCATGATTGCGGATGACGGTGGCAGCGGAGGACCCATCCTGCCTTCCGACTCCATTGTTGGTTAGCGATAACTTTTTGAATTGTTGACACGGTGAGGTGAGGGTTCCGTATGGTGTTGACGCGAAATTGAAGCAGTTCAATTACGCGTGCAAGATAGTGATCCGATGTTTGCATGGTAAGCGAACAAATAACGCGGTTGCTCACATTGATGAATGCAAAGTTTCATCTGTAGTGTTGTTGCTGGGTTGGTGGCTCGACTTTCATGTGGGATTTGTGTACTAAAAGACATGCCTTAGGTACAAAGCACTCATCTTCTGTATTCTGGATTCTTCTTCGTGATTTCAAAATCACATGCAACAGCACGCGCAGTACCTGGCCGTAAACGCCTATACGAGCCCCTAGCAGTAATCCGAGTCGCTTATAAGGGTCGTAAAAATTTTTTGGCCTCCTTAACGACCTTGAATTTCTTAGACCTACCCGGATGTGAAGCATAATGAAAATTAACCAGTCTCAAATCCGTGTCTGTCACATTTTGTGCCAGCAGGCAAGGGAAGGCACCACAAAGCCGACCAAGGCTGAACCACATCTCACACTTGACAAAGTTAACTGCGTGGCAGTCATAGCAGCCTTTCGAAAGACACTTCTCCTGTATTCCCAGAGCATCAGAACTACTCTCACTTCAGCGGAGAAGCTCGAAGCTTCCAGCAACAGAGAAAATGGTCTAGCCATGATGCATCAGCCGCGAGACCATAATAAGTAAGGTCTGCTAAGTGCCACATATCAGCAAAGCCTTAAAGACTCAAAGCTGGAAGCTATTAGGTACTTTTGCACCTCCGAGCATGAAGTACTCATTGAAAAGAACTCTGCCATTAGGCACAGGTCTGAGTAAATGACTAATGAGAGCATGTAATCACCTTTTGTACTTCCAAGTAAGGTCAATCTCTATGTTGGAAGACAATATTACGCTCGCCTCGACCCTTTTTCACCACCCTGTTGAGGTACGGCACGCTCTCTCGTGTAGTGAAGCTTAGTCCTTGCACGCAATCTGGCATCGCTTCCATAGCTCTTGCTACAACATGATACTTTACGACATAGTAAGCCGCCATTTCTATTACCAGACCTACTGTGGCAGAACTGGCAGTGAGCAGATTGACAACTCCATCTGTCGGTTTCATTCGGAGGGGTGCTATGGTCGTGCAGTATTTCACCATCTGATTGAAAAACAAATACGGACCCGTTGATTGTGTAACAACTTCAGCTGATGCTGGAAACGGCTCTACAAGCTCGGCATTTGGTCGTGCTTGTTGTCGATGGGCCAATAGCCCTGGAATAACGGCACCGGTCACGTTTGGCAATCAGCTGCTAAAAAGGAAAGCACACACAGCATGCTGCAATTCTTCTTGGTGCTATATTCTATTTGTTCCTGCCGTTTCGAGCAAACATGAAGGATCGTTCAGATCCTGCTCGTCCAACCTGCCACCGCAAACAAGCGGTCCTGTCGCACAATCTAGTGCATATTGCGCCCCCTCCACTGGAGATATATTGTTGGAATGAGGGAGAAGACTACAATCATCGCCGTAGCAACACCGGCTGTACCAAGCATTCCAGCGGCCTCAATCAGTTGCGGGAACCTGGAGACGAAGTCAGAATATCTATCTGGAACGGGGAATCTGCGCTACCGACTTACCAGAAAGGTCCGATAAAACCCCAGATCTGTCGAACAAAAGTGACGAAAACACCGATGCTAGCGGCATCCTCTCGAAAGCAGTCAACAGAGTAGGTGATGTACACGGTTGTGACGATCTGGTTACCCACTGCCCCGATTGTCGTACCCACCAGTGGGGTGATGTTCCACGAGGTCGTGGCATAGTATGTCTGGACCAGGAACACAATCACACCGGTGATTGACAAGGCCAAACCCAGGTAGCTGAGCCACAACCGATACTCAGGTGGTACCGCGGAACCCGTCTTCTTCTGGCGGCTGTTCATCCACCAGTCCGATGCACGACCACCAAGCTGCTCTCCGATGATGGAACCGAGGATGAAAGACAGGAACTGCAGACCAACCTGCTGCGTATTGAAGCCGTAGCGCTCAGGAAAGATTTGCGGGATCTCGATCGTGGGCATGATGTTGCACCAGAGGAAGACCATGGCATATGCCACGGCGGGCATCAAAACGACGGGTTTGGTGAAGTATATCAAGGGTTGGATAAAGTCTTGCCACTTTATTGGCTCGGGGTTTATGCGGCCGAACCTGAAATACTGAGACGTGAGTCGTTTTCCACTAGGTTTGAAATTGAAGTCGCGTCGGTACAGCGTCTCGGGGCCGAGAAAGAAGTACAGGATAAACTGGGCGGCATTTATCTAGAAAAGATTAGCACTTGAGTGGTCAGGTCATGGAGGCACGGTTTGCTTACAATTGCCAAGATCCAGTAGATCCAGCGGTAGTCAACTCGGAGAGCAACAAAACCGAATATGAAGGGTGCGACGGGAACGCCGAGAGTCACCATGATAGTCCAGGCGCCCATCCAGGTGGCGCGCTCCTTCTTGAAGAACATCTCGGAAACCACGGCACTACCGATGGCGCCGGCTGGACTGATGAAGAAGGCAGTAATCGCCCGACAAAGGCACATGGTGGAGTAGGATGTACTCTTCGCACACCCGACATTTCCGATCAGACTGCAGATCAGAGATATCAGGAAGATGGGACGGCGTCCGTAAATGTTAGAGAGCGGTCGCCATAACAGCGGCGCAACACCTAGGATAGCGATTACCAGTGAGGTCAGGTAACTGGCTTGCTGAACTTCGATATGGAGGTCCTTGGCTATGTCGGTGAACGCCGGCAAGATGGCCGCGGCGGTGAAGGTTCCCATCATGGCGTGGAAAGCCACCAAGACGAGGTTCGTGGTTTTCTATTATTCAGGTTAGCGATAGCAGTGAATGACATGTTCACGACGACGCACCATGCTCCTGGGCCAGTTATATGGATCGGCTGGATCCATACTGGGTACTGGTTCCAGTGTCAGACTCCCATGGCGTCCCATCAAGTATCGCCGATGCTCCTCGCTGATGCCCGCGACGCCATTCTAGACAGTGTGGGTGAGAATTCTGCGACTGGCCAACGCAACAGGATGGATCAAAACTTACAGAAACCGGCTCGGCAGCCCTCTGCTGCTCAGCATCTTCGACAGTGGGTTTCTCGTCCATCCTCGGGTCTGCAGGTGCCATCTCGAACGCCGAGTTCATTGGCTTGTTCGTTGACCGAATTTGTTGTCCACTGGGAGTATGAATGGTTGCGTTCAAGTTTCAACAAGTGTAGGACAATCTGAGTAGAAAACAGGTGAGGTAAACAAATCCGCCAAACAGCCTGCAGGACGTGAACAAGGAAGGAAGGCCCTAGCTGCGTGCTGCTATGGATTGCGGTGATGGCATTAGGGAGCCGGAGCTACAACTCCATCGGCGTTTCTTCCTTTTCATTCATGTCATTGCACCATCTCATTGCGGCGGACTCACCAGAGTCACGGCAGGCTTTGATACGGGCAACGCCAGGGTGATGCACGTGCGGTGCGCTTCTAGCCTGAGTGATGTCCCCGTACTCCGTAGGAAGGGACCCAGAACAATCTCCGCAGAGTCGTGCTCCCGTTATCGCCACTTCTGGCTTTCCAAACCCGGAAAAAGCGTAAGTCACTTAGTGTAGGTGCTAGCAATTTGCCTCGCGTCTCATCCGAATGGCTGGCATTCCGTTCCTTCGATGATAGACTTCCCTCCACCACTCTACTATCTCTTCCAACCCGGGGTAACGTGGTCCCTTAGTGCCTGGCCATCTTCCCGACTCCGGCACCTCGGGTATCGTTTATCTTGTGGCTACGACTTGGCGCAGATCATCCTGGCCGCGTCACAGTGACGGTGGTATTCATGCAGAGGTCTTTCAAGTCATGGAATCTCTGATGGGAAAGCTTCACGGCCGATCTGAGTAAGGAAACGGCTTAGGTCGCCTGTGGGCACCACTATCAATGCCGTACAGCACAGGCTGCAGAAGAGAGCGGGAAGACACATGCCAAACAAGTCTCCGAGAGACAGAGTTCCAAGTTGCATGGTAGAGCCCTCATGCTTGAGGTAGGATTAGTAACGATCTCAAGCAGGGACCCCGTGAGATTGGGCGTTGTCGCACAAAATATTGATATCGATTTGCGCTGTCTGCTACAAGACGACTCTCTGCAGACGCGTTATGCCGCCTCATGCTCGTCGTGGCTTGCGCGCTACAATTGCCGAACAAGCCTTCCGTCGATGATAGTCCGCGGGGCGAGCCGTCTTGGCCTCTGGAGAGGTTCTTTCTAGCGCACTTGCGCTGCTGTTGATCATATCAACCTGGCCAGCTTGCATGTCTATGGCCCGGAAATAACAGAATCCCCAAGGTTCCATACCAACCTAAGGCAACTTCAAGCCGATACGGCCTGTCTCCCTTGTCAGTTGTTTCACTCCGTATGTCCAGGTTGTGGTTCGGAGTTGCGATTCCCAGGCTTTACTTGGACAGGTTGTGGAAGCTTATATCCCCGCATTGGCGTTTGCTCACTCTCTCGCTCGAATACATTCACGAGTCAGAATACAGCCAAGCACGCTTGAAAGGGCGATCGCTTCTTCACAATTTGCAAATCTCCAGTCACTGGAAACCCCCTTCTCCTCGCAATCTCGACAAGAAAACTCCCGATTCCGCGAACCGAAGAGGGCGACGATTGCTAACTCTAGTTGTGGAACTAATTTGGTAACCCCGCAATCGTGGAGAAGCTGGAGAATCGTAGGCGGTTTTGGGGAATTTCTTTAGGCCAGGATTCGTAAGGTTTGGCCAGGAAATCCCCTGTGGAGATTCCGCTCCATGGGCCTACCCAGCGCTAAGTTCGCTGTTGCTGGCATGGCAGACTCAAACATTCTTTGGCAGCACACATGGGGGAAAAAAAGCCAAGAACGGTCACTCGAATACCAAGTTGAGGTGGGCTTAATGACAGCGCTAGACGAAGTCCACAACGCGGAACGGTTCCAGCACCACAGCTCATGTTCCTGACGCCCAGTAGTCAGTGCCCATTATACCGCAGGCCCTCTCCCGATCCACGTCCTGTAGCTCCGAAACGGACCTTTCCTCGCGTCGACATTCTTGTACTGTCTTATGGGGCTCAGCTCCAGCTGGTTAGTACAGAAATATAGCCAGCCGTCCAGTACAGCCGCTGAATCGGCATGCTGAATGAGCCCGCTTCTCACCAATGTTTTCACGAAATAGTTCTCCGTGGGAACAGGGCCCGTTCCACCAGGCGGCGTTCCGTTGATCTCTTCGGAGACCTCACTCTGCTGGGTGTCGACGTAGTAGATCGCATTCTGTTCGCTGGCAAGCATATAGACTCGTCCGCGATCATCAGCTGAGAACCCCGCCTGCTCCGAGCCAAGCTCTCCGGGATCCTGGACCGCAGATAGCATCCCTTCGTCGGACAATGAGCTGTTAATCAACGTCTCCTGGGATATAAAATAGTATCGGCGAGACGCCAGAACGCCCCAATACAGGTTCCCAGAAGCCAGTGCGATACCATCGGCGCCCGTTGTCGCGTACGACTTTTTGGTGCCATTCCAGGCATATAATGGCTCACCGTTATATGAACCAACAAATTTGGGATCGGCCTTCGTCACTGTTGTGTTGTGCAGTCTCCTCGTAACCGCCCCGTCATCCAGATTGATGGCAAGCAGCGAACCTGAGGCCGACGCATCCGTGATAAACGCATATCCGCCCGCCCCTAGCGTGTTATTGATTCTCAGGTCGTTAGCGTTCATGTTGTCGAAGAAGAAGTCATCGGGGATCACATAGTTCCGAATCGACAGCCCCGCCTGACTGAAAGCGACAACCTTGGCGCCCCGGGACACTGCCGTCTTGGCTCCTGGCGGAATCCCCGAGTCAAGGACCCACAGCTGGCCGAGTGCATCGAGCACCACGTTCTGCACATTGATGAAGCACTCCGCAGGGTCTTGGCCTACGGTGCAGTTCTGAATCGCGGCGTTGGGCCAGGGCTCCTCGGATGCGAAACCAGTCGCCTTGGCCACATTCACCGGCGTTGCTCCGAAATTCCGCGGATAGGTGAGGTAGATGTTCAGATCACGGTCCACCGCGAACCCAGTCGGCGCATTCTTACTTTCGTGAATGGCTTCCAGCTCAGGTCCAATGAGGGTGAAATCGGTTGGACATACTCCGATCGTCGCGTTGGGGTTCTGAGGCAGCCCCTGTGGGCATGTGGAGGGAAAGCCCTGTGCAGCTGCACCTGCGATGAATACAAGGATAGTGATCCGATTCATGATGTGATATAGTGTTACGAGAGGGGGTCTCATCATGCATGGGATAAGCGCTGATTTCAATGAGTGACCGTTGATTGAAGCCATGTTGCTGTACATATTGACTGTCATCGTGATGACGTCTATGCGCGGCAGAATACACGATCATGGTTCCCCGCATAGCATGCAATGCTGCTGGCACATCGCAACATGACGCCCTATATGTAGGTATCAATTCGGGATGCATCATGTATGGTGCTTAACCATGGTATACTACCGCATTCATGCGCAGTTCTCCTTTCCACGTGTCGTGAGTTGCTGCAAAATAATGCATGCATAAAGACAGTTTGTGTTGGGTATTGTGCTACCACCCCCGTAAAGGAGCTTCTTGGCAGCAGACGTGTAAGCCTCATGCAAACTGACATGAAGCACTCGACTATTGACGATAGTCTTGTGCCTCGTGATGTAGTCCTGGTTATTTTTGCGCAACGACGCCGTGATTATGCTGACAAAATCTACCCGCATTCACCCGATCTGAGTCATCAGGATCCATCGGTGTACGCAACTAGTTTAGTACCCACACAGGACGGACCGGTAATGTTTGCTTGAGGAAACTGTTGATAATGAGCGTTCAGCCATCAGTCTTCAATAATACTTGACATTTGCGTTACAGAGTCGTATGCGTTATCTCTTGGCTATGTCTTTACCCACTTTGAAATGGAGTGCCGCTGCCATCGCCACAGTTGGAGCAGCGGTCCTCTTCCACGAAGCATCAAAGCACTTCCATCCAGCTAGATTCGAACCCCGTGCCAGACCTGGGCACAAGCAGTCATTCGCTCGCATACTGCCGAGCCTCAGCCTGGATGGTGCTCTGCAGGAAACTTATAGCACTTCAATCCCAATGCGGACCTTGAAAAGCGGTATCACAGACGACGAGATCCTAGCTAGGTTCAGCCGGGGGTTCTTCAGCGGGCCGGCGTTTACTCCGGAGAGGTGGCTGCTTTATGGGCCCCGTTTGTCACTGCTAAGTGCAACAGGTAGGTGACGTGTGACGTGCGAAGCAGGATTCTTGTGAAATAAAGTCGTATGCTGACCAACTAAACTGACAGAAATCGAAGTGGCTCTGAATGGTTCCGCCGCATCACCGGAGTCAGGCTTTGCTATACAACCTAGTTCCTGGGACTTGTCTTTGATGCCAACCACGTCGACACCGCCGGTTGGATCCTTATTCTTCGGAACCTTTTTGGTATTGGACTCAAGTTCCAGTCGTACGCAGGGAAAAGCGAGCACGCCGCCTGTCTCTTCCCTGTATTCCCCGCCATCGCATCCGTTCATCGAATGGGCGTTCCGAGGGGACAGCGTTCGTGTGGCAGCCTCCCATCGATTTGAAGTTACTCGTTCCACAGCAGAGACTCCATCTGGCGAAGAGGAGGAAATGGCAGTCATCATGTGCTCTCATGTCAGCTGCGATCCTAGGACTGGCAGGCCAATCCTAGGAGGTTGGATCACCTGGTTCCACGTCCTCTACGCGAGACTACTGTTCTCCGATGGTATTCGGGGAGTACTACAGGAATAATCCCGCCAGGGGCAATGGTATACTGTCAAATTTTACTATGTGATCCCGTTGATGCTGGACGGCTTCGATGAGGCGTCGGTTTCGATTGTGTCCTTGATGTAAGATGTATGTACAACATAGAATATATAGAAACCTTGCTGCTCAGATAATTCCATCTATAGAGGATGGGCCACCGTGAATCAAGTTCAGGTAATATTATTCAGAACAAGCACCGAACTTCCTGATCACCCAAGCGCCATGATTTCAGCCGTCCCGCGACTGTTGTTTGTTTCTGCAATGGCCCATGAAATACAACTATGCCACTCATGTGGTAGCGCTTGACGGACAGCGTCTACAACAGCCTTGGCCCATCCTTGTATCCAAATACTCCCTCGATAGCTATGCAAAATCACCGCATAGTTGGCCAGAATGGCAAGCGCCAAGGCTTCTCCCTGGCGGGCTCGCGGCCAGAACCCGGCCGGGCTCATGACTGCAAACGTTGCAACTGTCTTGAGAGAATGCCCATATGAGATTGCAATCGCGTGATTGAGTCTCAGGGCATCAAGGGCCGAGACATACATTCCCTTCAGTACCTGTGAGTCGATTGAAGCAGTGTGCTCTAAAAGTTTACACAGCATATCTTCTACCTCCTCTGGTAGTTGCTGGGGAACATCGGGTTTAGCCAAGATTAGCTCCACCCATCGGCTAGTCCTTCTCTCTTCCATACTTGAGGCGACCAGTGCCCTACACCCGTGAATGAGAAACATGATGTCAATGAATGTAGAAATCAGATTCGTGTCGAGGCGATACAGGAAATGGATGCCGAAGGCATAGAGGGTAACGCAGTAGGAAAAGGTGAGCGCCGAGTCGTAGTCTCCAAGCGCAGGATTGGCAAGGTATGGCTGGAAGAGGGTAATCCCGAGTCCATGGTGGCGGCTGGCGATCACCATCTGATCTCTCGGAGCAGCGCTCTTCAGGGCCATATGTAGTGCACTGATGCTCAAGATGCAGTGCAATAGGTAGTCGTTCTCGAAAGCCAAGCCGGTGATCCATTCCGTCCAGAGCGAAGGTGTCTGAGGCGTGAACATGCTAGATATAGACCCCGAAACGTGGAGGCAGTAGTGGTTCATCAGTCTCAGCTGCTCCCTCTCGGAATTGCTGAAGAGGGGTCTGTCTATGCGCGACTGCATTGCATGGCCCAGCTCAAGGTTCGTACGTAGTCCCATTTGCTGTTCGTCGGCCCGGCTGCGCACAGCCATGGCCGTTGAAATCTCCTCAGCCTGGACCGACTTACTCAAGGCCGGGCCAGTGATGGTGGTGACTGGTTTTCCAGGTGCTTCTGTACCGCCAGGGACAAATGTCCACTGGTCCATCTGCTCAGCAAGGGAGCATGCCGCCCCAATCCTCTGGCAACGCCCGCATTTCGGCTTCTTCTCATCACACTGCGGTAATCTTTAGTATATACCCAGAAGCACGGTGGAAAGGATGTATCCTAAAGCGTACTTTTGTCCGATTCTTCTTGCACTGGATGCAGCCCTGGCGGCTTTTCGTATGGAACCGCCTCTGTGCCATGTGGCATGTGGGGCTATATACCTCGGGGCGTCAACAGTCAGCTTCGGCCTGTGGCGCGCCGGCATGCCGGCAGAGGTAGTACCACAGAGACTATAGGTATTTCAATGCCACGCTGCCCGGCAAGTGGCACTCTAGGAAGTTGCTTCGGGGAAGCGGTGATAAGACGACGGATCCGAGTCCCAAACGCCCCAGAGAGTGATGACTTCAGTAGTGTCCGCAGCTCCCCCACTAATCCCGAAGGAGCCGTCTGTACGATATACGATCTGCCGACGATGGTACGTCCAATCACGATTGAGCAAAGAGGACGGGAAGATCCACTTTTGCTTCATGCAATTTCCATCATGCACATTGGTAGTCGTATCACGGTTATCCAGAACTATAAATAAGGGTTGGGCCCATGTAAATATATGTGAACGACGTGAAACTTCATTTTTGATTTTGTCTCTTCAGACTGTCTTTTGCTCTAGACGATGGCACCGCTCGGTGAGGTTCGCAAATCGACGGCTGCCGTGGTGCGCAGCCAACCCATTGTTCTTGTCATATTTGGCTCAACCTCAACGATAGCACGGAATACTCTTCGAACACTGGCAGAGCTCAGTTCGAGAGACGGTAAAGGTTTCCGAGCCTATCTCGTGGGAAGGAATGCCGCAGCCACGGAAAACGTTATATCTGAATGCCGAGATATTTATGCGCAAGGCCAATACAAGTTCATCAAGGCCAGCGATCTCTCCTTAATACAAGACATTGGTTCAGCATGTGAAGAGATTATCAAGATTGAAGAAGAGACCCAGGATCCGCGAATCGACTACCTCCTGCTCTGCCAAGGAGGGCCTATCTTCATTCCTCGAAAAGGTAGGGTTACTTGGCATGGACGCATTGGTATCGGTTTACTTACTGTTCTTAACAGACACAACGGAGGGCATCGACGGGACAATGTCCCTCATGTACTATTCTCGTATGAAGGCAGTCATGGAGCTTCTCCCGCTGCTCTTGAAGTCGACCCTACCTGCAACCGTGGTTTCGGTATACGCTGCCGGGTTGGAGGGCAAACTCTACCCCGACGACCTGTCGCTCCGGAATCTGTCGAAATATAGCTACGTGCAGGCGCGATCACACATCGTTTACATGCACACACTATTCATGGAGGCCTTGTCTGAAAAGCATCCAGAGAGTCTCCGTCTGATACACGCCTTCCCGGGGCTTGTAGTGGGGCCTGGCTTTCAGAACCCGGAGATTCCTGCATGGCTGCGAATCCTGACAAATTGGGTTGTACTACCCATCTTCGGGCGGTGGATTACCACACCGCCCGATGAGTGCGGCACCAGGATCCTGTCTCTGGCTTCCAGTCGCTATCCCCCTCGGCCGGTCGACTGGTCTAGAAAGCTGCCAGATGTTGTGCCCGGCACCGATGGAAGGGAGGGTAGTGGCGCGTATGCAATTCGCGCAAACGGAGAGGGGATCGTGAACACAGCTGCTTACAGCAAGTTCAACAAGGATGAAATGAAGATGAAGGTCTGGAAGCACACGTGTGATGCGCTGGAAATCGCGGGATCCGGCAAAGTGTTTACGGAGTGAATGTGGATGTGTGGGCAGCAAAACTACCCAGTGGGGGATATTTGGTGAAGTGAATCGATGCAGTAATGAACAGCAAAGCGCAGGGAAACCGAGAAACTCCTGACATCTCTCGTGGCCAACAGGCTGGTGCTCAGTATTACATTACCGTAGCTTGTCGTAGTCACGGGAAGACGCCCTGGGATGTTAGAACATGTATTGCGAGCGAGGTGTGCGCATGCACAGAGCATGTACTAGGGAAGCATAAACCAGACATAAAACAACCCTTGCTGCTATTTTCGGTCAGCGGCACAATTAAGCGCAGCCAATCAGCGAGCTTCCAATAAGCACTGCATGAGCCATGACGTAAATCGGCACTAAGGCCAGCAGCCCGCCGGCGATCATCTGTCGATTCTTAGCTGGCCAGTCGACGACGGTGAGCTTTTGCTGAAGAGGGGCAAAGGGGTCCTAGCTTGCTGGCAGACCGGGCAGCCTGGCTGGCCTGGGGGCTTGGGGCCCGGGCATTCCAGGGCAGGGCTGTACGAAATCAGCCTCGATCGCCCAGTACGCATTGTCGTCTCCCGGGCGGTCAAGTGACCAAGTTGGGTTGTTGGATTGTCGCCGTGGACAAAGACAGCTCCCAAGTCTTCTTCTTTATCATTCAGCCTTTCGCCGCGAGAGTTCTACGCTAAGACTGCTTACACACTTCTACGTATATCTTGCTGAGGGGTCGACCGACACTAGGACCAAACCTGCCCTTTCAGATCCAACATCAACGTTACAAGAACAGCACTTCAAGCCGACCGAGTTATTCACACGAGCGAAATTCAAGCCTTCGATTCCATCGCGAGACATTGATCATTATGGCGTCCGCAGCTGCTTGTCCCGTCGTTGGTGAGCTTCCTTGACCCAGACATCAATCCATCTTTCCTGCTGGCGGCGGTGAAGTTCACTAACACTCTACAGGCACGACCAACAGCACTCTTCCCCCGTCCCACCCGGGTACGTACGACCGATCAAACACCTGCGAACGGATCGAACAACAACTCGATGCTCCGTTCCCCTTCTGCGACAGCGAAGCGCTGACCGTTGCACTCCAGACATTGACCTCTCGAAGCCGGGACAGACCTGTCCAGTAGTCGGTGCCAAGTCCGACCACCACCACAGTTAGTACTTCTGCGTCATATAGAGGGATCATATCGAGAGATATAGAGAGGGCGAGACATGGAGCCGGGCAAAAGTTGACGTCAAGGACCAGACCTCCACCAGCACCCCTCGGTTCCCCTACCCAAGGACCACCCCGATGCGAGCCATGCGGATGCCCAGAAATGCCCAGTTCTGAGCAAGACCGTCAGCCAGCCCAAGAGCCAGGCTATGGACGATGAGATCTGCCCCGTGGTCGGAACAGCGACGACGGTACTCCCGCCCGATCACCCCAGGTACGACGCAAACTATCGCAAATGGCATGACCACCATCCTAACTTTTCTTGCAGCACCGCAAAGGCGAGCCCGGGTGATGTATGCCCTGTAACCAAAGCTACTGTCGGGCACCATAAGGTAGAGACTATGTCAACCAACTCCACGGGCCTGGTTACTGACACGACCCGTAGGACAAGGTTTCGCAGCACCCGTCGGTTGACGCTGCCGAGGCTGGTGCTGTATGCCCAGTCACGGGCCAGAAGGGTGAGAGGCATTGATTGTACCACTTATGATACACGGGATTCTGGTTCTCTAGCGCGATCGGAAATTACCTCTCCTATGAGACATGTAGCACTATCAAACATCTCATCATCATTTGTATGCTTATGCCTCATACGCCTGTGATGCTCGTGCATTCTAGCGCCAAGTGAATGATCCGGCCAGCGACCCATCTCTCAAATACCCTGAAAAGGCCAACATGCTCAACCAGACAATTGTGCCACAGAACGTTGTAGATCAACAAGTCAATACTGCGGCTCTTCTGCAGCTCTTGCATCAAACGCATCCGCTGTGCATAGAACTCTAGCTGCCACATGCAATATGCGGCAATACTGCGCAATGCCAGCACCTAGGCACACGGTCGGCGGTAAAGTCAGACCCGCCATCCTATGCCTGGCATCCCAGGGTTGTTGTCTCAGACCTTTCATCACTCGCGACCGTTGAACATCTAATTCCTGGTTATGCAGCTCGACTCCTTCCACCCCTTGGGTGGCGGTTTCCACCGATCTTTCAGCGTTAAACTGCGAAGGACATTGCACAGTAGATGGGGAGTGGCCCCTCAACTGAGCTGAAGGTGAATGTTGCTGTGCCCAATGCCTGGTTGGGCTTGAAAGCGTTGACACCTCGGTGGCACAAAGCCCTTGTCAAAGTGGAAGGTTCTTGCATGATGTGGAGGTACCATCGATCCCTTCATACCTCAACCGTCTTCAATGCCAAATGAGTCTACGCGTGGCGTACCGCGTATACCGTCATCTTCCTCATCACCTTCTGTGTTGCTCGTGAACGGGTGCCGGCGGATCAGGAAGCTAAGGGATAGCCCGATGCCCATCACGACGCATACTTGAATGAAGACATGCTGCATTGCCCCATGCAACACCTCCACATTGGCGCTTTCTTCCACTAGTGTCAGATTGTGGGCATTCTCGATGGCCTGCGTCATGTTGAAGACACTCAGGGTCGGTAGCTGGTGCTGAGCGAGATCTTCAAAAAAGACCAGTCCGCTGGCGCTGATCCCGATACTTGATCCTAAGGACCTCAGGAATGTGTATGCCTCGGTCGACTGCATTAATATCGACTCGTAGTTCTCCAAAGAGATATCGAACGACGCATGGATCGGGATGAGGGGAGAGTTGAAGTTAGGCCCGAAGCCAGTGCCAGCAACGGCTAGTAACACTGCCACGATAGCCATCGGAGTTTGCTGTAAATTATCAACAGGCAAATTCAGAAGGATTTTGGTGTTAACTTAGGACTTACCGGATTCAGTATCGTCAAAAGAGCACACGCGATGCAAGCGAGGATGAATCCTGACCAAATGATCTCCAAATATCTAGGTAGCCTGATAAGCTTTCAAGTCTCTAAGAACGTCCAATCATGACAATACTTACCGTTTCATGGCAATAATTACAAATCCAGCCGCCGCGCTTATGATCGCGAAGGAAAGAGTCCACGCCAGCATGCTTATTCCACTCTCAGAAGCAGACTGCTGCTTGACAGCTTGGAAGTACAGCGGCAGCCAGTAGTTGAGTCCGGAGAATGCGATCGAATGGAAGAAGGTGGACACGTATGAGCCGACCCTAGTTCTGTGCTTTAGGAAACTGAAGGGGACGACTGGCGAGGAAGCAGACATTTCCACGGGCACGAATGCTCCGAGGGCTCCAGCGCCCGCGAGCAGAGTCGTTAGAACCTCCGGCGAGGTCCACGACTCGTTCTGTATGGCCCACTGAAACCCAAGCGTGACCAACACCTTTCCCACTCCGATGATCATGACACCACATAGGTCAAAAGCTCTGAAAGCTCGACGAAAGCCGGGATCAGTATGAACGCTTGGCAGTAACACCCAGATGGTAATGGCGCATATGACGCTTATTGGTACGTTCATGAAGAAGCACTGGGGCGAAGTTAGTTACGCGTCGGTGACTCTATGCAGAAATAGGTTTACCCAACGCCAATTCGCCTTCTCTGAAAGGGTACCACCGAGGAAAGGCCCTGTGAACGGTATGTCAGATCAGTATATTCCCATCAACAATAGGGACCAAGAAGGAAATCCTTGAATAATACCTATGGCTGCTACGATGGCCCATGCAGCTGCGATAAGCTCACTGTATTTCCCAACGCCCCTAATACCACTCTCAGCATAACTATAGCAAGGAGAAAGACTGAATATTGGTACTAACCTCACCCGCACCAACTCCATCACAAGAACAAAGCACAAACCACTAACACCGCCGGCTCCAAGGCCCTGGATCGTTCTCGATGCCAGCATCATTTCAATGTTGCCCGATGCACCGCACAAAGCACTTCCCAGCATGAAAACGGACATGGCAACAAGGAGTGCCCATTTTCTCCCAGGAGTCCTAGCCAACTTCCCGAACAGGGGCAACATCATGGCCTGCGCCAGGGCATAGGCGGATCCTATCCATGTGTATCCAATGTCGGATCCATGGACATTGATCTCGGATAAGATCTTGGGGAGCGCAGTTGAGACGATGGTCTGGTTGAGCGTTGGGAGATACAGAGCCAGATACAAACTCGCCATCAGCATCCCACGCCGAACGGTGAATACCTTGGATGAATCGTCCTCGCTATCGGTCTCCTCCGTCAGGTCGGACAAGTCCTGCACATCTTCGGGTGATGAGACGGCGAAGATCCCCAGCCTGGACAGCCCCTCCTTTTTCTCCTCCGCCATCTGGTTCGTAGTTCCCGACTCGCGGCCAGCAGCTTCAGATCCATGGAGAGACCTTGAGATCGCTAGGACATTCCAGTGTTTATGAAAGTAAAACGACTATAGCTGTGCATTATACAGTGAGCAGCAGGTGTTAATAGAGCAATTATAGAGTTGTTTTAGAGTTCGGGGGAAATCTGGGAGCGCGTCTTTTTTTTGGTCCAGGGCCTACCAGAAACCTGCCCCGCGTGATCTGATTGCCCAAGGATTGTGCAGTAGCGTCGGCCGGCACCGGACCCGGGCCCCGTGGGCGGCTCGTCGACTTTCGCAGCGGTCTTGGCGGTTAGCCGACCCGACTATGTGTCCACATTGGGCCTTTTAACGTACGGGCCGGTTATCGATGGACTGGTGCTTGATTTCGTAACGGTTGACTGTCACCCTCTTGTTCTAATTATTTTTTTCTTAAAGTTTAATAAGCGTCGCAGCGTAAGTGTATATCGAAGTGTTATTTAAGTAAGCATTTACATAGCGCTCTTAACAAGCCTGTTAAGCGGTCTACCAGACTATGGTATTTTTAAGGTTCTCGTTGATTCTGCTGATTTATCAACCATGTATTTCAGCGAGTACACTTAATGTAAATACAGAAACAGGGCATCGTAAATGCTATCCGAAGGAAAGCTTGACTTTGTATCTACTCTGCTCATAGTAGTGGGCCGAGGTTGCATCAGACTCAACAGCTGGTCTTTAAAGAACGCCAGTTCAACACCAGTATCACGACGTGCATGTACATCAGAGCGAGTATGGAGCGTGTATAATGTTTAACCATCCAAGGTCAGGGAATTGGTTGGTTTCATGATGAGATATTCCTATGGCGAATGGCTATCAAGGCCTATGGTGATGTCGTAAAAACCGACCAACGAAGTGATATATTGCGTTTCGCTCTAGGCAAGGAAGGGGGCAACAGTTGGAGCAGAATGAAGGCTCTATATTTACTAGCTTCCTACGAACTGGTTTAAGTCTCTATCTAATATTTATTCCATGTTTAATAGTTTTCTGTTTTGTTTTGAACTATGCATTGATTCTGCATGTAATGGAGTCATGAGCCAAATTTTGCCAGCATTGTTCCGGTCTCTTCGGGCGCTGGACCTGGCCGGCCCTCCGGCTCCGTTCGAGCAGTCATTGGAGTATGAGGAGCTATTTCTAGCTCTCCCGGAATATCATGCTCGGTAACTTCACTGTCCAAATCCTGGGTCGAACCTATTTGACTGTTGGGGGCCAGATGCTCTGCGTCTGAGGTCGGGGATGTATTGTCAACCTTGGTTTCAAAATCCAGGGCTACATGGTGCGACAATATTGGATGCTCTAAGTCAGTAATGTCCAGGTTTGCCAGGAAAATTTCAGGTTCGACGGTCGGGACCGTGTCCGTACAGCGTGACCATGTCTTTATCCCATTCTCTTCGTGTGCCATCCGGTGCAACTGCAGACTGGCATCGCTCACCCATTCTAGCTGCGCGTACTGCTGATACTTGAATCGCCTGTGAAGCAGCATCAGGACGGGTTCCAGTCCGTACGAAATGGCCACGATGAGGCTCCCAGTGATGAAAACGAAGCACAGACCGAACAAGCTGAAAGAAGTATGTACCCTACTTCGTATTGTCTGGAAGACTTGTCAGGGTTTATGAACAGACAGACTTCATTGGCTTTTCGTACTACTATGAGTTTGGGATAAAGAGGGAAAAGAAGAGATCCAGAATCTTACCTGGCTCTCGCACATATTTGTCTCATATTCATTGATGGGCGGCCAGTGCATTGGATCAAACACCGTATCGGAGGGACCCAGTGCGGTATTGACGAATGAAGCTTGGATAAGGGCCAGAGTCGTGCTCCACCAGTTGATGACATCCAACTGCCACTGGTTGGCCGGCAGCTGCCACTGTATACCAGTGAAGAGGCGCGTCTGGGAAAGTAGGGACTTTGGCCCTAGATATGTTATGACCCCATTGAGGACCGCGACACTTTCACGGAGAATCAGTCCCGGCCAGATGAGGGTAGTCCCAAGCGAAGTGTTGGATACTGGCCTATCTGCGTACATGAAACCAGGGTCAAGTCCAAAGAGGTGTGCGGCGCCAGTTAGAGCATCGTCCTTACTGGCTAACGGGCCACAGGTGGTGCTAGTGTCTGAGTCGGATCCGGGGATGCCTTTGCACCACTGCCACTGTTCCACGCACCCAAGAGGAGATGCTGCTTCTTCGGGGATGAACGAAGGCCGCTCCCCAGCGACCTCGTAGCTCGCTAAGGTCCCGAACCTTCGTGTCGCACGATACCATTCATCATCCATTACTTGGCCGAAGAGAACACTGTTGCCCGAAAGGAAGACAATCGTCAGGTCTCCATCAGTGCGTTGCAGGCTTTGAATTGGGGCGAATTGTGCGTGCGGTTTAGGGACGCCTTGAACTGTGTATGACGACAGCGCACTGTGCATCCACGAGGCTGTGATTAGCCACGTCTTCGGCGGATTTCGTTGAGCACTCGGAAGTGTTTCGAGTGGAGTCTTTGTGCTTGGACATAAACTTACTTGACTTTGAAATTTGCGCCTGCAAGTTTAAAAGACGATTGCAAATGTGAATACTGCGTTTCAATATCCTCCGCTTCGTAAACGAAATCGTAGTGCGTCATGTTCTCTAGTGACCCTCCCAACAAGGTCCCATACTGATACCTCACATACCTAGCGCCGTCTCGCGCGATATGAACTGTATAGTTCTGTGTTTGAATTGGTGCGCAGTGAAGCATATACCTTAGTGCAAATCTTTGGTCAATCGGAGTGTTAAGGCCCAGGTGGAAATTGCTGTCAATGTAGCCAGTGTCGAGTTTAAGGTTGGCGTTTTGACTTCGACAAGTTCCATCTTTGAAAGGACAGCTGGCGCTGATGTTGACCATTTGTGTCTCTAGGCGCGGTGATCGAAATTTTCCACACTCCAATGTTCCCGAACTGCTAGTGTTATAACATTGCTGGGCGTAATTGACGGCATTGTTCAGCTTCTCAGCGGACAATGCCGTGCCATACCCCATCTGATCTACGTCATCACCTGGGAGTGTCACTCCGCATCGTGAGGGTATGAGAAGAACTTCGTCGCCGATGGCTGACGAGATGGAGGACGAGAAGCCACCAGCGACTGTGAAGGCCAATAAAGAGAGTAGGGAAAGCAGTGCTAGCGGGAGTAGTGCAGCCCGACGCTTCAGCGATGTTTTGCGCCACGCGTGGAGAAGGCGTACGAGAGCCATGAACCCAGACTCGGGAGAGGAGGAGTTGCGTAAGATCACCTGTCGCTGGTGATGAATAACATCACGTTGCTGAGCGGTCGAATAGATTCGATGGGAGATGAAACAGAGAATCCTCCAGAAACGAGAGCCGACAAACGAGATGAAGAATGCGGTGAATGCAATGACTAGATTGCCAGAGCTTCTGGTCACGGTCAGGGTTGCACCTAAGACTTGGCCCCGAGACCAATTGGTCCAGACACCCAGATAGACATTGGCATCCATTACGTGTCAAGCTTCTGCTCCGCAATTTTCATGAATCAAAGCTTTGTTTCTTACTGAAGAGTTTTCATAGAATGTAAGGCGATATTTATTGTATTGACTGTTACGCAGCCTGTTGGACTCCTTACGTTTGCCTGAAGTCCTATGGAAGGTCAGAAAGGAAGTCCTAGAGCTGATCTTGGTTACACAGCGTTAATTGGCGTTTGCACACCGAGGAGAAGTCTCGCTGATTGGCTGTTGACAGGGTAGATGGTCAATTACACCCTCGGTGGCGACTCAGCTGCTGCGCAGATAAATATATCTCATATATCTAGCACCCTTATTAGGGCTGGATTTGGCCTCCACTCCGTTGCAATATACTCGAATTGGAGAACAGAAGCACACGAAGAACAATTGGCTGGCTTTATTTAGTAAGTATATTGGGGTCCGGAAGTCAACCTCGCCACATTATCATGCGAAGAGGAATTCGATGGATCATAACCTTGATCTATATACCGCATCCGAACTTCCGGCTCATCCTTATCGCGGGTGCACGGATGCGCTAGAGGCCGTTAAGATGATGTATGGTAAATAGGAGGTTTGGATGTTTATTAAAAACCGGAGAGCCTTATCACTGCGAGAGAGAGAGCGGGTTGCCGTATGCGTGCACCAACGCCGCTCTTAATTGGTGGTAGCTTTGAGGTCAGATGCAAGCCAGCGTGTGGGGGCATCAGGTGCCTGTATGTCGGATCCGGGCTATTTGAATTAATCGAGAACAACTCCCCCTCCCTCGCGCGACCCCCCTATATTCCACATCCAATAAGGTCTGCAGGGCCTGCTAGACTGGATATGCGCTACAAAGCGTGGCATTCTCCCGCAGGAAGCCCAACTGTCCCAAGTCAGGACAGGCGGCATATAGTTGAAGTCTTGGGCTAGTACCTGGCCCTTCATGATGATTCAACGAACGTTAAGTTGTGAGCGTTTTCGATTATCCTGGTGACCGACTCTATGCGTCGGCATATTCTTCCAAGAATTGAATCGTAGTTTGTGACAACGACGTGCTTAATCGGAATAATGTAATTAATCTATAATTAAAATATTTTAATTCTATACGTGTAGTACAGTTGTGTCATTGCTTTTCACAAAACCGTTAGATGCAAATAGTAAGCTGAAACACACAATATGACTGCGGAATGGGCGATGCACAATACCATGCAAGCTACATCAAGTACTCCACGCTTTCCTGCACTGGCAAAATCTCGGGCCTCCTTTTCCGCGCCTAGTAGGATAGAGATCGAATCTCTATCCCTGGCCTCGGTATGCTTCCACTTTCGTCTTCGTGATGTCATTACCACTTTGGTCGACAGTCCATCAATCGAACAGATGCAACAGTTCAGCGGTAGATAAACAAATAATATTGGCAACATCTTTCTAGGTCAAATGCCCGACATCTCGCGCCATTATGCTCTCCCTTTGCAGGCTAAGGCATGATAATATTAACAAGCCCGAGTACGAGTCTGTTTTAAAGATCTGGTGGAACTTTTCTCCCCGCTGCAGCGCTATTGCCATGCGTTGATGTTAGTTCATGTTCGCGTCCACCTACTGCGCCACACGTAAAGACCGAGGCATTTGCCAGTTTCAGCTGAGCAACGGCATTTGCTGGGCGTTACCCCACGCCTCCGATCGTGCTCCCCGCGGATTTGGGGCGAGATATGCAGGAAGTTCTCCTCATGGGTGCTAAACATTCGCCTAGACTTCTCCATTTCCCCGCATTCGTTCCATGCCAAGGAGAGCCATGAACCCCAGATCGTGTTGGCGCATATAAAGGCAACCGGCACGTAGTCAAAGGACTGATCCCATGAGTCATGTCTCTGTCCCCTTGTTCTGGTTGACGCTCACATAGAAGTCATTTATTTTCCACCATATTGCCAACTGGTAATTTTGCGCCTGTAACATCGAGAACCATGGGCGACATCAAAGAAACCCCCGAGTTCGATATTCCGAAGGAGTGTATTGCTGGGGTCGTGGTTAACGAAGGACCTGACTTTCATATTGAAGTAAGGAACGTACCCGTGCCGGACATTGGTAAGCATTTCTAGCCCAGTCTCGATGGTCTATATACCAACCAGAACTGTGTATCACCAGGCCCAGAAGATGTTCTTATAAAACTGAACGCGACTGGGCTATGCATGTCCGATGTCCACTTCATGCTCAATGACTGGAACACCCCGTTGATGTCGAGCTTTGGGACCCAGTGCGCTGGGCATGAAGGAGCCGGAGTAATCGTGAAGGTCGGCGAACGAGTCAAGAACCTGAAGGTTGGCCAGCGGGCGGGGTACAAGCCCATTCAAGACATTTGCCATACATGCTCGGAGTGCCAAGATGGCAGAGAGACATACTGTTTGAATGCAGTTCTCACAGGCCTACACATTGACGGTTAGTCCATCATTGCGCGTCCAACATATGCCGGACCTAATGGATTGTTTAGGGTCTTACAAGCAATACGTAAAATCACCCGAGAGGTATACGGCCATTATCCCAGATGGGGTTGATGATTATGTCGCTGGACCCATCATGTGTTCTGCGTCAACGATATATACTGCGTTGAAGGAGTCTGGCTTACGGCCTGGACAGTGGGCTTGCTTCCCAGGAGGAGGTGGAGGCGTAGGGATTCAAGGCGTCCAACTTGCGGCCGCAATGGGTTTGCGCCCGATTGTTGTGGATACAGGAGACGAAAGACAGAAGTTGGCAAAAGAATTGGGCGCGGAAGAATTTATCGATTTCAAAGAGGTGGAGAATCCACCAGCGAAAGTGATGGAAATTACTGGTGGTGGTGCGCACGGCGCTTTTATTACGGGTAAGGTCATACGTCACACGCTGAATAATGCATTGCTCACAGGAAGTTAGCTATTCAGTCATATCCCATAGCCCTCGACTATCTGGGACTTAGAGCTGGGGGTGTTGTGATGTGGTACGTGTTCTGGGGCTTTGCATTTCGAACTGCTACTAATGGAGGTTGCCGTAGCATCGGATTACCGACGAAGGACAAGTTTCACATGGATATCGACCCGACACGCCTCTGCTTCCGGAACCAGTCCATTAAAGGGACGCTGGTTAGTGGCCTGGCAGATATCGCTGCTACATTGGACTTTGCACAGAGAGGTTCGGTTGAAATTTGCCGCCTTTGAGCGAGCACCGAAGCTAACATCTCTCAGGAAAACTCCACCTCAAACCGACTGTGGTTGGGGTTTCAAAATTCGACGAGTCGATTCAGAAACTCAGGAATGGCCAAGTTGCTGGGTATGTATAGCGGCGCATTGAACCCTCGCTCTCGACTGCTAACATGGAGGTACAGGCGCATCGTTGTGGACTTCAACTTGCCTTGATTGCCGTTCAGCGGTGGGTTAGGCATAGTAACCTATGTTTCTATGGTGTATATTGAGATAACCGATAATCGAAACCGTAATCATGCATTGTGTTTGGCGTCCTTGCTTGCACACGAATGAGGCGGACTTCGCGTTCAGTAAGCAGAGTGCCGTTTGATAGCGCGTGAATTCGGACGAAAGGATCGCTGTAGCCTATTAGCACCAACACAATCATGAATGGCGCTGAAGAACATTGGTAGACCCTTTCCCTAGATCAAATTCGGATGCTGAGTTAGTGGTCCGTGGATGGTCCGAGTTAGTCCGACTCGTCCGAGCCACTGCCTATATCAACTGTTCCAGCATCCAATCGAGCTTCTCGCAGCACAAAAGACAACTCATTTCAGGCAAACAAGCACAATGGCCGCAATTGGATCTTCTACCCAAAGAAACATCGTTATCCTTGGTGGTTCCTATGGGGGAATCTCGATCGCCCACTACGTCCTCAAACACGTAATTCCCAAGCTCCCCACGCCCGAAACCTACAAAGTCATCCTCGTCAGCAAAGCCTCGGAAGCGCTATGCCGTCCAGCCTGTCCTCGCGCATTGGTTTCTGACAGTTTACTTCCACACGAAAAGATTTTTGCAAACATTCCAAACCAGTTCCTACAGTATCAAAGTATGAATTTTCAGTTCATCAGAGGAACTGTGTCTGATCTAGATCATACCAATCGAATTGTTCGCATTTCCCTGGCCGACAGTGAGCCAGTTGAGACGTTGAACTTTCACGCAGTGGTGATTGCCACCGGTGCATCGACGCATTCCCCCCTTCTTGGCCTTACCGGCAATGAAGGCAAGCTCAAAGCCGACTGGGCTTCGTTCCGGGAAGCTCTAACCTTTGCAAAGAGTATTGTCATTGCCGGCGGAGGCCCAAGTGGTATCGAGGTAGCTGGAGAACTTGGTGAATATTTGAATGGGAGAGCGGGCGTCTTCGATTCCAACCTGAAGGCTCCGAATGTTCCGATCAGTGTTGTTACATCGAGTTCGAAGATACTCCCTCGACTTCGTTCAGGCATTGCGGACAAAGCTGAGAGATACCTCGCCGAGGTCGGTGTGTCGGTGATCAAGGGGACGTCCATTAAGACTGTAGCCCCTGAAACGGCAGGTACTAAGGATGTCACCAAAAAGGCAGTGATAACCCTTGACAATGGAAATGTCCTGGAAGCAGATCTCTATATACCGGCCTTTGGCACAGTACCGAATACAGGGTTCATTGATAGGTCTCTTCTTAGTACAGATGGCCGAGTCAAGACAGAGCCAGGAACGCTACGCGTCGACAAAGCCGGACCTCGCATTTATGCAATAGGAGACGCCTCATCATGGGCAAGGCCAGCTGTGCACAACATCCTGGACGCTGTCCCTGTCCTCGGTGCGAACTTGAGAAGAGACCTGCTGCTTGCCACGGCCCTAAGAGACATCGTCATCGAAGGTGACAAAACATTCAAAGAAGATACAAGAGAGATGCAATTGGTCCCGATTGGAACGAGCAAAGGAGTCGGTGCGGTCATGGGATGGCAGCTGCCGAGTTGGCTGGTCTGGCTCATGAAAGGTCGAGATTATTGGCTGTGGACAACCAGTAGTCTCTGGAACGGTAGGAAATGGTCAACTCCGTAATACTGCGATTAATTGATGCCTGCACTTCAGCCAGTGGAACCACATTAATGTTGATTGATAAAATATTGAAGTAAAGACTTGCCCAAGTGAGTGACACACTGGAAGTCGTACTGTACCTGAAATGGTGAATATGAGGCTCCACTAGGATCCATAAATGTAATGCCATGGTCTGAATAAGTCTCCAACGCTTGAAAGGCTTTTGTCAACTGTACCACCCGATTAGTAGGCCTCATGTGGGTACAATCAGCAATATAACGTGCAGCTAGCATTGCGGAGTGACAAAGATTCTTACCAAGCAGGCCTTATTCAATATTTCCGCACGCGATGTAACCGCCTGGCTCCGCGCGTTGCGGGATTGCTAGCGATGCAAGCGTCGTCAGCGCCAAGTGGGTCAGCGTGGAATCAACACGAATTGGGCCTTGGCAACCGTACAGGCGACTGTGTACTGGCTTGACCAGCAGAGCTTCCCCAAAACCAAAGTCTGAAGATTGAATACAATGCGTCGGATTATGCAATTTAGACTCCAATCCTAGAGTATACGGCAGCCCGTCTCTGTAGAATATATTCACCTTCATCTTAGAATATCGTCAGGTATAGTACTATATCCTGAAGTAAATGACGGATTCTGCTAAGACACTTTTGCCTATGGTAACAATTTTATTTACATTGGCGAAAGTTGCAACTTCGACCTCTGTTATTATTTGTAACCTTACCAATGCTGCGTTTCAAGATACCTTATTATGCCAGTGCTCTGATTGATAATATTCTGACTCAGCTTGGAGCTGCCAAGGCTCTCCACTCGACAGGGTCAAACATTGCTTTGAGTACGTAAGTTGCGACGAATGCACTGGAGTATTATATGCAGGGCTTCCTGGCTTTACTGCAAAATATTACTAGTTCCTCCTGGAGGGGAACGGTGCTGTGGATAGATTAAGGGGCAACCCTAGGCCAGCTCAGCATGCATACCAGGATACTCGCAGCCAAAGTCAAGGGCGAGATTGGCGTTCAACCATCGGTTACACAATCATCAGGATTGTGTATTTAAAGGCCAGAGTCGGACGAGGAATTTGTCCCTTTCATCGTGTATTGATCATTCTTTAAACTTTTACTACCTCCTACGACCAAATCTTCACATTAGTCCGAAATTATGGGTCTTCTCTCGTACACTATCAAGCTCGCAATCGCAGTCTTGCCTATGGTTGATGCTCTTGGTGGTTGCACTTCGAATCAGCGAAAATCATGGTTTGTGGATATAGATCCAGTCTACAGCTGAGCTAACGTAGCAAAGGTCATCTCTCACGGACGACGAGAAATCAGAGTTTATACAGGCAGAACTCTGTCTAATGAACTCGGTGCCGCAGTTATTCACCGAGTGGGCTGAGAACCGATATGATGAGATCATCTATACACACGTTATCCAAGCTTCTGTTATCCACAATGTGGTACGTTGAGTGTATTGGCGACATGGCGTTGATGGTTAATAACAAAGACGACTTATTTTCCAGGGCGCATTCCTTCCCTGGCATCGATTGTATGTGCGTGCACATGAGATACTGCTGCAGAACGAGTGTGGCTACTCTGGCGCTCAACCGTAAGAACCCAAGCCAACATGGCAACGTCTACATGGACTCATCCTGACTGTCAATACCAGGTACTGGGATGAACTCGCCGATGTGGATAACATGACAGCCTCGGTTATATTTGATAATGAGGTTGGATTCGGTGGGGATAGCGACGGATCCTGTATTTCGACAGGTCCATTCGCAAACTATACCTCTCATGTCAACGCCGACGGTGTGGGTATGTCTGACTGTATAACGCGCAATTTCCGTGCCGAAACATTTGAGGATGGCGCATCGCAGGACCAAATTGACACCTGCCTCGACACTGGCAACTACGACGATGCAAACGATTGTTATTCTGGTTCTCTCCACAACGCTGGACATGGCGGTATTGGCGGGAAAATGGGAAATGTAGTAGCAAGTCCGACAGACCCGATTTTCTTCCTTCATCACGCCAACCTTGACCGCTTGTGGTGGAACTGGCAATTGGAAGACCTTGATACTCGTTTGACTGGTATGTGGCATTTCTTTCTTTTGCCTTATGTCAATAGGTTCACATTTCTTAACTGACTTTGGGCTTAGAAATTGGTGGCGACAACTACCCAAATGCACAACTGCTCCAGATCGAGGGCATCGAGTATCCAGGCGCAGAGATCACAGACTATTTCGGAGACGATGGAAACGTCACCACTCTGAATCACAATCTTTGGATGGTTGGTCTTATTTCCAATTACACCATCGGGGATGTCATGGATCTGCAGGGTAACGTAAGCTGTGCCACCTACATACAGTGATAATACCACATTGAGGTGTCGGTAAAGAGGTGGACTTCGAGTACTGAGAAGATATTGGTAGACCAGACATCAGCTTCCCGCCTAGCTATTTAGAAGTATATTTCACGACTTTATCTAATTTTTACCATTTGAAAGCTTCTCAGGGTGTTGCAGTTTAATCGTTTCTGAGGCGGATAATACCGCATGTACTTCTTGAGCCACGAAACAGGTTCGACGAGGTCCACTGATAATGGTTCTTCCATTGATTGATTACTGCAAGCGCCATAGACTGGCTTATGTCAAGGTAGTTGGCCCAGGCGGTTGCGGTTCTTTTAGGTTTCTCTGCATCGTCTCATCACTAATATATTGCATCTGACGGGTGCATTGCCAGTGACATTATGGTCGTTGAATCGTTGGTCAATCTTGTCCAGGGTGATGTCAAGCATCATGCTTGCACCGGTATTTCAGGCAAATCCCTAGTGAATCGTGTTATGACTTTGAAATTATCGCGGAAAGAGGGACAAGGTTCCGTATACAACCACAGCATTAACTCTTGATTATACCTGACCCCACATTATGCCTTTGATAGTCATGAGCGCCGTCTCAACGCCTCATTTCACACTCAAGTGGTTAGATAAATCCCAACGTCAACATTGCTCATTCCGAGACAGAGACTCTTGCAAATCTTACTGCTGCGGAGCATGTCTTCAATAAGGACACGTTCAAGACGATCATGGCCGTGTTTGAGATTGGTAAGTTTCAGATCCCTGTCCTTTCGCTCCGAACATGGTTCGCAAGGAATCATCACAGTTTGCACTATCAAGATGCCACTGCAGATGGCAATACCGGTGATGATTGCCATGCACCAGAAAGAGAACATTCGACCTGCGTTGTCACTGTAGGAAATTGCAGGCAGAGTCAGGAAAGAAGACACACTATATGATGGACCAGCGTTTCGTATGGGCTAGGCGACAGACAGAGTCTGGAAAATGATCAACAAAATCGATGTGAAAAAAAAAAAAAAAAAAAAAAAGGGGGCTCTGTTATGTGATACTGAGTAACAACACGTGCATGTTGATTGACGAGGTTGAATTCATAGTGTAACGTGTCTTATAAGGGATGTGCCCTAAAAGAATTTTGCAATACACCCTCCGTATCAGCAGAAAGCGAACCAGATATAGCAGCTTAAACATAATCTAGTGCCTTTCAGAAGTCAGGAGGCCAGAATCTGGCAATCTCGGACCGGTGGGTTGCAAGATTTCTCGGTCATGGCTAGTGAAACTCTCTCAAACAAGAAGTACTGTATCATGGTCCATACTCTTCAGGTGCCTATAGATCATGGTGCATGCATAGAAACAACATGGATTTACACGAGGGACTCAGCTTATGAAAAGACCTAATCGGCGGGTTACAGCTCTCGAGCCCTTCACAGCCGCATGGTGTTTTACCTTAGAAATAATCCAATGCATGGCCTATGCCTCTACTGGATACTGTTAATTACCTCGACAATGAAGCGAAACGCCGTCTCGTAAGCCTCGTCCGCGCCCTTGGCCATCGTCGGCGGGAAGCCCGATGTGGGGTCAATAAGGCTATGGCCAGCACCCTCCACAAGCAGTAGTTTAGATTTTACGCCCAGATATTCAAGCTGCCTGTGCTGATTGATGCTTTCTTCCTTGGGCACAACCTCATCTAGTGTGCCATGAACGAAGACTGACGGGGGATAGTCCTTCGACACGAAAAGTTGTGGGAAGGCCGGCTTCAATTTTGAAGGGATGGCATCTCCCCTTTGTTCTTTTTCAACGGCCAATAGCTCTTTGCCAAGCCCAGGGTGGCCAAAGATGTTGTCCAGCATGGTGCCGTCCAATTCCCAGCTACGAAGCAAGTCAGCCCTTGGATAACGTTTACAACCGTTGAAGTCCACAGCTAGATGCGCCTCCACAAAAGCCATTTGAAACAGTCAAGGCTCGTGAAAGTCTCAAGAGGTCATAAGCGAAGGACAGAAGGACTTACCGAGCAGTAAGCGCGAAACGACTCTTTTTGAAATCGAATTGCTGATCATCGCTGACCACAGTCTTGTCTGCCAGGAATTCAGGCACTTTGTCTAAACTCACAAGCTGGCCAAGAGAAGTAGCTGGTCTTGGAGTCAACCAATGGTCGAGCAGCAAGTCACCAGCCAGACCGAAGGCTGTCATCAGTACCGCCGGCTTCGGCTCGGCGTACAAGCAGGCTACGCGCGCCGAATATGCGCCAGCTGAGGATCCTGTGACCGCTATACGATTCAACGCAAGCGAGGTGCCGCTGGGCAATTCCATCCCAAACTTTCCGCCCAGATATTGAAAGAGGGCCTTGACATCGTCGATCTGGTCCAACGCTGTACATGGGTGACACAGCCGGTAATCAGCGGATATGAATATGTAGCCATTCTCCTGACAAGCACCTATTCAATATCATCAGCCTATCAATCCGGTAAATGAGACACGATGCGGAACCCTTACTGTGCATTCCATGGGGAAAATCAAACGATCGACGCGAACCTGCCGTCATTCCACCACCGTGATAGTAAATCACCGCTGGCAACGCTCCATTGGCGTTGCGGGGCAGCCAATAATCCAGTTTGATCTCATGGCCATCGACCTTGGAGTAGACAAGAGTCTGGTGGCCGGCCGGGATCTGAAATCCGTGCATCGTGGTTCGAAATGTGAGTAGTAGTACACTGTGCTGTTGCTGTTCTTGACCCCAAGGTCGTGCCACGAGTGCACAGCACGGCTGAGCCGATTTAAGGTTCGAGGCAAGTCTAGCGGAGGAATCTCCACCCCACGACACCTCCACTTCACGATGTGACTAGCTCGGCAAATGGGCGACTCATTCGGCAGATCAGGACGGCTCCAGACTTTGGGGTATATGGTGCTTCACTTGTAGACTCATATCTGGGGTTAAGGCATGATGACTACGCCTATTTATATCTAGTACGCAGGGAATTGCTTTTTCAGAGTCTTGATGATCGACGAATAGGCAAACTCCCTCTGTTCCCATTTGGGAGTTCCCTCTTCACATCCTTTGTCGAAAGCATGGGGCATTCCAGGCAATGTGTGATGAACGACCTGCCGCTTCCCGCCTTGGAGCCTATCGGCCAAGGCATTGGCTTCTGGGGATAAAGTGTCGCCCTGGCAAGTGAAAATAGCCACCAAGTTCGGGAACAACGACGGCTCGGCCAGCGAGGGTGAGACTCGCGGGTCCTTGCGAGTGGCCGGGTCCGGAGTGTAACAATCATCCAGTAGGGCTGCAATGCCGCCTGGGATGGGCTTCACCGGGTCCGGGACCGTCTTTGCACGTGCATGGATGGAAAGGTCGGTAGGGGGGTAGACGGCAATGACTGCAGATATGTCAATCCCAGCCAGAGAAAGGTCGTGCCGAAGCGAAGAAGAAGCCACGAGCGCCAGGTTGCCTCCAGCACTGAATCCAGAGACAGCAACGCGGTTTGGATCAAACTCATCCGGACGGCTGAGAATCCACCTTAACGCGTCCTCGACATCCTCTACGGCAGCAGGAAACGGGCACTCCGGAGCCTTGCGATAGTCCGCGTCCACAACTATGATGCCGGCCTCCCGCGCGACCCGAGCGCAGAAAGCACGATCCGATCCGAGACCAGGAACCATGAAACCGCTGCCGTGCCAGTTGACGAGCACCGGCCTCTTCCCAGGGCCCGGCCCGCTGCTCTCGGTTGAGGGCGGGTAGTAGAGGTCGGCGTTGATGGAACGCCCTTTCTCACGGGACGCAATGCGAATGCGCTGCGGCTCGATGTTGCCGGGCAATTGACGGTCCCGCTGGGCTAGAGCCATTCGGGCTACGAATCTGATGAGGGTGGCCACGAGCTTAAGCCGCAGATACGTGAAAAAGCCATGAGAGGCCATTGTGATGTGCTTCCTACCCAGCAAGAGAGAGAGAGAGAGAGGGGGGGAGCGGTGCAATATATTCGCTGATTGAAAGAATAAATGAAGAAAATGCACCGCAAATTTGCCCGTGGATAGATCAATGAAGATATTCAACCCGGCAAGACAGCTCGGGACTCGGAACCATGGGTGCTCGTTGTTAGTGCGCCATTCCGGTACCGGCCCGCCAGCTAGTGAGGCAAGCCTCATTTTCCAGCGTGTCTCCTGGGCCTGATCTCCAAAACCATCAGCGATGTAAATTTATGATGAATGCATTTGGAAGTGGTTAAGAACTCTAACCCCCCCGCGATTCCTACCATTTTGGTGGAATGATACCACCAAGACTCTATGATACTAGATGACATAAACGCACTTGGAATTCGGGCCCTAATGTCTTACACGCAAAGTCTTAGACCCAACACCGGCCCCCTGAACCTCACCCAAAAAAGACGTCCGTGGAACCAATAACAGTACTAATCATGCAGCTACCAGCCACTCGGTGACTATCTAGCACACCACAGAAAGTATAGAGCATTACAGCCGGGTGAGCCAACTCCAACCAACGCCGGAGACGAAATGAGCCAGTCACTCTATCGCGTGGTGATTTTCATTTTGCCGTACTTATCCACGTGTGCCCGTTCACTGGCGTGGAGGAATATAGGACCATCGAGCATCCTCTTTGTGTCCATGCCAGCCTTCCCATCATCACGTTCGGACTTGTTGCCGGAAGGGTACAGTTTCTCCATCTCGACCCGCATGGCGCTCTTCGGCTTGCCCTGCTTGACGCGAAGCTTCTCGAGGAAAACGTAGCTGCCGTAGAACACAGCGCTGGTGTTGCCAGAGACCGGGCCCTTCTTGGCGAGGAAGTCGTTGAGCTGCTTCGACTGGATCTTGCGTCCCTCCGGGAAGCATGCGCCGATCGCCCGCAGGTAGGCCGCGTTCGTGATGCCATCCTTGCGCAGGAACGCCCTGATCTTCTTGCGGATTTCATCGCAGGTATCAAAGACCGGTACTTCGCCTTCATCTTCGCCGTCGAGTTTGATGTCAGCGACGTCGAGCTCGGCCGCAGTCTTGACGGTGGGTTTGGCCTTCTTGGCCGCGGGTGCTTTCACCCCTTGAAGCTCTCTTTTCTTGAAGAACTTCCAAGCATTGTAGTATACGTCGCTACCAGAGCCAGCGTCCGGCCCGCTCTGCTTCATGAAACGATGGTAACCGACGGAACCAACATCGATAGCGCTTTGGAATTCGCCCACCTTCATGGCGCCGGAATCTAAGAAGCGCCTGATCTTGGCACGGACTTGTCCGCAGGTCTGGTCCACCTCCTGTAGCCGAGGATCATCGTCGTCTATTTCAGGCACAGTTGTTGGCTCAGCTACAGCGTCTGACTTGCGCTTCTTGGAAGAAGCGGTACGTTTGGCAGCAGTAGAGGCAGCCTTGGGCGTGTCAGCGGAGGATGGTGCCGCAAACGCCTTGGGGGCTTGTTCTGCTAGTTCCTGCGGAGCAAGGTTTTCATCGTCGTGGCCCATGAGAGGTGGCAGCTAGTCACTATGAGCGATGGCTTCTTGAAGCGCGGTTCGTGTCACTCACTGTGGGGATGGGTTTGAACAGGTCCCCAGCGGGCAAGGAGGTGCGAGGTCGGTTAGAGTCGACGCGACCTAAGACAGCTGCCGGATCCCAGGACCAACCAGTAGCCATTGTGGTCCAGAAGTGTGTCTCGTCAAGGGCCCAAATGTTTGGTATTGAACGAGTCACTGGTCAACTCGCGTCACGCGAGTCTACGGACGTCGGATAGTGACTAATTGCAGCAGAGGCAACTCGGGGGGGAGGACAACTCTAGTGGAGTCCTCTTTGACGCAATGCCACAGTCTGGACAAGCGATGGACGATACAGTAAATGCCTGTAAGAAGTTGTGTATTCAGAACAGTGACGGTCGGCGCGACTTTGGGAATGTCAACAATTGACGTCAAAGCTGGTCAACCTCCAGGGCGTGGCGTGGATCCTTGTCGGTAGATCCTTTAAGCTAGGCCATTATTAGTTACTCAAACGCGGGCGCCGCGAACCGGGCTGCCGGCAGCGCCCCAGATGGTACTATGTAGTTGGTGGTTGGTAGCGCTGACGGGCCCAGAGTCAGGGGCTTCCAGGCCGCGACTTGCAGGTAAGTTGGTGGCCAGTTGCCATTGATGCCTTCTACTGCGACCGTCTTAACCAGCTTTACAGGTCTTCGACTACCGCAGAGGCGGTCCTAATGATCGCATGGCTCCTGTCGATCCCATGCTCCGATATATGTTTATGAGATCAACAGACCGGAGACGCACTGTCTGTTCCCTCACATTGTGTGTCCGGTACGAAACCGAAGTTGGGATTTGGTTCGGCGGGGAAGCCAGGACCCTTGCCACAGGACGCGTCTCTGAGGAAGGTAACTCGTAAGTCAGACCGGAGGCAAAAGCTCATTGTACCGTTCATCCCCATGAGTGTGCGATTGGCGATTATAAAGCAACCAAGATCCTCGTCTCTGTGTGAAAAGTCAAAGCTGGAGCTTCGGGCTGGTGCAGAGTACTGCCTCAGGTTTGCGGCATCAAGGGCTGAAAGTCACTAAAACGGTCCCCGCAACTTCCCATATTGCGCGTTTCACGCGCCATCTCAGATATATTGTGACCGCGTGGATCCCAATAAGCCTCACCCAAAGGCCGTCAAGCCGTTACGGATAGCCAACCAAGTTCTTTCCAGCGCGGTCAAGACCAATCCCCCCATGGGACTTGGCTTGTGCAAAGTCGTCCGCACCCAGGATCATTCCGAGTTCCGACTCCGCTACCATGGTACCCTGCCGTGGTAGAGAGCATCAGTGGGGAGCTGGCCAAGCGTGGGCGGCCCCATAACATCTTTATTTCGTCTCAATCATATTGATCCCCAGCGCAAGGGCCGTTATTGTGCCTCGACTCCATTCCCAAATGACTAAAGGTATGCGGCTCGGCTGGGCCCACCTGGTATTCGGAGCTTTGAATGCAACGGTGGCTTTCCACCCGCGTCCCGATCTGACCTCACTTAGATACACTGGATATTAGGCACTCCGTGCCGAGTCGGCAGAAGATCTGCAAATTACACACCCTTGACACCGCTCACATCACTGGCTGTCCGCTGTTCATATATCAAGGTATTAGGCAAAAATGCCCAGCAGCTTTCTCTCTCCCCTCGACAGCAGACAATACTTGCGCCGAGCGTAACAATCCTTCGTTTCCTTCTCAAATCCCGCCGGCGTGACCTGCAGTAATACCAGGCCGTCACTAGCTCTTCGAGTTGACAACCCGGCTGCTGGGCTCTTATTTGTTTCATTACTCCTCTGCCGCCGGCGGTATCAGCTATCACTTCGCCGCCTCAGCAAGCTGGTCCAATACCACGGCCCCAAACATGCATTCAATATCTGCCACCCTTTTGGCACTGGCAGGCGCGGCCACAGTAGCAGCGCACAGCTTCGTGTCGAATATCAACATCGACCAGAAGTCGTACCCTGGCTTCCGGCCAATGAACGGCTCTGTAAACAATCCCGTCATCGTCGGTTGGTCGACATCTGCTTGGGATCAAGGCTGGATCGGCGCAACAACTTATGCCAGTCCCGATATCATATGCCATCGCAATGGCTCGAACGCGAAAGGCCACGCCCCCGTGGCTGCAGGAGATAAAGTCCACATTCAGTGGAATGGGTGGCCGCAGGGACATAAGGGACCCGTAATGGATTACCTGGCACCATGCGGTGTTGGAGGTTGCCAGTCCGTTGACAAGACTTCTCTGGAGTTTTTCAAGATCAACCAAGGAGGGTTGGTGAACGCGTCGGCAATGAGGCCCTACGGCGAGTGGGCCACTGACCAGCTCATCGCAAATAACAACTCCTGGCTGATCGAGATCCCCCCTGCAATCAAACCTGGGTTCTATGTCTTAAGGACCGAGATCATCGCCCTACATAACTTGACCAGCGGTGCACAGCACTATCCACAGTGTCTGAACCTCGAAATCACTGGAAACGGAACCGAGGTTCCATCCGGTGTCCTGGGCGAGCACTTGTATAATGCGACCGAGTCGGGCCTGAAACAGGGTCTCAACATCACAGCTGGTGTAACCAGCTACCTGGTTCCCGGGCCGACAATTATCGCCGATGCTGTTTCGGTATCCTTGAGTTATCCTAAGCCTACAGGCACCGGGACTATCATCACCGGAACAGCCACCGCTTCTGGGGGGTCGTCTGCCACTGTTCCGGTCGTGACGGTGACGGCGACTGTCACTGCTTCAAAGCCAGGGAATGCAGGTTCTCTGTTCGCAAGGACAACACAGGCTGTCAACAGTGATCGGCGAAGATGGTATCACCAGGGCTTGGGCTTCTGAGTTGGCTCTCAGCTGTTAGTGCTTGACTTCTACAATGTATATATTCCTCCCAGACTGCATATAAAACACAATTTCATGACGCGTATTTTACGCATGCGGATGGGATCTCTAGGTGAATTCTCGGTGAACCAGGGAATAGACCAACCAACTACTTGTTCCACAACCAATTACCAGATGACTCGCGGTTTGACCATGAATACATGATTTATTTCCATGTACGTAATCGATTGTACCCAGAACAAAAGAGGCGTCTACCAGGCTCCAATTGGTACCCGAAGAGAATTCGTGGACTTTCGACAGCAAACAATTATATGCAGAGAACAAACACAGGTCCAGGTAGTCACATTGCCACACCCACCAACCAACATGGTAACACAAAATTCCTGTAGTAGAATAGTTGGCATCACGCTATAAATCAGTTGGTAGGAAGTACAAAGAATGCGTTTCGCCGCACGGAGATTTCAACCAACATAGGACATACCATGGTGGTACATACTGCCTGATGATTATAAACACAAGAAGAAATTATGGAAAGAGCCACCTTGAAATCCCATTCAATGAGATTCCTCGCACATCACGATGTCGGACAGCACGAACCAAAGACCACAGTCGAAAGTGACTCCGAGATACGATATGAAGGGACCTTCGGACGACAGCCCCAAGGAGGGACGCGAAGGACTCGATACGAAAACCACCCCACAGTATCCGTCCAAAGTTTATAGAAATGATGGCAAGGAGGCACCAACAGATGAGACGGAAGCGTACCAGGATGGTGAAATTGTTAGAGAGCCCAGGAAGGCTGATGGCAAAAAGTAAGGAAGGTGAGTGTAGGGTCGTCTTCCACACCAACTGTCACTAATGGCCTACAGCCAGCTATGTGCAGTCTTGCATGGGACACGCCTTGTGATATCCAGGGATAGCTCTCTGTTTGGGTAGATGATGGAGGCGATTGTCGTTCTTTTGTCTTCTGGTTTTGATTGGCCTTCTTCACGATTGCCCCAGTTTCTCTTGACACACTCTCTCTATTAGGCGCATTAGAATCCAAACTGTTTTCTGGGGCGTTCAGAGTCCAAACCTGTTCTCGAAAGAACCTTCATGATACTTTGTGAAAGTGACTGAAACGGCGCAGGGTAATGTACCTTGCAACGGTCGATAGTGTATCGTTCATCTGGCAAGCCCCAAGCTCAATACCTCTGTAGGTATTCGATGATTCTATGTGGCTGGCATAAGTCAATGAGCACTTTTGTTCGTTTTGCGCTTAATACTTCCCAATTCCATTCCAATGATGCTGGATATCTTAATTGTAGTTTATTTTCCCCGGTGATGCCATTCAGCATTCCAAGATTACGCATGGTAGTAAAACTGTGTGGTTATTTATCCCGATTCGAAGGCTGCTGAGCCCGTCGCGACTGTACCGAAGGTTCATTAGCAGCTTGAAAATTGCCGGGGTTACGTATACGTCAACAGTTCGAGCTTCTGAATGAAGAAAACTTAGTAATCGGAATGTTTGAAAAGAGTTAACTCCGCCCATAGATAGGCTAATGCAAAACAAAAGCATGTGCATCATGGAATCAGATTACCGAACTTGAGCTATACTACTATCGACAAAGCCCCACCCATGGTGCGACTTGGTGTCAACTGCCGTTCACGGCAGGTGGTGCATATGGAGAGCCACGCAATGCACAATCGACGTAGATAGTGGTAGTCATTCTAAAAGATGATATATTGTGGCATACGTGAGCGGTTGCATCGAACATTTAGGACTCAAGATCTGTTTCGTTATCTTTTACTTTATGCCATCTGCCACGCCAAATTACTGGCAACAGCGCTCTGGACACCCGGAAGGCTCAACTAGGCAGTGCCGAACATTAGCACCTTTCAACGCAATTGATACCCTCGAGGCCACTGGAGTAGCATGGGTTCCTTCAAGGTGATAATCATTGGGTCAGGGCTCTCGGGCTCCTTACTAGCCAACGGGCTTGCAAACCACGGCATCGACTTCCTTGTCTACGAGCGCGATTCGTGCGACACAAAGAGAGAAGGGTACCAAATCCGTGTCGGTGAAAATGCGCTGATCGGCATGCGTGCGTGTTTGCGCGTTGAGCACTTGGCTCAGGTCGTCGAGAATATTGGTCCCAATGCCAAGGTCCCAATCATCTACGATAAAACATTTCAGCAAATGTTGGACCTCAACCGGTTGCCAGCCTACAGTAAATCTGTACCCATTGACCGAGTCGCTCTCCGTGAAGTACTCGCTGGTCCCATATTAAAACTTGGAAAGCTCCATTACGACAAGAAGTTTGTTGGTTGCCAGATCATCAAAGAAGAGCAAAAAGAGCTTGTCCGTGTATTCTTCGAAGACGGGTCGGCAGACACTTGCGATCTTCTCATCGGGGCCGATGGTAACCGCTCGAAGGTGAAAACTAAAAAAAAAATATTCTGATACCAGTTAAAGATGCTAATATGACAATAGGTTAACGAAATGTTGGGTGTTAATAACATTAAAGCAGTGGAGGGATTCAGGGCTCTGCTTACTAAATGTGATCTGCCGCTTAGTTTATACAACACCGTTGATAAAGAGGTCCTCTCTTCCCCAATTGCAACACTTCAGGATGGCAAACTAATGTACTTTTGTGGTATGACTCTCACGAGAACCTTCCCAGTAAGGTATATCTAACAATTCCAGCATATCTGCCGGCGGATTACGCTGCCAAGCGCGAAGCTGGGCAATCTTCCAACCCGAACGAAGACTTATCGTCATGCATGCTGTCTCTATGTTGGCCGGAAAATCTGTCACCTCCTTTGGATACTATGAGTTTGGATCAACGTTGGGGCGCGATCGCGGACATCTACAAGGATTGGTCACCAAAGCAGTATGTTACGGCCCCATTAAAATTTTGGTAGACACTAATGATGCAATAGCCATCAGATCCTGGAACTTTGTCGCGGTCAAGAAATGTTCATACTCAGTCCTCGTGTAGGAATCAAACCGACGGAGAATTGGCGCAAGGAGGTAGCGACCGCCAGCAAAGGAGCTGCGGGTAGCCCCCATGTGTGGCTGATGGGTGATGCACTCCACCCCATGCTTCCAAATAGGTGCGACAAAAGCCAATTGATTCAGTAGTCATCGCTGAAATTGAAAGTACTAATGCTACTTAGGGGCATGGGAGGACAGCAGGCAATGCACGATGCTGCAGACGTGTTGCCTCTCATTCGGAAACTCGCCGCGAAAGCTTCGACTCCGCAAGGGTTACAACCAGAAGATTTTCAAACAGCCTGTGATACGTACGAAAAGGGGATGATACCACGAGCCTTTGAGTGGGTTCGGAAGAGTGGAGGCGACAATTTTGTGGTGAGACAATGTTCTTTCCAGCCCTTGCCCCCTTATGCTGAATACTTCTTCTGCAGCCAGTCGATCTCTCCAAAACTTTGGATCGCCTTCTACTAGGAATGTTCTCCCATATAATTCCTGCTGCTAGGTTAGGCTACTGGCTTCTGTCCTTCTTTACGGACACCAGCGGGCGCAGGGACGCACCTGAGTTCGCAAGTTAAATCCCTCTTAGACTAGACTAGATATCCGGTCATGGAAGAAGTTGCGCTCTGAGGGTTCTGAGGGCATAGGCTTTGGTGAAGTAGACTATCCCATGTCAGCAATCGGCTCCTGATAGTACGGCACATGACGAAACTAGCCATATAGACTTTCTGGAAGTGAACGGCGAGGATTCTTGAGATAAAGGGGTTTACGTGTACGGATCAAGGGTATTTAGACTTCTTGGATGCAAGGCAGAATGAAAATTAGTGCCAATATCAGTCAAGAGCTCCTTGGGTCGTTTATGAAATTGGAACTATGTCCCCGGTATACCGATGAGGTTGCGGACACTATGGCCGTAGCCTCTGCTCTGCGTAATCTGTCGGGCTAAAGGCGGAAAACACTCGCGGAATAGTGAGCATACCGGTCTACTGCAAGTATCCAATAGCCTTAACGTGATTCGGGGCACACTCTTGCGGCAGATTACCCGAGAAGAGATCTCAGATCACTTTCCAAAGCTATCACCATCACACTTCAAAATGCTTCGAGGAGGTACAATTCACTAGAAGTTTATGCACGGTTGAAAGTCGTCAATATAATTGGTGGGTTAACAGCCGTGCTCGCCTCTCCCACCTGCGAGCTGTTGCACTTGCTCGATATCGACCGGACTTAGGTGAGGGGTTAGATGCCGGCAGAACATAGCACATAGCATTGTGCTGAGGGAATCATGAACCTTTTCTCCAAGAACCACAAGTAGATATATTAGCCTGCAGAAACCCAAATGATGCCCATTCTTTGCAGCTACACACAGTCGATGTGGTGGAGGAAACTAATTGAGTAATAAGTACCCGGTTGGCACTTCCAAATCAAGGCGATGGCGAAGAGGCCAGTGTCGTCAAATACGGTGACCATGTGGCTTTTCCAGATCCAAATTATTCTAGCCCTTGCGGTGGTTTCTTGGGGTCTGACTGTCGAAAGCGATTCACTGCAAGTGAATGGGTTGGCGACCCATAGAGGTATTACCGAGCTGAAACCACAGCTTAGCTGGCGCTTGATCTCAAATAGGCGAAATGACAGCCAAACAGCATACCAAATACCGTATGTTCTCGTCAAAGTTGGATTTCTTGGCATATCCACTTTCAGCTATGAGAAGCCCTAATTGGATGCATTGCTCATGATTTGCAGAGCTAGCATTCAAAAGTGTGGAGAGACAAATCAAGTCACAGGAAATTCTTTGCCAAGAAATCCAACTTTGACGAGATCATACGGTACAAGCAGCGACGAGTCAAGTCTCTCTGCGTGGCTCCCCAGACTTATGGGATACTGGAAAGATCTCTTCTTCTAACTCCCTAGTTACGTACTCGGGTGCGCCGCTGACAGCTCGAGTAATTGTGTATTGGCATGTACGTTCATGGGACTCTCAAGGCCAAGCATCAGAATGGAGTGATGTATCGACTTTCGAGTTGGGTCTCTTGGATGCTGATTGGGTTGCTAGTTGGATCGGAAACCCTGATTACTCAACTGGGAAAACCTTACTACCAATGCTCGCAACTCATTTCACGATCACATGCTCGAAGGTCACCAGAGTCCGTTTATACATTGTTGGTTTGGGAATGCATGCATTATATATTAACGGCCGGCAATTGATAGATGATGTTTTGCCGTACGGATATGCAAACGAAAATAAGACCGTCTACTATTTTACCTACGATGCCACGGAGAGCATAATGGTTGGTCGCAATGCTATTGGTGTTGAACTGGGCAAGTCTATTTATGATGCAGAAAAGACAAATGATGGCAGGTATACTAGAATCGCCAATCCTCCAAAGCAACTCATGCTTCGGGCGCAGCTTGAGTACGACTGCGACGGTATCCGACAGCCGGAAATCGCCACCAATACCAACTGGAAAAGTTATCTTGATGGACCCTATGTCGGAACATCCTGGTATGGCGGAGAGGAGTACAACGCTACCCTGGAGGTGCAAAACTGGCCCTCTGCTGACGGAAACATAGACCAGTGGGAGCCTGTGTCAATATTCAAAGGCCCTTCTGGAATGATGCCTGGCTTAATCTACCCTCCCCTTCAAGTCGTTGAGCTACTTTCAGCTAAGTCTGTCTCTGGTCCCGTTAACGGAACCTATATCTTTGACTTTGGTGTCAACGTCGCTGGCTGGTACTCCCTTAATATTAACGAATCCACTAGCACCCGCATCGTCATGAGACCCGGTGAGAAGGTCAAAAATGGCACCGTCGACCAATCGACTAGTGGCAAAAACGTTTACGATGGATACACTTCGAATGGAGTACCATTTACCTACCGTCCTAAATTTGTTTAACCTGGATTTAGATATCTCGGTGTCAATCTGACAGTGCAGCATCTGATGCAGTAGCCCTGGTGATTCGAGCGTCATCCAAGCCAGTGGGTGCATTTGAAAGCAGCGATGCTATGCTTAATTCAATTCACACTATCACGGATCGTGCCATACAGAGTGACATGTATTCAGCCTTCACTGATTGCCCTCATCGCGAGAAACTCGGCTGGCTAGAGCAAGACCACTTAGTTTTTGATCCGCTTGCACGGAATTACGACATCCATGCCTTGGGACGCGCTACCATGAAGGCAATGGCCGACACGCAAACCAGTGACGGGCTTATTCCTGATATCGGGCCAGAAAATACAGTATTCACCTATGGTTACAGGGATGACTCTGACTGGGGAAACGCGGTTTCAACCCTGGCCTGGCAGCTCTATGAGACGTATGGCGATCTCAAACTCCTACGTGATAACTACAGCATGATGCAATCGTACGTTGCATATCTGTCCAACAAAACCACAACCTACATCATAAACAACTCGGGTCTGGGCGATTGGATCACCTTCGGCAACCGCACGCCGAAGAATTATACGGCAACCTTTGGATACGATCAAGCAGTGGATGCTATGGTCAACGTTGCTGCGATACTGGGAAAACATGAAGACGCACTGTATTACACAACGTTGCGAACTAATATCAGCAATGCCTGGAATGCCAACTTTTTCTACGCGTCCAATAGCTCATATGGTCCCACGCAGGCTGATAATGCCCTAGCAATTCAGATGAAACTCGTACGTCCTAGTGTTCACGTTGCAGTGGCAGGAAATATCCTAAGGGACATTGCTGCAAATGGGGACCATTTGACGGTTGGGGAAATCGCGTTGCCAGCACTCTTCGTCGCCCTTCAATCCGTCGATCGCAATGACTTGATACACAGAATCGTAACCAACCCGACTTCCCCATCCTATGCGTATCAGGTTCTCAATGGCGCTACTTCGCTGAATGAGCGGTGGAATGGTCAGACGGCGGGAGCGTCTTTGAATCATTTCATGCTTGGCTACGTTGATAAGTGGATCATGGAGATTTCCGGCATGAAGCAGTCAAAGGGATCAATTGCATGGGCGTCTGTTGATTTCAGTCCGGTATTCGTTGGCAACTTGACTTATGCCGCGTCGAGGTACAGGAGCGCCCGTGGGTTAATAGCCGCTCACTGGCGGCTTTCGGATAGCCAAATGGCGTATAACATCACGGTTCCTGTTGGATCTGTTGGGATAGTATCAATCAAAGGATATGAAAATGTCTCTGAAGGAGGTGTGGACATGAGTGGTAAGATCTGCCGGAAGGGATTCTCGATGTGCGCAGCAATGGTACTTATCACACCATCTCCATTGGGTCCGGGACATACATATTCCACGCATGCTGAGGGAAAGTGCACAATTATAAGAAGCTAACTCGATAAGGGTCATGGTATCAGAATGGGAGATGCTGAGTCATGATCCATGGAGAAGAACATGAGGCGCCGTACGGCATATGATATACTAATTGACGCGGCCATCGTTCCTGTTCTTGGACTGGCAAAGGAACCCGAATAGCATCGTTAAGTTTTGTTATGGGTAAATATCAAATATACTATCAGTCTCAAGAAATGCTGAGTTGGACGGCTTTATTCATCGATACGATTATAAATATGCCAAAAAATGGGGAGGGCTTTATTTGTTTGGGAGACATTGCTATCTCCAGAACCAATTTTCGCCTATCTTGCGCATTGATGTATAGGACCTGTCCTGGTCAAAATCATGAGGAGACAGTATGAAATACCCGTCTAAAGCGCCTGCGACATTTCTATTACAATAATTAGATGGTTTGGATATGTTGCGGTGCGATGTTAGCTTTAACATTGATATCAGAATCCAGTTCCTACCTAAACACTTGCGCGGTTCCTTTCGTAGAATACATTATAGCCAAGACGGAGGCTTCATTGGTAAGTAAAAAAGCCTATGTTAGGCCTGGGTCTACCAGTGCGATGATGAAGTTTCGTTGGCGCTTCCATTACTTCCAGCATAGTGGCTCGAAGGACCAGATTCTATCAATATACCGTTCCACAACCTGTACATACTGCTTCGAAAGGCCGGTTCCTAGGGCACATGCTACCAGTAGAACGAATGATCTGTAGAGCCGAGGTGTTGCCCTGGTGTTATCATATGCTTGAGGTCAATGTTAGCAAAACGCTGCGAAGCGTATCCGGCCGTGAGTATTGAGTCGTACGATGCTAAAACCACGTCAGCGCCATTGCCCAACCACAGAGTTTGCTGGCATTACAGTGTGTTATGGGTCGACCCCGGCATTTTATACCGGCAATCTTAGGCATGGCGGCCACGGCTCCCCACAATCATGCGCGCTATTCTTAGGGTGACAGTCAGCTACGGGGTTCCGCGAAACACACGGCAGCATCGTCGGGCTCGGGTTTATGTGCAACCACAAGGGTCCCACTGCTGGCTGGCATGAGTGAGATGTAATTTGGCATTTGCTTGGGATCCCGGCCTCCAATCTTGACGCGGCCTTCTTGTCAAACCTTAAAAGTCTGTTTTTGAAATTCGGTTCTCGGGTTACGCCGTCGAACCACAGACCAGGCACATGATCACCGCACGACGTCCCGAGGTCTGTGGCGCAGCCGATGCGACGTTGGGGATTAGCGGCGTCCACGGATGCCGACACGGCGGCCCCATACAAGTTGCGCATGTAGTTAAATGGTAGCCACGGCCCGTCCGCGTTCACTGTAAGCAAGTGATATTGAAGTAAAACAACAGAATCAATCACCTCTGCAATGTCGCCAGACCCGAAAGAAAGCGCTCAGAAGCCCGTCATCATCGTAGGCGGCGGGCTGGCTGGGCTGGTTGCAGCCTTCGAGCTGTCGCAGCGCAATGTCCCGACGCTGATCCTGGACCAGGAAAATGAAAAGACGTTGGGTGGCCAGGCCTTTTGGTCGCTCGGAGGCATCTTCATGGTCGATTCTAGCTACCAGCGCCGCGTGGGCATCAAGGACTCGCGCGAGCTGGCAATGCGCGACTGGTTTTCGTCCGCGCGCTTCGACCGCGAGAAGGAGGACTACTGGCCCCGGAAGTGGGCCGAGGCGTATGTCAACTTTGCGACCGACGAGATGGAGGACTACGTCAAGGCCCGTGGTATGGGTTTTCTGATGAATGTTGGTTGGGCGGAACGTGGTGACGGCCGTGCCGAGGGCCACGGTAATTCCGTGCCCCGGTTCCATCTCACGTGGGGAACAGGCCCAGAGGTCGTACGTGTCTTCCGAGAGCCTGTATTGGAGGCTGTCAAGAAGGGCATTGTCGAGATCAAGTACAGGCACATGGTTGATGAATTGATTGTCGACGAGAAGACTGGAGCCGCTATCGGGGTGAGAGGTCGGATACTGGAACCAGATGACTCGGATCGGGGCCAAAAGTCATCGAGAACAGTAGTCGGCGAGTTCGAAATCCATGGAGCCTCGGTGCTGGTTTCGTCCGGTGGTATTGGTGGTAATATTGAAGCTGTCAAGGCAGCCTGGCCCGTCGATCGTCTGGGCCCGACCCCAAAGAAGTTTGTTATCGGTGTACCAGCACATGTTGACGGCCGAATGATCGGAATCACAGAGAAAGCTGGTGGCAACATCGTCAACCGGGACCGTATGTGGCATTATACTGAAGGCTTGTCCAACTTTGACCCAATTTGGCCGCTGCATGGTATTCGAGTACTACCTGCACCATCTTCGCTCTGGCTGGACGCTACGGGCAAAAGGCTGCCACCACAGCTGTTCCCCGGAACCGATACTCTCGCCACACTTGAATATCTTGGAACTACTGGATACGACTACTCGTGGTTCATTCTAGACCAGACGATCATTGCTCGAGAATTCGCCTTGTCCGGCTCGGAGCAGAATCCCGACTTGACCAACAAGAGCATCTGGCAGTTCCTAACAACCCGCATCTTTGGTAAGAAAGGAACTCCTAACGTCCAGGCTTTCCAGAAGCAAGGCGAGGACTTCGTTGTAAGAGATAACCTGGAAGACTTGGTCAAAGGAATGAACGAGCTGGTTCAACCTACCGGTGGTGTCGCTCTGGACTACAAGCAAATCAAAGAGGTCGTCGAAGCCCGCGACGCGCAAATGGACAACAGCTTCTCGAAGGATGCTCAGGCCATGCTGATTCACAACGCACGAAACTACTGGCCTGACAAGAGAGGTCGCGTTGCACCACCCCATAAGCTGTTGGATCCAAGCCATGGACCCCTTATTGCTGTAAGGATGAACATCTTAACACGAAAGACGCTTGGAGGTCTGGAAACCAATCTGCAAAGCAATGTAATGAGGGCAGACGGATCGCCGTTCCCAGGATTGTATGCAGCTGGAGAAGCTGCCGGGTTCGGAGGGGGTGGCGTCCATGGATACAGCGCCCTCGAGGGAACGTTCTTGGGTGGGTGCATCTTCTCTGGAAGGGCTGCCGGGCGTGCTATGGCCGATGAGGTGTTGGACCAGCCCGCAGTGAGCAAGTTGTGATGATAATGTTAGCCGCGTCGGTTCCGAACATCTTGTATACATACCCAAATACAGACACACACGACTGAATCAAACGAGCGGCTTGCGGTTTGGCCGATGATGCTATGAACGAGTATCATGACGCGTTCCACCATCTTAGCAGTGATTGGCTCACTGGTGCAATGACGTGCTGCTAACAGACAACCCCAAATGAAGCATCGTCCAATCAGATTTGTTGCTCTTGTCAAGTCGTCTGGACGGATTGCAACTGGTCGTCGTATTGTGCTATGTTAGCTTCCAATACTCAGACGACCCTATTTATGTGTTTGGTGACTTTGCGTAATCTGAGGAGAAGGTCGCCTCATCATGAGTTAATGTTCTGATTTGTCCAGGCCTCTGCGCCAGTTACCCGAGAAAGCAGCAAAGTCATCTATATAACGGCCCGACGCAGACGTTGTATAATGATATTTGACTTTCCAAGCGCATTCAAATCAAACCCCACCGCACTGTTATCGAGTTTCTTATCCAATTTTCTTCATCATAACCATGGCACCTCCTTCTGCGGATGTCGACTTGGCTTCTGAACGCCTTGTGACTCCAATAGTGTCGAAGAACTCGAGTGCATCCCGTCTGAACGAACCGCTTAAGTATACTGGCACTCTTGACGACTACAAACACTTTGATGTTACATCAGTCATCGGCCTCGAGTTTCCAAAACTCCAGTTGACAGACATCTTGCACGATGATGCCAAGATCCGTGATCTAGCTGTGCTCGGTACGAGATACGCCTCGCAATTGTGACATTGCTATTATCTCTCTGACAAACAGAAGTTTCTCAAAGAGGTGTGGTTTTCTTTCGAAATCAGAGCATCGACATCGATGGTCAGAAGCTCCTGGGCCAAAAGCTAGGTGAGCTTACCGGAAAACCAATCACGTCGGGGCTTCATCGCCATGCGCTCTCCAACAGCAAGCGCGGTATTGCCGTAGATGAAAACGGCAGGCTTGACGACGAGATCTCGGTAATATCCTCTGAGCAGAACCGCAAGTTCTATCAAGATCGCTTTACAGCGGCCTCCAAAAAGATCAGCAGTCACGGATGGCATGCCGAGTACGTGATGTTTATCGACGCGATGCAATCTCTGAAGCTAAGACTGTCAGTATAACATTCGAGCACATTCCATCCGATTATGCTATTTTGAAGATCATCAAGACACCTGAGGACGCGGGAGGTGACACTCTATGGGCTTCTGGCTACGAGGCCTATGATCGCTTGTCACCAGCCTTCCAAAGGCTGGCGGAGAGTTTGACTGCTACGCATTACCAGCCGGCGTTCAACGAAGTAAAGGCCAAGTTTGGAGAAGACTTGATTGATGAATTCCGCGGTGCTCCTGAGAACACGGGACTTGAATTCAAAGCAGAACAGTATGTGTGGGTTATGACAAGTTGATTACCTCAAACCCTAACATCACACAGTCCCGTCATCCGGACAAATCCAGTGACTGGATGGAAGAGTCTTTTCGGCGCAGGTCACCAGGTTCATGCTGGATGGTACAATGGTGTCACGGAGCGCGAAAGTGATATCCTGAAAGATTATTGTAAGCCAGTTGCGTCATCATACGTGTGTAGCCCTGACCGATTTGGCCTTCGCAGTCAACCAAATCATTTTCGAAAACCACGACCTGCAGGTTCGCTTCCGCTGGAACCAGAACGATTTGGCAATATGGGACAAGTAAGTCGACCAACGAACCCACTGTGTAGTCGGAACAGCATAGATAACTGATGCGGCCCTCGCGACAGCCGGTCTGTTTTCCACACAGCAACAAAGTGAGCTTCACACACTGCAACAGAGGTGCGCCGCTAACCTAGACACAGCGACTATGCCGGCAAGCGCCAAGGAAACCGTGTGGTTTCACTCGGGGAGAAGCCATACTTTGATCCATCTTCTATATCTCGGAGGGAAGCGTTGGGCCAGACGCAGTAACAAAGATGTCGGCACTATGATACGGGGTTAGGGTGACATGCGGCATGTCACATGCCTTGAAGAGACACGATGCTATTCTTATGTAGACCTGATTTTGAAAATTTTTCGAATGCTGTTCTCTCACTATTATGTGCCAAACCCAATGAGAGTATCCGGACCAATAATACTGCTTGGGGAATGCTGGCGATCCACACAACATGATTCAACCAACCATTGTCGCTGCTGACATCGACCTGAGACGAGCAAATTATCCACGCAACGATACGAGAATTAGGTCCGTTAACTTTGGCTGGTGGCTAGCGCCGATCCTTCGGCGTGCAGTCCGCGATGATCATTGGCCTCCAACGAGGCTGTGCTACTCCTCGCACGTTCTTGCCCTTCCCATACGGCAGCCGCAGCATAAATGTCTTGGCGACGTCGTCTGTCATCACCTTGAGCACGCTCCCACGTGATTGCTTCTCCCGTGCGGCACAGCAGCCTTGTGCTCTACAATTTCCCGTCTCTCGCCCCACCAGCTCGCGTGAAGATGGCTGTGCAGCGACACGTGATTCAACCTCAGGCCAGAGGCTCAAAATTTGGGCAACAGCATCTCGGTCGCTCGAAAACGCCCAAGACAGCGCGCCGTGGAGCAAAGCGGTGCTTGGTCAAGTGGAATCAACTCCTACATATTGAAGCTTCTGAGAGGCTGCAGCGACCGGCTTCCGCTGCCCGGCCAGTCGATCAGGCGCCTTAACTCATAGCTGGGTGACTGTCCCTCGAATCGGATAGGACTCGGAGATTATTGTCGTGATGGCTAAGCCATCTAACAGCGCGACAAGCGCTGCGACAAGCAGGTTGCCGGAACCGCCCGTGATAGACAACCAACGGAAGTGGGATATAGCAAAGATCGTCATTAGATCGATTTCGACACTTGTCGCCATCGTCGCCACATGTCTCGCATTGGTCTTTGTGCCTCATCGACGGTACGATCCAGTTGCATACGCACTCCCTACTGTAAGTCAATGAACTCCCTTCCTTCAAGACTCACGTGGCCCTTCCGCTAAGTACCTCATCAAGTCTCTATCATGCATCATTTGGAACTCTGCAGAGTTCATTGTGCTATGTGTACGCCGCGACAGGTCCAAGGGCATTCACCCTGGTGCACATGTTGGGGTCGACTTGCTCATTTTTGGAGGCGCCATTGTATCGACGATGTTCATGTTTATTAATAGTAATTCCATGAGGAACTACTACGACGCCAGTGTCGCTGCTTACTACTGGCCTACTGACCGCTACCTCATACTTGTTCTGGGCGGCGTCATTGCCCTACTTCTGTAAGATAATTCCACCAGCCGCACATTACTCATCGCTCGGTGACTGATTTAGAGTAGGCCGATACACTTCGCCCTGTTTGTGCGGGCATGCGCTGAGACAGACCATATAGCGAGAGATCGCCGGGTCCAGCAACTCTTCCTAGCGTTCACCCAGAGGGCGGAGCTTGCGCGGGAGGATATCCATTCAACACATCATAACCCGGTCCCCCCAAGGGAGGTACAGCGTTTTGATATCGACATGGAGCGGGAGCTAGGGCTGAAGTACGGCAACACAGGCCTCTTCATCCCGGACAGAGAGTACAACCAGAAAGTGTTGATTGATGACCTTGTACGGATGACTAGAATAAGACGCAGCAGTGTCTAACATAAGAACCAACGCATGGTTCTCTTCCAAACCATAGTTTTCTGTCAACGAAGAACTACTCCAAACGTTGGAGAACCCGAGATCATCTTGCAGTGAAACAACACTTTTCTTTGCGCTCTTGCGCTGCGCATATCTAAATGTGATCAGAATGATCGTCTTTGGGGTCGCTATATTGATAGTACCTGGTGTCCGAAGTGCCAAAGAATTGGCACCAGTGTTCTCAAAATACGCACCCCAACTTAATGATCCAGCATAGCGGTAGCCCCTTTCCCCATCCAAGAAATTCCCCATCCAAGAAACATCGTGAGTGTATTTACCATTTGTTGCGGCCCCTTTCCTGATGCCTTTCTAACGCGTAGCATAATGAGTGCTGTGGTCGAATAGGCTGGACGCTGGGAAACCAGCTTGATTGCCATCTCCAATAGTGACTGATGAGATATAACTGGTGGATGCAACAGTCAGTCGGGCAGTTGAAGTGGCAAAGACTCCAGATGTCATCCGAATACAATCAGCGATCTGTACATGGGATGTTGTTAGCTTCGTGGAACACTGGCCCCCGTCCCGCCGCGCCCTGCGAATTATACATCGTCGGTAGATCTTTTCAGCGATGCATGTTACGATAGAAATGGGGGAGCATGCGATGACGCGCCTAGCGCCAGGTGTAGGGAAGTCAATGTGGGGAACTGGGGCGCCTGAATTCAACTCCGGCGCTAATACGTCGCCTGGCCCGGCCTGAATTCCAACATGCATAGGGCGTGGTGCTGGCCAAGACTGGTGATCATATCCGGTGCCCAGCCTACAAATAGCTGCTCCTCCCAAGGCGTATCCAGATCGTACCACTAAGGCAGCTATCCGGATTGTTCTGTGTGGTTTCCATCATGTTTGAAGGCTTCAAACCGTTTACTGTCACAGCCCAGTCTGACCCTCAAGTTGACATCTATGGATTGTCAAGCGGGGACTCGTCATCACCACGCCCTGCGCTACTGCTTCTCCATGGATTTCCGCAAACCCACCACATCTGGCATCGCCTAACACCACAGCTCATCGAAAAGTTCACTGTTGTGCTGATCGACCTCCGCGGCTATGGCAAGTCGTCAAAGCCGGAGCAAGTGGAGCAGTATGTAAAGAGCGCGATGGCCCGCGACTGCATTGCAGCTATGGACCACCTCGGCTTTACGTCCAAATTCTTCGTCTGTGCCCATGACCGGGGCGCACGAGTCGCACACAAACTGCTGGTGGACTACCCTGATCGTGTACGCAAGGCCATTCTGCTCGACATCTGTCCCACGCTGGCAATGTACACGGCTACCGACTTTGAGTTCGCCAAGGCCTACTTCCACTGGTTCTTCTTGATCCAGGCGGAGCCTCTACCCGAGACAGCGCTGTCAGCAAGCCCGCAGAAGTTTGCAGAGCTTTTCATGGGTGGACGTCAGAAGGATGGGCTTGCAATCTTCGAGAAAGAGTGCTTCGCAAATTACGTCAAGAATCTCCAAGATCCAGCGACGGTACACGGCATGTGTCATGACTATCGAGCGAGTGCAACACTCGACCTGGCCGAGGCGCGCAAGGATTTGGCTGAATCGAGGTTGATCCAGTGCCCGCTACGCGTGCTTTGGGGCAAGTACGGAGTGATTGAGAAGTGTTTCGATGCGATACAGGAATGGAAGAAGGTGGCTACGGAGGGTGTATCTGTTGATGGACATGCGGTCGAATCAGGGCACTATATACCTGAGCAGGCTCCAAATGATGTCTTAGCTGCTATAGATGAATTTTTCGTTTAGGGCCTTTAGCCGCGAACATCCACAGTTTCACTACTACTTTCCAAAGATTTCAAAAGTTTCAACATCAAAGTATCCAAATGTGGTTTGTCTTTGACTATCTTGCGTAGATCGAAGGGCCTCTTTTTGGTCGGACCGAACGCTCTCATGCAGTGTCTTTCTCCAGTAGGGCAGAGCTAGTCTGGAAATACTTCTTTAGATACATGATCACGGTCCGAGATAGGGAGGCTGCAAGCTACGTATATGGATTCAAGAAATGCATTCATTGACGTGACGGCCCCAGGTTGGTTGACACGGCAAGAGCGAAGTGCGAATGGAGACCATTAGACGTGCAAATAGCATACCGGGTTCGTGACCAGTTGCGATAATGTGGGTCAGTCCAGCGAACGCGCTTGACTCAGCACGCACATTGTCTTATCCGGTCGGAGGTTTCTTATCCCGACACTCGTCGGAAACTGATTCCGGCAACTTGATTGCCAGAACGTATGTGTGCACCGTGAGTCTTTGTCGACAAGTTATAAAATCTGCAGTCAATCGATAGTCATCTGCCAAAGCTGCAAATCAACTTGACACTTTCGCAAAATGTCTCCCAAGTTACTTAAGATCGCAGTTATCCCCGGTGATGGGATTGGTCTTGAAGTAATGCCCTATGGGGTGCGATGCCTCGAGGCAGCCGCCAAAGTCTTTGGCTTGTCGTTGGAGTTTGAGCACTTCGACTTCGCGAGCTGTGACTATTACGAGAAACACGGCGACATGCTACCCTCGGATTGGAAGGAAACGCTTTTGAAGTTTGACGCCATCTACTTCGGCGCGGTGGGAATGCCAGACCAGGTCCCCGACCACGTCTCGTTGTGGGGTAGTCTACTCAAATTCCGACGGGAGTTCGATCAGTACATTAACTTGCGGCCATGCCGCCTCATGCCTGGCGTCAAGAGTCCACTGGCCAACAAGAAACCAGGTGACATCGACTTCTGGGTGGTCCGAGAGAATACCGAGGGCGAGTATAGCAGTATCGGTGGCAAGATCTTCGAAGGCACTGATAGAGAGACCGTCGTCCAGGAAACGGTGATGACCCGGGTCGGCGTTGACAGAGTGCTGCGATATGCATTCAATCTGGCTCAAAGCCGACCAAAGAAGAAGCTAACCAGCGCAACGAAAAGCAATGGGATTAGCATCACGATGCCATGTCGGTAACCCTATCCTCCCTCACTGTTCATTTTCTCGCCATACTCGAGATGCTTTTTATTGGAGCTACGTGTAATTCAACTCGAATATCGGCGTCCACAGGCATTTACGACTATGTTCCCCAGAACCCGCTGAAAAGGGAAAGGCTAACATATTCCTTCTCTGTAGACTGGGACTCAAGAGTGAAGGAGATGTCTTCAAGCTACTCCGATGTTAGCGTTGAGAAGTATCATATTGATATCCTGACAGCGCACTTTGTACAACGGCCAGAGATATTCGACGTCGTCGTTGGCAGTAACCTGTTTGGCGACATCATGTCTGACTTGGGGCCCGCCTGCACCGGCACCATTGGCATTGCCCCGTCAGGAAACCTAAATCCAGAGGGGAAATTTCCCAGTTTATTTGAGCCTGTGCACGGCAGTGCTCCAGATATTTTTGGCAAGGGAATTGCTAACCCTATTGGGATGATCTGGGCAGGCCAAATGATGCTGGAACATTTTGGCTTTTCGGAAGCTGCGGCGGCAGTGTTGAAATCCATTGAGATTGTATTGGGCCGCTCGGACCTTGAAGTCATGACAGCGGATATGGGCGGGAAAGGCAACACACAGACCCTGGGCGAGGCGGTAGAGAAGGAGATTTTAGCCTTCAAGAAATGAGAACGGCTCACAGATGTTCCAACGTCACTTTAGGTTCATTAATCAACATGTGCGGTGTAATCAGTATGATTTATCATGCAACACGCGCAAACTCAAGATCCAACTCCATACGGACCTTAATGACATTTCGTGAGTTAGTGGCACTACCGCTCTGCTCTGAATTGTGGCGGGTGCCACATGCTATCGTCGTCTCCGGACCTTCGCCCTGCCCGTACAGAAAGCATTGGTCTCTGATCCCATATTGTGTCACACATGGGTATGCTACCCGGTGACTTGCTGAAATGTGTGGCCATCTGATGCTGTCTACCTCAGGAGCCCGTCTGTTATGGGATACACGAATTGGACTCTGACCACTTGCCTCGTGGGTCCCCAAAAGAATCCCTCTCGCCCGTCTGAATACCGGCCGCATCAGAGGAAGAAATGCTGTTAGTCGGCGTGAGAAAGAATACTTAAAGAGCTTTGCTGACTCACCTGTGATGATGCTTAGGTTGATTTCTACAGCTGACCAATTCACAGGGCCAACCTCGAGCCAGGTTAGATCTTTCGCCTCGTCATCATATCGGCTGGAGGTGACTATCATCATTGCGGAGCAGACACAGACTCTTGACAGCGTCAGCAACGGTTTTCAGGTCAGAGAGAAGTCGGATTACGTGCACAATTCCAAATAAAAACATAGCAATGATGCTCAACTTTTGCCAAGGTGGCAGTCGCAAAGCCCCTATCAGGCCTAAAACTTTCGTCAGGCTTGGAACACAGTACAGTTACAGCCCCACGAAACTTACATGCAGGAAGGATCATCAAGCACATGTCGATTACCAAGTGACTCGATACCGTGCCAAGGAACAGCTTTGCAGTATTGACGAAGCAGTGGTCGTCCAGGGGCCCATCCCACTTAATACTTGGTGGTATGCACTGAAAAACAACCAGAAAGAGCTAATACTGCTATCAGCATGGCGGAGTCCTCCGGTCTTGCAAACATACCCTTGCCAGAAACCACGATAAGACACAGAGTCCCAGGGCAATTATGCCAAATCTCACTCCTCGAACTGAATCGAACGCTCGCCAGTATAGAGCAAGTAGCGATAATTGCGATGCAGTAATTGAAACTGTGTAAGCGTGTTCCATGATCCACTGGAAAAGTGATGAATAGTATGACGCCTGCGACGGAGCGATCTTTAAGTTAGCGATATGAAGGCCAAGGCCGACAGTCAGCCCTGGTTAAATCAGCAGAAGAACTGTTCAGTCGAGGATACTGAATTACATTTGTAGCCGACTGCATCATATACCACTGCCGCAATCTTGCGAGTTTTAGTCATAATTCAATCGGAAAATAGTGGAATATGGGTTGTACTTACGAATGCGATGACTATTAAGTAATCATCGTACCAGAGAGCAATGCGCTTGAGCACTCTCGCCCACAGTCTCAGTATCAGAATAAACGTTGCCACGACGAGTGTAATCGTGATTGCAGCATAGCATTGTGGCTGGCGGGATTCCATCACGCTATTGGCAAATTTCATGAGCCGAAGAGCGGATGAATTTGCAGCGCATGGGCAAAGGATTGCATGGAATAAAGTCCGGTGACGAGCCCCTCATCCCAAATCTGCACACTGCATGAAAGTTACACGGAAATGATGCGGTATGTTGGACAGGTGAACTTTCGGCATTCATTCATGGCAGTGAGGAATCAGGTCATTATGTTCCGGCTGCCAATTATCCAACTAAACACCACACCTATAAATGTCGCTCTCTTGGTTTTACCTCTATCGTACGATCTATCCGACGTGCGGTTGCATGAAAATCCACTCCCAGTCCTAACTCAGGTCGGGCTTATCACAGTGATATTGATATCAAGTTGTGCCAATCATTTGTGTTTTAGAGCTACTCAAAGAACATGGCGCTAGTTCATCTACCCGAACTCACAGCTGGGTTTACTTGAAATACCTACGCTACATAGCACAGACATATCAGGTGATCCTAAGCCGCAATCAATATTAAAAGCCCAAGTGCGCTCTATCTAGGATCCACTGTACCATCATGAACAGGAACAATCGTATCTTTACAATTGAGAATTCCCAGATTATCCGTGACTTTCGTGTCCGTAAATTGTGAAATTGAGAAAGAAAAGGTTAAGTAGATTAGTTCTCGAGACACATTGGCTATATAGTGGAGAACTGTAACTTGGTCGATGGCTCCAGCCCAAGCACTCCGCCTTGCAGAGGCGGAAATGGCAATGCACCAAAAAGAAAGAGTGATGATACATGGAACACCTTGGAAGTTGAAGCAATCATTTCTGGGTTGTGTCTTATTCAGATGAAAGATATCGGAGCCATTACGTGTCGTCGCGGTCTGATCGAGCAATGGCTCGATTTAGTGACGAACCCCCTGATGACGCGCTAGGCGTTGAGCTCGTTGCCAAAGCGGCGGCGGGTCTTCGGCAGCGAGACCTTGCTTTTCATTCTCATCGAAAACGTCTAGGCAAAACTTTCCGAGTAATTCTGGATCATGATCGAATTTGGCCAGGCTTTCCAGGGTACGTGGTTGGTAATAGAGATGAATCCCAATTAATCTGTGGCAGCAGGGGTGCCTAATGGGACAATGGAGAACCCGCATCGGCTCCTCTCATTTCGTGGATTTCTCCGCCAACAGCAGCCCACCTTGAGCGCACTAGACCAGCCGTAGGCGTGCGTGACATGCTGCACATAGCCGTCCCCTGTCCTTCCCCCGCAAGATGTCAAGGCGTTCGTTATAATTCCCGGTAGCCACACAAATGAGTTGTGCCAGCTACACAGACTCTGCATGCCAAGTCCACCAATTGACCATCCCGCGGATGGAGCCGCAAGAGTTCCTATCCACAAACATCATCTTGCCCAGGCAGGGGTTGAGCGGAGCCAAATTCCATAAATACTCATGATGTTTCGTCTTCGTCAACAGTTTCCGTCCCAAGCAGCCTGGTATTAGCTGAACTATTCATTCGTTTCTACTGTTTCCAACCCTTTCAGATTCACGATGAAGTCATTTCTTGCTGGCCTCACCCTGGTTGCCTCGGCCCTTGCCGGGAGCCGTACATCAGCTCCGTCTGGCTGTATCACTGTCGCTAGCAGCGGTGGTGACTTCACAAGCATCCAGAAGGCAGTGAACTCCCTTTCGACTTCGTCCAGCACCGCACAGTGCATCTTCATTGGTGCTGGCACCTATAAGGAGCAGGTCCTCATCAGCTCCCGCAAGGCTCAACTGACCATCTACGGTTACACTGCGGACACATCCAGCTACAGTGGCAACAAAGTCACTATTACATCAAGCAAGAGCCAGGCCGACGGACTTTCCAATGACGAGACTGCTACCCTTCGCGTCAAGGCTGCCAACTTCAAATTGTACAATGTGAATGTCAACAACGGTTACGGCAAAGGGAGCCAGGCTGTTGCCCTGAGCGCTTATGCCGACAGCGGCTACTACGGGTGCTCTTTCACTGGATTCCAGGATACCGTCCTTGCTCAGTCTGGTTACCAGCTTTATTCCCACTCCCTGATCCAGGGTGCTACCGACTTTATTTTCGGCCAGCAGGCCGCGGCTTGGTTCGAGTCATGTGATATTCGTGTGCTGGCTGCATCGATTGGTTACGTTACTGGTAAGTCTAAGTTGATCGCCCTCGTATTTAGACATATTAACGGTGCTCGTTCCCTATAGCCAGCGGCCGCTCTTCTTCAAGCAGTTCATCATACTATGTCTTCAACAACTGCAATGTTGCTGCCGCTTCTGGTAACAGCGTATCGGCTGGTGCTTACTACCTCGGCCGTCCTTGGGGAGCTTACGCCCGCGTCGCATTCCAGAACTCGGCTCTCAGCTCTGTTATCAACTCCGCGGGCTGGCACGTCTGGAACAGCGGCGACGAGCGCACTAGCAATGTGGCCTTTGGCGAGTACAAGAACTCCGGCGATGGTGCAAAGGGTACCCGCGCGAGTTTCTCCAAAACCTTGAGCTCGGCTGTTTCTATCTCGAGCATCTTGGGAAGCAGCTATAGCAGTGCTGGCTACTATGATAACAGCTACATGTAAAATCTGACTGATGAGCACCGACCGGATGCTACTGACGAGCAAGTCTGGATTCAACGCAAGCGTCCGTAGAGACGATGCTCTACTTTCTTGTAAATACTTGGTATACCCAATCTGAACATATGTCTTGACGATGGAACTCTCATTTTACGTACAGTGAAGCTCACTTGATTCGATGTCATGAGACCCCTCTCGATATTCTCTGGATCTTCGGAGTTGGACAGTGGGCAACCTTTGTCTAAGTGCCGCCCACGCTCAGCTTTGGGGACTGGTTATCTGCAAGATCTTCCATCTTAACGTAATTCGCCCGAGTCCATTGACGAGCCAACGCATGCTGTTCATTGGTGCATATTTGAGATACGTGCTCCGTTTCGCAGTTCATCCTGGAAGATTCCAGAGCTCGATACACGGACAGCCCATGGGTCCTATCGTGGTGGATATTGGAGGATCCTGTTTACGTTGCCAGCAACTGATAGTGACGAGAGCCGTTAGTATGCGCAAATTTGCAGGTTTGATGCTCCCAGTGAGATGATAGGGTATGATGAATTGAAGAGCGGGCTAGAAAGCCTTGAGACATTGTTGGAGGGCGGCAGTCTCATTAGTTGACCCACGTGCCATCAGAGAGGCAACGTCTGCTGTGATTCATATTGGCACAAAAGTATCAAACGAACCCCGCATCACATTTAAAGGTACAAACCTTGCAAATATCGTCGAACTATACACATCTGTGGGTGTTATTAACTCACATGTTGAATTGCGTCGAACCCGGACTTTACGGTTTTATACCTTTTATACAACGTGTAAAATCCACCGCACCGACAGCTATAATATGCGAGCACCCCTAGATATCTCTGAGGAACCGAGCTCCGGCTTCGTACATCTCCTTAGAACTTTTGAAGTTCATCACTCAACGTGGCGATGGATGTTTGTGTCACCACGATGATATTTGACGCAACCAAAGGGCATGTATTCATAAATCATTAAGTATTATGTCTAAGTCTATTCAATTCCGACCGTCTAAGGGGAGATTATGAACCTGATGTCTCCCCGTAGTGTTTCTCATTCCTTATCAGAGCCCAGCCACACCTGACCATCCAGAACAGAGCATACAGCGGCGTTGTCAACAAACCTAAGCTAGCACCTAAGATGGCCTTGAAAATCATGGGCTTCCAGTCTTCGAGGCTGGGCTTGACTGCACCGGTGTACGTCCAGTCTCCTCCATTAGGGGTTCCGACCAGTATCAGGAACCCGATGACCGGGCCGATGAACAGGGCAAAGGAGACGACGGCAACCAGGAAGCCTCGAAGGACCTGCGAAAACAGGAAGACCAGCCAGTGTGCTAGGCAGCCCCCTTCGTACTTGGCGTCGCTGCGGTCCAAGAACAAGAACCACCGCACCAAGCGATTGGAGGGTTCTGCAAATCGGCCCACCGGCTGGATGCGTCCATTCCTGAGGTCTTGGTTGACCAGTATCAGCTCAATCAACCACGTGATGATACACTGCAAGATGATTGTGACGGTTGCATCCCCGACTAGAGTATTGGGAAACTGAAATAGGTTGATGGCCTGCTTGGTGGTTCCGTACATGCCTATTATTGTCTCAGTCAGCAGTTCGAGTCGATGGAAGCGCGCTTCCTTACCCACGGCAATGGCCATGTTGATGACTCCCGAAATGACGGCAGCAATGAAGCCATGGGGGACGAGGAGATAGAATGCTTGGTGTCCGGTGAAGTGCTCACTCGGCTCCAAGAATCCCTCGCGCACGCCCTTGAGGATCACCTGGCGGGGCGAAGCCTCGGGATCGTCGGCCGAGGGCTTGCGCGACGTGAAGAAGGGGTTTGCGGTCCAGGTCATGATGTCCCGATGCCTGCCAGGAGGTTACCCTCCAAGAAATAGAAATCCGGAGTAGCAATGTGTGTCGTCAGGGAGGCATGACGCAGCGAGCAAAGTGGAACAATGAACTCTTTTAAGAGGGCATCGTGGTGAGGCAAGCTGACAAAGGGGTCCTGGGCAAGCGGGAAGACCCTGTCACAAGGTAGCTGCTAGAAGACTTTAGCTCCCAACAGCAGGATTAGCTGATGGGCGAGGGCCAGCAGCGCCTTACAGACCTAGACTAAGGTCAGCTAGGATGTGCCCGAGGATCCCGGTCCACTCAGAGCCAGAATGGGAAAGCATCGTCCGGAATCTAGGCTCGGCCGAATGGACTCCCCGCAATGTCAGATCGCGAGGACTCGGGTGGGACAACGAGCCGCATCTCTCCGGTGTGCTGGATGTCTCGGCTTTGCGATGCAGAAGGTGATGAGTGTGCGACCTCGAGGTAGCACATTCGGCAGTCCACGGAGGCTTACCAATGGTGGTGATGGTGTCATTTAGAAGCATTCTCGAAAATTTCCGAAGTGGGTGGTTGATCGCCGCATTCATGCAGGGACTTGTCAAATTGGAAATTGCCCAGTGGTGGGGCCAGCTCAGTCAGGGGACGCACCCTCACCTACCAGTACTCTGTACATATTGGTCTCCGAAGCCATCCACGATGCTGCCAGAATCGTTCACTGCCGCATGCAACACCTCGAATCTGCCGTACGTATCTTGAAGTGCGATCCGGCAATGATGGAAGGAAGCCCAAGGTATGAGTGGCTCTTGACTATCTGATAGCTAGTCACACGCAGGCGCCTGCAGTACGTTGGATCGCAGAAGCTTTCTAAAGACACAATCGCGGAGGCCTGCATGGCTCTTAGTCATAATCAGCCAGGGCAACCAGCTTCCTTACCGGGCTAGGAGAACTGCCATCGAACCGACTTACTCACTTATATCTTAAACGATAATGGCTCCATGTGAATGTCAAACAGACTGATGTGAAGTCGTTGGTGCACCCGCTTGACGGGGTCGCTTGACTCCGCCGCCAAGTTAGTGCGGCGAGGCGAAGGTGTGTTGCCTTACCACTGAGGGCACCATCACACAACGGTATTCACACCAATGGGAACTGGTACATCGTCACAGTTGGCAACCCTGGCTTGGCTGTAGATATTTGGCATTTTAACAAATTACTCGGAGTGCTCGTCCTCCTGCGTTAATATATTTCCAACTCCAACATTTACATTCGCGATTGTCTCCGCCCAGCATGAGCACCCAACACGGTACTTGCACTTGCACTAACGCCCAGCATGGCGGCGTGGCCTGCGGCCAACCTGTCTCGTCGGGCACCCTGTGTAAGAAGTGTCATAAGTATTGCGCTGGTTGAATGAGGGCCGGATTCAAAGCTGAGAGATGTTAAAGCGCTGAGCATATCTTCCTTACCGTGGCTGTTCCAAAATTTGCATTGGGAAAACTCCCGGTTTAGCTAGGTACCTCAACTGCCTCAGGCAGCCTAGCGTACGTGCCGGTTGCGCCTCCGTAAATCCAACGTCTATCCTACCAAGCCACTCAATATCATAAACCACTGTGCGCGCTACTTCAGTATCAAGGATTACTTTTGGGCCTTGCTAATGGTGCTGTATCAAATCTGCTGTATGTGCTGTATCACCTGACCCCACCCCCTAAAAATTAGTGGGAGTCCCCTATAAGCCCCCTAAATCCACCACCACCACCACCACCACCCAACCTACGCACCTAATAAGAAGACCGTGAGATCAGCCTGAAAACGCGAAAAACGCAATAAAATTTTAATATGGTAAAAGTGGCACGATTATATGTGAAGTGGTCTGTGCGTCAATTGCGTAGGATAATATTGTGGTATTATGTGGTTATCTCCTAATCGTCCTCCATCGTCGTCAGGTCCAAACGGTCTTCAACCTCGATACCGCCTTCTAGCTGTTTACCATCACGATTAGCTGTAATAATCGTTGCGATTCGTTGATCTCGTGAGGACCTCCTTCGGGAGGATTGTAAAGCAAAATCCCAAGACGATCCATGGTGTTACGAATGGGTGCAAAAACGGCCTACTTTGCAGTAATTTGGGTGAATTGCATTTAGCTGGGGATGGTATCAGAAAATCACTGTCTGTTCGCCGGGCCGGTGGCTTGGGCACAGCTGGCGGCAGCTGAATTTCTGGGGTCTGCAGGTGGCTTCAGCTGAATTTGGGGGGCGGGGTCAGGTGATACAGCACATACAGCAGATTTGATACAGCACCATTAGCAAGGCCCTTACTTTTATAACCATCGTAAGCTTACCGCTGACGAGTGCCTTTTCTTACCCAAACTCAAACCACTGTTAAACGGCTCTGCTAGGGATCACTAGCCTGCCCCGCGCCGCTCTGCCACCCCAAAGGCGTCGAATCGCAATTATCCAGGCCTTGACACGAACAGCTCTCATACGTCCCGTGGGATGGAGATGGCGAGAGCATCCATCGGCTCGACACTACCAGTTCAGTGCGGGACCCGCAGTCTCGATTCAGATCGTCTCGGATATCCACATGGAGTTGATGGATAGCCAAGTCCGTACCGACTTCGACATACCTGCCCGCGCCCCGTACCTGGCACTGCTGGGAGATATCGGCTGCTTTGGGATGGCTAACCATCCGATCGAATTCATCGAAAAACAATTCAAGAAGTTCGAAACGGTATTATATGTGCTAGAGAACTATGAGCCGTATCATTCAAGTTGGGCTGGCGTCTAGATGACCATGAGTGAACTCGAGCGGAAGCATAATGGCCGGCACAGTGACAATTTAGGCCGATTTGTTTGACTGAACCGCAAGGCTCACGATATAGTTCAATCCAACGTCACGGTGATCGGGACTACACTTTTCTCCGACATCCCTACCACCGCGGAGGACCGCATCGGCAGAGGCATGAACGACTTCAGGCTCATCGGGGCCTGGACAGTGGATCATCACAAGCGCCGACACCAAGAGGGCGTTCCGTGGTTGAAACAAATGACTAGGACTCTGGAGAATTCTAAGCGAGAGATAGTGATTTTCACGCACCATAGTTCAACGATCGATCCTCGTAGCACAGCTACCCAGAACCGGGATAGCCCGTTGAGGTTTGGCTTTGCGACAGATATGGCTACTGAGTACTGTTGGCGAAGCTCCAACGTCAAGTTGTGGGCGTTTGGTCACACGCACTTCAACTGCGACTTTGTGGATGAAGCCAGAGGAAACCGTTTATACACGAATCAGAAAGGTTGCTTGAACAGGCCACTCCAAGACGGACTTGTATTTGACGTCGCCAAGGTTATTAAACTTGGCTCTTCGACAAGTTGACACAGTGAGTTTGAAACAAGACACTCATCTCGTAAATTAAGACCTTCGTAGTATGCGGAAAGGACAAACAAAGCATGTGAAATCTGCCTGTTTTGCTGGCGAACAAGGGTGACCCACTTGTGGGTGTGGCCCATTAAGGGGTGGGATACGTTAGGTGTGTTTAGGCATTCTTGTACAGGCAATCCAGGTCTGTGCCGCGGAGCTTGGAGAAGACAACCCGAATACACTGATTGCTATGGTCTGTAGTGCACAAGTCTATCAATGGCAGAAAATGTAGCCGGAGGCTGAGAGGCCTGACCGCCTTGCATCCTGTTGGCTGAGCTCAATGCTGTTGGTTGGGCTGGTTGGGCTCCATACGGCTGGTTGGGCGGGCAGCTTCACTAATGCACGCCAAGCTTTGCTAAGTATGGAACCTGACATTCCGCATTTGCATGCCACACAATCTTGACAGCACGTGAGAGCTTAATTTGCTCTTCTTCTATCTTACTTGTTTACGATAGAGTCACAAATCGCCCATCAGAGACTTGTAATTCAGTCAAGAACGGGGGATGAAAGTACTACTCTTAAACCTTCCATGTACGACACCACGGTATCTTGGGAGCCCCTGCCGTCCGCCAAGCTTCGAAGGATTCCATACGATGCAAGGTGTGCTTTGCCTCAAAGATCGGCGCTCGAGGCAGTTGATGCTGTGCCGCAAATCCAACTTATTTACTGCATCGAAATGTCCTCTCTTCTGCCCTGGCCTCTTCTGCATTTCCCACGACACCAAATCCATGCAATTTTCCCTTGAAGATGCTTCACGACTTCCACAACAAACTGACTGGTGTGTCAATTTTGTTGGCGATTGCTTTACTAGGTTGTACTGTGGGAGCTACATGTACTGGTTGGAAACACGACAGGATCAGCTTGGATGACGGATCACAATTTTCAAATCATTACTCGGTGTTTCTCGATCAGTTGGCTTGTCCAATTAATGCCACGGAAGATTGTCAATTTGCCCGGCGGTCATACGACATCACAGCCGAGCGCGATCTTGTGAATGGTGGCGGCCGGTCACTAGACCTTCCTTCAGACGAAGCAGAAGCAATATTCAGACTTGCTCAAGACAGTTTCAACAAAGAAATCAACCGGGGAAACACAAAAAATACAACGACGTTGAAAGAATTCATAACCCGCAACGCCACCGTGTCGACTCAGTCCCTCCAAATTCTTGGTGAGGATTCCATTATACTTCAAGTTGAGCCGGGCACGAACGAAACACTTTTGTGGACATCATTCTATATGTACTCTACCGGCACACTTGATGGATGTACCAACGAGACGTTGAACAACATGACCATCACAGCTGCCGCACCGTATCTCACGCAGGAGCCCCGTCTCAATAATCTGACGGTTCTAGCAGGCACATGGGCAGCAGCTGGGACCAAGATTAGCGATGACAAAACCAATGGGGTGGCTTCGCTCGTCAAAGGGTCATTCGACAACACAATACCTTGGATAGTGGTCACTACATTGATCGTGGCCTCTTCACTCTAAGAGTGTCACACATTACATTTCTGCACGACTTGGGTCCCTGATAGTAGATTGCGACAAGGAGTTACATCTAGTTACATCAAGACACACAGTGGCGCAGCCAACAAATAGCAAATTGTTTGCCATTGAATGATTGCATGCGTGATACGTCAGGGCCTTACTGTCCTGCAGCAGTGAGATAGTGAAAGCAATATCTGCGATCCAGACTACATTGGACCGATGATTGTTAAACCTTTGCCGGAAGGCTGAATGAGAAATCCAGTAGCAAATTCTGGACACACTTTGCCTTTTGCCTCTCTTGATTGTTGAATGGAGTTAGACGGATTTTAACTAGGCGAGCGAATGGATAATCAGGGCATTCGCCGCCTCAGGAGGACAGCTGCAATTGTAACGGAGACGATCATAGCACAGGCAATGGTAATTCAAGGTCTAATGCAGTGATATGATGCTGAGAGGACAATCTTGACCTGACCATTCCCGTTGAAAAAACATAACCCTCTCCGCGTTCATGACCCCCATTTCTTATTGACAGCATCATACAGAGTCTGGTTGATGGGCAGGACGCTACCATGTCTCAGATTGGCCGGAAATGCGGATCGACTACTAGCTGTCCACGTATTGCCCTTGGGGTTGGTGCTCTCGTAAGGCCTATAGCCATCACTGCCGTAGAAGTCGAGTAGAACATGGACCTTGTTGTCGACCTGGTTGTCACGGTACGCAGCTGGACCTTCCACACCTGACGTGATTATTCCAGAACTGCCCCCAGCCCTGGTCCACGAGCCAAACAAACCGGAGTTTGAATACTCCAGAAAAACTGTTTTGGCAGTCTCGTCTTTCATGAACCGGAGATAGTTGGTGTTGCTGGTGTCTAAAGGAAGAATATCAAGATCTATAATGTTCGTGGGCGAGTAATTGATGTACGTTTGTGGTGCTGTGAAAGTTTTAAAGTCACTTGTATACGCATATCTGATCCGGATGTTTGATGGAGTCCCCGTGTGCTTGGTGTCTGAGGATGAATACTGAATTCTGGGGTCAGATATATGCCTACGGATCAAGCCGCCAGATGGACGGAATGACTCACAAACTTAGACGCCCAGTGAACGAAGTACTGATCTGCGATAATCAGATGAGTAGAACCCATGGAAAGTGTTAGTGAGCTTGACTAACTTTTTGAAGGATCCCAGATCGCTTCAGGTGCCCAAACCATTCCCGCAGTAGATTCTTCCACGGTGACAAGCCTTTCATTGTTCCAGTTAACTAGATCAGTACTCTCCCATACGAAAATTCCGCGGGAACCTGTACGTTGCGCGGCGTCCCAGTTTGTCTAGTCGCGTTAGAGAGCCCAAAGGTATCGAGAGATGGCTGAGTTGTTCTCACCTTGCCAATATTCAAGTCTGTCCCAACGATGTACCTTTCCAACATTTAGAGTCAGAATTCCGATACTCCAGCACATTAATAAGGATGGCTGCATATCCAAACGATTGCGCGACCGGTGGTCTTGTAGGGCACAGTCCAGAGTTGTCCAGAAGACTCGAAAAAGACTACCCCAAGAAGGAAGATGCGTACCATTTCTTCCCAGCCTCAAATCCACCTCCTTGAACTATTGCAGGATCCCTCACGCCTCCTGTTCCTTTAGTTGGCTTAATGACCGGCTGGCCCTTGTTCAAAGACTTGAAGGAGATGCCATTATTCCCATTGCTGAGATGAAAATAGACATAGGGATCCGCCCCAAGGAAGAAGGCACCCAGATATCCCACCAAGCCGGTATCGATCCGCTTCTGAGCTTGAATGCCAAAATCAGCAAGATCAATTGGGCTGCATGTGATAAGTTGGGCCAACAGGGCTAGAGTAATGACAATACTCGGCGCTCGAGATAGAGCCATATCGACTGATGAGAAACAAGCACGGTCGACCCAATACAAAAGATGGTTCAGTCAGACGTGTCATTGGATGTTATGGGCATCGCCAGTCTTTGTGCATTTAGTGCACCCTCAGGCGAGCCGAAATGGGAAAACCGGAGCTTGAATCTTCAAGTATCCGCTGTAGATCCGGCAGTTGAGGCTAAACACCGTGGAAGTTCGCTTTGGGGATGACGTGGGGCAATTCCAAGAACTTTGATTGGCGGAACATTTATGTTTACCAAGGTTGAACACCCAGCACGCTCACGGTGGCAGCAAGTGCAACGTTCAAGACTTAGCCAAGCAACATACCTAGCGGTTGAGTTCACAACGCTGCGAATCCGCTGAGAGGTAGTTAATTACCTGGGTACAGAGAGGAATGTGTCAAGTCTCGGCGTGGTGCATTGCGAAACCTCTCCTCCACTTTAGTAATAGCGTGTGGATACGGGGGGAGCCCGGGGTCATACTTTTAATCCAGTTTTATTTCCTAGTTCATTCAGGGGCAAGTCAAACTTGATATTGATGATCTCTGACTAGTTACAGACGGATGGCCTAGGCTTGGCGTCTTGGACCAAACCTCAACCCTTGTGCTACTCTAATCCAGACGTCGTTGGTGGAGAAATGGAAGAACTTGCTGGGTCCTTACTATCCACGAGATTGAAAATTCGACGTCTTGTACTCCCTATCATTTCAAAATATCTGGATTGAATATCTATAAAGTTTAGTTTTCATATTTTCTTTTGTCTCGCATGTTGCGATCCTTCAGTGGCTGTCACTTCTCTTCTTCGCTTGCCAGCATGTTTAACTTTTCCCCCAACACTGCAATTCTAGCCATATTGGCTGCTTGTGCCCATGGACATGGTGTGCTTAATAAACCCAGTCCCCGTATTGTAAGCTGGACGTCTCCTCAATTGTTTGAATGAGTCTGACACGACTATAGACTGGCCCTGTCCAGAAGGCCCTATGCGGCAGTGCAGTGACGACTGCTCTAGAGAAAGGTAACCACCAAGTATTGTCGATTAATCTCGTCTCGCATGCTGAATATTACTCATCAGATATCGCCGGTCCGATCGAGGATGCTCTAGCTAAAGCAGATGCGAACTATAAATGCAATGCGTATTTGTGCCGAGGGTATCAATACGAAGATAATCTAGACAATGTTAAAGTAGTCAGTGTTGGCGATAACTTAGTTTTCCACGTCGATCTTATTGCAGGCCATCACCCTGGATGGGCGGTAAGAAAGAACATTGCCCATGTATGGTAAGCGTAAACTCACTGAATCACTAGAACATGTCTGCTGTAGACCTGGGTACGAACACTCTTATCGGCGATGCACTGAAAACTTGGGATGAGTGGCCGATCTCGGGTTCTAACGAGGACAGTACGTGCAATATGACTTCCACTCGTATGATATATTAGCTGATGTGATACAGTTGACTTTAATGTCACTATCCCTGACTCTTTGAGGACACCATGCAACGAACCGGGAAAGTGTGTCTTGCAATGGTATTGGTGGTCCAACAGTAATAAGCAGACTTACGAGAGCTGCCTTGATTTCTACGTTGAAGCATGATTGAGGTAAAGCAGGGAGTTAGATCTGTCATACATCCCAACTCGACTACTACAGCCCGGACCGATATATCATTGGAGTGCAATACTTGTCATATAGCTCGAGTGTTGATGCACGAGCCTGAAGATTTGTCCAGCCAAGGAAAAGGCTCCCACTGGAGGTTTAAACCCTGCATTGCAGCTTACTGGAGGTGAACTCTACATAATTATCATGCACAGTATCCATCCAGCATCCATGTAATGCGTGCCTGTCGATAAGTCTCGCCGTCGCCGCAGAGGCACTTCAAACCGATCGCATCTCCTAAACATTGCTAGTTCAGGCCAGACTGTGTCTATGATAATTTGCATTCCTCTGCTGCGAAGCGAAAATTAGTTCGCAGCAAGTTGCACTTGATATCCTGTTGCACTTGATATCCTGTGGCACCTCGCTAGACGATACAACTCACCTTGGAATTACATACATCGGCACGTGAACCTCCCCGCTATACCGATATGGTAGAGCGACAGGGGTCTAGCTTACGTACACCACCTGTGGCATGTCAGCATTACTGCCATTGCTCGCCTCTGTGGCACAGCCTTCATTTCTACGAAGTCCTTTGATACACTTGCCAACACATAGCAGGTCGAGCTCAAGATTATACCCTGTCAGATAAGACTCTGTGTCTTGTTTACGCGACGCCGCTTTGGCTTACTGCAGTCTCCAACTACTCCCTTTGCGTCAAGCGTGCATTCGGAAAGTGGGTGCTCACTTTTGGTGTGGTGACCTAGCGAGACAATGCAACCAGAAAATCGGAATCCAAATATGCTAGCCCCCAAACCACCTGGAAGAATATGGGCGACCAATGCTGAAGAATGGGAAAAGCACAGAGAGCTGATATCCAATCTCTACTACAAACAGGGCAAATCTCTGAAGCAGGTGGCGGCAGTAATGCGAACCCAGCATGGCTTTCAAGCAACGTAAGCCTCGCTTTTCGACTATCCTGAAGCGTGATGCTGATCAGCAGAAGAGAGAAGATGTACAAGTATCGATTGAAAAGTTGGGGACTTAGGAAGTATCTGAAAGCAAGCGAGGCACAAGAGGCTTGGCATCATGTCGCTGCCGGTAGAGGAGGACAACTCCCTATGGTCGAAGGCCGGCAACTTGGCTCGCAAAAACTCAAATCCAGCATAAATCGGGCAAACGCCGCCCTGGAACGCTTGCGCAATATCCAGGGTGATGATAACGCCGCAGGCCAGTACGTACCGTCACCATTGCCGACCAGCATAAGCCTCCCAGAAATTTTGTACGCTCAGGAGCATGCACTCCACTCGGTCACTATATATACTACCACCTGCTTTGAGAATAAGTGGGACATTCTCAACGGTAGTTATGGTCAGGATTCCACCGTTCATTGGTGGGCTGATATGCACTTAGCTGCGTATAAGCTCAAACGATGGCCGAACTCGGCCGCAGCGTTCAAGTTACTCAACGAATGCTGTGACCAGTATGGTCATATACTACGACGAGAAGATTTCGGTCTTGTCTCGTGCACGTATATGTCTATACTGAAACTTTCTGATGCTAATAACGATGTTGCCATGGAGTTTATGAAGTATACCGTGGGGATGAGTCGTATTCTTTTCGGTCCGACTCACCCGTTTACCCGCCTCTGCAATAGTCTATATACCATGGGCATTTCTGAGGCACGCCAGGCTTGCAATCGGATCATTAGCACACAGTTTGAAGTCATGCATAATTTCGGAAAGCCTGGAAATCCCCTTTGGTTCGTGTCAACATTCTTGTTGTACAGTTGGCTGAACAGTATGGGCTTGCTGGGTTCAACAAAAACGGTCAAGCAATTGACGAAGAATGTCGTCGACAAGATGAAGACAGATCTTGTCCCTGGTAGTGTCGATTCTAAACATTGGCTGCCATGGTCTCAGATCTTCACTGAAGCAATGCTAAATCCCAATTGTAGGTCCGCATCTCCAATATCACCCAACCATGCAGATGCTGGGCCACACTTACTCGAGGAGTGGCATCGCCAAAAGTGTCTATCAGAAAAGGATGCGCTGAATATCGACCCTCTGGCAATCATAGCAGTGACAGAGGAAGTCACGGAAAGATATGATAGTGCGGAGAATCATTATAGGCGCGCAGTTCAGGTCGCCCTTCAGCACGTCCCAAGCGACCATTCCCGAACCTCAAGGGCGTATATGTGTTTGGAGAAATTCTACTTGCGAAGAGGTGACATGACGGCAGCAGAGCGTACGAGACAGGAGTATCAGACTGTAGTTTCTAGTGAGGTAGATACCATTGAATGAAGGTTTAGCCCCAAAGGCAGATCCGTACGAGGATGATAATGTCTGTATGTGTGTGTGTTCCAGAGTGCTCAGTGATTTGTTAGAGTTCACCACGAAGTGAATAACCTAAAATGATGCTGTATCAGCGAAACCCAGATGTCTCATTTGTGAAAGATACCTGCTATTAGATGGTATCGGAGAGTCTTTCTCTATAGTGTACACCATGCGGCACTGACTGAGAGCACCCAGGGGCATATCTTCAGTGCCTTTGACACAGCAGCAGCGAATCTCCCGGAAGCCACATGGACTTTCGCACGAGTCATCCAGACGTGACTGGAATGCCAAAAGTGTTGGCAAATGAGCAGAATCTTCACTCGAGTGGACCTCAGCTACATTGCCGGTGGAGAGATTCCACACTTGGTTGTTTTAGCCCTAATACTGCCAATGCTTCAATATCAAACCCAGGCAATCCGATGTGGTGTAGTGGCTAACATTTGACGCTCTCATGGTATCATGAACCGTCAAGCCCGGGGTTCGATTCCCCGCATCGGAGTACGCGATTCTGCCTCTTGTTCATTCATTGGCGTCTTGCTTGAACAGGAACAGGTGGACCTTTTTTGTTTCTTGTGCTAATGCGCACGGGCAACCAAAATACGTAGCAACTGCATGCACCTGCCTGCATGTGGCACTTGTTGACGACGAGGTGTCATTCGATTCCAATTTGAGTACCGCTATGAAAAGCAAAATGACAAGGATCTGATCTACGATCTGTGCGTACGATACCAGCGGCTCCTAAGTTTGAAGGAAACATGAATACATCATTGAATACGGGAGGATGCGTTATTGTCCTGTAGATGCCACCTTCAATGCTTCCCAGCTCTTTCTTGTACGAAGCAATAGCGTTGCAGAGCTGCCACTGGTCCCTCGGTCCCGATGCAGGTGAACTTGGTGCTACACAAGGTGCCTCCCATCGCACGTTCTCGGGTTTCTTATGATTTGAAAGTATACGCCGCCAACTTGCCGTCATCGTAGCAAGGGATGATGACCTCACTATAGCCATCGCCGTCAACGTCAACGACACTGACTTGGCCGACCGTGCAACCGCAGTCGTGAAGATATGTGGTCTTATAAGTCCAAGCAGTCAAACCCGGAATAAGAACATAGGCCTTTTGAGCAGCATCTCCAGCAAGCGCAATATACGGGATTCCGACCTTGCTGGTTGCTGGCGTAGGGAAGAAAGCCCTTGGGGACCCTGGGGCAGCCTGGTTGAGACCGCGCTGAGTAACAGGAAAGCCTGAAGCGAGCGTGTGACGGGTGTAGCCTCTGGCATTAGTGACGTTCGCAGGGATCTCGTAGGCGTAGACTCCACCGGTGCCATCTCCTTGGTGATTACTGACTAGGAGGTCTTTCTTACCATCACCATTGATGTCAACGTACTGAGCATCGAACGCAGCGCCGATTGTGCTGTCAATGGTGACAGTCTTAACGTTTTTAGGGTTAGCGAACCCATTTGATGCGCTCGAGTGGTAGATGTTGAGTTTCTCCGTAAAGTACGAAGGGGCAATGACCTCTGGGATTCCATCGCCGTCCAGGTCGGCGACAGTAAAGAGGGCATCACAGCCAGCCCCGATCTCGGTCTCGACCCATGTTCCGAGAGGTTTGTTCGGGTTTTGTGGCTTCAAGATTACGAGCATTGTCTTGGTGGCACCAATCAGCGGCTTGTTGGCTCGACAAGAAACCATATCGGGAACACCATCACCATCCATATCTGCAAAGATAACTCGATGGTACCACCAGCCTGACTGGGAAATAAGCTGAACCCAGCTTCCAGAGGTGCTACCGCTGTTGGCCGAGAAATATATGCCCCCATTGGTCTTGGTAGGAACGAGGAAGCCGCCTCCCACTAGCACACCTTCAGTGCCAAAGACTGCCTTGGGAGCGATGGTAATGTCGTTGGGCCATGTAATGCTTCCTGGAACTGTAGTAGCCTTTAACTTGTTTATGCCGACGGAACCCACGGTCGATATGTCGTTGATGCGGTGGACAGAATCACCAAGGAGCGCAAAGGAAGACACGAACAGAGCATCTTTTCCACCCTGCGAGATGACTTCGGCGAAACCTACGTTGCTGAGGCTCAATTGTCCCAGAGACTTGACGGGAATCGAGGCATTGGTCGCAGGGGTGTTCTGTCCCTGGCGGCGCTCTAATGGTACGCTTGCTCCTTGGCCTACGGCAGCAAAAGCTGCTGCTACCAGAGCAGAGTAACTTAGACTGCATATTTGACATCAACTTCCATCATTCAATCATATCATGAAGAGAACTCACAGCTGAGGCAACATATCTGCGGTCAAAGTGGCTCAGACACTGTTTGAAAGCACAAGCGTGAAGAACCAGCATGACGGCAGGAAGCTTCTCCCTCGCTCATTTTATCTCCCTCTTATATCCTTAGGATCGATCTCTTTCCATATTTGCTTGACCGCGCCGTATCATAACTGTCGCTCTATTGGCCGTCGTTTACCGCTCTGGGTCATCTGGCATATTGCATATGTAGATAGGAGCATTTCCATGTTCGTCAAGCTGCTGCATTAACATGTACATTGCGCTGTCGCCCTCATAAGAAAAACTACCATGAAGAGAAATCTCATCCGTATCGGATATTTGATTGCTGCCAAGAAGCCTTTTCGAAGCAATTCCTCGTCTTGAATTCTTTCCCTTGTGCGATATCGTTGTATGCCACAAACGCTGCGAAGTGGTTACGGCGTAAGGAAGGTGGTGGTGCGGTGCGGCTCTGAGCCCGGGAAGTTAAATGGTGAGGAGCTCATTGAGTGCCGGGGTCTTGGAACTGTACACTTATCTCTGGGCGTGGGAAGCCCGGGTCGCCGACCATTTACGTGAAATGCCCCTTCAAAAGCCATTCGGATCCGACGATTAAGCTTTGAGTGGCCCGCCCGGGCTTCGGAGTGAAAATTCTGGCAAGGCTCCAATGTCATAATGCGAGAGCCGGGGTCTTCTCGAATAGGAAGGCATTGCCACGTGCGGACGGGAAAGACAACCGAGACAGGCCACTTGAACGTCGGACGTCCCAATCATGGTTATTCTCGGAGAAATAATATATAATTGCCAAGTAGCGGGCGGAATACTATCGCGCTAACGTGCTGGAATTCCACAATAGAACATTAAGTTGGTATCTAGAAGTTCGAGCAAGATGTGTAAGACGCAGGTTGTAGGCTTATTCGAAGCGGTGAGAACATGTGGGGTTCGGGATGCCACTTACCATATTAATTGAAAGATATCCGCATCCGGTATCCGAAGCAGTCACATGCTCCCGTAGGCTGACTTGCGACATCTGACCCGACACTGTTGGTTCATCACGCCAAGGTACTAGGCTGAAAGCGAAGTTCAAACAGAATGCTCCTTTTCTTATAACAATCGAACTTGTGCGCTGTCTTAGAGATAGCATTCTCTAAACGACTTATCTTGAAGCACAATGGAGTAGCGCCCCGGTGTAACTCAACAGGAATAGAATCCATGGTACGGATTGTCGCCTTGGACTGTGTACCTGAGCCTGAGTTTGACTTGTGTACTTGACCGAGTCCAATCCTGTACTCTCGATTGCTATTCAGCCGTTGCGAAGTTGACGCGAAGCTTTTGGTATCTCAGCGTGTTTGGGGCGATCTGCATGATAGAAGGCTGTACGCGCCAGTATACCATAGCAATAGCTGAGGATTCTGGTCGCGGACTGTTTTCAATTCACTATTTATCTTGCACCTAATGAATTCTATTATAGAAAAATGTTCCTTTCAAAGCGTTAGCCACAGCTTGAGCCAAAAGATTCTGGATAGCTGTGGCGGGATGTAGTGCGTCAAACCACAAACAGCTCTTCCCATTGGTGTTCGTGCACGTAGCATCAGGGGCGCCATAAGCCGTGGGATTATTGACAGCCGTCGAGAACGGTGGTTCTGATTGGATCACGGTCGCGATCTTAACTCCAGAATTGGATGACTTGAAAGAAGATAGTGCCGTTGCAAGATTTGAGTTGAATGATGAAATATAATTTTTCACGGTCGTCTGCCCCGCGGCCGACTGGCCTCGGATTTGCGGGGTATATTGCAGCGCTATATTCGTAGAAAGGGGGTTTCGTTAGCAAAGCTCCAGCAAAAGCCCCAGCAAAAGCTCCAGCAAAGAGCATACATCGGCGTTGGAGGCAAGAAACTTTGAGAAACACTTACGGGGCACCGTGACAACGAAAAAGTTGCGAACACCAGCGTTATAAAGAAGCTGGAATTCCGTCATATACTTCGAGATGATCGTGGAATAAGGTGGCGTCTTGCCGTCCCAGTATTCCCCAAGAAGGTCGTTGATGCCAAAGAACGCGCCTGCAATGGCATTATCCGACGTCCATGGCGACCAAGATGGCTTATTTGCCAAGTTGTTCTGCCATTGAGTCACCTGAGTCACAAAGTCTGTCGTTGTAGACCCCTTGACGATGCTTTTGTCTACAGTTGCCCCTCCGACCGCAAAGTTATACCCCAGAGTCAACGAGGTATTGTATTTGGTCAGCAGATAACCGACCCAGTTATATCCACCGCTGAAGGTTGATCCTGGAAGCGCTGGGTTGCCAATAGGGTTCGAAGAGGATGGATGCGCGCCGTTAGGGTTAAATCCGGAAAAGGAATTCGTTGCCGTGTATGAGTCGCCGCTGGTCACGATTAGCATGTGAGTCAGCTGTCTAGGAGATGATGATATAAAGCCCTACAAGATGAAAATGTACTTGTTCCCGCTGATTGTAGAAGTCGCCGATGCAGCTGAGCTAGTTTTGGTCGTGGCCGTCGTTGACACGGCGACTGAGGTAGTGGACGTACCGCTCGGGGCGGCAGTGCCTGGAACGCATTGATCTAGAAGCAGGTAGGCTTTAGTATTCTGTGCTTCTGCTGGTAAATCCGTGTGTTTATCACATACAGTAATACGGGTTGACCGAGGAACAATAAGCACCGGAGATACAGGACGTGTCGCCAGTCCAGCCGGTGCCACCGCATTGTCCCCACTGGCTCTGTTGCGCACTTGCCACGGCGGCTGCGCCTACTAGGCCAGAGACCAGCCAGTTCTGCATAGTCATGATATTGGGTCTCAGGTGATGGAACTTTGGGTCCCGCGTTTTGATGGATGTGGTTCCAGAACTATGCAGGCGCTCACCTCCTCTGATGTGACATTTCTTATGCAGCAGGAGGACCCGTAGTTCCTAATATGCTGCTTAGGTTGAGCCTTAAGGCATGCTACCGAATCCAGAAATTTCGGAGTTGGGTAGTCCCTGGTATGCTTTCAAACATGAGGCACTATAGATTTAGTCTACGTTATGGTAGCTTGAGGTATCATTGTGAATGTGCGTCCAGACTTCCTATTGGTGGAACGTTAGAGCCATCTGCTTGTGGAGTGTCCTGGCTGGTCTGGTCCGGCATTGTCCTAAGCAAATGACCCAAAGCGGCCAAGACCTCGAGTCACTGAAGAGGGGTTACGAATGCTTTTGGCCACAGTCTAAAGGTACCAATCTCCCCGTATCGGGGATATTCGATCGCGCGGCTTGTATGCGGATCGTCAGTCCGCTATTCGAATTCGCTTGGAGGCTGCCGAATGATCTCTAGGCGCTTCGGCCTCTCGACAGCCCGGCCACCGACGTGACTGCTCATGCAGTCGGTGAGCGGTTTCTCGGCTGGTGAGCCAATGATCCCACTTGAATCGGCTTACATGCACGCTGAATGCCCTCATCAAATGTGTCTAGAAGCTCAACCATGATATTTTAAAATCAAACACTTCAAGGCTTGTAACAATCCACATCACGGTTCACTGTTGCAACCGGACGACGCGATGGAGCTATTTGCACTAGCACTCTTGATGGAACCAGTGATGGAAGGGACCAAACGAGATATCGGCCTTCTACTTAAGCATCTCGCGGTTAACAAAGTGGAAACGAATCTTCAAAACGAACATAAGTTAGAAATTTCCAATCCAACTGCATAGTCTCGCTACGTTTCTATGTTCTGATAGTGACGTCGCCCCTTTCTGTCTCTTAAGATTCATCCACTTCTTCCTTGACAACTTGTGGCCTTGCCTTGCTCAACCACAGTATGATTAAATTAAGAACAATCTATAGAGTAAAGAACATTGCCACAATCTTGTACCTAATCTTAAGCTTTGGCGCCTCTGCGGTATTGTAGATCAACAAGGGAACCCACGCCTGGAATGTGAATGCGGCAGTCTCGACGACTCCAATTTCAATGGCTCTATACTTGGCAGAATGTGAACAGATCTCGTTTATCCAGGTCCTCTGGGTGGATACTGAGAATGATGGTCCCGATCAATGCAACTAGGCATGCGACAATAATCATTGGCCATCGCATGCCATTGCGTCCAAAACCCAAGCATAGGTCAACGTGAAGAAAGTCTGCGTGCCGTGCCCCGCGGTCAGGATGATGTTGACCTCTTCGGTGGTGTAAAGCTGGGTGGCCTTCAGCCAAAGGTTCATGTAGCTGTAGATGCGGATGCACAGCACATGGCAAATGAAGGTTGCACAGAAAAGCCAGACTGGCCATGATGTCGAGATCTCGCCAAGTACCTTGCATGTCAGCCGCTTCATTGGCTTCCGGCCGACTTTCTCCATGCGAGCAATAGCCATCTCTCAGTCGTGAGATTCAAACCACCAAGCTTTGGAAGTTGTCGGCTGGTTTCATGAAAACCCTATTTGTCGCCTAAGCGGGCCATAATGCGCCGTGAAAGCTATATCGCTGATCGGCAGTCAGCCATTGTTCTCCATTGGATGTGACAGGTACGAACATATTCACTGAATACGGGATAGAATAGTACGCGTGAGTGCATGGACAATGACCCAGCTACATATTGCTTTAGAAGAAGAGTCTGCTGGATATTGCAACTTCGGACGGGATATTTTCGAGGCATGGCATAAAGGTGGAATAACCGGGGTTTCCTACACCTGCAGACTGTGGGAGGGGTTCCGAGGCAGCATGACCAATATTGTGCAATAGAAGAAGTGGTTCGAGGAGCACGGTGACCTGGCCGTCCAGGTGCACACCATTGCCGACAAACGCGCAGACGCGCCGCGAAGAAGGCAGGCAAGAACGCCGTGCTACTCTCGTGGCAGAACACGGCCGGCATCGACGACCAGCTCGACTACCTCCGAGTCTTCAAGGACTTGGCGTCAAGAAGATGCAGCTCACCTACAACACGCAGGACTATTCCAGTGCAGGATACACAGAGCCCAATGACTCTGGCCTGACTGGCTTTGGCCGTCAGGTTGTCAATGAGATGGCAAAGCTGGAAATGGTGGTAGACCTGAGCCATGTTGGTCCAAAGACCAGCGAGGACGCCATCAACCACGCGCCCGAGGGCAAGCCGCCATGCTTTTCACATGTCCCGCCTTCCGGCATGAAAGAGCACCCACGGAACAACTCCGACCACCTCATGAAGCTCATCGGCTCCAAGGGCGGGTTTGTTGGTCTCTCCCAATTCGGCCCGCACATGAAGAAGGATAACGACAGCACAATTAATGACTACGTCGATGCGCTAGACTATGTGATTGGCTTGATCGGGGAGGACCTGGTAGGAATTGGGTCCGACGCCAGCGAGGGCCATGGCATGCTGTCGGAGTTCATGGCGTGGTGCAACAAGGACAAGGGCTACGCCAGGCAATTGACATCATGGGGCAGCTAGAAGGTGGTCAAGCCCCTAGAGCCGCTGGCAGAGCGGGCCGAATTGGCCTGCGCTATGATGATGGTAGAGGAGTATTGGCATCTTGCAGGGCTCGTCTGTTCGTTGTGACGGTGTTCGGGAAACGGCCAAATTGCCATCTGCGAGGCAGTCCTCCTGTTCACAGAATCACACCGAGTCCGGTATTGATTACTTAGCCTTCCCAGACTTCGGGACCGAATGGCTAGGATGCACCTGTCGTGGGAGAATCCCAGGCTTGCCAGGCGGTTCCACAGTTCCGGAGCCAAGCTATTGGCATAAGCTTGTACTTTAAGCTCCCGGTGTGCGGGACCTACCAGACGCCGCACGCCGCCGAAAAGCGATGCCTACGGCAATTGAGGCGTTGCCATACAAGACTCGAGTGCGTCATGATCCAGATATCGCATTGACTTCCACACCTGGCATGTAGTGTTTATAAAACCACTTGATAGGATGGATGATTTATACAGTCTCGTTCGCAAGGTTTCTTGGTGAACAAAGCTAGAGCTCATGGACACCAGAGGTTCAGATCTTTGTATTCACCAGTGCTGTGAGCCTCCCGGCAAACTCATTGCCATACATTGCGAAGCAGCAGCTGCAGCGGCACTATGTCTGCGCAACTTGAAAGTCAAGCCAGCTTCGAAAGTGGCATATCCGGCTTCATGTACCGGCAATTTTTAATCCACAGAAAGCCAGTACCACCTGGTATGAGCATGAAAGGGAAGACCGCCATTGTAACAGGCTCGAACACCGGACTAGGCCTCGAGGCCGCACGGCAACTACTACAATTAGGAGCTACTACCCTTGTAATGGCTGTTAGATCACTGGACAAGGGCAACGAAGCTGCAAAAGAGCTCAGACCCGCTTTCCCTCAAGCCCGGGTAGAGGTCTGGACCTTGGATATGGAGGACTACGCTGCTATTGAGACGTTTGCGGAGAAATGCAAAGACCTCAAGCGCATAGACGTGGTGATTCTTAACGCTGGATTGCAGAACACTACGTATAAGAGGTCAGTGAATACAGGTCATGAGCAGGTTCTCCAGGTAAACTACCTATCGACGGCGCTTCTCACGATCCTCCTTCTTCCTGTCTTAAGGGCGAAGAAGGAATCATCATCAAGGTCACCTGTCATTACCTTGGTCACCTCGGACACGGCATACTGGGCAACCTTAAACGCCGAGGAGCCTGTTTTGGCGCAGTTTGACAACGAAGAGAGATTCTCGCAGTTCGCCGCGTACACGGGCACGAAACTACTGGAACAGATGTTCCTTATCAAGCTTGCCGAGCTGGTTAGCGCGGACGACGTGATCATCAATGCAGTTAGCCCGGGATTAGTCGATGGCACGGCCTTGGATCGGGACAGTCCAGCTGGACTTTTGTTCGGGGCGTTCAGGAGAATTGTGGGTAGGTCCCTCGAGGTTGGCGGCAGTACGTATGTCGATGCTGCTGTAGTCCAAGGACAAGACAGTCATGGGAGTTATTGCAGTGATTGGGCTGTTAGACCGTCAGTGGCTATCATCTCTTTGAACTAAGAAGCGGAATTCTGACTCTGCCACAGGTTTCCGTCTATACTATACACAGAGGGTGGGCATACAATCATGGATAGGCTATGGGAGGAGACGATAGAGGAGCTTGACTTTGCAGGCGTTTCTAAAATTTTGCAAGAAATGCAGACATAACATAGATACATTGGTGACATTGCATATACGATGCTGTTACCTCCAAGACATCCATTTTTTTGTGGTTGTTTCCAAAAAAAAAAAAAAAGCTATATGTAGCCTATGAGTTAAGTAAACCATCGCCAGTCATGGGCGGCGTCGCCTCCCTCGAGTCTACTTGTGTCTACATTTTCGGCCTTGAGTACGCGGCCTTGTTCTTGGTCCTTCCGCTTATTGTCTTGCTTCATCCAAACGCCGAGCCACAGCGTGAAGCAGATGCACACTGCATTGCAGCAGGCCGTCGCGATAAGGCATGGTGCATACTTGGGGGCATACTCTGTCCTAAAGGTAGCTGCAGAAAGGATACCGCCCAGGTTACCGAGTCCAACCAGCAGACCGGTGTTTGCTGCTCTAGAATTCTCGTTCAAATTGTTATTGTTGTGCCACGAATGGACCAAGCAGCTGGGAATGTACGCTCCTGCGGCTACTAGAAAGCACGCAAAGTATGCCAACCCCCGCGTGTTAACGGTATCGATGGCAGCGAGGATTATCAGGCCTACCATGGAAAGGACCAGCGAAAAGACGATGTGGTAGGTCCGCTCACGAAACCGGTCTGAAGAGTAGGTGACTGCGAGTAGCACCAAAAAGCCCGCGCAATTGGGCGGCACAGTCAGGAGATTTGTTACAACGGTCGAGTAACCCAGGCGCTGCAGTACAATCGGCAGAAAGTTCGCGCAGGTTGCGAATGCCACCGGGTATGTGAACGATATCACGCACCACAATGGAAACTTCCAGTCATTCCACGTTTGGAAACATTCTTTGAGGTTGAAGGCCGTGTTCACTTCAGATGAGGCGTCACGTAGAGACCTAAGCTTTGCGGCTTCACGCTCATCTGGCTTAAGGAACCATGCTGTATCAGGCGACGCTGGGAGCCAGAAGAACCCCATTACAGCAATCACGACTGTGAGCACTCCTGTTCAAGCGATGTAAGCAACACCAGTCCAGGAAGGGTTCCTCGAAGCCTGGAAACACCACTCACCTTCGATTATGAAGAGCCACATCCATCCTTTGACATGGGAATCTGGAATCTGGAATACTCCGAATGAAATCACGCCGCTGAAAGCGCTTGCGAGAAGAGCTGAGCCGAAGAAGAGCGCGATGCGGAACCCCAACTCGCCACGAGTGTAGAAAAGCGTCATGTAGAAGACGGTCCCTGCGAAGAATCCGGCTTCAAAGGCTCTAGATATCATTCAGTCGAGCTAAACAGGTTTTGAGAAAATGAATGAATTGAATACTTACCCCAATAGGAGTCGGAGCACGAGAATTCCTGCAAAGTTCTTGGCTGCAGTTTGGAGCAAGGCCATGGAGCCCCATCCAAACATCAGTCCTGGTAGCATGATCTTGCCAGAGAACTTCTTGGTGAGCATGTTCAGGGGCAGATCACAAAGTCCGTTCGGAATATAGAATAGCAGGATGAGCAACGAGTACTGGTTGCCCACGAAGCCTAAATCGTTCCCCAGCCCATCTGTCTGAGCATTTCCCAGGTTACTCTGTGGGGCAGATCAGTAGATAGTCTCTAGGTTGTGATGTATCCATTGCCTACCCTGTCTACCGAATTGAAGAAGTACATGAGACTGAGGAACGGCAAAAGGTAGAAGTCGAGCTTCTTGACTGCCGTCACTGTCAACAAGATTTCCTGGGTAATGTGTAGTGTAGTGTGCTTACCATATGATCTCTCGACCTTCTTCTCGAGAATGATCATCCCGTGGCCTTGGTCGACAGATGGCTTATCGCTGGAACCTTTCCTATCCATCTTGTCCACATTATCGATGGGTAAAACTGGCTCTGAACCCATGATGCTGATACCTGCTCGAGTGCCTAGATCGGTCCAATATCGTCAAATTGAGGGCTTGTACGGAGACGTGAAGTTGGGCTTCGGGGAGAACTACAAGCCTGAAATTCTGGCTGGGGAGATGAATAGAGAATTCCGCTGATAGCTGACAAACAATTGAGCTGCTGGTCACGGTGAGCTACATTTCAAGTACCACCGTCGGCAGCGATAGTCAGATTGGTCAGCTCCCAAACGCTTCGGTACAATCCCACAGTTCCGAAGGATACCATGCCTCATCCCTGATAAGACACTCTTTTAGTTGGCAGCAAAGCTGGCAGTTGAGAAAGTGAAAGTGGGATAAATACCGTCATATTTGTGCCTTCGTAACAGCCAACAACCCCCACTTATCATGTGTGCGCTTTCTCAACAGGGCGCATGCCGACTGGCAACTGCTCTTTCAAAGAAAAGACGTGTCATGTTATTGCAGCTTCTTTCTTCTTATAGTTGAAGTCACTGGGCCTCCCCAGAGTTGGATAAGACCTGTGTTATGGCAACACTTTTGTCCCACATCAGTTTTGAGGTTCTGGACACAGAAATGTAATCAGCATCTGCACACAGACTAGAGATAACTACAGGGCTCTCGAGCCTGCTCTACTAGCTTCTTTGTTATAACGGTCATTGAATTACACGATCACCTTGCTAACAGTGTTAAGGCCGAGGGAACCCCATTTTCAGATAACACAGGCCCGCCCCCACTTTCGCGGGTTGGGGTTCTTAAGTACGCATACGACTCCCACTCTACTATGTGTAATTAATCAGGTGCGTGCCAATGCGGTATATGAACGAACTCTCCCATTCAAGAGAACCCAGTAGTAGATTAATTATTACACGAAATCGCATCAGCTGAGGTTTCCGTTGAGTGCATGCGGTGAAAAAGCAACCCTGCAAATGGAGCGCTAACTAGACCATCTGCAGTGAATACGAAGACCTGTGAGAGTCAAATAACTTACACAGTTGGTGTATAAGTGGGCGTGAGTCTTTGCGCGATGTTGCCAGCAACCTCGTTCGTTGCTGTATGAAGACTGGACCGCCTAAAGGCTCCCATTCTCTCCTAATGATAACGATACTTCTGATTCTCCAACCAAAGCTTTGTCCTAGCACCTTGGGTCTTTTAGTCCAACTAGCAAGGCATATCAGTAACGGCCAGAGTCGTACGCAGTCACGGGGACCCTGCCACTCCGACTCCTGCGTGAAACAGTTGCCAGCCTACAAGGTGGCAAATTGAGCGGTTTGAATGGCCCACGAATGCAGCGCATGTTGAGCGCCCCGTTGCCCAAGCATGTGATGATGGGGGGGAACATTTAGATCAGGCCATCTGCGCCACGTTTTCCAGGCCTCCCAGGGGAATTCAGGGCAGGCCGACAGGGTAGCGCCACCTTACCCCATACTGGCGGGCCGTACGCTGCCTAGGTTCCCTAAGTAGGTACCTACAGTTGAGCGATGCAACCCCTGACGGCCTCTGATGCCCCAATCATTACCCGGAGCCGCCTGCAGCATGATTCTTGGCGGGCTTCGGCCAGATGAGATCCCTCACACGATGCCCAGCCCACGACGCTCACTGGACGGGCCAGCCCAGACTAGCTTGGCAAACCATGTCCACGATTGCCAGCTACCTCTTTCATCAGCGTTTGAGAGACAATGGAACGCCGCGGGAGTTGCATTCAGGATGAACCTGGTCCGCCATATTGGCCAATCACACCTCTGCCAAAGACCTTGCGGCGCTGGTAGGCACTGGTCGATCCGCGGATCATGAGGAATGGCAAGCATAGCCTGGATGGCGGCCGTCATAAGAACTTGATCACGGCCACATACACCACAGAATCCCTCGCGATGCCGCACGCCCGCCGCCAGACACGGCTTCACACCAAGCCTCGCACTCCTTGACAAGTCCTCGCGGCAACATCGACGTCATGGGTTCGGGTCAGTCAACGACGGGCGCCCCTGGGCCAACCATGTACACGGCGACAGCTTCCGCATCTGTCGCCGCAGCGCAAGCGACCGCCTTGACCTTGAGCCCTACGAGCAACGTCGCCGGCAAGAATTTCGATCGCTTCGTTCAGATCTTCCTAGAGAACCAGGACTTTGACATTGCCGCCGGTGACCGTACGTGATCTATCTCTACTGCCACGATTTGCGGCCCACGACAGAAGCCACTAACACATACGTCACAGCGAACTTGGCGTACCTCGCGACCCAGGGTATTGTCCTCGACAACTACTACTCGATCACGCATCCGTCGCAGCCAAACTACATCGCCGCCGCGGGAGCCAGCACTCACGGTGTACTGCTTGATAACTTCGCACGCATCAGCGCCGATGTCGAGACGATTGTTGATCTCCTGGAGGCAGGCGGGGTGAGCTGGAGTCTGTACCAGGAGGACATGCCATACTCGGGCTTTGAGGGCGACTATGTGAACCAGCAGAACGGCGCCAACGACTACGTGCGCAAGCACAACCCTCTGATGAGCTACGATTCGGTTACCGAGGATCTCAACCGTCTGGCAAAGTCCAAGAACTTCACAATGTTCGACAGAGACCTAGCGGCCAACACTCTGCCACAGTGGATGTTCATCACGCCCAACATGACCAATGACGGACACGACAGCTCCGTTACCGTCGCTGGCAAGTGGGCGAGGAATTGGCTGACGCCGTTGCTCAATAACAAGAACTTCAACACGGACCGCACCTTGATCGTACTCACGTTCGACGAGTGTGAGAACTACTTTGCTGCCAACAGGGTGTTTACTGTATTGCTTGGGGGCGCTGTTGCCGGCAAGAAGGGGACCACCAATTCCACCAAGTTCAACCATTATAGCTTGACCAAGACGGTGGAGGATAACTGGAACCTGGGCAATCTAGGCGAGAATGATGTAGGTGCTGCAGCGTTCTTCTAGCCAATCTGCACCAAGCTACGATGTTGTATATATGACAGTCACGTACAATTGAGTCCATGAGTTACGCCAGCGCTTCGCTATTCTGTGAGAGACGGTGTTGGGAGAACGGTGGTATAGTACGCAGCCATCAGTTCACAGGCATATTGCATCAAAACTCTAATGTTCAATGTACAAAAGACGCATCGTTGAAAGTGTTTGCTTCTATATACTGATGCTTTCTTATTCAGGCCGTGAAGCCTGTCATGGTGGGATAGGGATAGTCTACGCAATTGATTTCTTCCGGTTCTCATGCCACTCCGATATTAATCCACGGTAATCTGCCAACTTGTAAGGCTGGAAGATCTCACTTATCCATGAGCTCTTCCTCTTTGTCTTCATTGCCAGGTCTTCAAGTAGCATGTCCATATATGGCAGGCTGTCGAACACCAAGTCGGGAAACCTGGCGCCAGACCCTCCGGCCTCTTTCGGTCTTCGAACTCGCTCATACTCGGATTGCAGTAGTGCTTCTTGTCTCATAGTACCTGCACCACCTTGCACATTTGGTGACAAGCCCTGGAAGAACGCCGTGATCCAAAGAGCTTGTACCTGCGCCAGCATCACGGCATGGATGGATAGGTGCGCCCCTATGAATGCTAAGTTGCGCGTCGCCAAGAATGCGTCAGAAGAAGGGACCATGAATCGGTATAAACAGAAAGGCGCGGACGCAGGGCCTGGGTCAGCGTCTTCTGATTCTCCAAGCAGCCCAGTGGGAAGACTCCGAACAGGCTTAATGACCAGATCTGGGCAAAGCCGTATCACTACATTTCTAGCTTCTCTGATGCTTTGATCTGAGCAGGTGCTGTTCGAGGATGTGAACGAACCTTCCTCTGGCGACTGAGAAATTTTGAGAAAGCTCGAACTTCCTAGGTCAGATATTCCCAACTGCGTTCCGCCTAGCACCGAGGGCAGTTGGCCCTGAAGATTACCAACTTTGAAGTCTATCGAAGGTATGGATTTCCACCCTGTACAAGCGACGACAATGTCTGCTTCGACCTCTATACCGCTCGTCAGGTGGACTGATCGTCGATCAAGCGAACTAATTTCAGCGATATGAGGGACGACTCGGCCGTCTTTAACAAGCTGGAACCAGTTGGTGTCGTAGTTATGAATGCTCAAGGAGTTTCCCATCCAGAATGTCGAAGTCCATGGCTTCATCAGGCGAACTGCACGGTTGCTAGAGTAACCGTTGGCTCTGCACACGTAGTAGTCTAAGATGTTCCAAAACCAGGACCGGACTCTCCTTCCCAATGTCGAACGGTTGAGGAACTTTTTCATGACACCTTCCGACGAGCTGAAAGGCCACGGGTCAAACCACGTAAACAACCGCGTGAGTGACAAGCGAGAGAGTGATGTTTGGAAGGAGAATATTTGAATTGGCCGCCAAACCCAGCTAGGACCACCTCCAGACGGACGCATGACCATGTGTACTTGTGCACCCGCCATGGCTGCGGCGTAGCAGACATCCCAAGCTGATTTATTGCCGCCGATGACTACCACGTTCCGAGATTGTTTGATGACGTCCATCCCCTCCTTGAGCTGTTTGGAATGAATCATATTTCCCTGGAAGCGGTGCTGTCCCGGAAGGCTAGGCATGAAAGGCTCAGATGTAAGGCCTGTTGCCAGCACAAGCTTCTTCGTCTTCAAACGCCGTGCAGTAGGTTGTTCATGCAGATTTCCTGCATTTCTGTCGGAGAAGTCAATGAGCCACGTTCCGTCTTCTGACATCGTAGCAGCGAGAACTTTTGTCTCTAGTCGGATGAGATCTTTCAGACCAAAGTGCTCGGCAAAATCTGATAAGTAGTGATGAACGGTCAATCCTGGGATATGTTGGCCGGCCTTCAGCGAGTATCGATCGAGATCCATAGGGAAATCACTGAACTCGTACGTTCCCGCCACATTGTTGGTCTTCAAGCCCGGGTATATTCTCTCGTATGCCCACGTTCCGCCAATCGTCTTTGCGTAGTCCATGACCAATACTCTGGGCTGTTCGTTCGTCACAGCCGCCTCCAAGTACGTCCTAGCCATTGCAAGACCATGCCATCCTGGTGGACACCTGTAAGTTGACCATGCAGGCTGAAGTCCTTGGATGTTTGTTGAACTTACCTGCGCCCACTATCAGGAGGTCGACACACTCCATCATGGTTTCCATGTCCTGCCAGTTCTGCGGGGCCTCGGGAGACTCTCAGTCCATTTCGTCCTTCGCTTCTACTCGTGAAGGCGGCGTGTTAGTGCGTAGTCGACTGGCCCAGTGTACCGCCCACCATAAAGTTTATAGCATTAGCCGTTGATCGCTGCCGAATCCTAAGTTCTTATGGGCGGTTGAACCTAGGGACGTCCCAGGACAGCCCCGATGCGGGGTCAGCCTCCCCGAAAGTTCTTGGTCAGTCACCCAGTAAGCACCCCGTTAGATCCGGAGGCCAAGTTGCCCATCCTCCATTGGAGATAAGTCGGGCCTATCATAATTTTCGGAATCGCGAACAGCATTGCGAGGCTAGCAAGAAGTTAGGTACAAAAGCGGTCGTCTTCCTCAGTCCTGTCTTGCCAAGAAGCCTTGCGGCCAAAAGCCCCCAGCTCCAGACCTGCCAACCTTTGGAATGATTTGACTTTGGTCCGGGAGCACATATTTCAGCACCTCTCTCCCAAGTCGTTCTTGCCTTTTAAGTAATCGCATATTACGCCAGGTTCGCAAACCAGGCGTTTCGTGGTATCGAGCTATGGATAATACACCTGATCCCGGCCAAGCAGCAGTGCTGGATCTGTCGCAACACCCCACTGCTCAGAAATTTGTAGAACGCTGCTGCGCCTTCTTTGAGGAGGTCGAGGACTTGTAAGACCATCTCTCCATTAACTGGCCGAAAGTAATACTCACGATATCTCCAAGGACGCCCGGGAAGGATCTCGAGTCCAGACTTAATAAGGAATACGGGCCCGGAAATCCTTATTATGAGGACTTCTGTCGTTATATCAAGCAAGGACTGGACGAAGGGTGGGTAGCTGAGACGGAGCTTAAGGGGCGCATGTACCGACGGGGTAAGATTGCGCTGCCGAGCGCGAGGACCCGTTTCTTCAGCATCACGACCGTCTATATGGAGAGCAACGACGAATTCGCCGGCCAGTATCATCAGCATCCCTACGGAGAAATCAACTGCGTCGTCCAGCTTGACAAGACGGCCGAGCTACAGGGCATGAGCGGTTGGCAAGGCGCTGGGTGGACGTCTCCGGGCCCGGGAACTCACCATTATCCCCGCGTGCGTGGTGGAGCCCTGGTGGCATTGTTTTTCCTGCCGGCCGGGCGCATCTCTTACAAGGCTACGCCGGACATGCCGCAGCCGATTGCAATCTGAGGCTGAGGTACTGGATCTAGGACATGTGGGCTTGTGTGATCAAGCGACACTCCTAAGTAAATTGTGTATTGACTATTGGGGAGAAAAGAAGAAGGAAATACCATTTGCTATGGTCACAGTGTACTGCCCGAGACGCTACGATTGGTCTTTGAAACCAGCTCTTTGCTGCAACAACCCTGGCAATTGTGTGGTGATATCGCACCTAGATATGGTGCGACTATTCATTTACTGTTTTACCGACTGAGTACCGTGGCGGTGCAAGATCCGTACTAGTCTTGGTGTCCTCAAGGTAATGGCATCACTGTTCTACGACGAGGGACATCATGCATGCCGACTCGTCTGACCTTTGATGCAAGAGGGCCAGTAGCATTCTCAACCCTATCCATCATATCGTTCAGCGTAGCAAACGTGGCTGCCGCTGTGTGTCTGCTCCATCCGAGTTCCGCCGGGAGCCGTTCATTTTCTGGGAACGGGACAAGGCAGGTTAGCAATGACAGCTCGCGGACACAAAAGGGAGAGTCAGCTTACCAAAGAGATATTCCACCCACGACTTCTCCACGGTTCCGGAAATACTGTCACCGATGATGATTATGTAGGCGGCCGTCTCACCGATGCTGAAGCCCGAGCCGAGATCACTCATCGAGTAGTCTGGGTTCGTCGCCATCGATGTCTTGACCCTCGCCAAACGGGCATCTGCGGCCATCTGGACGTCTATGACTGGCCCCGTCCAGTATGACCTCGTCTCATCAAAGACGGTCTGGTTGAAAGTGTGGGCGTCGCCGCTCCAGTAGAAGTCCGCACGGCTAGAAGCATTTGTGGTCAGCTTATTGCTTTCTCTCGCCGGCCCAACCAGTAAGACGAAACAAACCTTAGACTGGCGTCATGTTCCAGAATGTTGTGATTGCTGAGATCGTTGAGAGAGTACGTAGTGGCATTAGGCGTTGGGTTTGTGGTAATGGCATTGTTGTACAAGAATGTTGCCAACTCTGCATCGATATTGAGCGCCGTGTCTAACGCTTCAATGGTTTTCTCCAGAGTTATATCCTTCCCGTCGTGAGGTAGGTATCCATGGTTCGCCAAGGAATTCAACATTGGGCAAGGGGCTCGTACTAAAAGTGTGTCAGTTACTCAATTAGTCTCTTTTTGGGTTCTTCACGGTTGAAATATCATACCATCGCTAGATCCCGGCGGGTGCCACGGGGGCAATGAAGGATAATCTTGAGCTGCCACGGCCCCGATGAACAGGAGATTGATTAAGGGGGGATTGTTGTAGAGCTTCATCTTGGCTACGGGATAGAGAAGCGACTTGAAATCACCTTATGTCTCGGGGGGCTGGAAAAGGCAGGACGTTGACTATGAGGCTTTATATATCTACCTAGGTACCTTGTAATTCTTCATATTGTGAGGTGCGGAGGTCAGCTACCTTGCCCAATGCGACGCAACATGGCAAGGCAGATTGACCGCTCAACCAGGGGATTGGTATCAGATGAATAATCCTTCATTTCTCATTCGCGCAAGCTCTTGTACACATGATCCAGGTCCGAGCCCGCCAATAAGGCGGACTTGTGCAGAAATGGCGCATGGTTTGCCTCGTTGAGCACTGTATACTCCCGAAATGTGGGCCAGAAAGAGTAAAACGGACGCAGGCTGTGATATGCTGGCTAAGTGCATTGCATGAATATACAGGGTCCTTACGAGCTGGGGTTACCGCGGGAAAAGTTCCTGTCGGTTCGTATCCGGCTTAGTACTCAGCTGTATAGCCTATCCCATGCCCTGACGCTGACGCTGACGCTGAAGGATTCGCGTTACGTGGACAAAGGTACTGTCCGGGCGACCCGGCAGCATAGCCTCCCCAATCATGGTTGGTCAAATGACAGCTGCCTGATACAGCTGCAGGGACTAATAAGACAACCACAGAGGGCGGGAGCACCAATGTGCAGCGGCGATTAGTTATAGCACCGAATTGCCGCGTATGGTTTGAAGCTCTACTTGCTTTGCTTCCATAGGCACAGACATGCATGACCCTTCAATGATCACTCCGTATGTCGAGTTGAGTTCTGGGGCTGACGAGAACGCAAGAGTCACTGAAGTTCTTTCCACAATAGCATAACACAAATGCTTGTGACAACTGTATTGTATCTTGCTCTGTTTATAAATACTCGAGGTACTATACAGACAAAATCAGATCCTCCGCCGGAAAACCTGGGGGTTGAAGTAACAAGACAATCTGCCAACAGGGTCCGGTAGCATAGAGGCTGCGTTTTGGCCAATCTTTCCGGCTATCCTTTGCTCCATGTCTGGACCGTTACGCCGGGGGATTCTGGGTGGCTGTGCCAGGTGACAATCTCCGCATTGTCATGGGCGGCATACTGCCTTTGCCAATCACCCAGGACTTCTTCTCCTGACTCGAATCTTCGCTTCCAGAGGCGGGATACCAAACCCAGCGAACCAGGTGTTTGGTGGTCGCTTGCCACCATAGCTTTCGGGCAATTCTATGTCGTAGTTCATTACAGCATATGCCATGATAAGCTTGAACTCGTATTCCACCAGGAATCGACCGGGGCAAGCATGCTTGCCGTGGTTGAAGGGCAGATTCTCCGCCGACGTAGCCACGAAGCTCAAGTTGTGAAGACCGGGTTTCCCTGTGCCAGGCTCTGCGGCAGCCTCTCGCCGGCGTGAATGACGGAAAGGATCATACTTGTGCGGGTCCTTGTATGTGTCGGCATCTGTCTGTGTCTGGTGAGCCAGGATGGAAACCATGGCTCCTTGAGGTACACGGATGCCATCTTCTGTTACGAGCCCATCCTTTCCGACAACGAGGCGCTGCACCGCGCGGCCTAGGAAGGTGTGCACGCGCAGCGTCTCACGGCATATACTGTCAGCCCGCGTCATCGCCTGGAACTTGGCTTTATTCCACTGCTTGCAGCCAAGATCACCAGGACCCATGACCCTCTGAACCTCTTCCCTTAGAACCGACACCGTGTTGAACTCCTGATCGGACCCAAGAACATCCAGGAGCAGGTTATGCAGCGTGAGTACAGTTTGGTGCATGGTACCGAAGTTCATCACAGCAAGCCGCTTCGCCATGTCGTCAAGGTTAAGTGCCTCATCCGGTCGTTCGTTGACCGCGTAATCCATCATCATTCCCAACAAATCTCTAGGACCCTGTATGTTATCGTTGACACCCTTCCGTTCAACGATGCTTAATCTCTCTCGATACAGGGGTTCAAACCGCTGTTTGAGGTCACCAAGCTTGCCAGGCATAGCCCTTTTGGTCCATTGAGCGACAACCGGTCTGAGAAATCTCTTGTATGATGCGGCAGCACCAGCCACATCTAGCATGCCGTCTAGGACGTTATAGCAGCTTTGGACCCATGACTTATCCCTCGCTAAATAGCCCGCTTGTTAGTCTTGAACCAAAGAGGCAGCGTTGGGATGTGGAAATCTCTCACCGAGCTTGAGACCCTCCGGCGAATCTCCAACGGTAAACCGTTGTGTAAGTTGGCCGGATAGCATTCTGCATGTTGGGAAAAGGTCGAGCTCTTTCCAGTTTTGGGTATCTGTGCCAAAAGTTGCTTCAAATGCCGCATTCAGCTCGTCGCTCATGATCGCACACATCGCATCCATTGCCGAATTGAGATCCTTCTTGATCAGCATGCCACCCCAAGGGTCGTAGGCAAACTTGTAACCCAGACTATGTTCGAGCTGAATGGAGTCTACCTGCGCGGCGAGCGAGTTCACCACGTCTTCGGGTTGTCTCACAAGCCATTGGAGGGACGTCGGCGGGAGAATCACCTCATCGTTCGGTCCGAAAACTGGAATCAGCACTGATTGCCCCCTTTTCGAGTACTGTTGCGTTACACAATCACGTCAGTATTCGAACGTCAAAGGGGCCGCATAGCTTACATTCTCATACGCGTCGTCAAAAACCGCAAGACAGTCAGCCTGAAATTTTTTTCTCATTTGCTGCCATGGGACTCCTTCCCGAGCCCCTATGCGTGGCAGGTTTCGTGGATATCGGTCTGCGCATAGCGTCCGGTAGATGGCGACGACGGCAAGCGTCGTTACAGCCACGGCCAAGACAAGCACCAGAGGGTGCTCAAATCTCAGCGCCGGCGTCAAAAATGCAACCATATTTGCCAAATGCCTCTGCCAAGTTGGCGATCAACGTCTTGTGGTATCGAACCAAGAGCCAAAGCCAAGTCCTGTTTGTGTGACGAGGCGCTCAGGCGCACTGCGCCATATTTTAATGCCTTACATCCTGCGCACAGGGGTGAATTGCTCGCGTAACGGATCAAGTTACGGGCGGTATCGGCGCCGGTGAGGTGGAATGTTCGAATCCTTCGTGATCCACCACGAGATCTCGGCTTATCTGATTTGATGATCTGATAAGATAATCTCGGTAGTCTCGAGGATCACGACCCATTCTAATGGCGCCGTCTCAAGTTCGGCACCAAGGCTAGCCGTTTCGGGGCTCCACATGGAGCCGAATCCGCTCATGACGTACCGTCGATTGGCTCTTTCGGACGACACAATATCCTCTAATGCAAGAACGCTGAATTATCGTCGCACTTCCGAGTTTGCACGCGTGGCGGCAGGGATCCCATGGTTGGTCGAATCATCACAAGGATCATAGGCCGATATTCGCCCACGTCGATTTCGAGGCAAGTTTGTTGGACAGGCAAAACTTGGCCGCATGTTAGTCAAATACTCTCGCAAGTGCGGGTGTTCTTGTGTCAACGGCTTGCATGGACAGAGCTCTGGAGAAATGTTCATGAAAGGGGAAGTCACTAAGTTACCACACTGAGAGATATACACATTCCTTGATATCTGCTTAGAAATATCAACAGGCGTCCGATATTTTCAAGGCTGACGATCAATTTTATTTCATTCCAACTACTGTGGTTGGGCCACCGTTCCGCCAAGAATTGACGCCATTGAGATGGAACCGTATTTGCGCAGATTTGGAGAGGCTGCTATATGCCTTATAGAGGCTGCTATATGCCTTATATTGGACGCACTCGTCAGTGGCAAGCTATCAAGTTTCAACTTACCATTCACCTGTGAGTCTCGGGCACCAGCTACGGTATTTCAGCGTGAACCATGGCGGTGTTTTCCGGGAAAAAAGTTTTGTCTTAATGCCGCTTTATATAACAACGTAGGATAATGCCATAGTAATGGTTTTCTGTTGTGGCCACCCACGTAGTAGCTTGCATCTCTGGGTCCGTTGGCATTCAGTATCTCGCCCCAACACTTTTTTCTATCTTGCAAGCCATCGAGTTGAGCAAAAGACCATGGCGAAGGCTTCCGTGGATTCTCGGTAGCATTGCAGGTTAGGCATCACCGAGATCGGAGTTGCATCATATTAGAGAACTTGCAAGCAGATATCTAACAAAATGAAGTTTTTCGTAGTTCAAAATCCTTTCATCCCAACTACTGGTAATGTATAAGGTAAGGAAAACTTGTGGCCTATGCAGATCGCCGCCATGCCTTGTACTACTTTGAGAGCATACGTGTCTGGTGGATCCAACCCCACTTGTCTCCTTTACCTTCGGTACTGATCAGCGAGCACCAGTGATGGCTGTCTTGCTGTAAGACCAAGTATCTCGGTGTAAATACTTTGGACACTTGGAAAGAAACGCTTCAAGATAAAAGGGAGTATGCCGCATCTCCAACCTTCTGAAATCAAGTGCCGTAGTGCCTTAGAAAACTCCTTCCACATATCACACCTTGTGTTGTTCGATTTGCGAAGCCCTCTTCTCGCTTGAGCGGTGTGGCTTGGACCTGAGTCTGGCGTGGCCTGGTGTGGCCTGGTGTGAGTTTGTAACCTATTGTTTATGTTCCTATATCGTGACTGTCTATTCCGCGTCGTTTTCATAAAGGTAACGCTCGTTCCACCCATACAACTGGCTTCTGCGTTCTGGCGACCGACAAACCCCTTTTATACGTCTTATATAAGGTATTAGTCCTCTGGCCAGCCTGATTCAAGTCAAAAACAAAGCACGTTAAATTTGTCGTTAATGACAGAAAAGACTGTTATGGCTGCAGTGATCGTTTGAAAGAATGGGTGTCTGCCTATGGCCAGGTTCCGAGTATCTACCGAGGGGGGTTCTACATATAATTGCTCTTTTGGCTGTCTAATAGTTAATGAAGCAAGATTTAGTCTTTGCAGGACCTATCCCATATTTTGTGTCCCTGATTGCAACTGACCTACTGCGTACGACATTACGACATCGACCTGAGGTCATGATGTCCTGGAACACCGTTCCAAATTTAATAGTAACGAATACACGAGTGATTACTTTGGTTTTGTGAGGCTGGTAAGGAGGTGATTGGACGTTGCGGTAAGAACTGGTTCGTGGGGATTCATTAGAGTTTCGTAGGGTAGATTGATAATCGAGAACATCAGTGAGGTTCGGAAGAATATTCCACCAGGTCCAACTGCATTACTCAGTCGTAATTACGATGGAGATGCGAATATTTCGGCGTGATTATGAAAGCCGCAGCGCTCGCACGAACTTCTCACCACTTCTTGGTTGACTTCCTCAAGCAGAAATAACAGCTAGAGAATCTGCCTGACCTCTTGTTCACCTTTGGCGAACAAGAGAATTTTACTTTACCCAGCCTGCTAAGCTATTTCTGCGTGATGATTGATGGTTGAGAGCCAGCCTGACTATCGAGTTACACTATTGCCCCTTCGAGTCTGCTTCAAGTGTCTCAGCACTATGTGAGCAAATTTCGTGTCACCAGGGATGCCTGCTGAATACAGTGAGGCGCTGTTCGCGACTTCAGCCTACCGAGTCTCTCGGCTACTATACGAACTGAAGCGACATGGACAAGGCAGTCTAGGCTTTGATCACACAAAGTGTTGCAATTGAAAGGTCTGGAAGGAACCTGAAAAGAAGTTCAGGCCCCGGTCTCAATTAAAGAATGCGGTCAGCCCGTGACCGCCAAACTTGGATGCAGGGGTTGGAAATATACACCAAATCTGGATAGGGTTCAAAGTCCAGCTGGCCAAGGCGACCACTGATCTCGTCGTTTCAAGTGTACTATGTGCAGATGGTAACGAAAGCGACTTCTATCAATAGTCGCGCGGCTCTGTCGGTAATTTAGGCTAAATGAGTTTCGGATGACAGGGTCGCATGCAAAGCGAATTACTAGACACGGCTTACGAGACCCAGGTGTTAGATTCGCAGTTGCCCCTGAGCCCGAATCTCGCAACAAGGCCGGCTTCATGATCAATGATTCATCTATAGATTTTAACCGGCTGGATGGCTTAAACGAGTCCGCCGCCTAAGCGAGCTGGCGATACTACAGAACACGCCCGAACTCTAGAGGTCCCAGGCTTCCGGGTAGCACTACTGCTAGTTCCGCTTCCACGCACCATTCAAGTGGCAGGTGTTCGTAATGCGAGCAGTGCATTGAGGCTATTGATGGGCCGTAATGAATTCGACGGTGACACATGTCGGCCGACACTTGGGTATGAATCCATCCCGCTGGGTCTGGTGGGGCGCACGTGCATCTCTGCATCGCATGATCGCCTTTATTGCCTGCTCCCCAACGGTGCGACAGCCTCAGTCGTCTGGCCAGGCGACCGAATCAGCTTTGTCATCGGCCCCCGTCATCTGTACACGTTTGGAAAGCCTCGTTGCTATATCGGCCCTACATTCCCGGCAGCGCGTGAGCGGTGCTATTGCTTGCTTGCGTTCAAGTTTGTCTACGGTGGTCCGCCGAGCCAGCCGAGGCATAACCGAAGGCAAACAAAACCACTACATCTGGGTTATGGTAACAGTAGTGTAAGCCAGTTGTTCCCTCCATTCTCGCTTGTCAAGTCACAGTTCGGGAGCCTCTCATCGTACTGAAGTTGCCCGGCTACTCACCTCAGACGGAGGTGGCACCCATGGTACCTGGGCTTGTTAGCTCTGTGCGGAGTAGTGATGCGGAGTTCTCATAGGTGTTGTACAGGTGCTGTACAGCATTGCACTGAGAGCCAGCGGCCTTCCATGAGTCTAAACGATCCGTACGCGGGCGGCCTCTGGAAGGTATCCGAGGACGTGCTTCTTAGGAGGCACACAGCAAGCTGAGCCGAACGTATCACGGATGCATTCCTTACAGCCACATACCATAGTACAGAATGAAGCCAGCGACCATACACCCCCACCCCAGAAAAAAAAAACCATTTCCCCAACTTCATCTCCAAAATTTCCCCAGGGCCGCGGCCCACCATCTCCACGCTTCTGTGCCACGATCTTTGCTCGCTTCGTGCCGCGGGCGTGTTCTAGCGCCTTGGTCTATTGGCGCGTTTAATATATTCCCGGTTTAACCGTCGTCTTTAACCGGACCTATCACTGCCCTGTCCACGCTCCTCCGCAACCCCATATTCCCTACTCCAGAAACTTTAGCACATCCGCCGCAACGGAGACATCGCATTGGTAGTGGCGATCATGTGTTTTGCACAGCAGGATCAGCAGCTTCACTGGTCTCGTGGTATCGCGTGTTATGGGCATGGACCCGTGCCGAAACTTGGAGCTAAGGTGGCTCGAGATTGACTGCCCAACCAACAGACTTGGACCGATGGACTCCAGTCATAGAGTGGGCATGCATTGCAGTGCTATTTTCTCCTCAGGGTCAGATCAGTCAACCGAATCGTCTATATGCACTTGATACACTTGTATGTCAAGGAAGTCATTCTCTGCGTTCAGCGCCGTGACTCTGTGCTTCCGGAACCGTAAGCCACAGGCCAGCAGGATCGTTTCTTTCAAGCTTCCTTGGGGGCCGCCGTTAGGCTCGACGGTCCGCAAACCCCCAGCCCCGAGGGACCCAAGAGTACTGCTGTGAACCAATCTCGTAACCCTCCGGGCTTGTACCAAGTCTAGTCAGGTCCAGAAGAGGCCGGGACGAAAAAGCTGTGCCGCCAGGGCAGCGTCCCCTTGCTCATACAAACTCCTGCCGCCAATGGGGAACTCCAAATCCTGATCGGAGCTAGCGTCCAACCATTCTATCCCGAACTCGTTAGGGTGTGCGGTGGTCGGTTCAGAATCCAGACTCGGAAGCGACGACAGAGTCGGGTCGTCCTATGCTGAGCCCATCCTGGCTAATATCTGACCGCGTCCTGGTTCGTCCATATTGATCCCCGCTCCAATGCTACCCCGGCCGCCGGCCCATGCATACCACACGACCCTTGGGTCTGGCGTGGGAACTTCTGAGATATATTGAGACGTCCTCCCCGGGTACCCTCGCTATGCCTCGAATTCTCCAGGCTCAAGAACCAGTGCTGTCAGTGTGGCATCCTGTCAGTCCGTCTGCTTTGAGTCCCTGAATAAGTGTCATCTAGGCATTTCAATCGTCAGTGCCCGTAACCAGTCAACATGGTTCACGTGCCAGTTCATGCTCCCTCCAAGGGAGCCAGAGGCCATCAGTCGGATGTCCTGGCTGCTCAAGATGAGGCACCGCAGTTCGAGAAAGTCACCTGGTACTCGGATCCCAACCTGCGCAAACTCTATGCTTGCTGCGCCGTGCTGATGGTCGCTTCCGCTACCACTGGCTACGATGGGTGAGTAATGCCAAACTGTAGGGTCTTCGAGAAATTTGGCTAATGGGAGAATCTCAGCATGTTGGTTAACACCTCACAGCAAATCGACGCCTGGGGTAAAGCGTTTCCTGAGATCGACCCGAATAGCCCAATCGGTACACAGTACTTGGGTCTGCTAGTGAACATGTTCAACATCGGAAGCATTATCAGTTTCTTCATGACGTATGTTGATCTTCACTTCCGGCCAGAAGCCCGCTGACATTCCCTTAGTCCGTACGTAGCTGACAACTACGGACGTAAGACCGCAATCGTCGTCGGATGTCTCTTCATGGTTGTCGGTGGCTGCTTGACTGCTTTCTGCAACGGCTACAACAGTAAGTTTTCGACAGGCTGCACCTGTATTGGCTCAGCCCGCTAACGACGGCGAAGTGTATATCGCTGGTAGATTCTTCCTTGGTTTCGGAAACAGTTTCGCCCAGATGTCCTCCCCTCTCCTCCTTACCGAGATCTGCCACCCTCAACACCGTGGTCCCGTTACTGCCGTATACAACTGTCTGTGGAATGCCGGTGCTCTCCTCGTCTCCTGCATTGGTTGGGGCACGGCCCAAATCAAGAACGACTGGTCCTGGCGATCAATCACCTTCATTCAGATCGTCCCTTCGCTCATCCAACTTGGCTTCATCTACTGGATCCCCGAGTCGCCAAGATATCTGCTCTCCAAGGACCGTGAAGAAGAGGCTCTCAACATGCTTGCATTTTACCACGGCTCTGGGGACTCCAACAACACCACTGTGCAGTTCGAGTTCCGCGAGATCCGCGAGACGATGCGCATGGAGAAGGAAGCTGCTCGCTCGAGCGGATACATCGACTTCATCCGCACCAAGGGTAACCGATGGCGATTGGCAATTCTAATCTCGCTTGGTATCATCTCCCAGTACAGCGGAAACGCTCTGTTCTCCAACTATATGAACACGATCTACGCTGGCGCCGGTATCACAGACCAGAACCAGAAGCTTGGTGTAAGTCTCCACACAATCATAGCTGTAACGTCGGAAAGTCATCAATGCTAACAAATTCACAACAGCTCAGCACTGGAAGGACCATCTATGACCTGATCATCACCATCGTCGCTGCCATGAACGTCGACAGATTTGGTCGTCGCCCGCTGTTTCTTCTCTCCGCCGGTGGCATGTGCTTCGCGTTCGTCTGCTGGACAATCTGCGGTGCCATCTATGAGAACTCTGGCGGCTTGAACAGCTCGTCGGGTTATGCCCAGCTCGTCTTTATTTGGCTCTTCAGTGCCTTTTACGATATTGGTTTCTCTGGTCTGCTGATTGCCTATGCACTCGAGGTCCTACCATTCAAGCTCCGTGCCAAGGGCATGATGATCATGAACATCACTGTTCAGGCTGTCCTCGCGCTCGGCAACCAGACCAACCAGCTTGCATGGATCAACCTGCCTCACCACTGGAACTTCATGCTGTTCTACACTGTAAGCTCATTCTTTGATTTCGTGCTGTGCAGTCTGCTGATATGCCCCTCCACTAGCTCTGGGACTTCTGCGAGTTCGTCTTCGTCTACTTCGTCTACGTCGAGACCAAGGGCCCGACCCTGGAAGAGATTGCCCGCATTTTCGACGGAGAGGAGGCTGTGGCCCACATCAACATCCACCAGGTCGAGAAGGAGATTCACACAACAATTCACGAGGAGGAGATTACTTCACCAAAGTCTGCCCTTTAGATTATCCGTCACATTTCCAGGAATGTTAATTGAGAGTGTAACGCGACGGAATTATGTAGCGGAGCTGTAGTGTCGGAAAAAGACAAGTACTAATCGCCATTCAAATGAATGTTTGCCGTGATTGCTCCAAGTCTCTCTGTGATTCCAAGACACTGTCGTAAACTAAACCCACCGAAGTTGAGCTTCGATCCTCACCCCCCATAGGAACCTCCAGCTGGAGATGCAAGGCTCATGGCTGTCTTACGTATGAAATGTGAGGCTATCCCACTTGCTCCACGTCAATGTGTCTCCCACTTGCTTTGCAGATGGCGATATTCTAGTTGACCTCCAATTCATCTGCACAGCCCCGGCAGTAACTCATATGGTGCAAACACATAGGACACGACTTCGCGATTCTCCCGACTCTTCACGCCCAACAGGAACAACTGCCTGGTATATGTCTACGTGTAGAACCTAGAAGTAGATAGGTAAACAACAGTTGATGAGGCCGTGAGAGCACGTGAGCTATCATGGGTGGGAACTTTGTATCTAAGCTGAGCGTCGCACTCGACAGACTGTGAGATAGGGGTCTGTAGCTTACTAAATTCAGCCACTGCTGCTTGCGACCGATCTGCAAGGGCACACCAATAGTAATAAGTTCGAATGGTGACATTATCACGCGATTATTGTTGCAACACACTTCGTATTATTGCTTCTGGTTTAATGCCAAATACCAAACCATGTCTTCAGTTCATAATTCCTGTGCCAAGCTTGCTTACTATGTCCTGGAAATACGCGACCAATGTCGAGTCCTTTTGTGGGCTCAGGCATTCCACACGTGGACCACAAATGTAAAAACACACGAAAAACAAGCTCGACAAAACCAAAGATCCTTATGCAACTTTTGGGACGGAAACAGAGCAGAACAGAACAGCAAAACAAAAGGACCAGCGGTTTCGGTCCTGCCAGATGGTATACCAGGACAGTTGCGATCAATATATCGAAAGGCAGGAATGCAGCCAAGGTTCTCTGCGATGGGATGGAATGCGGCTTGAGCTTCAAATCTCATCCTCCATCACAGTGTCTAGGTCAACGACACTCTGAGAAAGACGACCGAACGGGCCATCGAGTGCACCGCCACCGCCGTCTGGGAACTCCAGGTTATCGATGGACTGTGTGGCTCGGGAGAGCTTCTTCTTCTCCCCCTTGAGCTGTTCCCTCTTGTTGGCAATCTCGCCGTCCTCTTCCATAAGTCGAGCGAAGGTGGTGTCGTCTGTGACTCTCTTGTTAGTCTTGCACTGAGTGCAATGTGTCATGTCTCTCGACTTACCCGCTTGATTGAGGCCTAATTCTGCTGTCAAGTCCTCATGAAGACTGTTTGAAGCCACTGCACGGAAGAGTTTGGAATTCAGGCTCAGCGTTACGCTCTCGACGAAGCGCATCGCGGCAAGAATGTAGTAGCCGCGCACCGTCGCTGCAACTTCAATCTCGGTGGCAAATTCCTCAGGTCCCAGTTTCAAGAGACCCTTGCTGATCTCATCGCGTTCTTTGTGACGTTTCTCCTGGCTCATCCTCTCTAATGGCAGGATCTTGTAGTCTGCATCAAAGATTCCAGCGTGCCTCAGCATGTATATGGCGCGGTGGCGCTTGAGGGTCTCTAGCTCAGCCTCCTTGTATCTCTTGAAAGCATCGTTGTTGGTTGTGTACATCTGGTATGTTTCTGCATCAAAGAGGTCCTCCAGTTTGGCTCGCTGGAACATTTCCATCTTCTCAATATATACCATTAGCTGGGCATCCGCCGCCTTGAAAATCATCCGCTTTGAAAGAGTAGCCATGCTCTCCTCTAAGGCGTTACGAAGAGTCGACTTGAACAGCGCCATCGTGAGCGAAATGTACAGTTCCAGGGGCTTCTTCCATTTGGTGATGGCGCCAATCACTAGGGAGTCGTACACTTCGGAAGACACAATCTCAGCAGGTAGACCAGCACGTCGACGGCGAGTGATCTCATTCCGGATGGTTTGCAAGTTGAGTCCCTGTCGTCCAATCTCGGCAAAGTCTCTGAAGGGGCCCAATTCCGTGACTTTACCGCCCGGCATCGGTGTAGTGCGCCAAGCACTAGGGGTCGCGGAACCACCACCACCACCTTCCTGCTTGACTGGACTCATTCCTGGTTCTTCTGCTCGCGATCGTTTTGGTGTTGCTCTGATGGTGTGGTCGCTGGGCCTCGGCCGCTTCCGTGACGGGGTATCAACCGAATTGGGGTCATCCAGAATCTCAACGACGCCGTTATTGTGTTCTCTATATGGAGTCGGTTCATCAGGCCCGGGCGCTACTTTGCAAGTCGGTTTGATGGTGAGAACGCAGGCTTGGAAGTACTTATTTAGCTCGTCCCACTTCGCTTGAAAGTCCGTATCTTTGACCGCAAGCTTGACCGCATCATTGAAATCGTACAAGCTCTTCCTAACTTCATGTTCCACGTTGTGAGGAAGCTCAGGAAGCTCTGACAGCTGGTCTCTAATCTCAGCTAGGCGGGCCCTGACTTTGTTTTTAATTGCTGGCAAACTTCTGGAGAAGGCTTCGCCAAGGCATTTTGAGAGAAAGGCCTTAAGAACTTCCACGCCACACCGGTCCGAAAATTCGTGGAAGTCGGGAGGCCAGTGCTGCTCGTTACTAGTGAAGAATTGCTCCTCCCACTGATTGAGCCGGTCCATGTTGCCATCATCATTCGGCAAAACGGGACGGGAGGTAATGAAGTAGCCGCGTCCCACAGGGTGTTTCTCGCCACGAAGCACCGAAAGCCATTGCGGTGTATCTTCAGGCCGAACCATGTCAGCCTTCGTCAAAACACCAACAGTTCGCTCCTGGGCCTTGGCCGCTCTGATGAGCCCTAGGGATATCGAGGTCTCCGGGTCGTTATTCATCGGTAACGCCCACAGGATGATGGCTTGCGATCGGCAGATATACTCGCTGGAGAGGTTTCTTACAACCTGGACAAGATACTCGTCTTCCTCGCGGGCTGGTGTGGAGAAAACTCCTGGTAAATCGTAGAAACTCAGGTCTGGAAGGTTGGGACCCTTCATCTCCAGAGCGACGATGTTGGGGGAGAATTGAGCCTCCGTAGCATCTGCCGCTGCCTGTAACACGTTATCCCTGGCGTAGGCTCCTTCGCCCGGGACGAAGATGCTAGAGGCATGATTGGGATTCAAGATGGCCACCTGTGCCCATCGAAGGACTTCTTCCGTGTGCAGTCTCTCGTCGAAATCGATCGACTTGAAGTGTTTCACGACGCGTGGCTTTTTGACCCACGGAGGAAAAGGGTTGTTTCGAGTAACATCAGACCTTCTAACTGGGCCGCGCGGCTGGTAATCGTAGTCTATCTGCAGCGAGACTGTGCAAGACCAGCGGTTGTCGCGGCTGAGACGGATGTGGATGGGACATCGCGTGCAAACTCCACCACTTCGAGGGAGATCAAGCTCCGCCAGGCCAGACATCAGGCTTGATTTGCCGGCTGACTGGTCACCGACCATGACCAACTCTGGAAGTTGGGCAACGTGCGAGATACCCAACTGCTGCAACTCACCCAACGTGTCGTTACAAGCTTTCAACTTCATTCCGATATCTGTGAAAGACTGGTGCATGAAGCTTTGCTGGACACTCTCGCTCTGGGAGGATGCTGGGGTCACATTGCGCCCCTTGTGATCGGAATGGCGAGGCCGCATTTCCATAAGCTGTGGTGTGTCATGAGTTGTTACGGAGGCGTCACCTCGAAGCTGCTGACGAGGACGCTGTCTGGTCTCGATGCTTGCTGTGGGAGTTCAGCTGACTGAAATCGACACGACTTGAAGATGAGACGACTTACGGGCGTCCGAACGATAGAAGGACTGATTTGCGTTCAGCGGCGGAATTCCATTTGGAATGGATGGTGATCGACTCTCGCTGGTGTGAGAGTGAGATACGGCAGATGGTGTCTGGCTCGCCTCTTGGGGCTCGGGCTTGATAGCTGTGCGTCGCGGCATCTTGCGGAGGCCGGCACTCTTCATTGTAGGATGTTAGTGATGAGATCAACGTGTCCGGGCAGGTAGGTTAGAATGACCAACCTCAAGTCTGCTTTGATGGTGTGATGGTGCGAAGTGCCGGATTTATGGTCAAAACAAAAGCAACCAAAACTCGAGGGCAACAGGCTGCTTAATATCTTGGCATGCGATACAGCATCGCACAGTGACGGCGTTGCTGCAGAAGCGGATCGAATGAGGTGCAGTAGTTGCAAACAGACGGCCGAACGGTGCTGGAAAAGCTGAGATGAAACGAACAGAACTGGCGACTCAAAATCTGCTACCAAGAGATAGTGAAAAAGCCTGACAACGGGTGCGTACCTTAGCAAGTACTATCTAAGGCCGAGCGGCAGTGGTGTTGAGATTCAATCTGGTTTGGGGCAGTCAAGAAAGAAGAAGTCCGGTGGCTGGGGTGGCCCCTGGACGCGGATGCAGTTGGGCTAGGCTGAAGGTGGGGCAACAATTCACACGATGCCATCCAATTCCCACGGGCGACCGTGAATTCGCATTGGCGTGTCCGTTGCTCGCACCCCTGCGAGTTGCTTGGGCTGTAGACAATGGCGGAACACTTCACTTCCGATTGCATCCCGAGTTCAGCACTCGGGTCCAGGTTGAAAGGTCATTGTCTCGTACGCCTAACTTGCCGGTCTATAGTTAGTGATTGACAATGGGTGAATACATGCACTGTCTGGCAGCTATATTGTACCCCGTGGCAGGCATGGTGGCGCCTCCTCATTCACGCCAAGACACTTCCAGCAGCGTAGAGGCAGCAACTGTGCAATGGAGAAATTCAAGTCAAATATATTTCGTTTACCACATGAAGATTGTCCTTGTCCTGCCAGACAAGCCGGTATCAGACGCATCTGATTAGTGAAACCATGTCAATCTGATCACGCCCGCAGCACCTGCCCGTATTCCCTTGGAACCGAATTCTCGCCATGTGATCGTAACCGTTTGCTAGTATATTCTCTACCTCTTGAGTTTACTTCCCAACATCAGACCCTGAACGCTTAGATCAAGAGCACAAGTGAGAGAGTTATCATATCCAGGCATCCAATATATTCAATCAACTAGGATACAAGTTAGCCATGCTCAGTTATGGGACCGCAGGTCGTCCATCGCATACGCACCGCTCCTCCCCAAAATCGGGCCCTCTTCCTCATCTCGCACCCGGCGCCAGCCTCTCTCGTCTCTCTCATCCAGTTCCGTGCCCGGCGTGGGGTAGGGGGTGTCGCAGTCCCGGCTGGCCAGCCGAGGCCAGTATCTGCGATAGCTCCAAAACCCGACCACCAGACCAAGGGCTGAGCCGGTGCAGACGTCATACACGTCGTGCCTGTAGTCCTGGCACCGGCTGATGGCTATCATTGCCGCGCCCACGAGAGGCGCCAGGCAGAAGAGAGCACGGCCCAGGTCTTTCTTGTCCCTGAAGATGCGCAGCTGCCCGGCCAAGAAGAACGCCGTGTACCCCAGGCCGGCAAAGCTGAAGCTGGAGTGCCCCGATGGGAAGGAACGCCAGCCATCATGAAGTGTGTGGTGATCCGTCTCGGTACACACCTCAAAGGTGACCAAAACGTCCCTCGGAGTCCCAGCCTCCGGCTTGCACCTAGCGATCAGGTCCGGCCTCGGTCTGCCAACAGTATTCTTCACAATATCCGTCAGGAAGCTGGTCAAGATGACAGCGATGGCCAAGCCGAGTACGGTCGAGTGGTGCTTGTGGAAGGAGGCGCGCGTGACGCTGTTCCAGAATATGATGACGCCGAGCGGGACGAACAGCGCCCAGACGAAGTTCATGGCCACGGGAACGCGCTCGTGTTCGGCGTGGGGGAAGGCGATGCGCAGGTCGTTGATGAAGAACATGCGGTGGAACGGCTCGACGAAGAACTGGATGAGCATGTAGGCCGTCAGCAAGCCGGCGAAGCCGACATAATCGGGGGCATAGGAGTGCTGCAAGTGGCGATCCCGCAAGTTAGCAAGAGATCAACCAAACGAGGAGAGAGAAGCGAATTGCGTCCAACTGCGATACCAGGCCACGAGCTGCAGTTCTGCCCAAGGGATAGACAGTCAGGGCGACGACGTACAGTCCAGAACCGGGCCACGGAGCCCAGGATCCCCTCTCCATTGCCGTCGCCGGCATTTCCGTTTCGTGGAGCCATTGCTGCAAGTCACCGGCCTCGGATGCTCTTGAATGCCCTCCACAGCATCTTTGCAGAGGGAAGGAGTTCGGAATGTGTGTCGAGTCCGTGGTCGTGTATCCTAGGCTCAAGCGGTTAGGGGGGGTGGGGTGTCGCGTGCGCGCTGAAGGGCGCTAAAGTTAAGTAAAAAAGATGTCGGCTTAATGACGTTTGGGGGGGCTAGCTCTCGGTGAGGGTCGGTGAGACACGGCCTCACGCGCCTGGGATATGGCAGCATAATCCTGCGCATCCCAGCAGCTCGGGCTAAGGGCTCGGGCCGCCGCCCGCTAACCGGTACCCAAGCTGTCTATGTAGCAGCTCAGCACTACCGACGTTCTTCACCACGACCAACCAAGCAAGTTTACTGGGCGAATTGCCAATGTTCATTGCCAATGCTCATTGCCAATGCTTATATCTATTACCGGTCACTAGGACAAGGCGGGTGCCCACTGGTGGACCCCATTCCCCCGCGGCTGATCTGGCGATAGCTACCAAGTTACATATATATCCTCCGGCTTGTATCATGGCTCTGCATTGTCGCCCTGCATAATATCAGTAATAGTAAACTGTGTTTGAAGTGAGTGTATTACATCTACGTTTTTGATGTTCTGATGATGAAATATTGGAGGAAAGTCCCGATGCTGTGTGTACCCTTGGTCCACCACCGCTAAGCAAGTTCACACTCAATGCAAGCTTCAGGCTCACTTCCTCGCCAAATCTTTCGGATTTTCAATCCATTATCTGCCAGCAGCTGCCTCCACTGTCTCTCATTTCTTTCCAGTCCCCCGATAGGAAACATGGAGATGTCTCTTACCGCCTCCAGCATCCCCACGTTCACATCCGGAAGCACCATGTCCACGATGAGCAACTTGCTCCAAGGTTGTGCTCTCAACACGGGCACCAACTGCTGAAGGAGGCGGCTGGCGTCAGTATCATTCCAGTCGTGGAGGATATGCCGATAGTAGTAGACATGGGCATCTTTGACCGGCTGCGGGGTAAACATGTCGTAGGGCATGAACTCGACTCCCTTCGGTGGGCCAGGCACCGCCTCAAATGTCGAGGGCAAATCTTGCACGATGATCCGACCCTTTAATTGCGGATTCAGCTTATGGACCTCGTCCATGATGTGGCCTTGGCCGCCAGCAATGTCAACAATGGCCACCTCGTCAGCTTTGATGTCCAGCTTCGCGAGCTCCTCGCCGAAAGGGTAGGCATCCCCGGCAAGTGACCCGGTATTGAGAGACTTCATACCCATCACCATGTTTTGCGCGCGCTGGGGATGTGATCCAAGGAATGTCCACAACTCCTCCCCGTTGGCCCATTTGAAAGGAGTACCTGAGTCGCTGGTGGGCGATTTGTATCCTCTTTCGGCCAATGTCCGAGGCATCGCACAGACAGAAGGTATTACCTCCTGTAGGACAAAACTGTTGAATGCCCGATGAGTCTGGTCCAGGTAGGGCCGTCCAACACTCGTCACCCTGTATCCAGGACCTGGCATGTCGGCCAAGATGCCAGCGGCAGTCAGCTGTTGCATGATGCGGACTAACGGATGTGTAAGCTCTGGGACGGAGGCGAGGAATACTGTCCGTGGTGTCTCTTGCTCAGAGAACTTACTGATCATCATCTCATCGGCGCCAGATCTTTCGACAACTCCCATAAGGGTCACTGTAGCTCCACCAGCGAAAGCATCCCAGAGCCCCAAGTTCGTGACAATCTCAATAGCGACGCTCACATTTACTTGGAAGATACGGGGCCACACGTCCTCGTTCGGGTCACCGAGTGACATTGCGAGTTTTGTGGCTTCCAGACGAAGATTTCGACGAGCAATAGCCTCATCGGCACCTGCAGGTGCCTCTTCCAAAGCACGCATGGCAGTATTTAACGCATCGACTGCAGCTGTGATACCATCCTTGGTTGTGAATGAACCCATCGTCATGACTCTCAAATGATGATTATTGTATATCACGGAAGCTCACAAGAACATGCAATGGATGTTGATATATTCGACAGAGAGCTCAGTCAAACAATCATTGGGGGCTGGGCCAGTGTGAACGACCCAGAAATCGAGAAATCGAAGCCCGAACATTCTGGAGGGAGGCGTGAGAGTGGAGGTGGGTAGCACGATGTCCAGGGTATGCCTCTTTTTAAGCATGGTGAAATTAACGCATGAATATGTACATTTGTGATTGCTTCATGCACCTCGAGGCGTCGAAGTAAATCGACATACACGGCACTCCACAACGCCACCTACTTCTGTATCTTGTTGTGCCGAAAGCTGTAGCCAGGAAATCATCACACCATCTAATGCTTCCTTTGCCAACTGCCGTGACTTGATATCCTGACGGGACTATCATCACGATGTTACTGCCCCACTGTGATATTACCCCCGAGAGTGCATCGCACCGCTATGCAGCTAGTCTGGTTTGGCAGCATACCCGATATTGAAGTGGGACTCCGCGGATTTCATCCAAACTGTCGGGCCGGAGACATTCAGGGATCTTTGTATTGTGATATCCGTGCGACTGGGTACCATAGATTACAGGTAGTTTACTCTCCAGTGAGCAGTCGAGATTTCCGATGGATTTTGTGTTTGCCAAATTCAATATTATCACAGACGCCTTCTGCAGGGCTGAACGATGACATCCGAGGAGATAATCATCTTGAAAACTTGTTCGCAGCGTCGGGTCAGGGATCGTGGTGAGAGCTTGCATCCTTTACCCTACGCAATCAATGAAGGTCGTTGCCCCTTGCATCGGAAATGTGGCAAACACTTCGAGTAGCAATATCGTAGGGGTAATTGTTGCCACAAGTTGGCGTGTATGTTGCCTTCTCGTCCTGGACGGCTTCAGCTCGTGTCTGGGATTGGCCAGGAGCATTCCGGGCTCATGGCTCTGCCCCATGTTGCATGCAGCGTGATAGACATGTCCATGTCCACTTGAGCTTCCGGCATCACTACAAGACTTGCCTTCGACCTTTCTTGGTCATTATGTTCAGACTCCCATCATTGTCTATGGAGTTGGTATTGAGAATCGTCAAATAATATGTCAATTTCAGTAGCAGACTTTCCTCCTGGCACAGAGAACAATCTTCCGATGAGAATCGGTTGCTATGTCCTCTTTGCACTATGCACAATCCCGGTCTTACTAAGGTAGGATGAAGCTTGGCAGGTCATGCCTTTCCGCTGACAGTGTTGCGCAGAATCTATGTTCGCACATTCCGTTCCCGGAAGATTGGACTCGATGACGGCTTCGTTCTGGCTGCATGGGTGTCAGAGATCGTCGTGATAGTTTCAGTCAAGCTACAGTTTGACTCGGGGATAGGTTGGCACGCATCTGACTTGATGAAACTTCCCAATGGTGCAGAATTATTATCGAGAATGGTTCTGGTAGGTCACTACTTGACAAGGAGTCTCTTCCAACTTCTAACGGGTTGCAGTGGCCATGGGTTGCTCAGTTCCTCTATTTCTTTCAACTGGGTTGCATCAAGTCCAGTGTCGTGTCTTTGTACATCCGGCTTGCAGTAACTCCCATGCAGGTCAGGATACTGTGGATCACGCTGATTATCATCTTTGGCCAAGGACTCTCATCATCTCTTGTACGTGACACGCGAACAGTCATCTTTGAATATATCTGATGCGACTTGCTGACAACCTTCTCAAAGGTAGTCGCAGGTTTCATCTGCCGCCCTTTATCGATCGTTTGGGACAGTTCTCAAGGCCAATTTGGAGGGCCACAATGCATGAACATCCTTGCATTCAACTACTACAACGCTGCCTTCTTTATACTTTCTGATCTTTTCCTCGTGGTAGCACCAATCTTGGTATTGAAAGATATGCAAATGAATAGGAAACGCAAAGGTAACGTAAATAACAGGTGTGGACCTCGTATTGCGGCTCACAGATTCAAGTTGCCTTGAGTGTCATGTTCAGTTTGGGTTCGCTCGCTATTGGAGGCACAATTGCTAGACAGGTAACAAACGCAATTGCCATAAACAATACGTCGGATTTCACCTGGTAAGCTCAACAAGGCCTAACATCATGACACACTGACGTTGTGGCTAATACATTAGCAGGTACTGGGCTGCCGCGGAGCTGAGTTCTGTCTTAGAGTCCAGTCTTGGAATTGTGTTCATTTGCGTGCCCGCAGTGGCACCGCTCTTTGGCACCATGAGAGGATCGCCTTCTAAAGAAAGCGAGGAAGGAATCGACTTGGAAGATCCGAAGTGTCCTGCGACTTTTGGAAAGCTGGGCCGGCAGACGAGAGCGCAACCTGGTGATGAAACCCTCTTACACGAGACCCAAATCACCATATCCAGCAATGATAGCGATGTGGCATTCCAGAACAGTATCTGTGAGACTGATGGTTGCGCAAGCCACTCGCAGTAGGAAACTCGTATATAAAGCAACGAGTTCACAATGCATATTGACAAGACAGAAGAGGATTGGTGCTGTGGGCGGATTTTTGTTTCAGGTTATCATAAATAATGGCGTCGATTTCAATGTCATAGTAACATTTAAACGCAAGAAGGCCAAGATTCTTCCGAGAAAGGTGAAACTCTGCAGGCCGTCCCACTACTATTCAACCTTCTCGAGTCTAGGAAAACTTGTAAACACCGTAGGCAAGATGCTGTGAGGTATTAGCCAGGATCTAACCTTGAAGCAAAGATATTAATAATCTGCAAATAGCGCTAGATTTTTGCTGGAATAGAATGATGTGTCTCATACATAGGCCAGTTATGCGTAGCAAGCTCTGCGCTGAGATATCCTGGGGTTCGAACTCAATTCTATTAAGTATCGAGGTTGTTCTGCAGACCTAATCAGTGAGCCAAAATCTGCCAGTCAACCCTCTCTTACGAGTACATGGTGACAAGTGCAAACACAACTCACGATAACATTTCCTGGGTTGAACTAAGGATGGATGGTTCAATCGCCTTATTTGGTGCAGAGAAGGTGGCCGACCAAGGACTAAGAATAAGGTGTTGGGGTAACCGTGCCGTCTACCTTAGGATAAGGCTAATGCCTTTGTGTGAGACATGCAGTAGCCACGCTGGAGCTATGTATTGTAGATCGGTTCGTATTTTGTTATCAGAACCCGCACATGTGCACATACACACACGCACATATATATTTATACCTGTATCTACCACGGAGAGGTCTCCGTCAATCGAAGTGCACAGATCGTCCAAGATCCTACCTCCCGCTCTCGAGTCCCCTAATCTCCTGCAATTCTATCAATCAAAAGTCATCTGTCAAAACTACAGGTGAATTTCTCATCCTTCCCCCAATTTCGGGTTTCTGACGTAACATACCTAGAAACAATGACAATCCTTTCAATTCTGTCCACTGTCCTGCTGTCCTCAACAGCGCCTAATGCTTCGTGGAGATTCGAAGCCGATGGGACAAACGTCTACCATGGAAAGGGTCCCAAAACTTGCACGGAGTTTCCGGATGGCGAAAAGATCCAGAGAAACTACCGCGTTGATGGGAAAGTCGATAAGGGCGTATGGGTCAAGTTTTATCACAACGCAGAGTGCAAAGACAGCTGGCCTATAAGTGAATTGAGCCATGAGACAGACTCTTTCAGGTCTTTCTACATGATCCGAGCATATCAAGTTTGCGCCGATGTGAGTAGCCATCAAGCCTTGACAAATAAAGTTTCGCTAATCTTACAGGCATACTGCTTCACTCAAGGCAACGACATTGTGGATACTATTGTCAAAGATGAGAAAGAGAATTTGGAGGTAGCTCTGTAAATATAGCTGTGTCAACACGGGAATAATGTGGAGTGTGTTGCAGAGTTGAATGGTGTCTCTACTACGGTTATGGTTCCTCAAAAACATAGGCAGGCAGTATGAGGAATAGATGAAGGGGGGATCTTCGAAAGAGTCTCTCATAAACCTGATCAGCATTGTGATGCCGAGGTCGAATTTTTCGCGCGAATCAAGCAGTTGGAAGCGTAGTCTAGGACTAGAGATAGCTAAATGTAAGACAATTCAATCAACTGACAAAAGACCGAGTTGACCATAGAATGGTCCAGGACAGCCAACCGCGGGTAGGAAGCTGGGACATGCCCTACCGATATGTGTTGACGAGTGTCGTAAAGAGTTCCGTAGATTGCGTACATAGATATATAACGCCAAGACACTGGGTAGCTGGGGTTCAAACTTTTAGGCTCGGGTTGGGGCGGAGGCTCCGATGTATGGTGACCATTCCCGTGTTCCCCTCGGATGATACCGAAACGACTTCGTAAGCGGGTGTACTTATACAGCCACAGCGCCCCCGTTGAGGTCCATTGGTTTCTAGCTTCCAATTCGATCAACCATACACAGTCCATTTATTTGCCATGGCACCTTCTCTCCCAAAGATTGACGCGAAAGGCAGGCCTAGAGCTTGGAAAGCCGATGAGGTTCGCCGTGATACGACATGGATACAGCGCCTCACATCCAGCCAAGCCGAAGGGTTCACCGTAGCCCTCAAGCATGCGAAAGAAATAAACAAGCCTCTACTTGAAATGACGCAGGAAGATTATCCTCTTCCGGATGATTCTCGTCGTGCTCTTGAACAGGCTATAGAGACGACTCAAAGCCGGTGGGGAATGTGCCTAGTCAAGGGCTTTCCAACAGATGAATGGACTGAGGCGGAAATGCGCCTTGCGTACTGGGGCATGAGTCTGTATATGGGTGTAGCACGGACGCAGAACCAAGCTAGCGAGGTTATCAATGACGTGCGAGACACCGGCGGCAGCTATAAAGTCAAGGGTGGACGAGGATATAACACAAATGCCGGACTCGACTTCCATCAGGACTCAGCCGATGTTGTCGCTTTGCTATGCAGGCGCACTGCAAAATCAGGCGGGACCAGCAAAGTAATGAGCTCCATTGCTCTACGCGAACAGGTCCAAGAGGTGCGTCCTGATCTTGTCCCCGTCCTACAAGAAAACAGCTGGTTCCACAGCTTCCAGGGCGCACAGGACTCGAGTCAGCCAGAGTTCTACCGATGTCCCATCTTCGGGGACGAAGCTGGCTTCTTCTGCGCTCGTGCGAATCGCAAAAATGCCTTTGCTGCACAGCGTGATTTCCCTGATGTGCCCCGATGGACAACACAGCAAGAAGAGGCATTGGACTTGCTCGATACCATCATGCCGTCGGAGGAGTTCTGCTACACCATGGAGTTGGAAAAAGGAGATATGCAGCTCCTGAACAGCTTTGTGACTTTACATTCGAGAACTCCCTTTGAGGACTACGATGAACACGACGAGAAGCGCCATCTTATGCGTTTATGGCTGTCGATTCCTATTTCACAGCCTCTCCCACTCCAATGGGCAGAGTACTGGGGTGATGTGAGAGCCGGGTCAGTACGAGGAGGTGTAAGGGGAGGTGGGATTACGCCCGAGTTTTTGGAATATGAAAAGCGTCAGTCAGATATCATGAAAATGCCATTCGCCCCATGGAATCCAGTAGTTCGCAAGGAAAACATGGCAAAGATCTTGTCGGCTTTTTGAATAAAGAAAACTCACTACTCCATTGTAACTTAACTGCCTTCATGCTATGAGTTGCATATCGTAACTTACACCGATTGCTACATGGCAAATACTGCCAACGTAACCCCGCTATAGATAGAGTTGAATAAATGAAATTCCCTGGAAACCGGTACGTATTCATTTCACGGGGACGGCGATTCAAGATAGCTGCAGAACAGTCTGGGTATGTTCATCCGGTCGTAATTGACATGGCGCGGGGGTCCGACAAGAGACTTGCTAGAATTACATCGAAGTCCTAGTGATATGTTCTCATGTTTTCCCTACTTGGCATCATGTTGTGGAAGACGACTTTCCGGTGGCTTCTAGATCCGTCGGCCATGGTCCGAAAGGTGGCAAGGTTCTCCGCACAATACCCCTTCCCCGGATTTGCAGAGTCGGCAGCTCCAGCAATGTGGATCATAGGTTCGGATCACCCGATGCCGCACTCGGGCTGGTATCCTTCTGGCAGTTTCCTTAGATGCTCTTGAGCGCCTCAAAGTCGAAGACGATAGATCGATTGGTGGCCTCATACTTTTTCGATTATAAGGAAAAATCTACGCTAAACCCATTTCTACGAAATTCAGTGCGATGGAGGCCTCGAAAGCGTTCCAAAGAAACCATGATGAGCTTTACATGAAACCATCTACAAGGTTGCGAAAGCTTATTTCTCAGGGAGATGTTTGTGTCCAGGCACCGGGAGTGTACGATGGAATTTGCGCTCGTATCGCCATCGAGCAGGGATTTCAGGTCATGGTACGCTACATCTCCACCGCATCCAATTTCTGAATGACTGACCCTGCACAAGTATCAATCCGGGGCAATGACAACGGCAGCTCGTCTAGGCCGAGCTGACTTGGCCTTTGCTTCACTTAACGACTTTGCACAGAATGCTCAGATGATTGCTAACATCGACCCGCGCATACCGCTGATCGCAGATGCCGACACGGGGTTTGGGTCTCCGCCTAACATTGCCCGTATGGTGCAGATGTACGACCAATGTGGCGTGGCGGGCTTTCATATTGAGGACCAGGTTGCCAACAAGCGATGTGGTCATCTCAAGGGGAAGGAGGTTGTGGACATGGAGTACGAGGTGTCTAAGTTCGAACCATGTTGGAAAAAGCTAACATTGCGTGTAGAACATGGAAATCTAGAATACGGGCATGCGTCTTGGGGCGTGAAGCAATCTACGGCGGTAGCGATATCGTGATCATTGCGAGAACAGATGCGTTGGCTGTCGAAGGGTTCGAGGCTGCATTGAACAGAGTATGCTACGCTACACGCTCAAGGTTCCCTTTTCGATGTTAATGGAGTGTCCAGCTCATTGCGGCAAAGGAATGCGGTGCAGACATGGCTTTTCTCGAGGCAATCGAAACCGAGGAACAGATAAAGCAAGCCGTGAAGGCTTTAGCACCAATGCCGGTAGGCTCCAGTGACATATTGCTGAATTGATACAGGAGCTGACAATGAAAGCTTCTTATCAACTGTGTCTCACTTGGGAAAACACCATGGTTTCCACCCGAGAAGCTTGGAGAACTTGGTGTGAAGGTGAGTAGAAAGCAGTGAGTGCCGTGCTGAAACGCGAGATTGACGCGTGTGAAGCTTGCCATCTACCCTGGCGCAGCCGGGAAATCAGTGATACATACAATTCGACGAGCATACAAGCTTCTTATGGAGAAGGGCGAAGACGATGCAGCAGCCATGGGTCTAGAGCCTCGAGGCTTCTTTGATGTGATGGGATTGCAGAGAGAGATGGAGATAGACCGCCTAGCTGGTGGAGTTGCGTTCGGCAAGGGTGCATAGCAGTGTGATCACGCATGTGCGGGTTTTCTGGTGGCAATGGCCTATACGATCATTCGATCAAGAGGGCTCTATGTATAGACGTGAGTTCTATGACACTAGAAGCTGGTCAGACTGGCTTTGAGGTACGAGAGATCCTCCGGCCGAAAAACAACAACGGGCTGGTTCGTCCTGCCACCGGAGTTCTTTTCATTTCTAGTACAATGAGCTTTGAAACAGATTAAAACAAGCCAAAGATCCATGCGTATCCTGCTGGTCATTTCTCAGTGTCATTTTGATCTTGGTGGCCGTTGGACGTCCGCCTTGCATCGAAAAGTCGCGATGTGTATGGAACAGCCGCAAGCGCAATCAATGGACAACGAAAACGCCTCAATGTGCACTGCCTGATCTCACACATAGTGGCTTAAATCCTAGGTAATTAGAAACCTTTCTTCATCTCCCGTCGAGTCATGCGGGCTTGGGTTTGGAATTGTCGCGGTGTAGCTGGCAGCTCAATTGGGGCTAGCAGTTTACACGACCCATCCCAAGGCGTGCGCCGGTCACAATGAATGAGCCACAAGACTAAGCTACTGAGCCCATCGGCAACGAATGGCAGATGTATGTCAAAGGCGGTCTCGGTGTCACGGAATAAGTACCTGAGGCATGTTTTACTCCAGAAGATAAGAGTTAATCCCAAATGATACGAGTGCAATCCACTGCGCAACGGGGGTGACTCGCTGAACGCCGGGTGAGTCAACCTGTCAGCTCAATTAAGCGCCGTGTTGGTACTCAAATACAAGCACATCAACCACATATAACAGCACCTCTCCGCCACCTCCGGACCAGAGAATTTGATTATTTTCACTCCATCTTCTCATTTTAATGCCCATTGGGTTGAGTTGTACCTCGAATTCAAGGACCTCAGCGAATGCTTCCCGCTCCACTCTGGTGTTTCTCCGCAAGCCTCCAACAGCTTCGAACTCGCCAAAAGCGTAAAAGAGTCTACTTATCTTGTCTCCCGACTGGCTATTGCTTCTAGGCCACGATAGCCGGCGCGTAGGTGCTGGGAGCTCGGCATCTACTCGGAGAAGAACGCCGCCAGCATGGCAGAATCGGAACGCCCGCAGATCTATGATCTGCTGATTCTCACGGATGCCACAGCTTCCATGGGAACTTATCTCAGTGCGCTGAGCGAGTCGTTACCGAAGATCATTTCCGTGTCTACCTTGACGGATGCTTTTGCTCGCATAGGCGTCATCGCATACCGAGACTACTGTGGTGGGGAGTTGGTGGAATGGTCTGGCTGGTATGGTCGGGACGGCGACGTTGACCGAGATGAACTTCTGGCCTTCACGCGAAGACTGCATCCTCTCTACGGCGGCGATTGGCCAGAGGCCACGAAGACAGGCCTGGCTAAGGCCTATTCCGTTATGCGAGCGGAGGCCAAGACTCTGATTCTACTCTACACCGACGCACCACCACACATGGCATGGGACAACGGCAAGAACCGCAGGCAAGAAACGAAGTACTTGAAACAGGACTGCCGATTGGGCCCCTCTGGAAGTCTCTTCTCAGACTGGGTGTCGGCAGCGAAGACTCTGGCGGGCCAGAGTCAACAGCTCAAGGAGAAGAAGGAAGCGCAGGTTTTCTCCATTATCCAAAGCCACCTGGTAGATACAATAGGGCCATACTTGTACATGGCTCACCAGACACGAGGCTCGTGCTTCAAAATCGACCATGCCGACTCCAATCTGATATCGGAGCTTTCCATGTCTTTATTGCTGGCATGGATGGGTGTCAATAAGGCTGGAGCCGCAAGAGCACTACAGGCCACTGATCTAACCTATCTCGATGCTGATACCATCGATGATCTGAAAAGCGAAGGAGATGCAAAAGTAGAGCAGCTCTTCTTACGAGCTGATGACAAGGACAAAGAAGCTCTGCTCAAGTCCAACATACGGTATAACCGGCTGGAGAACGACGATGAGCTGCGCGTGGTAGTCACATCTCGAAAGACTCCTGTCCTCGACTTCTCCAAGCGCTACATCAGTGACGAAAGCTACCGAGAAATTGTTGTCGAGAACTTGAAGAAGATCATCCGCGAAGATGTTTCTTCAATGGCCCTGAATCCAGTTTTCGGCAGTCTCTGGCGCGTCGTCTGTAACGACCGCAAGAATGATGCACGGGATGGTCTTATCCAGGATTTCGGAGCTAGCATTGAGAAGATCAGCCGTCTTGATGAGAAGGCCAAGATGAGGGCATGGCTCGAGGAATCATACAACTATGTCGCTGAGATCACTGCGCTCATTGAGGACGTCCCCGAGTCCGACAAATACCCATGCGTCTTCCTGGATCCAACCCAAGATTGGACAATGCCAATGAATGAACAGGAAGACGCCAATGGAGGAGACCATGATCTCAAGACCTTCACGCGGGATGAGCTTCTAGAGATTGGGAGGTCATGCGATTACAAGATCCTTCGTCGTCTTGGCAAGGTCCTTACTAGGATGACGTATGTAAAAGACCGTGAGTCGCTGCCTGCGCACGTTGCTGGTATGAGCGAAGAAGATCTCCCCCGGATTCCCCTAGTTCTGGCCAAGTCGCAGTATAACCGACAATTCTGGAAGATCCTTCTGCACACTGTATTGCCCGGGACGAAGCTTGGTGCCCGCGCAGCGGCATTGCTGGCCGCGCTTAGCATCCGAATGGGAATGAAGCCCCTCATCGATGCAGCCGACTGGGAGATGGCCGCTTGGAAGAACAACTGGAACAACTTGGAGATCCCGGAGACCTGGAATACTAACTGCCTTGCCTTGATACTTGACGCTGATAATGATTTCGAAGCGAGACGCCATGCTGGCGCCGTCTCTGCAGATCTTCCGGAAGATGCTGCATTGCTAAGCGACAACGATCGGCGGCTGTTTGAGACGCTCGTAGACTACAGCATGCTCAAGGCAAACATTAACACCACTTTGACGGCAAAGGTTGGATGGCGACCAGACAAGTCCAAGGTCCCAATTGGCCCTCTCGCGATCTGCAAGACTTGCAGGTTTCCCCGATCAGTCACTGTCATGGCCCCTGGAGGAGTCTGTGGGCTATGCATTTCACCAGCCGACGAATTTATACACGGTCGAACCAAGGCCCAGGCCATCCTCTTGAATGTCTCCAAGGATCAGTCTGAGTCAGTCGAAGCCACGTGGGTAGAGTGCAGCACCTCTACATGCCGCGCACAGTACATCGTGTATGATGTAGAAGGCCTGAGAGTACGTCCCAAGTGCCATTACTGTCGAGTTCAAAGCAAAATCGCCGCTCCATGGGTGGAATGTAACAAGTGTCTGAACCGCATGATCTGGCCGGAAGAATACCGCCCAACAGATCGCAACGTGTCCAAGAACTTCCACTGTATGGCATGTGATAGTGGCTGCGCTACTGTGGTGGATGTAGAGACGACCCCTAAGAACTTGCGCGAAGAGAATGGCGATAAGTGGCTGCTGAGAAACGAGCACAAGATTGCTAAGCCATTGGGCGACATGTCGCTGTTCAAGACCATCTCAGCAGCCGGTATCGAGGACTTTGTCACCAAGGTGGAGATCTTGCCTGACACGGATGCAGAGCTGCGAATTCGTGGCAAGCTCGTACATAACACGGCAGAGATCAAGGCGTCCCTGAACAGTTGGATCAAGTCCCGTCGTGTTGAATCAGGAACTTGCAGTCTCTGCTTCTCGAACTTCAAGAAGAGGGATCTTCGATCTGCTTGTGGGCGCTCTGGCTGCGGGCAGAGAATCTGCGAGAGTTGCCAGGGCTCCTGGTACGGTATGAATACTCGTGGCCGACTCATTAATATCGCGGCTCTCTGCTGCCCCTTCTGCCGTCGAACGCCAGCCCCAGGCGCAGTACCGCGATCCGATGTCGTGTTCCTTGGAAATCTGCGAGATGCCGTAAACGAAGCCGGCACTTGGATCTATGGCTGGTGCAACGGCTGCGGGTTCGCGAAGCGATTCATGGAGCGTGTATGCGCTCAAGGTGCGCCGGCGGAGGTCAGCCATTGGGATTGCGAAGCTTGTATAGAAAACAAGGCAGCCTCGAGTTCAGATGCCGAACGGCGGGCGAACACACGCCACTGTCCGAGCTGCGACGTGGCCACGCAGAAGCTCAGCGGTTGTGACCACATCGAGTGCGCCTGCGGGGCCCATTGGTGTTTCTTCTGTGGCAAAGCCTGTGAACTGGATGATATTTACGAACACATGCAGGACGAACACGGCGGCTTCTACGGTGTACTTGGTGTCGAGGAAGAGGATGGAGGAGATGGAGACTACTAGGCGTGGTTAGCATGTAAAATGGTGGACGAGTGACTTTAAGCTATCCTGTCAACATCGAAATATACTCTTTTCCTTGACTTGTGCTCGGAAGTGACTGCTGGCTTGCTCTTTGGACTCTGTACAGCCACGTCGGTGATTCGCCCTGGTTTGCCAAATGACCTGAACAATTAGATGTATACCTAAGCATTCAAACAACCTAGGTAGTTTGTCCGAAACCCATCGCGATACCTTGCGGAGCGCCAAAAGCATGCAACCTCACTTGACCTCGTGCATGGTCATGGACCAAAGATTATATGCAACGTTGATGCCGTTCCATGAGGTCATCCGATCTTTTGACCAACCAGAGTATTGCACTTGCCAGGAACTTCTGCTCACATACAATCTGGTATATGGAGGGCAGGTGCGATTGCTCAACGCATCACCGCCAACCATAATCGCTCTCACTTCTCAATTATTGTCCGTCAGCTGGTTGACTTAGCCGCTGCGAGGCTGCGTAGTTGGAATCATCCTTATCACTATGCCACCGCCTCGCACCTCGGCAAGTCGACATGCCTACCCTTCTGACTACTTCGGGGCCAATGGGGCTGGTCCAGCACAGAGTCCGTCTCCGTCCATGGAACAGATGCTGCGCAGCAGGGAAAACGGACCGCGCAGATGGAACGACATTTTTCTTGGCCGCCTGGCCCGCTTGACCCGGCGTCGACGCCAATTCAGCGGCGACGAGGCGGAACTGGACTACCGTGAGCGTTGGCCAACTGTCACTACACTCGTAGAACACCAGCCCGAGTCCCGCTTGTTTCCAGAAGAGGATGCCGATCAAGACCTGCCTGAGCCGGCGCGAGTGAAGGCACTCCAAGCGCTGGCTACACCTTTGGAGTGGCTAGCAGACAGATTCGTGAGCATGTCGGATCATCTCGACCACAAGATCGACTTGGCCAAAGCCCGGGCAGAGAAGCAGGCCAGTGCTCCATCGAGTCGCAGGTCCTCGATGCGGCCTGGACAGAGCACCCACCCTTATGATACCGGCGTTGGCGAGATGACGGATCACGAAGACGACGGAGAAGGGGACGTGGCTTCAATTCCTAAGCCCCGGCACGCGTGGAAGACAGTCCGAGGGCGGCGCGCAAGTGGTTACCCAGGCAAAGACCGCGCCTCGATACAACAGAGCTCCAACGGAACCAATTCAAGCATGCTCGCTCGTGAAGCCTACCGGCAGGTGGCTCCTACCTGGAGAGACAAGCACGACGCAGCAATGACGACCTCGGAGCCGTTGCGCCCCAATAGCCAGCTACGGTTCAGACACCCTCGAAAGCCTGTTGCACGCTCTGTCAGCGGCCAGGAAGCTGTTGCTCCCGCCTCGGCCATGGCTTTGCAAACACGCAGCCGTCTGTCGAGCGCCAACCGCGGCCTGGGGACGGGCGCGAGCTCGCCGCATTCTGGGAAATCCGGTACGCCGGCCATCCGGGACTTTGCCATGGCCGATGAGGCCCCCAAGGCCGGTGCGATCCGCCAGTGGCTCAACCATTTCAACGTGAAACCGCCGAGTCGCGCCGTTTCGCCTCGGGAGCTCTCTGAGGACGATGAGCAGCGGGACGAACTGCCGCCGCACATTGTACCCGTGTCATCCCGCATCGGACGGCGCAGCAATGAGACAACATCCAGCCGCGGCACCCGGTCAGCCCGCACGCAGCACAGCACGGAGCCCATAGCGACCCCGGAGGGACGGCCGTCCAGAGACTCGTTATTGCCGCCCTTACGTCCGGTGAAAGGGTCCAGCGAAGGAAGACGAAGCCGGAACAGAATGAAAGGGGGGAAGGACAAGCGAAGCCGCCGAAACAGCAAGACGGACTAGTCGGAGGAAGCGGAGCAGGAGATTCCACGGGCAAAGGCAGGAGAGAGGTAGCGAGTATAGCTTATGGAAGCATTACAAATACGCTATAGCCAGGAGCTTAGCCCCGGACAATATGACACACTAGAAGATATCGTTGTACAAAGGCTTGTGAGTCCGCCACCAAGCTCTGCTGTGCCTGGAGAAGAGGCGTCCCGAATTCGTCGAACCCAGACGGTGAATGACAATGACTTGAGACCATCGAAATGCGGTTCAGGTACTGGTCCGACAGGTCGGGAAAGGGCAAGTCCATGGCCGAGTATGGTTGAGTAGGCTTATTCCCGGGCTCACAGCAGATTTGGATGCTGCGGCGTGGAGTGCGGACTGGATGTGGACTGCGTGGGCCGGGGTGCCAAGTCGCCAGCGGCAGCGTTCCATAGCTGCGGATCGGTTCTTGATTAGGCCGGCACCGAGGCCGGATAGCGAACCCCCGCCCGATCGCGCCTCCAAACCGCGGTGGTTAAGGTAAGGCAAGTTACTGTACCTAGGCGTGTCCCAGCCTTAGAATGCCACAGTAGGAGGGGACATGGTGGGCATGGTGGGCATGGATGCCCAGGAGGCGGGATAGGCGGGGGCCAGGTTCCCGAGGGCGAGGGCTTGAGGAGGGGACTCGATGTTGCTGCTGGCGCGGGTGGTGTTGCACTTTGATACAGGGGCTGTGACGCTTATTTGCGCAGAGCTTTCAGTCGCTCCCAGGGACACTGGGCTAGGACTGGCGCATCAAGCTCGGCATCCCGTCACATACACCGGGTGCTGACTGGAACAGGCCGTGCAGGGGACCGACACACACACACTACATCCATGGGCATATCTCTCCTCTCTCTCTCTCACACACACATCATCGAAGAACCTGGAAGGCCATTCCCTAGGCTGAATCCCCCTTTTTCTAATGGCGTACACCCCACCATGTCGTCAACTGGCCGGGATCCAAGAGGATTCCCATCTGGGTAGGGCGGTTCCCCGTACGTACAAAGTGGTGTCGATTGCATTGCCAAGCTCCACCGAGGTGAGGCAATCTGCAATGTAAATACCGCCGGCTGTCCCCCCTCCTCTCCCAGGACTCTGGCCGCCATTGAAACCTTTTGGAATTTTTATCGGCTGCAAGACGAACCCAATCTCAACAACACCAAAGTACTCGTCCATCTGCCTCTATTCTGTATAGCATCCCCCCTATATACCAAGATGTCTCTCGCCAAGGCCCCCGCCGCATGCTGCACTGTTGGCAGCTTGCACGAGTGAGTGTTCCCCACCTCCCTCCTATACCCAGGCACCTCCCATCCATCCAGTACCATGGACGGACCTACCCCGCCATCTGCGGTGCGGTGCGGTGCGGTGCGGTGCAATGCATGCGCCAGACGTGGGAAGCATACACGCAGGAGCTGTACAGGATGTACTCCGCAGAAAGAGAAAAAACATCTGAGATGAGGGCCGCTGGTATCGCAGACATGACGAAAAACTCGGAAGCTCTGGGCTACCTCACGAGGACCCGGGACATGAGTTGTCGCGATCAATTTGTCAGCGTCGTGGCATGTGCAGGACCCCTGTTGGGCGACAGAGCTGTGCCGGGCTTCTGACGTCGTCGTCTCCGCCGCCCTGTTCTGCCCCTCACCACCGTACCCGAGCCCGTCTTCAGCGTGATACTCATACTCCGGAACTTCATCACCGCCGAGTCCCGGGGGCTTTTTTTCCTGGGGAAAACACAGCCCGTCTTGGGTGCAACCATGACTAACCACGATCACGCAGAGGTACCCCCACCGGCCAGGAGCTCAAGGTCGGCAAGTACGATGCCTACCTGGCCACGCCCCCGGAGGGCAAGGCCAAGAAGGACGCCGGCGTTCTGTTCGTCCCCGACATCATCAGCATCTGGCAGAACAGCAAGCTGCTGGCCGACCAGTACGCTGCCAACGGCTACGTCACCCTGATCATTGACGTCTTCAACGGCGACGCCCTGTCGCTCAACCGCCCCGCCGACTTTGACTTCATGGGCTGGCTCACCAAGGGCAGCACCGGCGACAACCCCCACACCAAGGAGTACGTCGACCCCATCGTCAAGGAGGGCATCAAGTACCTCAAGGAGCAGAAGGGCGTCAAGAAGCTGGGTGCCGTCGGCTACTGCTTCGGTGCCAAGGTATGTCCTATCATCTCTTTTCCTCTCCCTGTTACGTATGTAGGATATCATATGATGCACATGTACATGCACATGCACATGCACTGCTCGTGAACTTCGTGCTAGATTCAGCCGCTGATAGTCCCGTCTCTGCAGTACGTCGCACGCCACTACCCCGACATCAGCGTCGGCTTCTTCGCACACCCCTCGTTCGTTGACGAGGAGGAGCTTGCCGGCTTCAAGGGCCCGCTGTCCATCGCTGCCGCCGAGACCGACGAGATCTTCCCAGCCGAGAACCGCCACAAGGCCGAGGTCATCCTCGCCAAGGGCGGCCTGCCCTACCAGATCAACCTGTACAGCCAGGTCGAGCACGGCTTCAGCGTCCGCTGCGACATCAGCAAGAAGATCCAGAAGTACGCCAAGGAGCAGGCCTTCATCCAGGCTGTCACCTGGTTCGACACCTGGTTGATCGACGAGTGACTCGCAGAGATTGGGCAAAAGGGGAAGCTTTGAGCAGTGGAAACGCTCTCGAGACCCGCCAGAGGTGGTATATATGCTTCCGAGGGTAGACTGGAAGGAAAGCTTCCCCCTTAATGTGACACGATAAGAATTAGTCAATAAATGAGACCAAAATCAAACATGAATATTATTTTGTACGGATCAAAAATGCATGTCTTAACGTCAACTTGGAGTGGTTAAGAAGCCGAACAAGGAGTAGGGGTGTCTCTGATCGATGTATTCTCATGACTTCACTCTTGATGTGCATGTCACTCTGCTGCTGCACGTACATCTGCGTCTAATCCATTGCGATATCCCCATCCCCCTTTGCAGCGCCCTCATCCAACAGTCCCTTCTCCCTCTCGGCAAGTAGTTGGCTGTGGATTCCCTTCTTTCCCACGTGCATGGCCTTCTCGAGCTCGCGCTCCTCCTCGCGCAGCGCCGCCCGCCCGTGTTCGAGCTGCCGCTGCTGGCGCCTCTTCTCCTCGGCCACGATCCTCTCGCGCTCCTGCATGGCCTTCTCCCGCTTGCGCCGCTCGTCCCGGGCCCTGCGCGCCGCCTCGTCCTCCTCGGCCTCGGCCTGGTCCGGCGGCGGCGGCAGCGTCGCGATGTACGCCGCGATCAGCGGGTCGCGCGTCGCGGCGTCCAGCGACGTGTACCGCACGTCGGTGAGGACCTGGGCCGGCAGGTCCTCCAGCAGCGTCTTGGCGTTGAGTTCGCGGCCGGGCACGGCCCGGAGCAGCGCCGCCACGTCCTTCTTGAGCGTGTCCAGGGGTAGCTTGAGGCGGGCGACGTGCTCACGGTAGGCCTTCTCGCGGTCGCGATCCGCCAGCGCCGAGTCGCGCATCGGCGGCTCCTTGCGGTACTTGCGCTTGAACTCGGGCCAATACAGCCGCGGGTTGGCCTTGGCCTCTAGGAAGGCCATATATGGGATGCGTGGGTCCTTCTTCTCCTCGCGCGCCCGCCGCTCCTTGACCACCTGGATCTGCGCCCGCGACCACTCCTCCCAGACCTCGCGCCGAGCCTTCATATTCGGCAGCACCGTGTAACGCGGGTCGTCGACCAGCTTGCCGTCCTCGACCAGCTTGTCCCACGGCGAGAAGGGGTTGATGCCCATGTCGGTCAGGAGGTCCTTGAACAGCTCGCGCGCGTCCTCGTTGGACAGCGGTTCGCCCTCGGCGCCCTCGGGCCACGCTTCCGGGTTTCCGTCGTCGTACTCGCCCGGCTCAAGCCCATAGTCGGCGCCCATGGCCTGCAGCTGAAAGGCGATGTCGTCCTCGTTGAACTCGACGGGCATCTCGCGATCGTCCTCGTTGGGCTCTTCGGTGCGCTGGCGTTTGGAAGGGTGCTCCCCGTCGCCATCATCTTCTGCACCTTCAGCACCCGACGCCTCGTCGTCGGTCACTTCGACTTCCTCGTAGTCTGATCCCAGCTCCTCCTGCGCAGCCTCGTCCTCGTGCGCCGATTCTGGACGCTCCGTAACAATTTCTTTTGTGGAATTATCTCCCGGCCCGGCCAGTTCTCCATCCTGGGCCTCGTCTCCCTGCGCAGCAATCTTACCCTCGGCCTTCTCCTTGGCGCCGCGGATATCCAGCTCGATGACACCCTGCATTATTTTTTCGGGTATGCGCCAGTAGCTGGCGCGCTTCTCGGGATTGTATGCGAACCGTCGGCCGTACTTGGTGTACACCAGGACCCAGGGCTCGCAGCCGGGTATGGCGACCTTGGACCGCGGCTTGTCGTGCGGCTGCGGCCGCGGCCTGTCGCCATGTCCCCGTGCGCCATGAGGTTGCTGGTGTTGCTGTTGTCGCTGCGCTTGCGGGTTGTACTGCGCCAGGAAGGCGTTGGCCGCCGCAGGATTGGCGAGGGAGCCTACTCCCGCATATTGGCGATAGCTGGCACGCGGATCTTGTGGGCCCGAGGCAGGAGGCGTGGGCGCAGCCGGGAGAGGAATATCGGCACCAGGGCGCTTGTAGGTCGATTCTTGCGTCGTTGTGTTGTAGTAGTAGGTGTGGCCCGTCGGCGCCTTGTGCTCGGTCCAGCCCGGCGGCAAGGGCGGCGGGGCGTTGTGGGAAGGCTGGTACGTCGATCTCAGCATCTTGCAGCGAGGCCGAAGCTGTGATGTTGGGGTTTCGCAAGGTGGGAGAGCGAGTCTGGTCGGTTGGCCTTGTTTTTTTCGTGGTTGCAGGCTTCCTAAGCTTCACGCAGTTCAAGCATGGGCGCGGAATTGGGCCGCTGATCTTCCGCCTTCGTTGTCCAGACCCATGGTCATTCCCTATCTCCATACATATCAACTTTCCATACAAGATTTCAACTTGTTGTATGCCATAACACTAGGATCGCTGATTAATTGAACGGAGGGAACAACAACAGATGGATTCTATATTTCAGTTTATCAATCATGATCGAGTAGCCTTGATTCTCGTCTTATTAATTGCATGTATTCGCGAATAGTTTGGCTAGTCTGGTGCATCCTCAAACGCTAGACTGTTGGCGAGGTACGAGAGCCTGCCTTATTTTGAGGTAGCTTTTCGAAGCTTCTCGCTACGCCTCACTCTTTGATGGGTTGAGTCACTAGGATAGGCTGCAGATCTCTGGCTCTCGTCTTCAACAGTTTCCACGTCAGTGGCATCACTGTCTATCACATCCTGGGAACCAAGTTGGCTGTCTTGCTGCGATGGTGAGTCTGTGCCCTGTACGGTGGGTTGTGAGTGTCAAAATAAGCAGATAGGACGAGACTGATTCTCTGCCTGAGTATCTACACTGGAAACAAAGCTCTATGCTCCGGCAACGACGTAGCCATTTCGTCTCCATTTAGTCTTTTGCCTTTTGCGATATGAGGAGTGCATTGATCGAGGATATGTGGCCTTTGGCTTTTCAATGTCCTTTTCTGGCTCGTTGCCAACTGTTGCGGAGACTATGACTGATTTGCACGCCTTCAGTTCCTCATTGCGCAACGGCTCATAATCCCATTGTCCTTCTTACAATTGACGGCCAAGATGTAGATGAACCAAAGAGCAAGATTGACGGTGAATTCTTGGAACTCTTTTGGATTGCCTTTGTTGTGGTTCTCTCATGGCATCGAGATGTATTCCATCGAGCCATCCCCAATCAAACCCTTCTGGATGCTCTCTCCGCGCGCGCCTGATCGCGAGAAAAGTTGGCCAAATCATTTGAAGAGGTTCATTGTGGACGTCCGAGATCAACAGCATAATCTCAAGCTGGCTTCTGGGTCTTACCCGGAAGAGCGACGCTTCGTTACTTGTCAGAATACACCCGTATTAACACGCATATTCTACACAGTAGGTGTTAATTTGTCGAATATCCATGGCTTTTTCACGACGTTTGGCCCGGTCTATACATTTGCCGTTGGCGGAAAGGGATTCACCACTAAAGAAATTCTTACTGTTCCACTTCCGTGCTACTTTATAGTCCTTTGAGAAGTCTCTTTCGGAGCCTGAGCGTTATCGCATACTTTACAGCTCATTACCGCGCTAGCATAGGGATTTCTCCTTTTCCCTTCAATAGTCGTCTTGCGCTGCCGCCAAATGGAAGGACGCGGGACGTCGCTCACTTCGTAAAGAGCTTGATTGACCATTGTACGGTTCCATCTGTTCAATATCGATTTCGTGATTTCTTCCTCACTGACGACATGGTCGATCGCTGATATGAATGAGAACGCGTGCAATGATCGTTCTTTTTCGTGGGTCTGTCGCTCAAGTTGGCCGCCGGATCTCCGCTCGAAGGACTCGAAGTTGAACTCTGTCCCGGGCTTTATTTGCGCTGGCGCATGATAAACCAGCGTCCGCGTATTCAGTATACTCGTGAGACCCTCTTCCTCTATTTGGGGGTTTTCGGCCGCGAGCAGCTGAAATATTGTATTCGGTCCGGTCATGGATCGATGATACGAGGGCACAGTGCAGGTTCTATCATCGCAATTCTATGCGCTGAATGAAAAAGAACTTGGTTCTTGCCTTTCTACTCTAGCGGCGAGGCTCTCAACTCACCCTTCATCACAGCTATTCCCACACCCAATGTTCTGTCATTGCAAGCCTTTGAGGCCTGACATACCAATCTAAGTGGTACGCACCACCCATAGGCACGGTCGACCTGTCACGCGGCTTGGTTGTTCAGCGGCTCGTTATGAGATGCAATGGAACTTTGTCTCTGCAGCCGCGATCGGGCTTATTTATAACCCACCTCCGCTTATGCAGTTCGGCCCAGCGGAGGTCGTCTCCTCGCCGGATGTGAAAGCGGTGTGACACTGGCGACAAAAGATAAGAATCAGCAGAGACGACGTATTTCAGGATTTGGGCACCACAACTCAAATTCTAACGACAATTTTCCGCCCAGAGTTACGGGGGTGATGCCTAAAGCAAAGCATTGCCTCGCGTGCACGACGCCTTCCAAGTATTCCGGGTCACTTACCTCCGCCAACTTGTGAAGGGCCGAGACTGCATGCGTTCTATCCTTTAAATCCGAAGACAGAATAGATCGATAGATGAGATGCTGGCAGTGAAGATAGGCCAGAGACGGAAAGATATATCTTCAAAGTTAAAATTGAGTCTCGATTCTATGCATTGAAAGCTGTGAGTGACTCCTCTCAAGTGGTTGAGGAGCGTTCCTTGAAAAGTCATATGGTAACACGAAACTTCTTGTTTAATTTCTTTGACCCATCCTCAACTCGCTTCAATTGGGCCCTCTTTTAGGCGATACATATCCTCTGACGACAGTTGCGTATTTTACGGATCCATTTTACGCCGGGTGTCGAGCGTACAGTCGCATACATGAGTTCCTGGACAAGTAAAAAAGAAGAAGACAGGTCGCGGTTCCAAGGCATAAATTCGTCTTGAAGACAAGGATCGAAAGATACTAGAAAAAAGAGCTTGCAATCTCGGTGCCATCAGTGATAACAGTGAGCCTTCAGTAGGACCTGTTCTAGCTATTGTCAAGGACCTGGTTTCGTATGGTGGCTCAGGACTGAACACAAACGTGGCGCTCACTCTGCGGCGCATCAGATCATTGAACAAGCAAAGGATATACAACAAGGATATACGGATCGAAAATTTCAAAGACGGGCAGTTTATCAATTACGGGTCGTCTTGGACAAAGCCACTCTACCTGCTGGACTCATTTCCTCAGCGGGAATTACGGGAGACCAGACTTGAATATTTGATCATTTTTGATGAGATATCACCAAAGAAAGCATTCAGACCCAGCTGAAGGCAACAACCGGCATACATTGCCTCAAGTAGTTACGATCGTGGAGGAATTAACGCGACACTCATATCAGTGAGGCTTGCGAGCACTTTTCGCAAATCGAGATGAACGCACCGAAAGGCGGAGTCGATTTCGCACGAATCGAGAAGCCGACGAATGTCACGCTCGAGGATTATGCTGCGTCCAAGGCGGGGAAATGGTTTCTCGCAGTAGAGGGGGCGAAGAGATGGGGAAGGGATGGAATTGTGAGCGTGTACCAAAACCCCGGGAACCTGTACACTGGCATCTACGCCAATGAACATTGGCTGTTCGTAGCGTTCCTAAAGACTTTTGTCTTGTATGAAGCCAGTATGGGGCTTATACGATGTCATTTTCGGGGCTTTCCCCTGAGGTGAATGAGGACAGCAACGGAGCACATATCAGACCGTGAGGAGGCATTAAACCCGTCGGGCGACCGGATGTACTGCAAGCTGCCTCGGAGGGCAAAGCAACGGCATTCTGGGAGTGGTATGAGAGGGCCTGGAGTCAGCATGTTTGAGGTACTTGATCGTGAACGGGACGTTAACGTAGCAATGGAGACGTCACTTGTAGGCTATAGCTTCAGGATGTAGCGAAGCCCTCCTTACTAGATTATGATTATCTGCCTCTGTGACATGCTGTTATTAATATAAAGTCTAATACGTAGGTACCTAGGGTAGGTAGGTAGCGGATCGGATAATTGGCACTTGCTCAACCCCAATTCAAGCATAGTCACCGCCTACAATATGGGTGGCACTGTGCTGTATTCTCAGAAGGATCGCCTGGGGCAGATCTGTCCGAGTTCTGGCGGTCTTACCAGCCTTGGGTTCGTGCCTCTCGTCACAACTCTACCCGCCACGAAAGATATACCCCACCGGGCCATGACTATCTTAGCTTTCGAGGAATGCCGGCCCGCCACAGCTGACAGAAGTCGATAAGATAAGACCGGCCTCGTGGATCTTGCGCAGTAACTTACAAAGTCTAACATTTCACAATGCATCTCATGGAATAGCAGCATAAGAATGGCCGGTCCCTTAAATGCTCAAGTTGCCTCATCGCCGGTGAGCGAATTGCGCGATGCTTCCGGGGACAGCAACCCGCCGGATAGCAACCGCAAGATTACAGCCTGTGTCGCGTGCCGGAAGCAGAAGATCAAATGTCACATGCCTGGCTCTCGCCCCCCATGTAGCAGATGCAACAAGCGAGGTCTCTCTTGCACGGTCAATCGCAGCCTGCAAATGTTGTTGGAGAGTGACACAGTGTAAGTGCACTTAAACGCGATGTCAACCTAGGACTGGCGTATTGACCGGTGTCGCGGTGCCGTATAGGTGGAAGGACTCGGTGGAAAAGAAGATCCAGGGGCTGCAGGATGCAATTGACAAGCTCACGTCCCAAGCTTTTCCTCAGGAAAAAGAGCAACATCCAGACTGTCAAGGTTCTCCGGAGCTACAGATGAACAGAGACTGCCGTACTCGGCCTGCGCAGTTGTCATCGGATATTCTAGCGCAGAATCCCACTCACTGGAATGTTGTCCTGGATCCACAAGCCGACCCTGGAACGGTCCCAGGTTCCTACATTGCGCAGATCAACACCACTGACGAGGAGCCGCGTGCCCATCATCGAGGAGACTTGGTCTCGAAAGGTATTATAGCTCTCGACAGGGCGAAACTGTATTTTGAGAACTATCAGCAAAGACTGGACCACTTTGTTTATCGTGTCCTAGGCGACCACTGTCTTGTGACTTTCGAGGGCACGCGAGGAGCATCCCCTATGTTGCTCGCTGCTACTTGCACAGTAGGTGCTCTGCACTCCTCGAGCCGAATTCAGGACTTCAACGCTTGTCGAGCCGAGTTCGTCTCCCTCTGCGAGAGACAAAGCATGGTTTCCACCAGCAACATTGAAGATGTTCAAGCTCTCTGCATCGGAGCCTTCTGGCTTACCGATGTATCCTGGTCACTCGTCGCCGCAGCAGTACGTGCTGCCACGGATCTCCAACTTCACAAGAGCTTTTTCAAGGCAATACGAGGTGATCAACAGCATTACCTGAGGGCCCGTCTATATTACCATGTGTATGCCTGTGATCACCATGCATCAATTGCCTTCGGAAAGCCGCCGTTGACGAGAGACTGCGAAGCTGTCCGCCGAGCAAGGGATTTCCTGGGCTGCAAGCAGGCCACAGAGGATGATGCGCGACTTGTGAGTCAGGTTTGCCGCTGGAGCTTGCTTTCTAGTGTTTTCAATACGTTCGGTGTTGATGTCGACCGGCCACTCATAAACACCGAGATAGCCGAGCTTAGGAAGTTCGGCATTGCCTTGGACAGCCTCCGAGCGGAATGGGTTGATAGATTCGCGCACAATGCACACGTGGGCAACTATCCCAGCAAGGGAGTCAGCCTGCAGTATTACTTTGCCAGACTTTATCTCTGCTCTCACGCTTTCCGTGGAGCAGGGTCGGGGAGTGCACGGTCGAACCCGGACCACCTGGATATCGAGCGAGACGAAATAGCCAACATGGCAGTGCTGTCAGCGATATCAATTCTTCGTTGTGTCGTGTCGGATTCGGAAATTGCATCGTTTCTGAACGGGCTACCGACATATTTCGATGTCATGATTACCTTTGCGGTCGTATTTCTACTCAAAGTGTCCGCCAAACCATCTAGCCACATCCCGCTCGACAGCCATGGTCTTAGGGATTTGATCCACAAGACTGTCACGACATTGATACGCGTCACATCCACCATGAACCCGCGTCATGTACTTGTCAGCATCTCAAAAGGCCTTAGTAACTTGTGGCAACAATCTTATGCCGGCGGAGAAGATGCCTCCACCAACATCACCTCTTCCGCGGAGAGGGAACACCCAACGGAGCCATGGAATGGCGATGTTGCGTTTGATCCCTACTTCCTGAGCGCATTCGATTTCCAGGCAATCTACACAATGGATGCTGGTCTGGATTTGTCAATGGATAATATTGAAGGGCTCTGAACATGGCAGGGTATCCATGATGAACCCAAAGTTCTAACACCACCAGTCATCCTTCGACCTAACTCAGCGACAACTACTGGCTCTCCATGCGACAACCTATCACGGTATGCTACCTCGAAATTACCCTCCATATCTAATGGTAGCTGAACAGCATCCACTTACGATAATGCTAGTGAATTAGCCGAGCTACGCGACTTCTCGTGCTGTTGATGCGAACTGCCGCAGCATCCGTCGTCCTCACTTTCTGCATCCCATATATCTCTGCGTCTGTAGGTTCCATACCTCCCGGCGCAATCAACACAGCTCGCGTCGTAGAATTCCACTGCGTACTCTACTAGTTGATCATTCAGCTTTGCCAAGCGAATCACATGAGCTCAGACGTCCTCGCTTCCTGAAGATCAGCTTCCCTTGTGGCTTCCAGGCCGCCGCCTGCTTATGGACCCCCAGCCGCCTTTACCGTACGTCCAGCGGCTGACTACCCTCCGATCTGGCATGCGGCCATCATTCATTCAATTTGAACTTAACCACGCTTGCATACCTAACTTAATAGCGCTACCTTGACAAGTCTACAGTTCAGGCGCGCCTCCGGAGCCTCGTACTCGGGATCGCCCACAACGCCGGTGCTAAAGCAAACCTCAACAGACAAACCTGGGGTATAGCTTGAGAGATTCCGATCCCCAGACGCCAAGCGGATAGGTAGCGTATTCTCCAAAGTCAATTAGCATTACTGGAGACTCAGCCACACGGTCCCCTGCGTCAGTTAGGAATGGCCACCCAAATCGCAACGTATTACTTCGTAGACTCACTGAATACAATTGATATAGAAACTTGAAGCACTGTCTCTTAAAGTCATGTCTCACCCTTCAGCAGACCAACATGCAGCATAAAATGGCTGCTCCGATCCGTCTCACGGTCGGCTGTGTTGTGGCCATGCTCGCTGTGGCCGCCTGCGCCGCCTCCCCATCTTTGTTTCGCCATCTGGTGCCTCTCCCGTCGAACGATCCGCTGCGACCACAATATCCCCACTTTCTCCCTGACGGCACTGTCGTCTTCTCTGCTGCCCCAGCGTCCGGTGGCGGCTCGGAAGTCTATCGAGTCAACAAGGATGGCTCCGGCGTCACATGCCTAAGCTGGGGCGTATCGCCAAGCGCGACTGCCAACCTCAGCAAGCCGTTCGCCTTTACTGACGGCTCGAGGCGTTTTCTTGTGCGAGTTGGAAGTCAGTCCACAGACCAGGGCGGCGGCAGTACGGTTTTGGAGGTTAACTCCACCGATCCAGAGCAGTCCGCCCTGGTGACTATTACTGTCCCAGGGATCTCCAGGTTTCAGGTCTTACTGAACAGCGGGAGATGCGCATCGCGCTTGGCGGCCAACATGCCGGGTTTACCCAGGTCGTACTTGGCTCAAACAATATTGCCCAATACATCTCTATCATCGGCGGACTGCATCGCGCCACCAACGCTACTGGGCAACCCGAATACCTCTTTGAAGATGCACGTGTCATAGCCAGTGATGCTGAAATGAAACGGTTTACCGCCGATGGGGAAAGGGCAATTGTTGCCTCATTCAACGGCGTATTTGACCAAGGAAATGCGGATGGATTGGTTGTCGTTGTCGACCTAGGCACCGGAAATGCGACTCGACTTACGGCCAACCCCGACTACGACGAGGATATATGTGACTCACCCAACGGTCAATGGCTGGTAATAGGAAGCTCACGCACATTGCACTAAACCACTGCCATGTCCCAGATCAGGCGCCCAAGCTACGTGCCGGGGTTCGTCGTTGGCCCAGTGTTCTCGATGAAAAAGGGCACGACTAACCAGCCATGGGTGAACTCGCGTGCGGACGAGATCGGCGGCAAGGACGGGTTTCCATTATGGGTGGCGGGCGACGGTTGGACCTCTTTGCCAGTAGCCAACTGGACCATGATGGATCGGCCGTTACCCTTTGGGAGAGCGACTCAGGACTAGATAACCCTAACAACACTCGCATAATTGTGGCGCATCTGGGCGACAGTGGGAACGTTAGGCCACGACCCAATGATATAACGAGTCCAAAGCTGACATGGGCATCTTTCTTGGATGACTATACGCCGCCCGGGCTGGGTGAGATCCTCCCAGCGCCCGGCATGTACCCGGGCCATGTCTCTGGTAGTGCAACTGTCGAGGGGACTAACGGCTCAAAACCTGAACGGTGCAACGCATTGTAACATACTCCAAGTTCTAACACATCCCAGGCCAGACCATCGACGGCACAGAGTCCACTGTTTATACCAGCTCACTGAACAGCATCGTCTATTCCGGGTTATTAACCGTAAGAGACACGGCTGGGGTGAGCATCGGTTCGCTTGCTGCTAATAACGTTTCAATTATTAACCAGACTACCATGACCGGAACGATTGTGTCAACTCTTAATGGCGAAACCATTTCGATGAGTGCTCGTAACGGAACACTTACAATCAGGTCGTCGCCTATTACCCCAGCTGAACCTTACTAGTTTAACTATAAGTGCTAGTCGCAACTTCGGCCTTGGCACGTAGGCCAGTAAGCCAATCAAAGGTATCACTCCTGTATCACCGTGAGCCAACAGTGAGCATGCAGTGTCACGAGTAAGGGCCTGCACAAGGCTGTCAGCTAAATCCTTCGACCAAAATTTTGGGTATAGCATAGTTCTTAAGGGGCTGACAGTAGCCTATTTCGGTGGACTTTAGCCACGCCGCAACGATTCCAAGGCAGGTTCAACAATCGGTATCCACAGGGGGAAAGCTTTACACTGTATGGGTGTCATATACACGGTAGGTCAGGGGCAATTAGAGATGTACAATATAGCGAGGACATATCGTAAAGACTGAACCTTTCCAAGCGCAGCGAGGATGCCGACCCCGATGCGAATGCGGTAACGGCCCTTCGCCCACTCCCTAGACATGCGGAAGGAATCCGCCGCCGTGGTATGTCGTCAGGCCTTCTGTTTCCAAGCAATGATGACGCAACACCGTCGGGAATCCAAGCTGTCTGGCAATCTCATAAAAACAGCTGTATACCTCATTGGCAGCCTGCACGTCGGTCGCGAACCGACGAGGATACACAGCATGAGCCCCTGCCCAGAATCTTTTCGGTGCCTCTCGCCAGGCGACGTATCTGTGGTTCACTGCCAGCAAATGAAGGCTAATGCGTACCTTACAGGCGTGGCAAAAGCCAGGGTTTGATCGGGGATTTTCGAATTTTCACCACCTTATATAAATAGTCTCTCTACACCATCGGTATCACAAACTCTTCCTGTTTTATCTCCCCTGCTGTGGTATCTCATGCTGTGATGTCTCGTTGCTTGGAGCAGTAGTATCCGTGATATGAGTGCTACGGCTATGATGGTGAGATTCGATCGGTTTCGGGCCTCTGAACAGAGGGGACCAGGGAAACATAGTCACCGGAGCGATCTACGACCAGGTTGACTCGATTGGATGACCGGGCCTTGGGGTCTTTTCGGGCAGTCACACTGACAGCATTGCGCAGAGGACTTGATCATGAAGAGAACCTGATTCTGTGCGTGGGGTTTTCTCATCTGATGCAAATGGGTGAGGTCTATTGCCCGGGTTTTACAGAGCCAAGCACTCAGTCGTCGCTGCAGCTCAAACTGAGTCTAGTCTGCGTCTGGTGGAATGCTTGGGGTTTCGTGGTCTTCTACAGAGGGTGTCAGTCAGATGTGGCGGAGCAGCGGTATTGAAGGACATCCAACAGTAAAGTAGTGCACTAATACGGTACGCTTCGTCCATTCATTTCAATGACCAGGGTGATAACACATCACATTTCAGCGTCCAGAGGTTCTGCCGCCGCGATGGCGGTCTGTGGCTATTCCTAGCCGAAGTGGATCACAAAGACTCCGGTATTCACGACACAGCTGTGTGGCGCCAACCAGGCTTACTCAGAGGGGCTAGAGCGATGGCCCGGAGCAATAGGTATTAGGAAACAGCGCAAGAGGACCCTGGTGCCGGTTCCAACGGGTCACAAGGTTGGTTGCAAGGACGGGATTTTCCGAGGACATCACAGCACCTACGGGGCCTCCCAAGGACGTCCGGGTTTGAAGTCCTTGGTAAAGAAAAAGAATCCAGAAACCTGATTTCGGTATACGTTAAAGCATGTCAAGTTCAATTTCAGTTGGCATGTCAAATGATTCCCAAAACTGTTCAGCAGATGTTGCCCATTGGTAAAATATCCAGGGGATTCAAGGTCGCCCTTGACTTTGTAGTTGATGCTCTCGCTGCTACAACCACGCCAACAGAAACCATGCCTGATTATCCTTGAGCTCCCCTTGGTGTGGTTAAATGCTTCTATCGCGGACAAGATCCCTGAGATCTTCCCAGGAGGAAGTTTTCAATGGGGGCAAACACGGAGTTGGGTCAGGAGGTTGGGTGGAAGCCTTCCCAGCTACTAGCACAGTTGAACCAATGACCTGAAGAAGCATCATGTCCATACGTACAAAAGCCCGATGCCACTCAGCTGTGGTTCCGGACAATCATCGGCACCGGGGCGTAGCGAAATACGTGGAGTAAGGACCCAGTAACAGCAACTGCGTTGCTATCTCCACGGCAGTGCAAAGTCGTGTGCGTAGTCCATAACTGTCGAAAAAGCCAAGATTTGGTCTGATCAAGTAATTTTCCGGGTTGCCCGTCTAAATCTCAAGTCCGTTGTTGGTTGGCGAATCACGACCCGCGCTGGCCCACGGGTAATATGGGCTACTATAGTGGAACATGGAGCCCCGCGAAGTGACGACCGTTCTGGAAATCTATGAACAAGCAAATGCCGGGCTTCGCAAGCATAGTCCTGCATTCTGCCGAAATGCCTTGACCTCAACAGGTCAAACTAAGGATATTATTTATGACGGAATCTTGCGCTCCTCTGTGGCCCACCTGCATATATAGATCTGGATTCACTAGAAGCAGACGCCGTCAAGTATGATGTGCTCTTGATTGCCGTGCCTCACTTCGAAACCGCCGTGGGAACAACAACAATCAGAATGCGTCTTCACAATTTAATCGGCTACCTCGTAGCCTTTTGGGGGGCCGGTGAGTTTTGCAGGCTCTCACGGGTCTCACGGCTGAATTGCTGACGAATGACGACTACAGAGAATGCCCGAGCAGAGATCCAGGCCCTGCCAATTCCCACAAGCTGCAGCGGCGTCTCGGCCATGAGGTTCTCCTACAGTACGGCGTCAGGATGGTCTGCCGTAAAGATTGCCGGGGGCTTGAAACAAGTCCGAACTGTGGTTTGGGACCCCTTGGGGAACATGCTGGTAGCAGAAGCAACAAAGGGCATCTCGGTACACACCTTCGGGGACAACGGGTGCATCAACAGCAGCAGCACGCTGATCTCACTGAACTCACTCAACCACGGCCTAGCGTTGACACCGGATGGGAAGACTCTGTACGCCAGCGGTGAGAGAACGGCGTACTCTTGGGCTTATGACCCTGCTACAAGGAAGGTCAGCGGCCAGAAGACGGTGGTCTCGGGGATGGACTCTGGTGTTCACTCGACGAGGAACCTGCTCGTTGTTCCTTCTAAGCCGAACATGGTTCTCTTGCAAGTCGGAAGTAATTCGAATCTCGATGCTGCTGCAGCAAACAAGGCGACCGGTCGAGCCATCATTAAGATCTTTGACATGAGCAAGGCCCCTGCCAGCGGATACAATTACAAGACCGATGGAGAAGTTTTTGGGTACGGACTACGAAACGAGATTGGTTTCACAGCTGATCCTAATGGCGTGGTTTGGGGCGTGGAGAACAGCGGTGATGTAAGCATCCTATTGATCGTGCTGGCCAAGAGAGGATGCAGTACTGACAAATACACAGGACTTCACTCGCACGGTGAACGGGGCTAGAACCGATATACATAAGGACAACCCGGCTGAAAAGCTCAACAACCGTAAGTAGTCAGCGGGCCATGGTGACCCGAACTCGCGCTGACACGCTCACTCCCAGTTGGCGACCCTCTCACCGTTCGTGACAAATGGTACGGCTACCCGACGTGCTTTACTGTGTGGGATCCCAGTTCTTTCAAAGACAATACTGCCTTGAAAGTCGGTTCGCATTTTGTCCTCGCGCCAAACAGCACATTCAACGATGCGAGCTGCAACACTCAAGCAGTGGCGCCACGACTAAGCTTCCAAGCCCACAGCGCCCCTATCTGGAACGCATTCGACGCCGACGCCACTAACATGTACGTTACATTCCATGGGTCCTGGGACCGCCAACCACCAACCGGGTTCAAGGTTGTCCAGATCCCGTTCACAAAGCTTGCCAACGGCCAGTATGATCCTGTTGCAGCAGCGGATAGCAAGACTGGGTATACGGATATCTTCTGGGCCAAGAGTCCGGAGAGCTGCACTGCCAATGGGCTCACTCAGAGCAGTTGCTTCAGACTTACAGCCGCGGCTTGGGACCCTGCCGGCAGAGGGCTGGTCGTCGGCAGTGATAACAGTGCAGAAGGAGAACTTTATCTTCTGTCCAAGAAGTGAGTCTTGTAAACAAATAACGTATGACTTGGGTAATGATATCAAAGTTGCAAGATAATACATGTGCTACTTGACTGTGTCCCTGTTTCCTATATTTGTTGACAGCGAATGGGGAAGCTATTATTTCTCTGACGTAACCAGTCTAACAAAAGTCACTACTTTATTCGATATGAAACCTCTTCCAGCATGATAGCTCAAATCTTAGAACCGCTTGGAGAGAAACTGCTGTATACCACTGGCAATGCTGTCCGGTGCCTCGAGGGGGCTCCAATGCGAACAGTCAAGCAAAATTTCCTCAAGATCTGGGACAAAACCACCCGCCTTGGCAGGTGCCATGAGCTCCGGGCGACACACTCCATCTTGGGAGCACCCAAAATACAGCAGCGGGACTTTGATGACAAGCCTCTCTGGAGAAAGAGACTTCTCCTTTTCGTAGTATATGTTGTAGCAAGATGCCTTGTAGTAGCACACAGGGGCTTCAAATCCGTCCCTCCGGAACCTCTCGACGAAGACGCGTTTATGCTCAGGGTCTTTAGCATATTCGCGCGGCTCCACAGTTAGATCGCCACTTTCATTGAGCAACCACTCCTTGAACTTGCCCCTTGGTCCGAGGATGCTCAAAATCCAATCGCGCGGTGCACCGTGCATTCCATCATATACCCGATCGGCGTGCGCCTTCAGGATGCCAGGAGCCTCGTCGGTAATCAGAAACTCTTGGTATCCCAGGAATGTGAAACCAAGGGTTTTCTCGAGATAATCATTGGTCGCCACTATATCGAAAGGTTCTGGTGATGGTAGCAAGTAAGGCACGTTTAGGAGGACGACTCCGGCCACCCGGTCCGGATGAAAAAGGTAGAGGCGTTGAGCAACGGTAGAACCCCAGTCGTGGCCCACAGATATCACCTTCTCGACGCCTTCCTGGTCAAGTATCTCCGTGAGATCTTTGGTGTGCGCAGAGAACTCATATGCAGAAGGGTTCGTTGGCTTGGAAGTTCCGCCATATCCGAGCAAGTCGGGGGCGATGATCCGGTACTGTGGAAGTTTCGCTATGATATACTGCCACGTATGGGCGTCGTCTGGAAAGCCGTGTTGCAAAAGCAATGGTGGTGTGTTCGGTGTGGCTCCCACTGGGTTCGACACGTAGTAAGTGTACGTGAATCCTCGAGAAGACTGAATGGATTTCTTCTGTAGTGCGTCCATTGTCTGTTTCGCTAGCGGGAGTCGGAAACAATCAAGGTACTGAAGATCGGTCAAGGTGATAACTGCTCAAGGACTATATACTTTTCTGGATTTACCGACGTGTATTACGGCTGTGGCTGAGGGGTAAAAGATCTCAGGTTCTGGTCCACAATGCTAAACCACGATAGAACAGCGCATGCCGCGATAGGGCTCCGCATCCGCTAAAGCAATAGAACCTTCCACTTGGCCCCTTCTGGAAAAGTGTCGGGAACGGCAGGCTGCCAAACTTGATGTGTGCTATACTACACTGTACCGAGGCTCCGAGGAAGCCAAGGTGTTGCCATTTCGACGTCGCTGCATTATCTGCCACTGCCACTTGGATCCAATCTCGATAGGCACCGGTGAATTAACCAAAGAAGCCAGCTTGATACTCTGCCAAGGAGAGTGTTGCCGTCCGCTTGGCAGGGACAAGAAACTTATACGCCAGGTAGCTCGTTGTAGGCCGTTCAATTCAGTTCTGGCCAGACTCTGAACTTTAACCTCCAAAGAACCAAACACATGCCTGGAATCTTCCGTTGGTTATTCATCAGTACATTCCAAGTGTCAGGAAGTCTGGAGTTCCATTTCAAAATCTGCCCACACGCAATTTATGCCATATACAGATACACATGCAAACTAGAAGCGAATATTACAAGAAAGCAATTTTCAGATCTCGATTGGTTGCGTGTTTCCGCATTGACAGGCTGCCTTTCCTCTACGAAGTCTGTCTTCATGCCATCAAGGCTACTGATCTCAGCGATGAGACAGTTTCCCACTCTGGATTTGTATCAGTCGTTTCTAGATAACCTGTCCAGAGTAGATGCGCTGCTTAGATTAGTGCAATGGTTCCTGTCGCTTCGCGCTCTTGCCCTCGTTGGTATTGCCATCCGGCTTCTCGTGATTGGTTGACTCATCAGGGTGGCGGTCGGTCTCCTCCGAAGCCTGGATTTCAACACCACATGTCCAAGGTCTCGCGCATGTGTCCCGGTACGCCACACAGTCTCACGCATTCACGCATTCCGGGCAGTACGACCGAAGGTTCCCATAGCGGGAGCAAGTCGTGGTGCAGCTATCCCGACAGTAACGGTTGATTTCTCGACTGCCGCAATCAACGTAAAAGTTGGCGCTGTCAGGCGTATTGGTCCCATCAGAAGGGACTGGACTGGGCGAGACGCTTGCTGTGATATCAGAGCTAGTGGTGGCTGCGGTAGCACTGATGGACGAGTTGCTTGGGGCAGGGGCCGCGATCGTGGAGCGGGCGAGCAGCACACACCAGATTATGATGTTAAAGACCTGGTGGCAAGCGTTTGATTAGTAAAGCGTCGGTCTGTTCCGCACCCTTGAGGCAACATACCATCATGATGTTATCTTCGTTGTGATATGAACACAGAAGACTTAATTAGCTTGTGGTACGGTTGTGGGGGCTGAAACCAGATTCTCACAGATACTTGGGTGTTGTTGCGAATGGGAGAAGTTCGAGAAATCCTCAAGCTTTCGAGATTTAAATAGTTAATAGGATGACGGGCCAGTGCCCTTGCCGGTTCTATTCACCGAAAATTCGAGAGACGAGTTCACATTGGCGAACGTAACGGGGCTGGCCGTTCCATTAACAACTTGTAGCAACTAGAAGTCATGTTCACTAGAGATCTCCAGAGTCTGGACCGCCGAGTGAATTTAGGCGCCAGTCAAGTAATAAGTACGCCTAGAATCCTGAGTGAATCGTTTGCAGTGACGAAAGAGCATCTAGCTGGCATGTTTGCTTTCCTTTGCGAGACAGATTACCTTGAACCTGCTGCGGCGCGAGACATTTCCCAGCTCAGCAATCAAACAACTCGGATATGGAACAATTCTGGACGACATTTAGAAAGTCAACTTGATACACAAGGGGATGTACTGTAGTGTAAAACTGGAGTAATATTTTCTAACCGATATCCCACGCTATGTATACGAGAAAAATATTGTGTAGGTAGCCCAGTGCATTAAGAAATTGCATACATATTAAATGAACTCCGCCGATGCTTGCCATTGTCCAATTTTGATCGCCAATACCCTGAAAACAGACTGCATACATGAAATTCCATGTGAATGTGAGGCGAACTAGCAGTATCGTCCCTTGTTGGTGGCCTACCTACCTACCGGCATGCCAGCGAGGGAATTAGTTCTAGACGTTACGATCGCCCTTCTCATTCTGTGGACCGTTGGAAGTCTGCGTAGTCCGCTCAAAGTTGGCGTAGGGACGGTTCCTGAGTGCGGATCGAAGCGCGCTCTCGGGCCGTTGAGCCCAGGCGTAGTAGCTCGAGTCGCTGTACGGGAAGAGGACCTTGTTCCTCGAGCTCTGGACGTAGTCCGACATCCGAGGCTTGGGGCGAGAGGCGATGGTCTCCATATCGTCCATGACCTGCTTGCAGTAGAGCTCGAGAGGCAGATCGTTCACGTCGGAGCCGAAGGGGTTCTCGATCTCACGGCCGATGAAGACCATGCCCAGGATAATGTACGAGGCGACGATGCTGGCGGGGATTGCCATATATCCAAGGGGCCCGACCAGCTGGAAAGGCATCACCAAGATGTAAATCCAAGTGATCTGGGAGATGGCGATAGTGTATGCGATCGGCAGTGGGGTATTCAACACCCGCTCCGTGTTGGTGAGAACATCGTTCAGGGCCTGAATGCCGTTGTCTGTGGAATGGGGATTAGTTTACATCGTTCAGTGATTACCCATGTGTAAATTTACTTACAGAGCATGGTCTGTGTCATTGGAACCGGCAGCTGCCCGTTTCCAACAACCTCGTCGGCATATGCACCGAGATAGCAGAGAATCTCCAGCGGCAAGTTGCCGGTCGGGCTTGTGGCCTTCTTGACGGCCTTGCGGGGGTTCGAGGCGGCGAACGAGACTCCAAGTTTATCACCAACAGCCTTGAAGAAGTTGGGATCTCTAGGCTTGAAAACGTTGTCATCTGTGGCGTCTTTGGCAAACGTATCGAGGTGGTCGATCATGGAGCCGATGTCATCGTAGTAGGCGTATGGCTCGAATCGTAACTTGTGCTTCAAGGCAACGCAAAACGCGACCAGAAGGTTCATAACGGTACTGCAGCAGACGGAGCAATCAGCAACTGACCAGTCGAGGGGGAAGCAACACAGGAATAACCTGGTCGGTTTGCAAAGACTTACAGTTTAGAGAGCATGTCTTGTTTCGGTGCCTCGGGTCGTTCGTTAACGTGAATCCAGAAGACACGGCCGAGAGACTGGCAGGTCAAGGTGAGCTGGCCCCAGAACCTGCGGCCCTCGGCATATCTCTCGTATGCTGTCGAGCTACGGAAGGATAGACCCAAACCGACGACAAAACCCGTGACCGTAAGCAGGATGCTCTGAATGGCGAGGTTTGCAATTTTCTGCTCATGGAGAACGGTAATCCAACTTGACCAAGCCGCCACGAAGAGGAGAGGAATGATTAGTTTCGGTAGGATGCTGCCATGCATCTGGAGGAAAAGAGGCCACTTCGAATGCTTTGCGATATCTCGTGGTCCAGCCTTCAAAGATGAACAATGAGCAACAGGGATAGCTGAAGAACTGCGGGCGACTTACAAAGTAATCATCAAGATCCATACTTGTGTTCTTCCGGCTGAAGGGATTGGGTGTATGGACGCGCGGAGAGATCGGGTACTCGTCCTCGGCCTCTGATGTGACAACACGTTCACCGTTGGTTTTGATCGCTGGTAGCTGGTCACCAGTCGCCGCATGAGCAGTACCGTGACCAGGTCCTTGTGTGACTACGGGCTCTCCTCCGTGTGCTCCTCCATGACCTCCAGCAGCACCCCCCGAAGCTCCGGCAGCGCCTCCAGCTCCGGCTCCACCTTCTTCGCCGGCCATCGTGACTGACGACTGGTTATGGAGTGGTCGTGTTTGGATCGCGACTCAACGGCCGGGATGTTGCAAAGCTGCTTGGTACAGCGACGGCGATGATGGCAGGTCGTTGTCTGATTACGTTTGATATAATTGGAGCCTGCCAAAACAAAAAGATTTTCAAGGTGACATAGGTGGAGCGAGTGCAAGAAGACAAAGAGAAATACTTATGAGGGAAGATCAGCAGGTCAAGTGGCAATAGCTTCACGTCTGAGAAGGGGATTTTCTACGCGCTACCAAACCCCCTGCAGGGGAGAAGGGAGGAATCTTTTTTTAATCCCCTTCAGGTCCACGCAGCCACGAATATGATCGTCGGCCGGCCCGTGCCAATTCTGAACCTGGTTCAACATGCACCTCATCCGCCATGGCAGGCCTGGTCGTATTCACGCCCTCTCAGGGGCAATCGAAGAAGCCTCTCTGGCGATGTTGGCGGGGTCCGACTGGGAACTGAGCTGCATCTTGAAACGGTCGATAATCTCAGGGACACCAATGGGCGAGCTGGGCCGTCCTTAGTGGACGAACAGAGACCCACGGGCTACGTGTAGCTCCCGCTGTAGGGCTTGGCTTCAGGGGGCTTGCATCAATGTGGTAGGATTTCCGGGGTCCATCTGCTGATGGCGTGAACTCTCCTATTCGGTGGCGGACAGCGGGAGTCTCAGGTCCCTGTCCGCCAAATCCAGGCGCATGATTGTTTTACACCTCCTACCGAAATGTTTCATCCTCTGAGGGTTACGCAGGATTCCGTTACCGATATTCGCAAGCCTCAAGGCGAGTTGAAGGTCCCGTCTTGACTGATTTGCCTACCTAGGTACCTAGGTAGGTGGGCTAGGAAAGCTCGTTTTATCCCACCACGGCATTTCAGACCGCCCCGGTGGCTCGTAGTTAAGTAGATCGAGTGTAATTACAGACTGTGGCAGTGTAGCTCGTACCCAGCAACCTGGACCACTACCGACAGTTCAATCTCGAAGGAACCACAAAAAGCTGGGGTCTAGGAGGGAATTGAGATGGAACCCCGCCCCGACGTTGAGCTAGAAATTCTAGAACTCCGCAAGCCCCGACAGGATGTGTATTCTCCACTGCATGGTGCCAAACGATGGGCAAATGGGGTTGCAGTCAGCGCCGTGAGCGCGACTGAGAGTTGCCGAGAAGGCTGACGACAGCAATTGCTGACGTTGAACAGACTTCAACATAAGTCCATTTCTGGCAGGGGGATGCAAGAATTCTGCCACAGGATTGCGCCGGGGTCGGCGGCGGGGCTCCCGTTCGGTTGCAATACACTGTTATGGTATACAATAGCCGTGTCATCCAAGTCCCTGGTTGGCTGAGATGTACGACTGCAATCCATCGAGCGGAAGGGAGGAAGTTTGGCCCCCCATTGTACCTGTCTGATAATGTCCACACGTGGGACGAAGAGGGTGTGCAGCATTAAGCCTCATGGCGCTCCTTAGCATGCCACCGTCAACCTCAACAACATCAGACGGTTTGTACCTCCATCTGGGGTCTCCGCGTCGAGGTCACAGTGGGCCCCCAACTCTGGTTTCGGTGTAACAGGTTGAGAGATCTCGGCCCCGGTACCTAGTTAGGGAGCCTGGACAGATCCACTAGCTTGCGATATAATGCAATGCCAAAGACTCCTCAACCACGTGCCAACAAGAGAGAACGAAGGGATGAAAACACGGAGCTCCGGCTTCTTGACTTTGATCTGGAGAATGGTGCAAAGCAATGGTCAGTTTGAACAAGGGATAACCGCAAAAGGGAATTGACAAAGTTACCTAGGTATTCAGCATTGGGCACAGTTGGTCAAGTAAAGTTGGTCGAGTGAAATTGGTGAAGTGACTTAGTATACCAGCCGTTTCCCTGCAGGCAAAACCGCGATAGCCCGTATTCTAATTACTACCACAAAGCAATAATCCCCTTCGTTCAGCCCACACTACTGGATCATGAAATATACTCCGTCGTTGTCGTTACTCATTCGCCGAACGCACGTAATGCAGTCGCCACGCACACACATAATAAATGAACCTCGCTGATACAAAAAACATAACTCCTGGCTCATGCAAGCACCGACTCCAGCCGACTGCTCTCGTCCCTCTCCTTCTTCTTCTTGAACATGTTCTTGAGCATGTTATCCTTCTTGGGCCTGATGACCATATCAATGGTGTTCTCGCGATCACGACTCCCATCCTCGATGGCCTTCAACTTCGTCCTTTCAGTGCGTTTAGAGGCGGAGCTGCGATGACTACGGTGGCTCTTTTCGCTGCCCACCTCGCTCGCGCGGTCGCTGTCCTTGAAGGCTTTGCTGCTCTTCCGCTCGGGGATGTCCATGTCATCTGCAGCTCGGCTCTTGCTCTTGTGCGACTTGGACGACTTTGTGGTCTTGTGCGTCCGTGACGTCTTGCTGGTCCTTACACTCCGCTCTGTGCGAGCATCGTCGCCTCCATACTGGCTGCGCATCGCCCTGTCGGCCTCGGGGCTGATCAGCTCGAGGTCGGCGCTCTCATCCTCGCCGAACGGTGCAATGCCTCTGCGCCAGGACTCTATCGTGCTCAACTCGTCCTCCAGCACCAAGGCCTCGTCAAAACCGGCGCTGTGCTCGGACATTGGGTAGGGTTGACGGCCCATGGGCAGGTCTCCAACGGGATAATGCTGCATGGGCGGCAAGGAGGACATGGCTATGCCAGCTTCCAGCTGCTTGGCCTCCTTGATGCGCTTGATGATCTTCCACCCACCAAACATGACCACGGTGACGCCGACGGTCAACCCAGCGGCGATGAGGAACTGCGGACTCGCTAGCAGGGCGAACACGGCCGGGCTGCCGGCTTTGACTGCGCCCAGGAATGACGGGGACATCTTGCCTAGCAATGCGGACAGTTCGGCCAGCGTAAGGGCGACCGCGGCGGCCGCATCTGGTTTCTGCTTGAGATGCTCGATCATGTGATTGGCCGTGTGGTGTAGACAATGCGCCTCGGTGAGTAGACTCTCGATCCTCTCCATCAGCGTGTGGGCTTGCTGCTCCTTCTGGGCTGCCTTATACGCCGGGTCCAGATCTACTCGCGACTCCAAATCCGGCGGAACGTTGCCGTAAGCCAGATCCATGTCAATCTCCTTTTCCTTCCTCGGCCTCAACGCGGGATCCGAGCTGGACCGGAAGACCTGGCTGTTCTGGTACGGGTACTGCACGGGCGGTGGGACGTCATCGTCGTACTCGACGGGTACCATGCGGTGTTGATGCAGAGTCGGGCGGCTGAGGGCCGACTCCCATGGCACGGTCTCCGCATAGGGAGACCGGTAGGCGACTGGGGCCTGTGACGGCGCCGTGGAGGATACCTCGGACAGGGTGCGCAGGTTGGACTCGGTGAGCGCGGGCCGGGCCTGCGACCGCGAGGCGCCCGTCTCGGCGCGGGAGTGCCGCGACCGGTGGCTGCGGCGGGACGAGGTGTGCGAGTTTACGTCGTCGTGCGACACGCGGCGGCCTTTCGGTGTGATGTATTCGACCTCATCGTAGTACTGCGGCAGCGACGCCACATCATACGTGTTACTGCGCTTGATGGCCCGCTCGGCCTTGAGGGCGGCCTTCTTCTCTTGGTACGATGCCTTTGCCTCCTTGAAAAGGCCGAACAGATGTTTCCCCTAGATTGAGCGACATATGTGAGTGCACTGCCTCGATGACTGGAACTTCTGCTTGACCATCGTCTGCACTGGACCCAGTTCTACCTGGGGTATGCGCATTTGGCGCAAGAGTAAAGCCACTGGAGCTGCGGGGTACGAAGGAGACAGGGACGAAGACGGAGTCTCTAGTAGATAGTTCTTGATTGGGACTTACGTTCGTTATAATCTTCCCCGAGTTGTTGATAATGGTTACTGTCTCAATTGCCATGCTTTCTCGACTTGGACCGGCCCGAGTTGAAAGAAGATGCTACGGAGCGCAAGCCAAGATATGGCGATGGCTGGAAGGTCGTTCGCCAGGTTTGGGAGGCCGCACGCACTAAATGCGCCGTTCTCGAACACTTTGAGGGTTTGGCGGTGAACAAGACTAAAAGCGTCGGCGTCTGGTCCGTTTTTCAACCACGGGCTGCACGGGTATATCGCGAAGTCGGTATAAGAGGGGCAATCAAGGGTATCCCGACAAGAAATCACTCATTGCTTCTAGATAGTTATCAGAGGGGGCTATTTAGAGCAGAGAGCAGAGAGCAGAGAGCAGAGAGCAATAAATGGCCCTGGCAGCTCGCCCCTTCAGCTGCCGTCCATTCGGGTTGCTTTGGTGAGTGGTTGGCGGTGATGATTGGACCTCGTCGCTTGATCAGGCGCCCTTGCAGCGGGCAGCGAAACGGCAGGGCTGCTTGAATTGACGCCCGCTGCATCACGCACCACTGGGCCCAACAATGGGGACGCAGCGATCACAAGAAGAACGGGACACGGATGGAATCCAGATTGGATCCAAGATGCGAGATGCACGGTGATGTGATGCCACAGCCAGTATGGAGAAAACCCCCAGCTTTCGCTATCAGGCTGTTGCACTGCATAATAAACGTGCTTCATGCGCGCCGCGGCCGGTGTGAAGTAACTACAGACTACATGCCACCAGAGCCCTCCGCCTTGGACCCCGTTGGACGGTTGGATCTCAATGCATCGCGACCCAGAGGTCGGTTGCGAGGAACCCGTCCCGCCCTGTCCTGCCCTGAGGGTAGAAATGCATTGCACAGCCCGATACGCTGATCTTGGATCCCAAGGAAGAACACCCGGAACACGGCTTTCGCATTAGGCGCTTTGCTAGCCCATGGATCATATAGCCACTCACCATGGACAAAATTTCAACAGGCATTGCCGCTGGAAACAAGTGGTGCCTCTCGTGGCCATTACTTTCAAGCTGGGCTGTCATTGTGCATGGACAGACCCCACTTCCGTCGAAGGGTCGCATTCCTATTGACCACCGTCGGCAATGGGTTCCAGGTATTCATGAAGCCATGGGAGCTCGAGCTACGCTCAAGATATCGTGTGCGAGGTAGGTCGGCGATGGGCCCCAGCTACTAAGGCCTGATCTTCAGCCCATGTCTACGTTTTCCGTTGAATTAGGTGCTTCTATCTACACCTCGGCCGTCCATCCGGTCGGAGTCCACTGGTGGGCCCATATCTGTCAAGTCGGGTCTCTTGAAAGCTACGGCACAATAGAGGAGGTTGGGAATGGGCTATCTAGGTAATTTTACCGGGCTATTGAGGTAGGCTTACGAAGTACTCCGTAGGGACAAGTCAATAGTGGAGGCATCATAACTGCGAACGTAGCACTCTGTACCAGTCAGATATTACTGTGTTTGGAGGAAGGTGGAAAAGAACGATCATTGCTTGGCTGCGTCTGGATGGGGTCGGTTTGGCAGATGGGCAAAGCCAGAGCCGACCAAGGGGCCCGCTGGGAAGTGTATGGAATGGCGGCAACGGGGAACATGAGCCCGGCTGCGCTGATCTTCACCGACATCAAGACCGGCCAGGCCTACAATGGCGGAGCCCCATTTTCGGATCTTCGAACGTCGGCAAAATATTTCAACCCTCAATCCCTGCTGACCCCGTAAATGGGCCCGTGAACTAGTGCTAGAGCCTCACGAACGTGCGCGGAACAGACTTCCCTCGTTCCGGAGCTGCCTCACGTCCCCTTCGAGGCCAAACCCATACCGGATCTCACCGCCCTCCCATACACCTCGCTCTGGGTATCTCGTGTCGTCAACCACAACGCCAAGGGTACTTGCCCGATGGATCAGGCCATAACCAACCCTCAGGTTCCTAACGTCTGGGGGCAGGTCGCCTCGGTCTTCCTTCCACATGACCTTTTCCAAAGCTGGGCCGCGGGTTGCGGCTACTATGCTCGAGAACCGCGTGTCATACAAGCGCCCTTCGTTAGAGAGCACGGCAGCTGTCCCCAGGACTACCGCAACAACAGCACACAGGAATGCGCAGCTGTAGACTATCCACAAGTCCCGAGCGATATACTTGAACCTGTTCTCCCACCTCGACTTTGTGCATGGGTACAGGGTGGTGTCGTTTCCCTTGAGATCGCCTGTGGTCTCCCAAGGTTTGGCAGCCCAGACCAGGGAGACGAGGCGGTAATTAGAGAAGAGGGTCAAGATTATGTCCTCAAAGAGCTCTTGCACTAGGCCCTGCAGGTTGGTATACGGGAAGAATTGCTGCCGGGGGTCGAGAAGCTTTGTCTGGAGGGCCTTGGTATTGGTGACCGGGTTCGATATTGGATTTGAGGTCATTGTCCCATTGATAACATTGCGGAGCATCAAGCCGATAGAATGGAAAGTTGCGACCCGGCGATACCGCCTGACAGTGGACATGTCGCTCATGGGATAGGGTCGGACATAGTTGTTTTCAGGTGTTGCCGTTGTGTTGTCGTTGGTCCCATCGTTCGCATCCTTCCCAGGCACAAAGGCTGTGTCCAAGACAGGATAAAGGAAATCGCGCTTCGTGACCGTCGTGAACTGATCCTGCCCTTCATACTTGAAATCAACGGTGTACGCAGTTTCGTAGTTCTCGCAAGCAAAAATCTTAGGTACGAAAGCGCTGTCCCAGCCTGGGATCGTGTTGTTGTTGGGGGTCTCGCCAGGGTTGACCCGTACGGCGTATCCAACCCAAAGCAATGGTTCTGTACGAAAGACGCCGAGATTTGGTGGAAAAGGCGGCGTCATGTTCTTAGGCATGCCGCCAGGCCATACGTCTTTCAGTTGCGCCGTGGCATAGTCACCTCCGCTGGTATATGCGATGTAGCTGAAATTTCCCGCTGGAAGGAGCACATCGGTTCCAAAGGGTGCCTTGTGGGCACCGAGGTCGCGGACCTGTGCCCCCACGCCGCTGGCCTGCTCCGTGCATTTGTATCCAGGGGCCACGAAGTTGACGGTGTATGTGCAGTTCCATCCGGAGCCACATATGTCAAGCGAGGAATTCTTCGCGCCTATTACCTGATGTGAGAATATACCCAGGCTCGCAGTGGCCTGGAAAAGATCACTCGGCCCGGTGTAGTAATCATACCACTCCGGCGCACTTTGGTTGATGGAGGTGCTGTTCCAATAGTTGATCGCAAGCCCGAAAAGTCCATCGATCGTCGTGGGTTTTCGAAAGTCCTCCAACTCGTCGCCTGAGAAGTTCAGCGTCCTGACTCCTGGGCACAAGGTCGGATTCACGTTCTCAACCAACTCCACCAGCAGAGTATTGCTGGTGAGAATTATAACCAGTGGGGTAAGCCTGTGAATCTTTCAGTGAACGGACCTCCTCAGCGAGCCAGGCGATCTGGAGTCATACCACACCAATGCGGCCAGAAGCATCGCCAGCCGAGCTTTCTGATAGACCTCGATATTCCATAGAGCGGATAGATCATCCGTGGCCGCAAATAGTGAGTCCAACGCACCGACGCTCAGAAGTTTATTCCGTACGGTCACCCAGAGGCGTTGTCGAAATGCAGTAACGACCGCGGCCACAAAGCCAGCCTTTGCAGCGAATGACAGGATGGTTCCGTAGCGCAGCATGGCGAGCTGATTGTCGGCAATCCGGCCGTGAAGGGACGCGTAGAACAAGTGGTGGCCGAGGGCACAGCAGAACCCGAAGAGTAGGAATATATACATCACCCATGCTGGGCGCCATTGCCACCACTTCTTGAGTCGCGGAAGACCAGAAATATACGGCGGTGGTGAGCGCGGCGTCCTAGCCCAGTCTGAGATCGTAGGTGTTATGAGACGGGCCTGTGAATCAGTGCGGCTGTGCTGATACTGGTTTCTGGGAGAAAACGCCGATTGGGACGACCCAGCCGGAGATCCATAGGAATATAGCTCACGCTCCTCGAACTGCATAGGACTCGGCTTCGGGCGGCGTGGGAACGAAGCCGTGGGTGGTGGTGAAACGAAGACCATCTGTAGCTCGATCCGGGGCTTGAGGCCTTTGCTGCGTGGCTGGCTGGCTGGGCATTTTCATGTGCTACGGCGTCGGTGCCATCTTCTTGAGGCACGGACGCTCCCACTCCATGCAACGGGAGCCATGTTTGCGATGTCGCCGACACGGAAGAATCATTGCGACCAATACCCACTGTGTCGTCGGGTTGAGATTGAGAGCTTAGGGAGACGTCGCTAGCTGTCCGGTGATGCGGGGCGGAATTAGCTGTTGCGGGTTGCGACTTTGGGACTACTGAACGAGTGGACGACTGGCTTTGGTAGGGTTGAAAACCCGGCATCGCACTCCAATCCTGGACTGCGGCCATAGCTCTGGAGAATATGACATATGGAATCGAAACTACGCAGTCAGGGATAGTCAAGTTGCATCTTGCTCTCTTCTGAATTGCCGCGTGGGAAAGGAAGTGGGATGAGGAGTGAAGAACGGGCTGTGGCTCCCAAAATGAGTGCGGGCAATAGGTAATCGGCGACAACACTCGGGGACTATCTTTGGCAAATGGAAATCCGGACATGGTCTCTAATAGCGAGCAGATCAATATAGCTAGCCGGTACTCCACAATGAACACGAGGTAAGACTGTGGCAGTTCCAACATCTTTCAGCTGGACCCGGCTTGCCCAGCCTTGGGGTGTACTGCGTACTCCCACATATACACCCCGATCATCTATCGCAATCGTGATTGGACAACGCATCCTTCTTGCAGCCAACACAGTCTCTTGCAGCTGGGCCAAGAAAGGCCGCTGGCGGTATCTGTCGTCCAGACTCCAGACCTGGGACTGTGTCAGCAGACTCAATATACCACCCTAGCTGGCCGCCCGGCGATTTCGCTTGATACCGGTCGCAAATGATGGTTACACCTTGATAAGTCCTCGAAAACGTAGGGATGATGCTGACAGGCCTCTAGCCAAAGCCGTATAAATTGCTCATTCGGCTGCCAGCCTCGCGTTCTACTTCAGCACAGGAACAGCCTGCTTGTGGATGCAGCTAGGAACAGGCTTCTGGTCGCGCAAACTCCAGCCAGCCACCTAGCCTTTTATGGGTTGGAGCTGACGTGATGTAGGAACTCGGACGTTGCCCAGATCCATCGACAAATCCAGCCTGCCCACTAACAGTGGTCTCCATATACTTGCGGAAATGGAGCCTGATGCTGGAGCGCCTCAACAGTGCTGGGAGCACCACTTGGCATTCCTGGAGAGAAGACCGGGCTGTGTGTTACGCTTGTCATCGTGGCTCGAGAATGGCGGTTGTCACTGTTCAACTTCCTCTTGACTTCCTTGGTTGACATCAGCAAGGTGGAGACTTTCTAGGGAAGTAGAGGACGCCGGAAGTTCAGCGACTGCGGCCCGTAAGTTATGGTGGGATGGCCGGCCCTGGCTAACGCCATGTCTCAGCCGTGCCTTAAAAGGGGAACATGGCGGTCTTAGCTAAAGAAGCTTTAGGCACGTGACGGCTCGTGAGAACCCAAAGGTAGGTGACCCCTGAGCCGAGGAGCACCCCTCATATTGACTGCTACTTGTCGGGGTTCCGGCACGTCTTTGTCGTGTGATAGCAGACTGCACTTCCTCACTAGAACAGTTGTCGGCCATTCGAATGGGCTTCACTGCCAGTCAGCGTGCATCAGGTTTGGAGTCTTTCAACGGCACAAATATGAATAAAGTCTACCGACTTCTAGTCAAACGTTGGCAGTAATACTCGCTAATCGCTTTACGTCAACTTCTTCTCTACTTTGAGCAGTATTGCCCCTTCGCTAGCCACGCCATCATTATCCATGAACTTGACGAAGCGGTATCCACTGCGCAGGCGATCCAGTCGGATACACGCCCACGCCGCCAAGCTGTCACGTCCGATCTCGTCATCCTTGATCAGGAAACGGACAAAGGTCAGTTCTGGCATAACTCCCTCAACCTGCTTGAACTCGAGCACCTCGCCCTTGAAGTCGGGGTCAACACCCTTCATTGTCTTCGTCTTGGCCTTGAATTCGCCCTCCTTGGCCTTTCCAGACTGCTGAAGCTTGGCAAGTTGGGTGTGGTGCGGCTCCGTATGGAGCTCGATCTTCAGATAAGGCTTGAACTTGGAAGGGTTGTCGTCCTTCTCGGGAAGAGGTAGATTCTGGGCAGCGAGCACGGATATCTTGAGATCCAATGTATGACTGAGGATCCGAGGCGTTGCGAGTGGGGCCGTGATAACGTCACCCTTAGACGTCGTTCCAGGGAGATGGTCACTGGTTGCCAGCGGTTTCTTCCCTCTGAAGCCATCGGGTTTCAGTACATAGCCCCCTGTGCCTGCGAACATGCCTTCGTTGAGCATCATGCCCTCGTCCCATTTCTGCCAGTTCAAGGCGACAATCTGGATGCCTTTCCGCCAGAACACCGGGGGGTCAAGATTTGATGAGCCGATCCGCATCCCGGATGGATATGTGCGCATCATGTAGTCCTGATTGTGCTTGAACAGATCTGGAGCTTGCTTTTCGTGGACCTCCATGACGCCGCTCTCGGACAGGGAGAATATGTGTGTGGGCATCGCAGCCTCTGGCTGGCTCAAAGATTTGAAAGAGACGCCGCGAGTGTAGACACCAAACTGGCTGAGGGCTTCGATAATCTTGGAGGGCTTCTTTTTCTGGGTGGCGGCGGCGGGATCCTGAGGGTTTGATTGCGCTTCCGGGGGTAGCCTATCCTGATCCGGCGTCGTGGTTGCCCCCGAATGTCCAGGCGGCGCGTACTTTACCTTGACGAGGATCTTGTTTTTCAACTCGGCAGGCGACGGTAGGATGCGAGTATCATCTTGGGGCGGCGATAGTAACATGCCAGCCCACACCTCATTCATGATGGTGACCATGGCCTCCTGCTGTTGCGCAGAACAGTGCACCTCGAGGCTCACGATCAGCGGCATGTCGGTGACAGCAAAGGCGCTCTTCTTGATTGCCTCGCAGACTGCGCGGAACGACACCTCCTTGGTGAGTGTGTAGCCATGGAGGACCCGTGGCTCCACAGCGAATGCTTGAGGTGTGGATGACTTGGTCAACGAGAGATCCGACTGAGAGCCATTATCCTTGTTCGAGGGCGTCTCGGTGGACTTGGGCGCAGTGGAATTATTGCCGGGACCACCTCCCGCAGTCTCCGGTTCCTTGTCATTGCTGGTATACTTCTCGAGCTTCTTACCCAGTGATGTTTTCTCGAGCCGGCTGGTGATGGATCCAGGGAGCTTCTTGGCTAGCCGCTCCTTTCGGCTCGACTTCTTGATCGCCTTCTTCTCCACGTACTCCTCGTCGCTGCTCTCATCCGACGACGACTCGGAGTCGGAGTCGTCACCGTCCCAGACATCAATTTCGATACAGCGGCAGCCTCTCACGAGTACATTGGTGTATGCGTCCGTGCTGGAACTACTGTATAGCTGGTTGCCCGTCAGATAGGTGTTGTGGCTGGAGCTAATGAAGTATGAACTGAAAGGCCAGGATAGGTCATCTGTCAGAGGTGGCGCCAGTGCATTGGCAGCCGTGGAGGTCATGTAATGGAGGAATCCATTTAGATCCAGTTCCTAGGCAAATGTTAGTGCCAGCCGCTGGAATATGCCATGTTCGCTTTGCCGCACCTCTTTGGTTGCGATATCGCCAGAGGGGGCAGTGACAGAATCGGCCTGGATGTGGTGCAGAAAGGCAATGATCTGGTCCTTCTTCCAGGTCTTGCCCGGCCCTGCATGTCGATTGAATATCTGCTCGAGATGGCCCAAAATCTGAGAGTTGACCTCCTTGATGTGACGATCCTCGCCTGACACACCCCCGCCTGCTTGACGGGCAGGGTCAAGGGGGGAAGGGGCTTCCTTGTCTGCCATTGCGTCCAGTGTGCCTGTTACGTGCGGGAAGATGCCGAGATAGAGAGACGAAGGTGACAGATGAAGGGGTTATGTTGGGCGACGTTCCAAGTCAGGTTCTAGGAGCAGATTGATTTTGGCAGGTCTAGGGCAGAGAGATGTCGTCCGCTGCTATGGTCCTCGAACGGGAGGGATTCTTGGCAGACCAGCTGAATCGATGGCTCGGCTGTCTGGCTGTGACGTCTCTCCACCAGCTCTGGGCCACTTGGATCACTGGAGGGCGACGACCCGCTAAGCGTTGATTTGCTCAGAAACAGCTGCGCACCGTGCTTGGAAGGACGAGACCAAGCAAGACGAGCCTTGACACACGAAAACCGGATTTATAGACACAGCAGCTGCATCATTCACTGTCCAGGGCAAAAGCCCAGGCAGATTCATGCATCGCATCACTGCTCAGCACTGTGTATCTACTATCGCCCACCAATGCTGCGAGACGCTAGTTGACTTAGCAGTGGTGAGCGGTGAAAGCCACTGGACGGTGAGCGACCACCTAGGTAAGTTAGTCAGTCCCCCGGTGCAGTCCACCAGAATGGCCTGTCAGCGGGCTATTTGGGGCATAGCTTGCGTCATAAACCAAAGTAGCCTGTTTCATCGGGCTTTCATGGCGATGGCGGCCTCCTGCAGCTGGACCTGACAAAGAGAGTAGAACTTTGCTAGTTAATGACAAAATTCCCTCCCCATGCACACCCGACCTTAACTAGGTATACTTGGAGGCCGCTGGATATGGAGGTAGCTGAGTAAACAGCTCCCCGTCCATTGTCCGCTTATCATCATGCTATTAGAGGCGCTCTGGTATTTTGGGATGCACTTCACTTCACTGAGCACTCAGTTTCACTGACCTGACCCACTGGACACCCCACCTAACGTAGAGTCCCCGCTTGTCCCACCTACAGCTCAGCTCAGCTCAGCTTGAGCATACCTGTGTTCACTTGAACCTGCAGTGAATCAACTAAGCAAGGTGCATGCGCATCATCGCCGGTCGGGCTGGCCCCCTATTCTCAGATTGGATGGCACTATGAGTGATATTGTCTCGTGCGGCATATCAACTATGAGTCTCGGCGTCGCGCAGGCAAGCCCCAAACGAGTATAGACACAAGTTCTCGTCTTATCATGTGTACTGATGTGATCATCTACAGCAAGTCATGCCGGGCGCCAATGTCTAGTATAAGCTGAGCTCGTGGACTTGCAACAGTACATGAAGCCGGAGATCTCGGTTGCGATCCATGCACGTGAAGCTTCTCCACGCTGTGCAGTCGCAATATAAGAAATCGACTGCTCACATCAGGCCGACTGTTCCATCCCGGGGGCGGCGCCACAGATGTGGCCTTTGGCTTTGCATTCGCGTGCAGGCAGCTGTAAGTATTGAGATTGAGATGGAGCCTTTCTGTTCCTAAGGCTACTTGAGTATACGTGTAGCGCACTGATCAGACTTGAAGGTCTCATTTCTGTCATGTTCAGCCTGCACTCTGCGGCCCGTCGCACTCTTCGTACAGTGAGCTAGCGAACTACGCAGGCCTAGCAAGTCTGCACGGACTGTCCCTTCGCAGCTCTTCTTCTCAGTGATATCCGACCTAGTCCAAGTCGCTCCCGTGCTGATGGTTTCAACAGGATAAGTCTGACAAGGAGGCTTCCGGCCCAAGGAAGCATAAATGAGAGTCAGGCCCCTGCATCTTATCTGGCCAGAGTCAACGGATCCCGAGCTGTATGGGGATTGTATCACAGATCCAACCAGTTGCCCTCACCGGAGAAAGGGGGCCCTATGACTAAGTAGCTTTAAATTCGCGACAAGAGACCCAAGAAGTTGTGCAAATGCGATGAACTCACTAGAGAGTGCAGACGTCGTGGCCCAAACTATTTCGTAATTCGAGCAACAGCAGCAGAGTAACTGTCATGAGCCATGAAGGTACGAGACAGACAGACAGTACAGCCAACCTGTGGCCGACGTCCCAAGGAAGAAGTTATCACTGGAAGGTCATGAGCGTGATAACCCAAGCGTATGTAAGAATCAGATCACACTCTCAGCGCATGACCCATCTGCTTTGACGAATGATTAAATTAGGGGGCAATACACTGCGTGGTCGCAGGTGGTATATCACAATTAATAATTATGGTAGTAGAGCTTCTAGATAGCACTTGTCCCGTCCTAGAACCGTTATCAGTATAGTGTACACCATACTGCAGTGAATTCGTTTATCGTTATCCGGGCCAGGGCCTTGTCCGAGTTCCATTTCGATATAGACACGTTACAGTTCAATTCTCCAACAAGCCTGTCGCACGTCTATATACCCGAATCTTCTTGGACCACATTGTGCAAGAGCGTGTAGGCTGCCCAGTTGGCACAGGTGTTATCAAGAACGTCCAAGTTGAGCGTATCGGCGATCTCTGCCTCGCGCTCAACAAGCTGCAGAGCAAACCCTTGCGAAGCATGCCAGCCGATGTGGCAGTGCATAGCCCAGACACCAGGGTTATCGGTAACAAAAGCAATAACCACATACCCAGCAGCGGGCAACATCGCAACATCTCGCCTGACTGGGTTGCTGAGCTGGAGAGCCGACGAGTCCGTGAAGTTGGCGTTGGCCTCTTGGGCCAGAACCCAGAAGTCATGGCCGTGAAGATGAATCGGATGTGTCAGAGCAAGTTGGGACTGGATGACGAAGTAAACAAAGGAATCCTTCTCCTTTAGCTGCACAACATTTTCGGAGAGCTTGAACACAGATGCATCTTGAACAGCCTGCAAAAGCGTGGGCTCGCCCCAATCCGAAAGGAAGGTTTGGCTGTTGATGGTCCACTTCCATAGGCCGTCGGATGAAGTAAATCCGAGATCGAAAACCTCCCGGGTGGCGGGAGCTTCAACATCCAGCGCAACGTAAGGGACCAAGTCGGACATCGCCTCGTCCAGACAGTCCATTGTGAATGAGTAAGGGGTGGTATCAGGGTCCACGGTAGAACTCAAGTCGTACCGAATAACACCCTTGATATCGTCTTGCATCTCGTTCGACGCACTACAAGCCGTATCAGGCACTGCTCGGAGCCAAAAGTCGCCCACGCCTTGGTTTGCCTCCACGATCACGTCATATCGCTGGCCAATACCAATACTTAGAACCTCGGTTGTGTATGGCTTGATCGGAACCAAGTCGGCAGCAATGACCGTCAGCTTGTGGTTGTCGATGCTGAATTTGAAATGCGTGTCAATGGCAGCGTTGACGAGTCGGAGACGATGACGCTTGCCGCTGGTGAATGTCGTTTCAAACCGCTTTCCGCCATTGCCGTAGACATTGGTGCCATTGATCAGGCCGTTCTGCGCCGGCGGCGGATATCCTGTCTTGGCAAGGTCCCAGAGCTGGTCTGTCGTCTCGTGGAACCAGTCGTTCAACATCAGCAGCCCTTTGTCCTCATCATAAGGAGCCGCGGCTGGTCCGTTGATCTGAATACCACCCACTACGCCATTCCACGCCTGCAACGCGAAGTGACTATGATACCATGAGTGACCGTATTGCTCCGCGCGCCATCTGTAGGTGTAGGTGTCCCCTGGCGCTATCGGACATTGAGTGATCGACGCAACTCCATCCTCCTGTGAGACGTGAGCGTGGTGACCCGGAAGTAAGGTCCCTACTTACACTTGAAGTCTGCTCCTGGCGCAGGCCATGCCAGTGGATACTCGTGCCGTTATTTTGGAGTGAGTTCGTGACATGTACGACAACCCAATCTCCCCAATCAGCCATGATTGTTGGGCCAGGGAATTGACCGTTCACGGTCATGACCAGCCGTTCCACGCCATCAACAGTGGCAGTGCCATTTTGTATGTCGAACCAGTATTCCCTGGTAACTCCTGTGTTCGGAGTTTCATCGTACCAATTGGTATCCTGCAAGCCGATGCATCAGCGACTATGAACACTCGCACCTTGAATTCGGGAACACGTGAGGCACTCTATACAAAACGTAAGAGAGCATAACCTGGGGCATTCTCACCAAAGAGTAATCCCCCCAGCACTTCGGGGAAAGTGCCGAATCAAATTCACATTTGCCGATCTTGCATTTCTTGGTAGGCGCAGCACTGACCGTCCAACCCAGAAGGAAGGTGGCGAAGGCTGAAACGAAGGCAGACGACCGCATGATTAATATTAAGTATTACAATATGTAATAAGACAAGAAGTAAAGAAGTAAATATTCGAGTTGAAAACCCAACGGTTGTCGGGAAAGCGAGTGTGAGGCGATAGTAAGGAAACCAGCGAGCGTGGTAGACGGGTGAGCCGTCTTGAAAATCTTGAAGCGAGGCAGAGAGTGCCATACCACTCCCGAGAGGAATGCAATGGGAAGACCTCACGATGATATGTAAGTGATCCATCGGAAAGCCAAGCTTCCACCCGGTGGACTAGGTCGCGCTTGGGCCCAGCGGTACGGTAACCTGAAGATCACGGTTCGGGACAAGCTTTCGTGATACTGGCCGTCCTTGCTTGATAGACATCCTCAATACGGCCTAGAATGCTCTGTAGCTCGTCTGGCACTGATCACATCGATACGACGTCGTGGCCCTTGCACAGGAACATCCCTGACCAATGCGGTGGGTGTAACGGTGTGGTAATCGTGCAAAGGGGACTAAACATGCAGGTAATCGTGTCAGGTAGATCGCGGTGAAGAGGCATGGCCAGACACTCGCATCCGCAATCAAACTTCCTTAGAACTCGAGAACTATTGCAGTCGCTAACGTCGTCGGTGGCGCCAATATTAAAACAACGTGAGTGGCCACCGCTGGCGCTCAGATAGGATATCCTACGAGATGGATCTCAAGAGCAGCGTTTCGCGATCCGTATGGAGACATTTGATCGGCGCTACGAGCTGATCCAGTAAGAAGCCATATAGCCAATCCCCTTGAGGACAAGCAGGCCGCGTGGGTGTGGGTACAAACCCGGCGTCTAAGCTATTCTTGGATTGGGGACAGCCGCCCTCATTTCGGGCCCTCTAGATCTGGGCCGTACCTGCGTGGTCGCAAATCCTTCTTCCCCCGGATTTGCACTTCGTATTCCATCTTGGGCGCAAGTTGGTGCCATGACCCAGTCAATTACACACCTGAAACCGATGAGGCTCTGCGAGATCGACCTCAGTTTTGATGTTGTAGTGCCTGAACTTAAGAGAGCACCCGCGAATTCTTGCCTGCGCTGTATCGAATCACCGTTTTGGTCAGTGGTAGAACCATGTGTACTGGTAGTCACGATGGCCTACTTGCAGACTTCGCTGTTCTCGGCTACTCGGGACTGCCGCTGGCAGAAGTGCCGCACGTTCCCGTTAGCCCTCAATAGTCCTCGGAGTTTTTAGCCGGTCTGGTGTAGTCAGGAGATTTTGGTGTCGTCGGCGCGAAAGGCTGCGCTCGTGGAATTGTTAGCCTGTAGTCTGATGGCATCACGTTTCATAGATTGCACGGCGAGGCAATTTTCGAAAGAAAGTCAATGTTCTCTGTTGAACCACCGTGTACTCGGCTAACAGACCGTCCTGTCTTTCGGGGGCTGCCTTGGCAGGCCACTATTAACCGCATTTGAAGACAAGCGTCAACGAGCTATAAGTTTGGGAGGTGAGCGTTCCGAGTTTCCGTGCTCTTCAACCACCGAACCAGAACTTACATGTAGAGGTTGTCGCCTCTCCTCGCTCGGCACAGCTGCCTTAATTCTGGGTATATGTCTGACTTGCATTGCCTCTCAATTGACTAGCAGATACGGGACGCATGGCATTTGGCCTTGCGTAATTCAAGTAAATAGCGTCGTACCTTTATGGTAGTTCCGTAAGAACAAAGAATACGGAAAGCCGAGCTTCGACTATAAGTGTACCCACCACAATGTAGGACACGAAGCGAGAACAGTAGAACCGCAACTGATGAATCGTCAGGTGTAGAAGTAGAAAGTAACACCTCTATTCTACGCCCGTGCTTAAAGGCTCTTTTGGAGTCTCACGTTCTGTGGCAATAGATAAATCTGGAGTTACCTCTACGTCGTAGTGTAAAACTTGTTCAAAACAATTTTTGCACATAAGGCTAAGTAGTTTATGTTATATTCCGTATAGTGTACGACTTTCCTTGGTTGAATGTTACATAACGTGTAGGCTTTATGCGCCCCTCATCGCAAAGATCATGTCGATGATTGAGTAATTGCATTCAATAATTGCAATGGGTGCCAACCAAACAGCGTGCGGGAAGCACCATCGGTATACTATGCTCTAGCGGACTGTTTCAAATGCTAGGTGTGCAATTACAGACAGGGAAAACATGGTCAATATTTCAGTAGGCTACGGACTACGTGAATTGATAGCATCGCAAGCATTTACACGGCAACCGCGCGACCACACAAGATCTCAATACAATCAAGTAGAGAAGCGCCTCCCGGTCACAGTGGCCGTATATTCGCTAAGTTGTCTGCTTCATTTTGCCTTTGTTGTGCAGGCCCGATTGAGCACGCTCTTCTGCTCATACTCCAAACCAAGGGCAATAATGAAGCCTCCAGCAGACTCAATCCCACATAGTCACTTCTTTAACAAATACCGCGCAGGATATGGCAAGATGCTGATGAGTAGCGGTCTGCAAAGTGTTGGTGGACCTGTCGTAACTGGGGCTGTATATCGATGTTCATCTTTCAGACAGTATTTAATCCATGCAGAATGCTCATGGGTGCAGTGATCTAAATCAAGCCTTCGGCTCGAGGTGGCAGCATCGGCATAAGAACAGCCAGTCAGCCAATATGGGTTGTGTAAAAGTGCAGTAGTCATGGTACCAAAGGCAACACGATGTAACGCAACATTGCAGTGTGGGGTAAGCTGGACTGCAGCCGAAAGCCCTCGTGACAGCCTCAACGCCTAACTTTTCTCGTAACCGAAAGGCCAACACGAGGAAGCAACATACGTTTGATTGCTTGAATATGCAACGCTGACTGACAACTATACGGTGGAAACTCGTGTTCGACAGTCTAGCAATGCAGAACCTAACGCCTTTCTCGTACTCAGCAATATGGTCCAAATCAGCACTAGTTATGACATGTCTTGAAATACGGCCCAACTCTTATTGCATGGTTCAGCTGAGGGTCAATTATTAGCATTGCAGGATCTACGATTGAGACATGTATAATATGTGCGTCCCCGGTCAGCAGGTATATATCTTGGACATCATCCACCAAAGACACTGAATCAAGCCATCAAACCATCAAGCACCCAGTCTAGTCACTCAAAGATCAATCGACCTTCTTCGCAAATCCAACTTGACTGTTCTGTTCTCAAGATGCATTTCTCAACAGCAGTGATCAGCGCAGTCCTATCAGCCACCGCACTGGCTGCGCCGGCTCTGGAGTCAAGAGCTGACCCAAACTGGACCATTACCAGCATGAAGCGCGTCTGCAACGCCGCCGATACATCCTGCACCTGGACCTTCGGCATTGATACACACCTTTCTGCGGCGACACCGTGCTCGTTCACCGTAACGGGCTCCCCTGCCAGTCAGACGAGCAACACTGGCTCAACCTGTGGCGCTTACACCGTCTCCAGCGGGTGGAGTGGTCAATTTGGCCCTGGCAATGGATTCACTACTCTCGCCGTCGTGGACAACACCAGAAGGAAGATTGCCTTCCCAGCCTACACCGACAAACAGCTCGCTGGTGGCGCTGTTGTTACTCCTGATCAGAGTTACCCTGCGTCTTCCTTGTAAGACGTACTCGGCGAGGGGCATCTGGAGGCGGGCTGGATATGGATATGTAGATGGATGAGTGGTAATACGAATTAGGGAGCAGAAACATGAGAATTTCGATAATATAGTTCATGTCATCCATCGTGTATTGAAACTCGCTTCTCAATTCTAACGACATAAAAGCAGATCTGACAGGCTATGGCTGGTGACCACTGTCACTCGCGCGTACCGTACCGCATACGTTATAAACCCGTCTCTACACTCTAAGAAGTAAACTCCCAATGTAATATGCCTCATGGAAGGCATTGGTAATAGTAAGGGTTGATAGTCGAGCAAGTTCCACTTGCACATGCAGTTGCCCCTGTCCACCCTGAGCCACCACACTGGCCGTACAATGGTTGGGCTGCACCAGTAGCAGTCGGCGCTGCCGTGGTAGCCTTGGAGGTCACGAAGGTTGTAGAAGTCGCTACTGTAGTAGAGACCGCCGATGAGGATATGCTTCTCGTACTTGACGTAACAGTTGCGGTGGCTGCAGCAGAGGAGCTTTCCGATGACGATCCGCCTGCCCCGATTGCTGTCGTCAGATCACCCGTCTCAATGTAGACGCCCGAGAAATAGATATCCTCGTTTGAGTCAGGATAGCCATCTCGGGGCAACTCGAGCACTCCAAGGTGCCAATCCGCTCCGTTGGAGGATGCAGAGACGGAGACGGGCGCAACAACTCTGGTCAAGGCACTGCTGCCGGTGGAATGCCAGAAGGCCACCGTGTTGGCACTGAAGTTGATCTCATAGGCAACATTATGCCACACATCAGCCTCCCACGTTGTGCTCCATTGCGATTGGCCGTTGGCGAACCATCGCAAGTTCACATCGGTCATGCCGGAAGCCCCTGAGATCCAGCCCGCCTTCATCTCTGAGTACAGGTCAGCTTTGAATCAACAACATGTTGCCGCCACTCTGTAAGACTTGCCAGTGAAGTGAGACTCAAAGAAATTAATTTGGTGTTCTCTGGTCTGCGCTGGTGCATTGGTAGCAGACCGCTTCATGCTGAAGTGGTAGTAAACATGGCCCGAGTTGATGGCTGCACTGGTCTGCGGGATCAGCTCGGTCCGTCGCATTGTCTGGCCATTCCAATACGCGGTGTTCGTGAGACTAATCTTGACTCCTTGCTTGGAAGCTGTGTCGGCTGGGTTCTTGTAGTTCGGGCTCAAGTTGACGTATTCGGAGACGCTGCCGGAGCCGTGGATATAGTACTGGTACGGCCCAACTTGATTGGCCCATGACCACTTGTTCAGGTCTTCCGACGACGTAAGGTCGTTGAATCGACCATCCCAAAGCACGGTGCCAGCAGACACAATGCTTGCCCAGCAAGCAACGCCGGGAGCGAGAGATAAGAGCTTCATGTCGGAGGATAAATTCACAATCCAAACACAACGAAAAAGCGAGAAGGTTGGAGATGGACGGACCGCGCTCGAAACACTAGGCGATTCAGCAACCCGGTGTCCTACGCGAGACTGGAAAAATCGCCCATTTTAAGACTCTCTGTCATCCAGGTAGAGCGATATTATCATCTACCTCGTTTCGCACTTCGTAGCAATCGCATGCCACCACGGCCCGTCCATACCGGGCCATTTCGGACAGCCCATCCCATATTAGTGACAAGGAAGCACTGAGCCCGGAATGACTGTCCCCAGCACCGGAAAGCGACTCCCCTGTGGCCCGGAATCCAGATTCGTCTGACTAGTGCTGCACTTGTCCGATATTAATTAGAATGTGCCTACCGCCGTCTGGAACAGCATCCACCCCACTTCCCCAAATCGCTTGCCTCCGAGGCGCAAGCGAAATCGCACGAATAATAGACGCGCAAGGCTTTGGCTCACGTGTTGGTTAAGTGCCTCCTTGGAGCAATTGCACTATATACCTGAAAGTAGCAAACCTGGCCATGTTGGACCAGCTGTGAGGCTTGGAGGGACTTCAGGTTGTCAATCGCCTATAGGTGTTTGCTATTTTCGAGGTGATGCAAATGCGCCAAGGGACCGAGAAGAGAAAATCAATTCTATTGCCACATATACATACAGGGTATCCTTCTGTACAGTTCTCATTTTGCGCCGTTTGCTTTTGACAATTTTGTAGAACACCTAAACTCCCTTCTAGCCGTGGCGAAAGGCGTCAGACGACTTGTGCAGTGGGCAACATGGAACAAGGTAGCTGTTTGACGCCAACCGATAGCTTTCAGGACTACAACTTCTTGAAGACCTGACTAAAAATCTCCCTGCTCTTCAACAGGTTGGTTACGCGGAGTCGCTCGTTATCCAGATGAGCTGAGTCGCTGGCTTGTCCACAGGGCAGATGAGCCGCGGGGGCATCAAATTCCTTCTCTAAGAAGCGTATGGCGGGGATGGAGCCTCCCTCGCGAATATAAAGGGGTTTCCGCGGTCTGCTGGCTTTAACAGACGTTGTGGATGCGTTCCTGCCACTGCGGTTGGCCGCCGAACCGCCGAAGGTTGAGCGATTAGGATCTCGCGCGCGTTCTGCCAAGCTAGGTGGCGCCACGTCCTCCCCATTCCCATCAATGCTGCCAGCGCCGGTGAACAGTGGGGACCAGACCTGCATGATGGCTTCTTCAAGCGTCCGGAAGATGTAGTTGTCGGGATCGCCAAGCCACGGCTCTGCGGTGTTGTCAACGTCGACCCGCAGCCTGTTATCGCTCTCCAGTTCGTCGAATTCCTTTCCAAGATAAGCCTTCAAAGACTCAACGACGCGGTCAACTTCTTGGCCGGGCACAAGCCGGAAGCTGATATGGGAGCTGGCATGGCTACTGACGAGACTGCCGTCCGGACCAGAAACCTTGAATCGATGAATAGTGAGGTTAGGCTCTCTCCATCGAGCCATCAGCGAAGACTTGAGACTAGAGGCGGGGAGGTTCTCGGGATTCTGCTCCATCAAGACCGAGACAATATCGTCGTAACGAGCTTCCTCATCTGAGGTCAACGGCAGCATGCCATCGTAAAACCCTGGCATCAGAACGCGATTTTTTGGGCCCTTGAGTCGGGACATAAGCGTGGTAAGATCAGTTAGGGGCTCACTCATCATGTGACTTCCGTCGACGCCAGAGTGAAGATCCGGATTCTTGGATTCCACGCAGACTGTGGCATGCAACACCCCACGAAGGCCATACGTCAAGCAGGGGGTATCATCGTTGAGCCAATAGCTGTTGGCGAGGAGGATGTAGTCAATGTGACCAATTCGCTCCTTGTTCTGGCGAACAATCTCTCTGAAGCCGCGAGAGCCCGACTCCTCCTCGCCTTCGATCAAGAAGATGATATCAGAGTCCAGCGCCTTGGCTTGCATCAGATCCGTCACGGCATAGAGCGCGGCCATGATGGGCCCCTTATTATCGCTGACGCCTCGTCCGTACAGATACCCATTCGTGCCCTTGAGCTGGAATGGATCTGTGTTCCACTTGCTATTCTTGGGATCCGCAGGAACGACATCGTAGTGACCGTAAAACAAGATCCTCTTGCGCTTCTCGGGCGGTGCCGCCTTGCCGCTAAACTTGGCAAAGACGACGGGGTGATGGAGCTTTTTGTCAGTGCTGAGCATCTCAACGTCGGCCCCGAGTTTCCTGAAGAGAGTTCGAAGGAAGGTGGCGCCTCGGCGACAGTCTTCCGCAAACTCGGGCCGGGAGGAGATGGTCTTGTACGAGACAAACTCGCGAAGGCTAGAGATGATCATGTCCTCGTCGGCCTCTAGAGGAGACTGCTCTGTGGTTGGTGGGTTCTCGACGACCCAGACAGCAACGTTGTTGTCGTTGGCTCCGGTGATGAGCAGCTGGCTGCCCTGATGGTCAGTCACGGCCGAGGACAAGATCTTGCCCTCGTGCGCCTTGAATTGAGTGAGGAGTTGGTACTTTTGGCTGACGTTCTGGGACGAGTTGGGCTGGTACTCTCCGTAGTGAACTGTACTATGTTTCTAGAGATTATGTTAGGAAGTGAGCAGTCGTGGGTAGTTCTTCCGTGAGTAGACTCACGCTTGCCGTACCAGTAGACCCAGCGCTCCAGAGATATCCCCAGCCCATCTGCAGGGCCATGACGTCGCCGCGGTGGGCGTTGATCACCCTCAGCTTCTGCCTGGTGTCGAGATCCCAGAGCTCGATGATGCCCCGTATCTTGCCGCTGTAGAGGAAGGAGCCGTCAATGGCCAACGACATGACGGACTCGGCGTTGTCCTCCCCCAGGACCATCAGCTCCTCCAGGCCATTCTCGATGCCGTCGGGCCCAATGTCCTTGCCGCCGAGCCGCCAGACCTTGATGGTGCCGTCGCCGCCGCCGGAGATTAGGACGTCGTCCTCGGGCTCGACGTCGGCGGTGACGCCCTTGCTCATCAGCATGCAGAAAACGTAGCCGTAGTGGGCGTACTGCTTGATAGACCTCCGGTCCGTCTCGAGCACGGTGTGCGAGCGGGGGATCAGCTCATATCGCTCGTCGGTAGGCCGGGGAGTCGAGGCGCCACCGACGGCCCTCGAGTCGAAGAAGCGGTGGTTTCGTCGGTCCGGGTGGTTGGTCGACTCCTGGCTGACCCTGGCGGCGAGGTCCGTGAGGCCAGCCCACTGGATGGTGGTGTTCTGGGTTCCGTAGTAGACGGTCTCGTGCTGGGACGAGTACGCCACGGAGAAGATGTCGCCAAAGGAGTCGTAGGTGCTGTAGATCTCGTAGAGGCGGTTCATGGTCCGGGGGCACCAGACGTTCACGATGGGGTCGCTGGCGCTCGAGAACAAGAGCGATCCGTCGTCGGACAGGAAGAGGCACATGACACTCCGCTTGTGGGCCTGGATCCTGTTTGTCTGCTGGAAGGTGCCCAGCGACCACACGACGATCTCGCCATCGTGGGTGCCGGCGTAGATGCTGTCCTTGCCGACGGTGAGGGCCAGGACGGAGCTCTCGTGCTTGAGGACGTGGTTCAGCTCGGGGGTCGTGTGGGGCGCGACCCCGGCCATGGGCGACGGCGTGCAGTGGTTCGTGGCGGACGGCATCGTGGCTACTACGCGGGAGGTGAGTCAACAAGAATCATCCTGAAGGCCGCAGAGGAATGGGAAGAAGAGGCCGGTGCAGTTGATCGACAGGTGGAGTGAGCGGACGAATGTAGGACGAGCCACTGCGTAATCAGTTCCTCGTGTGTGACAGGGTCGGTCTGCGATAGGGGCGCCACCTAAAGTTTGGCCGTTGGATGCAGATGAGGAGGAGCGCCGAGCTGTTGTCCCGCCTTGGATCTGTACTACCGCAAACTCCAGCTTTGACGAACAGCACAGTACGCGAGCAGGATAAGTAACCCGAGATCTCGGCTCTCAGCTCTCACCTCTCACCTCTCACCTCTCACCATTGACAGGATCGCGTAATGTGACCTGACTCCACCAGTCTGCTGTATGCGCGCTGCTGGGTGATCCGCTTCAGGGTTTCCTTCCAGAAGCAAAGAAGCTGTAGGGCTGCCCGTGCCGGACCAGGGCCCCCCTCCCCTCAGCACTCGTGGACGCTGGATGCGGGTCCGGGGCTCTATAGGCTAGCGCATTGCCTCGGTGGGCTGCCCCTGAAGCATCCTGGTCTAGGCCCCGGAGACTGTCCAGCAGCCAGGTCGACTCGACTCCCAGGACTCCCACCCCGGATCTCCTTGCGGACTACTATACCTGGGGGAAGAGTGCGGTGTTGACTCGCGGCCAGAAGGGAGACTTCTATGGGAAAAAGTGAACTCACCATGGGTGCCAATACTGGCTACCACATCGCTGCTCTGGAGAACCTCTTCTGCCTCCTTCATCTTGCGGCACCCGCCGCAATCCGGGGCCGGGCCCTCCCCCAGCTTGATGGCCATGCCTCCTGGTGGCAGTCGACGGCGATATCGATGTCGATGTCTATGGGAGATGTCTCTACCGTGACAAAGTCCCTGGGGGCTGGGTTTCGGTGTGTAGTTCTTGGAGATTAAGGGCCGACGACCGGCGTCTTATTTATTCGTTGTGTTGAAACCACGTACCTAGGTAGCCATGTATGCAGCTAGATAGGCAACCAGCGCACTGATACATGCCTGGCACGTAATTATCACCAATGACGCGAGATCACTGATAGTTGCATCATTGGTGCAGGGCCGTTCTTACGATCCGTGAACCGGGCAAAAGTAATGCACTGGCTTGAGTCAAAGGCAGGGGACTTTCACCGCTCCTGGAAACGGACTGGGACGGGACAGGCTGAGACAGGTCGACTGCCATTGACCACAGTAGCCAATGAACGCATGTCTCTCGGTATAGCTACTCTTCACGGACAAACACGAATGTGGGCGGTTCAACTGGGTAGGCCCGCCCGCACATGCCGACTACCATATGTATATCTTTACATGGCAAGCTCATGTATCAGTCGCCGTTTAGACATCTGGCTAAGGTAGGTGGTCAAGTCCATGAGGTACCTAAGCAGGTAGGTATCCAGACCCACTGGGGCATGGCTGGGCAGGTCAGATAGGTACCATAGTAGGCATGCAGGCATCGAGACACGGCCCCGCCAGTATCTGAAAGGCTTCACCAAGATACGCAAATGTCGAACCGCAATCAGCGAAAGCAGCAGACCGCAACTCCTTGCCCCCGGCGGGCGATGATATGCAACGGCTTTCAGCCGAACCTCGGCCTTTCTCCGTGACGATGAAGGCCCACGCACCTTGAGTTGAGTTGGCTTGACGAGTATTCAGCGCCAATTGGGCAGTTCTCGCCAACTGGATGGTAGAAGTATGCAACTCGACCGCCACGTACAAGACGCCCCCAATGGATGCCTGGGGTATTGGATGGTAGGGAGGCAATGGGAATCAGGCCTGGCCAGCTACCTACCTACCTAGCCTGTCTCCGTGGCTCCCGGCCGGCCGGCCGGCGGAGCGTTATCCAGTATCAGCAACCCGTGGAACCTAGCTTACAGTAGGCCAGTAAAGGGTGGAGCCGCGGAAGAAACGTGGCCGGCGACGCCGTCAGGATTACCTAAGGGCCCGGGTCTGTGCGCAAGAATTTTTCGAAGCTTGGCCCAGTCTACGGTAATCCGCCTCGAGGCTATCCTCTGGCATCCAAGGTGATATCCCATACCGTACTGTACCTCGTAGGAAGGACTCCATCCCCTCGCCTCGCCTCGCCTCGCCCGCCCAGGTCCAGCCTACAAGCACACGATCTCGTCAGTGACGCCAGCTTCCAGTCCGACCACACCGACCTCCATCTTCGCTCTTCCACTCCCCATCGCGGCCCTCGGCTCCCATCTCCCAGGCCCCTGTGCGTTCCCGTTGATTCGGCGCAACGGCAACGACCACGACGAACCCTTTGCCTCCGCGCATCAGAGTTAGACACACCTCAAGATGGATCACACGCGAGACCCCTGCCCCTATGTCATCCTGAACGACTTTGGAGGTGCCTTTGCCATGGGTGTATGTTGTCCCGCGCGCATGCCGTCTCCCTCCCCGAGCTTCCACTAACCTGCGCCCTTCTCTCTCCAGGCCATCGGTGGCACCATATGGCACGGCATCAAGGGCTTCCGCAACAGTCCCTATGGCGAGCGACGGATAGGCGCCATCACAGCCATCAAGGCGCGCGCCCCCGTGCTGGGTGGCAACTTTGGAGTCTGGGGCGGCCTGTTCTCGACGTTCGACTGCGCCGTCAAGGGCGTCCGGAGGAAGGAGGACCCCTGGAACGCCATCATCGCTGGCTTCTTCACCGGCGGCTCCCTCGCCATCAGAGGCGGCTACAAGGCGGCGAGGAACGGCGCCATTGGCTGTGCTGTCCTGCTGGCCGTCATCGAGGGTGTTGGTATCGGTTTCCAGAGGATGCTGGCTGGCAGCACCAAGTTGGAGGTACGTCTTGTCGCTCTTTTGCCCACCATCTCCATGACTGCATTGGTGATGGCCCACCGCCCAGCGTGACCATGTCCTGACATTTCCCTCCTTTGCAGGTACCACAACCTCCTCCCAACACGGAGGGTGCGCTGGCATAAGGCGCAGCGCATCAAGGCGATATGACCACCAAGCAATCCCCTCTCAACCCACCTTGAGCCGGTTCGGTTTCGTTTCGTTTCGTTTCGTCGCGCGCAATGCATTTGGCATCGGATACAAAAGGGGCGGGGGCGTCACTCTGCATAGCCCACACTCGTTGGGCACTTTCCACACGTGTAAAATAGACCGTCTTGGGTGCTGGTATGCGTCCCTTTGTACAACAGGAGTTCGGGGGCGGGCTTACCAGCCAGACATGTAGCAAGCAGAAGCATCCACGATCAATCACAAGAATACTAATGACATCTACACTATCGCTCCCCAAGATAGCGGGAGATCCAAGTCGATAAATGCCTAACATGTCCAGGGCGCCTCTAGCCTCTACGAGCTCTTCCTGCCGGGGAACTCCTCATCCTTCTTACCATCAAAGATCCTCATGGCCGCCCGGCCGTCATCGTCTATCCAAGCTCGAAACATGCCGCCACAGTTGAAATCTTGCAGAATCTCGCCTCTCGTCTCGACTACCTGACCGCTCGCCCTGTCCTTCACGACCACGCCCTCAATCCCTATCATGCCGCCTTCGCCCTCGCCCGTCTTGCCCCATCGATCGCCCGCGCTCTTCTGCAGCTCTCCGCCCCGTCCGGCGATGCGCCTTAACGCCTCTGTCACGGAGACGCCACCCCACCTGGCAATGCCGACGACCGTCCTGACGGCGGCGATGCGTAGGAACGAATCGCCGTTGCCCGTCCCTGACAGGGCCGCTGACCGTGTGGTCACGAGGTCGCTGTCACGTCGAGCGGGGGCCAGGGGTTGGTATAGATAAGGCGACGGGAGACAGTCGCCGAGGAATCCTCTCAACGCACCACCGACTTCCAACGCCGGCCCTGGGAGACCGAGATAGGACTTCCACGAGGAGAGCTCACCCTTCTGCACTCGTCCGGTGGGATCCCCGTCCTCGGCCCATTCTTCCGCCCAGAACCCAGCGCCGACTGACGGGGTGTCGCCGATCCTGCCCGTGAGCTTGTTCGTCATCCCACCCGTACTGGTCGCGCAGCAGATGACGCCCTCTGAGTCCATAGCCACAGCGCCGCAGGTGCCCTGTGGTAGGTATTCGTCGGGACTCCAAGTCGCCGACCCGAACGACCGAATAGGGGCTTCCGCCTTGGTCTTCTCCCGCTCAAGTGCTCGCAAGTGTTCATCCCACCGGTTTCGAGTGTAGAAGTAGCTTGGGTCGACCAGCGCCAACCCGTACTTTTGGGCGAGGGACTCTGCGCTTGGCCCGTGGAGAAGCGTGTGTCCCTGTGCAGAAGGAATGTCAAGGTCCTCTGGAGATGGATCGGGACCGAACGAGGTCTGGTCGGCTTTCGACCATCCCAGGTTCGCCCTTCCTGTCAGGTCACGCTCTCCCTGCTCGAGCATCTTTCTTGCGAGCAATATAGGGTTCCTGACCCGGCGCAACCCTGTTACTCCTACACCGCGCTTGGCAAACCCCCGGGAGACCATTACTGAGGCTTCGAGCTCGTTGATCCCGTCGCGAGTGAAGACGGCGCCGTGCCCCGAGTTGAAGAGCGGGTTGTTCTCCAGCAGCACCACGGCATATGTTGCAATCTCCAAGGCGGATGGGTATGATCCTTGTGGTGATGCAGTCTTGGAATAGACTGGCGTGTTCATATATGCATCGGTTTGGGAGACCTATCACATTCATGAGCAGAAGGCTTGGCGACCCGTGTCAACACTTACAATGGTGAGGAGAGCTTCACGGTATTGCGCATACTTCTCCGGCGACATCGTTTCCGGACGTATGTTGCCAGCGCCCCCATGAATAATGAGGCGTGGCTTCACTGTAGATACCTGCGGCTTGTAGTCCATGATCGCTGAATGAGGGACGGTATGCCGGCCAAATGAAAACCGTCTTCGACGTCAATACTTGCTCCAACCAATTGGAACTTTGTGATATATTGTATAGGAAGTTATACGAGCTTGCGAAGTTGTCACCCTGTTCATGCATCCATACGTACTCCAAGCCTCCAGATAGCGACCTGCCTACTTCGGCTGGTCCGATAAACGGCCACTGCCCCGCGCGGAGGGCCGAGATTGCGGGCCCCGTTGCAGATGTCCACATACGACACCTCACCTGTATTATAAGCAACGGGGTCTGTTCAGGCGTTAGGTTACTGATCGCTCTTACATACCTATATCAATTAGCTCCCCATAGATTTAAATACCTTGATGAAAGCTTGGTATATGCATGTATTTTACCTGATCGTACCCGCAAGAAAAAGCAATGTGACTAGGCAACTAGGCATGATTCGTCCTTCGTCCCTGTTACTCGACAAGGGTAGTTCATCCAAGGCTTGGACTAATCGGATGGCCAGAATGATGTAGAGTTGGCCAAGGTCGGGCTATATATCACCGTAGAACCGCCAGCTACTCTTGAAGTCTTTATCTAGGTCTTGATTGAGGATCAGGGCTCGCAGAAGTTCGACTGGCATCATGTTTGACCTCAGGATCCTGTCATGGAACTCCTTGTCCCCCATCAACCCCTGACCTACCACCTCGCCTCGGAATCTCCAGAGCTGCAATGCGCCGAGGAGATAACCAGCCTGGTACAACGGACTATAGTCCCCGTTGAAACTTCGCTTGACCTCGCCTTCCGCGTTTGCCCTTTCATGACCAACCCAGTTGACGAGTAGGTCGATACACTCGGCCGGTGTCATCCGGCCAAGGTGAAACTTGAGACTGAACACTATACGCGCGCACCTATGCATTCGCCAGAATAGTGTTCCCACCCTATCTTCCGGCCTTGTGAAAAAGTCGCCTCGTGACCAGAAGAGCATTTCCCAGTAGAGAGCCCAGCCTTCGATATAGAAAGGCGTCTCGAACATCTGGCGGTGCGGCTTTACCCTCTCGGCCACGAAAAGCTGTAAGTGATGACCTGGAATCATCTCGTGGAACGCGGTCGCCTTGGAAAAGTGCCTGTTGTTGCCCCTCATGCTCATCATCTTGTCGGCATGTGACATGTCACTGGTCGGATAGGATACAATGAGTTCCGGGCCCCCAAGGAAGAAAGGGGACACTTTCTGTCGCGATGGAGACATCATCTTCATGCGGATTGCCTCCTCTGCGACTCTCGGCACCGTCACCAGATCATGCTTCTTCACATACTCTGTGGCCTGATCCACTAGAGACTTGATGAACACGGGCTGGGCACCCGGTGGCTCTATAAGCCCCTTGACGTGCTCTAATGCGTCGCGCCACTTGTCTCCGAAGCCCAACTCCCTCGAGGCTTTGATCATCTCCGTTTCGCACCAGCTATACTCTTTCTCAGCGATGCGTATCAGTTCCTCTGGTGAATAAGGGATCATCTCAGCTTTGAGTTCTGTCAGCAGCCCGTCACGTCCGATCGGCTCTCCTATGATGACGTCCTCATCTCCAGGCTGGATGCCGACGAGTTCCTGGCGGATGAAGTCGCGATACGCTCCGAGCGCCGTGTCGATGCGTGTGAAAGGTTCTCGGACCCACCAATCCCAGACTGGATCGTAGCCAGCGTAAAAGTCGTAAGTCTCCTTGAGATGGGCACGCAGCGTCTCGACCGTCTTAGCAGCCCGATAACCTGTCGCTTTGGAGTATGCTCCCCGCTTGGCGTTCTTGATGATATCCTTGCAATTGGCAATATTTATCGTCATTGAATCAAGGCTCTCGGCCGCCTCCTTGGGCTCAATTGTGTCTACCCTCATACGGGCCCCCACCCACTCCTCGATGGTTTTCGCGAATGGGTCAATAAACTCGGCGTAATCATCATTACGCAACCTTTCGAGGTCCAAAGTCCTTTGCGCCCGCGCCATGTAGTTCTGGACTAGTAGGTAGTCTACCTTCTCATCCTGATTGTACGAATCGAAGGCCAACTCGCGCAGGGAGTCGATCTCGGAAGCGTAGAACTCATGTAGGCGCTTGTATCGCGATGTCGATGATTCAACTTTATAATATTCTGAGAGCTCCCGTGCATCAGCTTGAATACGGGCGATGCGCTCAACGATCGGCTCGGTGCAAGCCAGCCCCCGAGAAGTCCGAGTTTCGGAATGTTCTATCTTGATCCAGTCTTGCTGGCCTTCAGTCTGATGCATAGGAAGGCGCAAGTCAGCCATGATTCTATTATTCGGAAGGGCCGATACCCTCGGAGAAATGAGTAGATAAGGGAGGCAAAAGCAGTTGCTTTCCAGAAAGCGGTCCGAGACTTTTCAAACGTCAATGGCCCGCCGGACACATTGTGACTTTTTCACTGTCCGAGAGTTTGTCGTCCGATGGCAGGCTTCGAGCTTTCCCCTCCAGTATCTCGGTAGCAGCTTAATTTCGGAGCCAGCCGCTTTCGCAGCCCCGACTGCCGCAAGCCACCTGCCGGATTTGTCAATAGTCTGGCCCGCACGCACCGAAGTCTTGGCTGTGCTGTATCATCGGTGGCAAAGTACGACATAGATGTTATAGAAAATGACCTGGATTAACGTACGAAGTCATTCTCAGTCAAGTAGACCTGTATTGAAAAGTTTACCGAAGTGTGTAGCGGCAGACCGAGATGCCCAGACACCTCTCAAACAAAAACGAGCCCCTCATCAGTTAGAATACGTGAATACGTGGGTCACCGCGGAGTCTTACGCTGTAATTTGTAGTCGAAACTCTTGACCATGTATTCAACGCTGCTCGTGTGATTGGTCCTTACCGTTGTTTCGTTTGAAACCCATGGTGAAATCGAGGAGACAATTCCGCATGCACGACTTCAAAACTTCAAGCCTCTATTCTCCAGGAAATGAAGCATACCTAGGAACGCGCCTTGCTGCCACGGAACGCAACAAGAATTCGCTACTAAATTGCCTTGCCCCACCTGCGCCGCCCCCTCAAAGGGTAAGAATCTCACGCTCGTATTTCTCGTATATATACGGAGACACCCAAGCCCGCAAGAGTATGCTATAGCATCACGTATGTTTCTCCTATTACGAGCTACATGCTATTGGGGTTTTGGGAAGACCTATTGCTGAAGAGACAGAGGTGTCAAGATCGCAACCCCCGCACCGCAACTACGACTTACGGTATCCTGCCAATAGCCCCGTAACAATATTCGACATGGCAACTGAAGAGCCCCCACCGTTGCTAACGTTGAAAGAGCGAATCGCGGCTCTTCAGTTGGCGCAGGCTGCCGATAACTCTGTATCGAAACCCCCGCCTCCTGCTCCGCCCAGGCGGCAAGTCAGCCTGCTGCCAGCTACAACACACCACAGCAGGCATACAAGGGCTCAGACGATCATGACCCGGATTCCAAGAACATTGTGTTAGCACCATCTGTTAGGAAATCGGAGCTCGTCAAGAGAAATCCCCCCTCGCTGCCACCTAGGAGGCCGTCGCAGGCATCAGTGACAGCTGAGCCTCCAGCACTGCCACCACGACGGCCGTCCCAGTTGACTGCTAGCCGGAAGCCGTCCAATGATTCTATATCGTCAGTCGCATCAGGTCTCACTTCCAACTCGGCTATCTCAACTAGAACGAGCTTCAGTGCTGCCTACGAAGACCCGACCTCAACTGGGTCTAGGTTCCGCATAAGGCCCCCGAATACAATCCAGCAAAACTGCCAGCTCTGCCAGAAAGAAGATCTCATCGACAACCCGATGAATCTGAAGACATAATTCCACTGAGGTCGACAGTCTCTGCTCCCCATGCTCTCCCTCGTCCGGGTCAAGTCGCCATAGAGTCACCTCCAGCTTTGCCAACCAGGCGTCAAGCTCCTTCGGTAAATAGTACAAATGATGATATTTCGACAGCACTAGTCTCATCTCTCCCGGAGTTTGGATTCAGCCATGCATCCAAGCCGCCACCAATACCTTCTAATCGTCCTCAACGTCCCGGGGCCTCTATTGTCGAGTACGGTCAGCCTTCTCCAGACGGATCAACTGTGGTAGTTGAGCTTGACGCAAATACCTTTGACAATATCATTCTTCGGTCTGGGAAGCCAGCCTTTGTGGACTTCTACGCTCCGTTTTGTAAATGTGAGTTATTGTCCCGTCCCTTGCCGCCGATTGTACTAAAACTGTTACCAGACTGCAAAGAGCTAGATCCGGTGTACGAAGAACTTGCCGTGAGCTATTACCATAAGAATATCACGATTGCCAAAATCGACTCGTATGGTCAAAAGTCCATTGGAGAAAGATACCAAGTCGAGGGTTGGCCCACACTAAAGTTCTTTGATGGTTCCGGCGGAGAACCCGTAAACTTTGAGTGGATGAGAGACCTGGAGTGGATGTCACGATTCATTGACGAACAAATGGCAATGTTGCCTGCTAACACAATTTGCCCTCCGCCAATTCCGATTGCTTCTAGGCCCGTTTTTTGACACCTGGCGCATTGCAAAAGGCAATCTCGGACCCTTTTTGCCACAGCTAGTCGGGTGAAGCATACTTTTCTTTCATTCACGGACTACACATAGTTTATTATGATAGAGCGCGAGGTTTTTCGACGGCTGAGGCTTCAAATTTAACAACACGTACCCAGTTATCATACCCGCTTTATTGTGACTACTTCCCGGGTTGTCCTGCACGGCGAGCAAATTTATGCAATAAGCATGATTTTGGATTGGAATGCTGATGACCGATTTCGCAACTCGGAGCCAAATCTGAAATCAACTTATTCAGTTGAGCCGGCTTGAAAAACTTGAACTGAGTCCGCTCGGTCTTTCGTGGACTTTTGACCAGTTTTCGCCACTTGGCCTCTGCTCAAGCAGACATCACCTACAATTTCACCTGTATACTCTTGTGGGTCAGATGAAAGCTCCAGTTGTATGCCGTGTTCGCGATGTATCATGGTCGAGCACGGCTATGGAAAGATCGTGGCAACTACGTAAGAATTGGCGTTGATTAAACAGGACATAACCCAGAAGTTCTCTGGGCATTTAGTTAGCCAATGAATTCGTCTTGGCGTGATAGTCTTACCACGATCATGTTCTAGTAATCCAAACAAAGTTCCCGTGGACAAGCTGTTACCTTAGCTGTGAAATTGATGCCTACAAGTATTATGTGATAGCTGGGGCGTGATAACGAGGCAATGATAATTGACTATTCGCTAATCTACATGTTCACTCACCAGAGATTATAGAGACCCAAGCCTCTAGAAAATTTCTCATCAAAAGCCTGGCGGCTTAGAGAAAGTTTCCCTTGCCAAAACCAATGTGGCCTCAAGCCACCACCTAGACCGTATGTTCTGCTGCCGACACCAACAAACTCTGTTGCTCTAAAATAGGTAGATATGGCATCCAAAATAGGCAATTAAGATTCCAAAACGGGCCAGACTGTTCTTGGAATAGAAAAGTTATATCCCAAAAAGTGGCAGGCAGTGCACAATTCAAAGTTCAACCCATATCACGGATTTGAGTTGAGCAAGGTATGACGTTGTAGAGCATGCGTACTAGGCCTGCCAGGATACTTGTAGTACCACCTCGACGGTAGACTAGAGAAACTTTGTGGGCTGTAGTGCCTTCGCTGGGGCTGCTCTTTTCCCCACGATGGGAATTGTTATGCCCCCTCCACGTTAGCTGTCAGCTGACCTGCTTTCCCAAACTAGAACGGCACTGGCCCATGGCTTGCCGCCGAGCCGGGACGATCACCGGACGTCCGGGACTTGTGCTTAACCAATGTCCCACCGTTTGAAAAGCATGATTGAGATTGATTTGCCGTTGCGATAAAGTCCGGTGAACTACTGCATGTGTGCTTCGGCAATGCAACTCCAGATGAGACCGATGAACAGTCATTGTTACTGTGGGCATTGCTATGGCGGCCTATGGCGGTCCGCATGATGAGGCATTGGCGAATGATCGGCAGCAATGGTGCAATCATCGGAGTTTTCGAGGCATTCGATTTCAATGTAAGCTTGGGGCACCGGTGTTGGCAGTCGTGGCACAAGGTCAACTTTGCCAGAAGCGGCAATGGAGACCAAGTCACTGCTGATGTTTGCCTTTGGCGATGCGGGTCCCACGTGAATATTACGGGCAAAGTTAGACTTGGCGGGCTATTCGACTGGGAGGAATACCCTTAGCAGATCGCTTCCTATAATCTGCATTTGGCGACCCATGCAGTCAGCTTCAGAGTCCGAAGCTTAAGCAATAGTTTCGGGATGTCACCCCTGTCCAACCTACACCAATACGGTGTTTCACCAGCATAGTCCGCCCTAGCGTAATAGCTAGTGCCTTTCAAGATCTGTTACAGTCCATGAGCTTGTACCTGGTAGAACATTGGTACAGCCACGACTGGCAGATACTCATCCTTGAACCATAGCCACGGCTGACTACAGTGGATTCGGACCCAAAGCCATAGGTCTGCAATAGGTCAGTATAATTCTTAGCGAATGGGAAAAGAGTCGGTGCAAAAGGCTGCATTCTAGATATAAGAACTGTGTTACTCCTAGGAGAAGCGCAATCATATCTTGGTCATTAATCCAAGCCATCTTTTTCCATCGGTATTCATTGGACTTGCGCACTTAGACTGCACTGTTCTTTGCCCTTTAACTGCTAAATTGTTGAGCCTCTCCGAACGAAGAGCCTTTAATAGTAGTCATATCTACGACCTTTCACCATCATACACCATGAAGGCATCTGATCTCATAGTTCCTATTGCTATAACTCAAACAGCGGCTTACCCTGGCATGAACAGGGTTTTGGGCGAAATTGAAGCTCACAACCGTGGCATCGCGCAACGGTCGACCGAGCTCCTCGGTGATTTAACAGGAGACTTGCTGAGCGATGTTGGCCAAACGATCAAGTCCATCCTTCAAGGGGCCAGTGCTATTGCTGGTGGCTCTACGTATCAAGCGCCTGGTGACCTGGGGACAGATTCCTGCGGGCAGGAGACTTGCTGTGTGTGGAGTTACGTCGTCAGAGAATTGGAAGATGCCTTCCGCGACTCTAACGGGTGTACCTCACTTGCTCGAGGTGCCATCCGCCAAGGTTTTCATGACGCTGCAACGTGGAACACCGACGCTTCTTACGGCGGTGCTGACGGTTCTCTACTCCTGTCAGATGAACTCAGTCGGACAGAGAATCGCGGCCTGGAGGAGATTGGCGCACAGACCCGCATGTGGTATAACAAGTATAAAGAGCATGGCGTAGGCATGGCGGATCTCATCCAAACCGCTGCTGTCGTTGGAATTGTTTCGTGTCCCGGCGGGCCTCGAATTCGAAACTTTGTCGGCCGTCGCGATGACAGCACAGCTGGCCCCACAGGCTTGCTCCCTTCGCCTTTCCAATCTGCGCAATCCTTAATAGAACTTTTCGCAGCTAAAACATTTACTGCAAGCGACTTGGTTGCTCTTGTAGGTGCCCATACAGCCTCTACGCAAAAGTTTGTCGAACCGAGCCGGGCTGGTGCTCCTCAAGACGCTACTCCAGGGGTTTGGGACACCAAATTCTACTCCGAGACCCTGACTAGTGCAAATAGCACGACGATCGTCACATTCCCCAGCGATAGGAACCTTGCAACTGACAGCCAAACATCCGGTCAGTGGAAAGTATTTGCGGGGTTCTCCGGGCAGTCGACGTGGGCACCAGTAAGTAAACGAGTTCGAGATTTCGGGGCAGTTTAACTAACATAGATCAGGCATTCGCATCTGCTTATTTTAGGATGAGTATGCTTGGCGTTAAGAAACTGAATACACTTACTGATTGCACTGAGGTTATCCCTCTCCCACGATGATTTGGGTGGCTTACAAATAGAATTCAGACCTGCCAGGCGGTAGCAATCCATGAAGACTACGGAACATTGTGCTGAAATGCACGGTAGCACTTAATATGCGTACTTAGAATTAGCTTCGCTTGATTCATTCACATACGTGTGGTTTCACTACATAGAACTTAACATCAAAGCGGGCAAGTTTCTTGTGGTGGTAAGAGGACAATTGCTAGTCGATAGGATAAGCAAGATGTAATGTTTCAAACATTGTCCCCCACTTCCAAAGAGTGTCCCAAAAGAATAATCCAACATAATTTGTGGCGTTGTGTCATCAATTGACACTTACGCTGGAACACTCAAACCTCAAGAGCTTGAGAGCCTGAGAGCCGCACAATAAGAGACTTGTGTTTCTTTCTCTTGTCGGACTTTGTATGTATCTCAAGGGTGCGAGGATACGGCACAGCAATGAGGTGCGGGGCCGTGGATGAGTCAAGAGTGGAGGTGCAGTCTCTGAGTCATTTTGGTCAGATTGACCTGCCTAACATGGGTAAACGTTAGGTTGTTGGTGATCCATAGATGATTGTGAAGTAACCTATAGGAGTTATTGGGCAATATAACTAAGCTCGCAACTTACGATTCGTCTCACTGGTCGAGTACAAGCATTCATGGATCTTTGATTTTCGAGAGCACCATCTAACACAAGTTTTATCAACATGGCTTTCGCATTTCCTCCGACTGCCTATGAGATCAAATCTCCGCGTCTCGTCATCCGAACACCTACAGTGGCAGACGCGGGTGCTTTTATCGAACTGCTAGGCAATGTGAAAAACCTTCCGTTGGGGGAAACTGGTGCTATGAAGGATCTCACGATTGATAGTATCAGCGTCCGCATCGAAAAGTGGAGGAAATTAGCTTCGGAAGGTAGAGGTCCTTTCCTAGCTGTGGCTTTGCGCCACACAGACGAAGTTATTGGATACATGGCTTTCAACTGTTTCAGGACGAAGGACGAATACGAAGGTACAGAGCCTGAGCGGGAACATCCCTTGCCGGGCCCTGAAGGGCGTTATCTGACCGACCTAGGTATCGTCATGGATCACAGGCACCGTCGAAAGGGTTATTCGTCAGAGGTTATCTGCATGGCCTCTGAGTTTGCTTTCAATAGCTTGGGATGTCAGGTAGTCAGGATGGAGACTGGTATCGCGAATGAGCCATGGAGATCGCTCATGCGCTCAATGGGGTTCGGGGCTATTGAAGAAAAGGGAGCTGTGAGTTATGCAGAAAGGCCTATTGGTTGGTTATACAAGGTGGATAAAATTACTTGGCAGCAAACCGAGCGTAACTTGAAAGCGAATGAAAAGTGGCCGTTGTGACCTGGCCAGGTTATTATGTTTAGAATTACAGTATCAACATGAAGTCTGACCTGGTAAGCGTCACAGCAAAATGAAATCACCTAGGTGAGCCAATAGGGGAATCAGCATGCGCCAGATACCGCATTTCTCTCGCTTGTCCTAACACAGCCTTGACAAGTCCTCACCACAAAGACACATGCATTGGCACGTTGCGTAGACTTTCTCTTGTCATAGTGTTGGTCTTCTTACGGGATGCATTTGTGGGAAATGGAACTTGCTCAAGCCAAGATGGCAAACTGTGAATCACAAAACACGCTTGTGCTATTTGTGATGTCCTGGCAAGATTATTATCCTCCACACTTACTACTTTTCTAGACGCTCATCTCTGATTTACCCTCAATTGGGTTGCATCGTGATGTACATAGAACTGTGCATTTGGACTCAAAGATTGCTCATAACTCTGATAATGAAGAAGTAGATGACGTGTCTGAGTCAAATGTATAGACTTTGCTTTAGAAGTGAGTCCCGTTACTGTCTGTATTTCCTTGATACCACCAAACCTTTTGCTCATTATCGAACCGTCTTGACTCCGAATCTGTGCATATATACATCTTCTCTGGTACCAGTCACAAATGTAAGCAACAGTCTGCATCTGTATTATCACTGGTAGGCAGTGTTCATTACAGTCGTCCCCCCTTTGGCCCCTCGCAGAGTAGCAGCACATTGCGTCAAGACAGCCATGTCTGTCTCTAAACGTTCCGACACCCCATCGCCACCTCCGCCAGGACCTTTTCAGCACCATCGCAACACCTCTCACACTTCGCAGCTATCTCAGTACTCTGGCTCTCGAACGCCGGGCCGCCACCGCTCGAATTCAAATGTTTCACAGCGCTCTGTCTCTTCTGGTCAGGTCATAATAAGGACAAGTGACAGTGGCCGTAGCGGCGGTCTCCCGCGATCAGTATCACGTAGCAGCCTCCGAGGTGGCCCCTTGACGCCAAGTGGGAGCCTGGGTGAGATCTCGGAGACCAGCCACCACGAACGCCGCTTGGGGTCTTCAGGCTCGCCAGCCTATCTTCCGAAGTCCGAGTCACGGGATAGTATTGGCACTAGTGGAGGCGGCATTTTGAGATCGGGGAGCCATGGCAACATGTCCCGGACAAGCTCTCACGGGGACCTGCCACAATCTGGTTCACAGACCCAGTTGGCTCAGCATCAACCCCCGACCGGGTCTCCTGGCACACATCAAAACCCCTTCCACGTCATCTCTCGCGAACGTTCAGGCAGCCAGCTCGGTCTACTTGGACGTAATGAGCCGGAATACGCCGAGCAGCTCCAGTTCGGCGACACCAGCACGCAACACGGCAAGGACGGCGCTGATGACACTCCGCCACGACGACGGAAACGGATGTAATGGGACGGGCATTCGTGTCTAGTCAGCTGTAGCAGAGTGTAGACATAGAGCATGTGCGAGGTTCCAACGGTATGAACTCGGCGGTAGGAGGTAGTACAGGGAATGTTCTATTGATCATTTGAGAACTAACCTCGATTACATCTCCACAGAATGCTAACGCCATGCATACGGGTAGTGGTGTCCAGCGGAGTTGATCTTGTGATGGAGGCAAAGGTAGTCAAATTCGTGAACTGTAATTCTGCTCAAGCCGTTCAGAGCATCTATGTGATGAGAACTACATCCCGCCTGCATGCGACTCTGTATAATTATGTTTAAGACTAAACGAGCTTCGTGCAAGTCTGATCGCTCTCAAGCCTCTAAAACCACATCTATCCCTACTCCACGGCCTTCCACTGCTGCTCTAACATGGCACACTGACTTACCAGGCCCTGAGCGCCCATCAAGACGCCCATAGCTTGCTGACCAGCGGCGGCGCCTTGAGCGAGATCCAAGTTTGCGTACCCGTACCCGCCCCAATGACCCGGGACGTTATAAGTATACGCCAAAGGGCCACGGCTATTTATCTGCTGCAGTGTGCCGGCGTTGTTGTGGAACATACTGAGCGTATTTAGCATATTCTGTTGGCTTGCCGCCTGGCGTTGCTGGAACACAAGCATGCGCATCTGTGGCACAGTTTGGGCGTAGACCTGCCGTCGATGCTGGGCAAAGTTCAACAGTTCAGTGGCATCGGGCGGCGACTTCTCCGAACACGACGTATAGAGCCCCCGCAAGCGCTCGGAGTAGAGTTCACACGTTCTGTTCCCAACCATCATGGTGGAATTCAGAGGCATTTGTGATGCGAGTGCTTGGTGCTGCGCGAATCCCACGTAGCATTCAGCGCATATGGTGCACTCAGGCCAGCCATACCAGTGGCCGTCCTGAATTTCATCGTATTTCTTGCAAGGTGCAATAAGGGCATATACTTTGGCGAATTCGGTCAGGGCCGTTGGGCTGCCTGTAAAATACATCTCCAGCAGCCTGGGCAAGAAATCCCTGAGTCTCGGATGCGTGAGATTGAAACAGCATCTCAAGTTCGTACCCGGCGCTACATCGCACTTTCGCTCAAAGAACTGTGATATATTCAGAGATTCAGCGATAGCAGCGTGACACGCACCGCAGATCTGGAAACCGCGTGGGCTGGAATTTAAGGTGTACCACTGTCCATCCGTGATTCCTTGCTCGTCGCATAAAGCATGGCTCTCCAGACCGCGTACAGCGTTCCAGAAAAGAGAGAAATCGTCCATGTCACGTGCTCTCGCCAGCGGTATCCTGACATTGAGGGAACGACCTACGGCACAACGTACCTGGAGGTCGCTAGCTTCCACGAGGCCATGAGCAACTTGCCATTTGGCCTCCTCGCCAGTGTGGATTATCTGATCGCAATAGCAAGCGGCGCAGAGAACCAGACCAGCCGGACCATTTATAGGTGTGAACCACTTTTTACCCTTGGACTTGATCTGGACATTCTGCGGGCAGCGCGGGATGCTTAGACGCGACTTCGCTTCAAAAGCGAAGTTGTTCCAGTCCTTCGTCTTGCCGTCCAGCTGATATTGCTTCTGGATGAAAGGGACCGCCAGGTCGCAGGCCCATACGTCCTGCGAGCCCTGGGCTTGTGGATGCGGCTGAAGGAAAGAGGAGAGACTGTTGCATAGCGCATAATCTTCATAGCATGCTTGACATACTACAAAGCCTGGGATGGCATCATGCTTTGCATTGAACCATCTCACACCAGCATCCCCGCTAGCACCATCAATACCTTTACAATCAATGATAGTGCTTCGGAGGCGCATCCAGTCGATGACCGGCTGCAAGTAGTTGGTCGCCAACGCTGTTTTGAAGATGTTGTCTTTCATCCTTGATGCGCTGAATCTGCAATGCCGTGGCTTGTTATCGCTGAATGTCGAACATCTGAAAATATTTCGGAACTGGGTAGTCGCGATGTGGTCTACGTAGCATCTTGAGCAAATAAAAAAGTCCGGCGCTGCCGAGTGAGAATACCAACTCGTCTCGAATGTGACGGGTGTATCAATGCATGAAGTTGGGGTCATAGATGACTTTGGAGGGGTGATGCCACCGTTAGGCTTGTACGTTTCCATCTTGCCGGTATGGTGTGCCCCGACACCTTCGGGAGGACCCTGAGCGCGACGGAAGCCAGGGCCAACCCCCTGGCGAACGTAGGTCTCGGGGTGCATGTGAGAGGCGTCCATAGGCGTTGAATTATTGGCAGAAAGTATGGCGGATGGGTCATGACTGCGCAACGAGGTCGGCAGCTTTGTGGAGCAGGGTTTGGGAGCAGGGTATAGCTCCTCGTCCGCCTCATCGCCATCTCTGTCGGGAATAGTATTATCGAAACTCGTCATAGCCGCAGAGCCATGAATCAAAGAGCTCCTAGACAGACCGGGAGTTGACAAAGGAGTTTTGGGAGGCCTGAGGGGAGCAACGGAGCTATGCTGGAATCCATCTGAGGTAGCCACACTTGCATCATATGATGTTGAGTGTGTTGCTTCGTTCCGAAGACTCGCTGCTTCCGAGTCCGACGATGATGCTCCACCCAGGCCCATGGACTGCATCAGTTCTTCGATTGGATCTTGCCGAGGCGCAGGTGATATCAGGGGAGGTGCAGGGAAGAACGAGAGCTCGTGCGGAGATTGAGGACTTGAGACAGAGGCACTCGTGGGAGGCGAAGTAGGGGATGCCACAGGAGGGGATGACACTAAATGCGTTGCCACTGGAGATGCAACTAGCTGTGGTGCCATCGAAGAAATCGAGAAGGGATAGGCGCCTCGGTGAAATGCGGTCGAGGAAGAAGTTGGTGGCGGTGATGATGATCCGGTCAGGTGCGATATTGACGGAGAAGAAGTCACCGGAGAAGTCACCGGAGAAGGCATAGTTGAACAACTTGTCAGCGACACTGACGAAGGAGCAGTGGGTAGGTGGGTGGGATCCGCCACCGGCGTATACGCCGGCGGCGGAGAACTGGGAATCTCCGGGTCGACAGGAGGGCTAGGAGGCAAGGGAAATTTGGAACGGTGAACGCTACTTGACTCTCCGTGTGAAGTGTTCACGGGACTTGGGCGTGAGTGAGCAGTGGGTTGATGCGGAGTTGGCCTGAAGACCTCAGGGCTCTGTGTTGGCGGCGGTCCCGGTGGAGGTGGAGGGAAACTTGTTAATCTACCCGGATTTTGAGCACTCGGCGTCAGGACTGGCACAGGCGGTGTTACTGAATGAAGCCGATACGCATCACACGACTGAGTCGACGTGGTGGACTGTGGCCGAGGAGGTAACGGAGGTGCCGGATGCCGGATATGAGGAGGTCTGGAATGCATTCTATTAGGCGAAACAGGAGGAGGGGGGAAGCTCATGTAGCCCGGAGCAGTAGCATCGGGGGGAGCCAATCCCGGTGGCGATGCCGGCGATGGGCCATAGTGGCCGGTGGGAGGAGGCCGAAACGGACCGCCGCTGTACTCCGATGGACGGGGTGGAACCGGGGGGCCAGCCTCAGCTGGGACTTGAGACCCAGGGTTCTGGAAAGGTGAAGCCGGAGGCTGGAGGGGGAAGGGAGAGTACCCACGACCGGAAGCGGGCGATGATGTTCCTGCCGGCGGCCGTGGACTTCGTGGTGGCAGCGGAGGCCTATACTCGGAGCCACGGTAGGGCATTGTGCGCAAATGGCGGAAAGCCTTGGCACGGTGGTTTGCCCAAGGTACGGTCTGACCCCCTTTTCTTCGAGAGCGCCGAAGGTGAACCTATCGAGGCGCCTCCACGCACACGTTCAGCAACACGAATGGCAACTCCGAGCGGCAAAAATCGTTTGAAGATGGGATGCAGGGTGTCTCGGCTGCATGGAATTTCCCTAAAAAAATGACAAGATGTTCTGGCAACGTAACAGACGGAAAACAACAGAATGCTCCACCCGTTGAGGCCCAAAGCTACTGCTAAACTTGGCACAGCTAACTAGTCATTGTGAGGCTACGCAAGGACGACCGATGCAGCCGCAAAATGAGGACCCACAAATTGCATCCGGTCATCGTTTACTGATGATTATCGAACATGACGAGGCTACACGTAAGCTTCCGGGTCAAGAACCTAGGTATTATGTGGAACGGAGAGCAAACTGCTGGCAAGGCTGGCGCTCTCTCGAGGCGTAGGTCGGATTATGTCTGGACTCAGCAGGAATGGTGTCCCATGATTTTGCACTGCTGATTGAAACGCTTTCATAAAGGCGCGGTATTCTCGTGGCTTGTGAAGATCATCATATAGGCGTGAATCCGTGAGGCGATGGAGAACGACAGGTCATGAGTCGATGCATGTGTTCGCATGAGTTTACAGCCATCTTGGCCGAGATGGGTGTTTTCGCCCATTTGTCTGACCTCGTGGCGCATGCCTGCCTACACATCTGGTGATAGATGCCAGAGCATCAGTCCGTATCAAGAGCAGTGTGTATGCATGTGGGCGACCAGTTGGCCCTGCGGGTTACTTCCAGGGTCCCCGGGTACATCGCGGCGGCCGGCCAAGTCGAGAGTGCATGGTCGGAAGCTCGTCATCCGTAGCTTCTCCGTCCTCTCGGGCCTGGCGGCACTCAAATCTGTTCCCGTGAACAGACATGTCCGTAGTACCCGGCGTGTTCATTGCATACGCTCAGAGGTCTAATAAGTATCATGCCAGCATGGGGCGGGTTGAGGCTGGCGCGTGCATATTCTGGCATCCCGATGCGATAGAGGCAAGGAGGTGACTAGTCCTACGGGATTGCCGCTTGATTGGCGGGATGATTAACCAACCGTGGCTAAATTTGGGAGAAGCATGTCAGACTGTGGTGTCGCCTGATCCTGGTGTGCGATCTTGGTGTATGATGCCCTGCAGCCACGCCGGAAGCATGTGTTACCTGGATAATGGGGGTTTGAAGATCAAGGATTCCTCGGAGCAGAGGGCGGTACGGTTAATGTGGCCAGCTTCATCCGGCCGATACAGATAGGTAAATATTGAGATCCCGAGAGTTCGGGCCTGATGGGGTCTTGGTACTACCGACCACCTAGGCCGACCACATCCACGAGGGTAGCATACTTCGGCAGCGCCTCCTGGCCGCCCAAGGGGTGGAGGCTGTTGTCGATATACCGTAGTGCGTATCTAGTGCAGCAGGTATAGTTATCAGACGCTACAGATTGCATCACCAGAATGACGGGCGAGAAATTTCTGTCGTTTGTCGCCCCTCATTTCCCTCTCATTGGCATCAGCTTCCAGAGGCCGCTTGACCCTCTTTAGTCTAGTGGGAGCCGGAATTGGGATATCGCGTGTGCCAAACTTGGTACCGGCACGGGCCTGGTGGAAGAGCGGTTGGCTTCCACCCGAGTTTAGCGCGAGGAAAGGCTTGGAAGGTTTGGCGTGAATGCACCGATCCAAGGGTCCTTTCGTCAGGGGTGCATCTCATGGTTGACGCTCTGTCTGCTGCGTATTTCGATCCGCGGAAAGTCAGGAGGTGCAGGTATGCGAGCTATCAAGGCCCAGCCAAAACGAGGTAGTCACTGGATTTGTCATGTACCATGGGATGAATATAGTTCTCGTAGATAATGTCATTACCGCGAAGCAAGGCTGAACGATGCTCGGGGCAGGCAAGGCTCGACTCCACTGGCAATATTACACGGCACAGTAGTATACCCGCGGGGGCCTATCTCATGGAGTAGATGGGCTAAAGTCTTGACAGGTCAACTACAATTCCCGTCGGCAAACAGCTATAGGGCTGGTAGCAACTCTCCAACCTTACTGTTAGGCCACGGGATCAGTAGCCAGAAGGGCTTCCATTTCCCACCAGAGGCAGGGTTCAAGCGAGCGTACCGCGGCAGTCGTCCACATTCATCCAACCTCTGGCTGGGGTCTGAAGCGGGAGGAGGACGAAAACCAAGGCAGAGTTCGAGAGTGAGGCCATCAGGGTTCCATACCTCGTTCGGTCCAATTACCGGGCAGACGTTTTGAGGAGAAACATCGTTCGCAGTCGTTCGTTGTCCGCATCTCGTCTCCTGGGGAAGTATCTGCCCACACCTTCGCCCACCTTCCGAACTCTGGGTTCTGCCCGCAAGCCGCCTGCCGGGAGAGTTCTGCGAAACAGTACCAACCGAATCGCTCACCAGCCTCCCCCCCTCCCCCCTGGAGGGATTGGCCTTGTCCGCGTCGAGACGGACTTTCCAACGGCAAGGCATGCATTAGATTCATGGGTGCGATGCGGTAGAGTATATGTGCCTGCGGGCGCGTCCAGGTTCGTATTTGCCTTCTAACTTTGTCTACTGTGTCAAGGTAGGCGTGTCCCCGTCCGCGCCGCAGCCACAGCCGATTACTTAAAGAGGACATCAGCATAACCGCACCAGGTTTAGTATCAATGGGTATGCATGCGTGCAATCGGCAAGCGCGTGTGTACTGTATTTCATCTGCACATCCTCGGCAGTGTAATATCAGCTGAATGCTTGGGCCAACACAGTTCACCCCGTCATCCCCTTGGTCTCTTTGCTGCTGACGGCATCGAGGCGAGAAGGATTTTGCTCGTCTTAGGTCATGTCGTTTCAGCTGATGCCCATCTTCCGGGTGTGTCCGGCTCGTGAAACCTGAGAGATTGGTGCGCTTGGTTTTGTTGCTGCTTGCTGTCATACAGAGAGAACTCGACGCTTGCTTTTCTCTGGCAAGTTGTGGGTATTTTCTAATCATATACGTGCTTTAGTTGTTAGACGCGCACAGATCTCATACAAACTGTAGCCGACCGTTGTGTGTTACGGCAACTGGTAGACAACACGGGCAGCGAGGCGGGGCTTATGGCGGGTCACGTAGAGAATGGTACAGTTAGCAGAGGTGCAGTCTCCTGTAAGTGACATGCACAAACGACATGATTGAAGTCCTGGGGAGAGGGG